ACACCACAAACGTAACATTTCAATAATAATTGGGCAAACTTCTTGTCTGACAATGTTCTTATTGCAGAAATTATAGCCCTAATGGAGAACCTCACATAAGCTACATGTGATTGCTTCCAGAATTGTTGAGGTTAGAAACAGCAAAATTGCAGAGTTGGAAAAGTCTTGAAAGTCAGTAATAATTCAAAATAACAAGCCTTGCGACATAAAAGAATCACAAATGAAATAATATTATGTAGTCTTCAACTACAATTGCAATAAATATAAGCTATAAGTCAATCAAGAAGGAACAAACCTGCTGGCTTTAGACTCCAAGTTACTTTCATGTAAATTACGAGACAATGCACTTGCTTTTTCTTGCAAACTGTTCCTCTCTCTGGCTATTTCTGCAATCTGAAGATCACAATTTAATCAAATCAAAAAGCTCAATAGACCAATGTTATGTTGACAATTCATGTTTAGATCTGGCAAAGAAACACAAATTTTCAAATAGTTTCAGTAATACTGTAAACCAAAGCATGTTCACTTGACAAGTTCTTATTTAACAAAGACTGAGGTAGGGTTGCAACCAAGGAAATCTGGTGTGTTGATTTTAATGCACAATACTTAGGGTTTTGAGAGGACTTAGAGCGTAAATGACCAAACCCCTAACAAGAGAACATTGGGATTTTTGGTTTTGTGATTTTGGCTATTTTTTAGATTGGTTTTTCGGCTTTTGTAAAAAAAACTTCAGTTTCTTGGTTTTGGTGTTCATTACAGTTTGCCAATTTTCTGTTTTTTAACATTTGGTTTTCAGTTTTTGTGAAAAATATTAACAGGTTTTCAGATTTGATATCCGATGCATTTTTTGGTTTTTCCTATTTGACCTATTTGGGTTCTGGTTTCTCTTTGTCCTGAGCAGCAATTACGTGCCTCCACTGATCTCAAATAGCGGCTAAATGCAAATGTTATCAAGACGAATGTGTGACAAACCAATTTGAATATTGTAGCGATCCCTAGGTAGCCTACATGTAGCTGTACCCCCCCCCCAAGTTGGGGGAGGGAGGGGAGGGTGTGGCTATATGTAGGGTACAGCTAAGCATGAAACATTGTCAGGGTTTCTTTATCAATGACACCGCAAAGTTGGTGACCAAGTTACAGGCCACATGTGACTGATTGATTCAATCTCCAAACTTTCAGGTCTTAGTTTGCACATGGAAATGTTAGATTAGGGATTTTTGATGAAAATTTAGCTATAGCTTTTTGCAACTGAAAAATTGCAATCCTATAGAGGACTTCTGCACAAATTTCCTTAATTAACTAGACTCCACTACTGCAGAGACCATGCTTGAGGTCCATGAGAGAGCAGATGTTAATTTAAGCAGATGCTGGAAGATATGAATGCCAAGTCCATGGCATTCATAAATCCTGTAATGAAATTAGTGTAGTTTACTCTGTATGTTCCACTTGTCACCAATGTATTGGATCAATCAGGGTTTTAATAACTGGGATGTGAAAATGTATTGGTTTTGACAGTTTTGCATGTGGTTTTTTGGTTTTAGATGATTTTTTTCGGTGGTATTGCAGTTTCTAATAAGCCCCAATGCCCCCCTCCTTAACAACAGACTCACCCTTCCAATAAGAGAGTGCAGAGACACAGACAAAGTTTCAGATGCATCCAGCTGCAGAGCTTGAGTCAACTGGGATTTCATCTCACCATACTGCAGATTAACATAACAATAAATTCAATTCAACAAAGGTCACCAAAATTAATAATGCACTTTGATTACTGGAAACAAGCCGTGATGTATCAAAATTCCTGAGTTTTGATTGGTTAACAGGTCATGTTGCCTATGGCAATAGACAAATAATTTTACAACTTGCCTCATCAAGAGTATTCCCCATTTCCCAACCATATTTTGCTTTCTTAATTTCTCTGGACAGTTTATTGGACTGGTACCCTTTTGTACTCCTGGACTAGTAGAGTCCAAGAGATTTCTATTTGCCCATTGGTCATGCACTGCTGGGTATACAGCTTCGACACATACCTTACTCTCCCATTTGGCAGCTCTGCCAGAGGCTTCCTCCTCAGCAGCAATGTGGTGCTTGAGTGATGACTCTACCTGCTGCAGACGATCTTGCTGAGTTTGTATTTCTTTTTTCAAAGATGATATGGTGACATCACTACGGTTTGCAAAATTTTCCTTCTCTGTTGCTTCATCCTCAGCTTCTCGTATTCTATCACGGAGGGAATGCACCAGTGCTGTCTGTCTAGCTGCATTTTGTTTGTTGCTTTCAATCTCACACTGTAAAAATGATTTTAAAAAAGTATTTAATGATCATAATACAAGATTCATGAAATCATAATGCATATGTCCTGCAGGTCATCACCATTATCACAGAGCTGATTTAAATAAATGACTATGAATATAAGAAAATCATATACATGTATGTCGACTGTGGATTTAAAGAAATGAATGTGAAACGATCTTTGCAGTAACAAACACTACTTAGGTAGTATTTTCACTTCCACTTACATAGTGTTCATCACAGTGAAGAGGATTGCTCTCATATTCACAGTTGATTAATCTTAGTCATTGATATGAATTCAATGAATTCAAGGAATTTAAATCCTCCCTTACCTTGAACTCAATAATTTGTTGATCCTTTTCTGATGTTCTCTGCTGAGATTCTCTTAGCTGTAAAGAAAAAAAAAGTGTCTGATTAACATTCATCCTGTATACGCCTGGAAAAACCATGATGCAGCTCCTTTTTATCAATAATCTTGCATAGATGAAAAAGTGACATACCTCTTGCTGTAAACCAGATGATACCACTTTTTCAGCAGCAAGGTCTGTTTGTGCAGTTTCTGCAGCTTGTCTGTAGTGTGATAACTGTCGTGAAGAAATGAATAACAATTTATTATAGTGGATGTTTGTTAAGATAGTGACTGATTTTAACTTCTTTCTTTTAGGCCTGAGGCTTGCAAAAGCTTATCTCAGCCTGGGTGAGGAGCATGCACTCATGGGACAACACCATAACCTAGCTAGAACTCAAAAACAGAATGAGACACAGCATTTCCTGATGTAAAGGTCAATTTTTAATCTAGCAAGCATATCTTTTAGGGCTGCATAATAAATCACATTGCTGGTAGGGACTGGGGGACCTAAAAACCCTCTGACACTAATGTGCTTTTTTCTTCTGGAACAACACTCAATAAAAACTTAAACAAGCATGTGTTAATGATAGTAGTATTAGTATATTTTATACCTGTGAACTTAAATGTTCTCTTTCTTGTTGAAGTCTTGAAATCTTATCTCTGAAAAGCTGACTTTCATCCAGAGATGATCCAAGTTCCAATGAAATGGAGGGACTACGGCAAACAATAGCCCCTGATTCAACCTGTATTTCAAATACCACAAAATAATGTGAGACATTTTGGGGACTAGAAGGTAGATAGGAGGTAGGAGTCAGGATTCCACCCAAAACAGAAAGCAATATATATAAAAATTAAGAAATCTTAGGTGAGAAGTGATGCGAAAATAGTCAATGTTGAGTTTCAAAACAACATACAATACTTTAACCTCACAATTGCTGCTTAAAAAGAGGAGCAAGTTTACAGTTCACATTTTACATGATCAGTGAAACACAGAGAAGCAAAACTAATGAATTCTCTAAGTACTTTAGAAGTAATTCTACAAAAACAAAAAAAAAAAAAAAAAAAAAAAAACTGAGAAATGAACTATCCTTTTGATACCAAAACAAAATTAAACTTTCTTTGATTGACAGGGGCTAATTGAATTTACTTAACTTTCTGCAAGAAATAATATATTGAATATTATTTCCCATAATGCATTAACACTTAAAGAAGAAACAAAACAAAACTACAAAGATTGAGAGAATTTTTTTCCTAAGTCTTATCAATGCAAAGTGAATCTTGATGATTAAGACTTGAATCATGAAGAGGTCCTTGAGTTTTTTCCTTGAGTAAACAACATCCAAAACCTTAACAAATACCATCTCCTAACAATGTTTGCAGTGTTTGGTTGCTAAAGAACTTTCTCTGTTCTTTAATTAAGTTTAAATAATTGATTAGTATAGGGAAAACTTTACAACATACTGTGAATTGCATTTATGTGTAGTAGGTTTGTAATAAGAAGTAACACTGATGGAATAAAAAGTACATTCCATTCAAACTTGCCCCTAGTTTAGTCTTAATGTAGTTATTCTTTAGATGGTTACACCAAGCTTACTTGCGATACAAAACTTGCACTTGTAATTTTGAAAAAAAGAAATTCATTGATAATTTCAAAAATACATCATGCACATGTGGCGATTCTTACTGATAAATTATCACTTTAAAAGTTTTTATACTGCAGTTGTTGCTCTGAATAATGCTTGGAAATATATAAACCCTTCAGTAATCTTGAAGTTTACCACTAGCAGAAGATACCGCGGTTTCTACCTTTGTGAAAACTAAAGAAATTCCATCCTACATTTTTCTCGATCTTCCAACTTCATGAAAGCCAATTCACAAATCCGAACCAGAAAGATAATGTTGGAGTTCTAATGAAAATAAAAAAGCCAATTATGATCTAAATGACTCGAATGATCATTAGTTACAGACAGTTTGTTCTGATCAGTCGTCAAGACAGTGATTATTACTCAAGGAGATGTTATAAATACCTCATTTCGTCTGGGAATAGGTGAACTCGTTCGAGAACTGTTCTGACTGCCAGATTTTCTGTGCCCTATGATCATCGGTGGAGAATTTCTATATAACTGTCTCTCATTGCCATGGTCCCTCCACAGCTCGCGCACATCAACACCTGAGTCTTCGAAGTAAGTGAGTTGTGTGCCGGGTTTTGCCTCTACAAGCCTCTGTTTTGGAATTTTAGGAAAATGCTCTGATCTGTCTGAGTGTAGGGATGCCATCACATCCTAATTTTTTATCGAAAATCGAAAGAGTCTCTCCAACCTTTCACGTACAGTTCAAGTTCATATAATGAAGTTTTTTCAAAATGGCGGGCGTAATATTTAGGTCCTTTCTTAGTTGCATAGCAACAAGAGACGCTCGTTTTAGACCAGCCTCAAGTTTGAGAAAAACTACCCGGGTAGTGAGGGGAGTAAATTGATAGGAGTTTTACTGGAGAAAAAAAAGCCTATCACAACTGTTTACGTCTTTTCTTTCTGAAGTTTCCATTTTTTCTTTGTCTCAATTGCGAGTGGAAGACAGGGGAACAGGGCAGATTTCCTCTGCGTGACATGGAGAGAATTGTTTTTCCGTAACATTCCTGCTTCAATTCCCCTCCTATTTTTAAAAATAGCATATGCAGTAAATCAATTCTCGAGTATATAATGGATTTTGGCATGAAAATGGTGGTAAACAAAGCATATAATCAATTTTTGCACGCTAAGAAGTTGCTTCCATTCGAAGCCTATAATTCTCAAGTCCGCTTTGATTGGCTGACGCTAATGAATAATAATTATTTACTTATTTCTGATTGGTTGAGGACGGACAAGCTCTTCAAGACGAAGAGGCGACGCGGTTTGGATTAGAGTGAGTGATTATATTGTTGAGTTTTAATGCTGATAGTTTAGCATCCTGATTGTTTTCTACGGACGTGAATAGATTGGTACGTTTCTTCAATGTATCCTTTTCTAAAATCTGGCTTTTAATTCACTCGTTTTTCCTTTGATTTTGCACAGGACATCATGGAAAACCCCACAAGTGTTCCTGAATTGATGCAATTCGTCCAAGCGACCTTACAAAGCATGCAAGAAAAGTTTCAAAATGTCGAAGACTCAATCGTGAAACGAATGACCGAGACTGGGAAGAAACTGGACGAGATAGAGAAAGGACTCACGGATCTGATGGATCATTCTGGAATGGGGGAGCCTTATGAAGAAGATCTTGAATCGGACAAAGATTTCTCCGATACAGACAAGGGCAGATGATGACGATGAATCGCAGATGACGGTTGCTGGTAACCCCGGTTGCTAGAGGCATAAGTAATGTAAACAGATCGTTCACTTAACGTAGATTATTTTTATTTGAGTAGATTCCACTATGTGTTTAGTATAGTTGTTAGAAACATCGTGTTCTTTTCCCAATTTTATATGTAAAGCAGCCTAAATCCTGCAAAACGTTACTTTACGGTGGTATGATGTTGAAATTAGTGGCCGTCGCGGTGTGTACACTGACACTACAATTGCTTACTGAGTCAACTGGTGAAGCCGATTAGCGAAGAAATAAGCTTTTGACAAACATTTTACTTTTATTTAAATTTAACCTGCAAGAAAAAAAAATTGTAACGTAGAGGGCATCACTGAAAGTACTTCCAGTTTTTTTATATTGTAAGTATGGTTTTCATGCTAAATATATTTGTGTAGTTTGGGACTGAGAAATAAACTACAAGTTGTCATGACTTCAGTTGAAATCATTATTCTTAGATTCCTCTAACTCCTAACTCTCAAGTGATCAGAAGGTAATTTCTCTTCAGAAGTTTAAGACACTCTCAAAGTGATGGTTGATGGAAACTAGGAAAAATATGTACTTGCTTTTTTGTGAATTATAAAGAATGGCCACAAAAGGAATAAACGGTGCATATATCATTGAAATAATAACACATTTATCGTTCGTGATGCACATTTTTTTTTAAATTGTGTGTGATATGGGTCAAAATGTCATACAAATGTAAAAATTCCTTACATTTTGAAAATATGGAGCTCTGTATATTTGCTGCATTGTGCAGTGTTTTAATTGACAACGCAAATCATAGCAATAACCAGTGGATCCAGAAATACTGTTTTTATTCATAATGGTCTGATTTGAATGACTCAAACAACCACCACCCTCAAGCTAACACCCTCCTGCTCCACTTTGATGGAGAGAGTGGATTGTATACAGGAAATAATCATATTAATGTCTCTAAATAGAACCCTAACATGTCTCTTCAAGTGGCTATTTAAAGCTCAGTGCTATTTGCCTCACATAGTATTCCACGACATCACATTCATTAAAAGCAAAACAAATCTCATGCAATTCTTAAATTTTCCAGAACTAGCAGCAGAATGAGGGCCATAGTTGGACTCTGCAAGATACTTTTCCATACAGACTTTAGACAGCTTGTCACAATCTACTTCTGGTGGAAATGTGACCCATACAAAATATCCTCCTTCAGGTCTTTGGTAAGATATCTGACCCTCAGGTATATCCGTGTCAAGGGCATTGCATAATGCATTACACTGGACTTCTAGAACCCTCCACACCTTTGATAAGTGATAGTAGCCCTTGTTACAATGCCACAGCAATAATGCATGATAAGTAGTGGTTAAAGCATCCACCACAAATAGCATGTTAAACACTTTTCTGCAACAATAATCACACTCATTCAGGAACCTCCATCCACCCAGGATGCAGCCTTGGAGCAAGGAACTTTAAAAAAAGAACCATTAGAGATGACATGCCCTTTATAATTGGCATTACACTTATCGCCAAATGTGTAAAGTCTTTCGGGAGGTGTTTGTCACCGGTGTAAGACAGCAAATTGTACATGTCACCACAAAAGGCAAAAAGTTTCTCAGAGCTTGCTTATTGATGATGTACATCAACCTTTCTTCAGATAAATTTGTAATTTCTTTTTTATTGGGTTTATCATGGCTGTCTGATCTTAGACACTAGTTTCTGATTTTAGGCACCAGTGTCTGACTTTAGTCAATAGTGATTCCAAGTGTCTTCTGATTGAAGACATTAATGTTCAATGTTGGACACTACTGTCTAATTTTAAACACTAGTTTCTGATTTTAGACACTAGTGTGCAATTGTCGGACATTGTCCAGGAGTTTTCCATCTTTATTTCTGCTCCCAGATGGCCATAAGATGGAGGGGGAGGGGTGGGGTGTTAAAGGGATGACACACAAGTGAAAATGATGGGATTTGATTGAAAATAATTCAGTTAACTCCTGGGAAGACCAAGTAACCTTTGTGAACAGAGGTTAAAATAGTGCAGAAGTGAGAGAAGTTGCAATTATTTTGATAATAGCCAAATGGTTCAAATGTGACCAAAATTATTTCCTTGGAGGACAGTGTGTTTAATTTTTCCCAGAGCAAGACTAACATCTGGGTTTCCAACCCTCATGACAAGCTCACTCAGTATCAATGACTTGAAGACCCAGTAAAAAACTTTATGTGTTTTTAATGTGCACAATATGACAATACTAACTCTCTCAAAGATTAACATTTGAAACAACTAATCTGGAAATATCTAATTTTACTGACATAAATAAAGTTCAAGAATAAAATTTGAGTTGAGCAACTTTGATTTAACCTTCCCACTGTTTATGAACTAAATTTAATGAATGCTAAATTTAACAAGCCAATATTTGTTATCAAGTTACTATCTATTGCAATTTTAACAGACAGAGAAAATTAAGACATAAATTCAAATTCAGTAATACTGATAAAAGCATGTTAGTAATAGCTTATCTCATTATGCTTGTTACAGCTTCCCTAATTTAAATTAAAGAACATACTGTAAACTACTGATTGCACTCACTCTTTCTCACATATTTACATTAACAAACCCATTCAACCCCAAAATTGATTTTGATCTCCTAAGATTTTTTCCCCTAAAATATAGTCCATGCATTAAAATTTAATTAAGACTACTAAAACTTCCAACCTCTCTAATTAAAGAGTACCCTGAGGCTTCAAAGTAAAACATTTTTATTCTTCCCTATAAAATAACATATATTACAATTTATTTTCTACTTCATCCATAGATGCTTCTGCACAACTTAAACTAAGATAAGTTAAAAAATGGAAAAATTGCCATCAAAGTAAATGTAACAATCATGAACTGAATCTTAAATTATTTACCAGCTCTCATTTGGTGTCAGAAATCGCGATTTATTCTTTTTTCAGTATTCATTATTTTGGTATACTTTTTGCAAATTTATCACCGTCCCTTTTAAAAGGATTTCACAATGTTTAGTATTAAAAAAGAATTTCTTCCTTACCTCAATGCTACCCTTGATTCAAATGACACAGCAACCACTTCAAAAACAAAAGCCCCCTATTTTTAGATATATTTACTTCGAAGTCCATAATTGTTAGTTGCTTGGGAAAATTTCCTCAATTGCTAAAGCTATTTGCTTCACACAGTGTTCAAGGGTCGGACTGTCCAGAAATGCAAATGAAAGTCTCATACAATTTTTGTATTGTCCTTTACAAAAACATCGTGAGCCCTTGTTAAAATCAACAGCATACTTATTGAAACAGATGTCATATAGTTTATCGCAGTCAACCTCAGGGGGGAGAACAACCCAAACAAAATAACCTCCCTGGGGCTTTGTGTATTTAATTGCACGTGGAAAGTACTTATCCATAGCACTACATAGTGTATTCAACTGGGACTTATAAAGCTCTCGTGCATATGCTACATGCTCCTTTACCAAACCCATTTGTATTGCCATGGTAACAACACAAGAGGTGTAATGGTTGAAGCAACCCCCACTTGTAGCATACCCAGAAGTCCTCAAAATCTTCCTTACATGTTCAGGGGCCTCCATCCAGCCTAAACGTAAGCCTGGTCCTAACAGTTTGGAAAAAGTTCCATTTGAGATCACATTTCCTTTGTAATCAGGATCGGCCTTGTTATCAAATGAAAAAAGCCTAGGGGGAACTTTAAAAGGAGGTTTTTCTCCATCATAAGAGAGCAAGTTGTATACATCATCACAAAAAGCAAGCACATTGTACTTCCGAAGCAGTTTGATCAACTGCTTACACCTTGTTACAGAAAGTACAGAGCCAGTTGGATTGTTAAAAGTTGGAATGCAATAGAGCAAACCAGAGAATGGATTTCTCTCAGTTATAACTGGCAATGTCTGCAAATGTTCTTCCATTAATTTCTCCAACTCATCAACAATCAAACCATCTTGATCTGTCGGAACCCCCACCAAATTCATCCCAAAGTCATCTGATAAAGCTTTAAGGGCAAGGAAATAAGTTGGTTCTTCGACGAAAGCTACAGTCTTAGGCTGAAAGAGGAGGTTTCCTATGCAGGCCAGGCCTTGTGAAGCACCAGCAGTGAACCAGATGTCATCACAGTTGACAGTTTCACCATACTCCTCAGTGAGAAATTTGGTGAGCTCACTCTTAGCTGCTAAGCTTCCACTGTGTGGTCCATACTGAAACAGCTGAGGATAATTTTCTGGAGTATGAAGAGCTAGAGTTGCTTTATGAATAAGCTCACCACATTTCATGCGCAGATGTTCACTTGGTGCCCCGACACGTAGGCTATGCACTTTCCTGCCATCCTTCGTAAGGTAGTCAAACAATGTTGTCATCTTGAAAATTGGGTGTTTGCTAGCTGAGCTGTCGAGTAACAATAAAATGTAACAATGTTTAATGAAATCAATAATATATGACCTTTATAGGAAATTAAATTAAAGTAATGATCCTTGCTGGTGAAATTGCGCAAAAGAATCTCCAGTTGACAAAACAAAATCAGACTTTGATGGGATTCCTTCCAGTTGAAGCCTGATTTTTTTCACCCTTCTTTTCCACAATTGCTTAAATGTAGCTCTAACTAAACATGCTTTCTCCAATTAATTATTACATCTGAAGTCTGGAGTGACCTGAGCGGTGAGGTACGCGAACGCATTCAGGTACACATTTTAAAACAAAATGGCTGACTTCGAGATCAACGGATGAATCATAATGAATATCTCTTTGTTAAGATTAAACTAAGTACCTTTGTAACCGCTTGACGATTTGGAAGGGGATTCCTTTAACTATCTGCTGATCTGATATTACAGTGTTCTCGCTTTACTTCGAACCAGCTGTAAAGAGCGTCAGGGGCATCATGGGATATCATATGAAGGCATTGTTTTTGTGATCAAAATGGCGGCGGCCGGGAACGGTAATTTTGTTCCTTTGATTGCTTAATTTTATCAAAATCCAACATTTTCTATAGTTATTTTGTTAAATTTTTTCTTTTCCTTCTCTTTTAAGGCGTAGAAGAGTACCACTGTAACTACTGCCAAGCAGATTGCACGTCACTTCGAGTGAAATGTGCAGAATGCACCGATTTCGATTTGTGTCTTCAAGTAAGGATTGTAGAGTTGTTACTGACTCGTTGATCTATCTTCGTCATTAAGCTCTGTCTTTTTTATTATTCAATCACTGATTTCGTTTTAGTGTTTCGCTTGCGGCGCGGAAATGGGTAAACACAAAAGAGGACACGATTATCAACTTATGGTAGGTCACGTGATGATATGCGCTTTCACAAGCCTTGCAAAAAATTTTGGGTGGCTTCCAAAATTTTGTCTTCGTTTTCACCATTCTGGTTTGATTAAAACTAAAATTCTTAAATTCATATAGTATTTTTCTTTAACTTGGAGTCTTTTCTTTGTTAAATTTTTAAGGTGATCTACTAGTGAGACCTGGAATTGTTTTCTGAATATTAGCGGACAATCCTTCCCCCCCCCCTCTTCTGCCCTACAACTTCTCACAGGATCATCTCATTATTCTGGTCATAAGCCCAACTCCACCCTCCCCTCACCTGTTTATTCCTCATTCTGAGTGTGCGTGTGAAGAGTCCACAATATTGGTCTGAGGTCAGCCTGCAAGTATGTGCAATGATCATTACACCCACTTTCCCAGTCTCTCTTCCAAGGTTCTGATATTTGTCAAACTTTCCTTCCTCTCCCTTAAACTGAGTTTTCTAGAACTGTGATGTTAATTGCTTGAAGAGACTTATTACTTGATATGTCTCTTCATGGTTATTGAGAACCAACAAATGAAGTTATCTTGCTCTGTTCTCATGACCACTTTGAATGCTATAATTGCATATTTATTTGAAAGTTTGTTTCCCCATGACACTCTGTGATACTTTAATATATCATTACTGCAAAAAATGATATTTTTTCAGCTTATTTCATTACACCTCTAACATTAATATTATCATTGTCTTCATTATTATTTTCATTATCTTTATTTACAAGTATATCAATATTCAGTTAATATCTTAAGATAACTGAGGAGATCCTGGTGACATATCTCAAAAACTTGTATTGTTCAGGATGGAGGGACATTTCCATTGTTTACTGAGGACTGGACATCTGAGGAAGAAGTGCTGCTTTTAGACGCTATAGAGCAGCATGGCTTTGGAAACTGGTAATCGCAATTTACAATGTGTAACTTACATTTGGCTCACCAACAGTTTTTGACAAGCTCCAGTGGAAAGGCTTGAGACTAAAGCTATGCAGTCTGATTGATATGGTTAGGGAAACAGAGTGATCTAATGTTAGCTAACTGGCCTGCCTGCAGATTGAAAGGTGTAAGTGTAAACCCTCCCTGGGTCAGGGGCAAGGCACTTCATTGAATGGGTTCTGGGATGGGTACCTGGAAAAAATGTTTAGGGTGTATCCCTTTTTCTCAAGAAGAGAAGCAATTTTCCTTCTCAATTCATGCCTGAAAAACTAGGAGAAGATCCAGTACCCATGAAAATCAGTCTCATATACAGGATGATTGGGAAGTGCAATACATTTTAGATTTTCCTTGTGCCATTGTTATTCATGTTTTTTTTTTTTCAGGGATGATGTCGCTGATCACATTGGTACCAAAACAGGGAAAGGTCTGCCAGGCATTCAATGTGTTGATTGATTGATTAATTGGTTACTTATTTAACTAACTTTTCACTAGACTACAATCTGTTCATAGCTGATAACAAATAAAAGCGTGTTCTTGCCATCAAGGACTTGTTTAAAACCCTTTACAAAGTACTGATTGGTAAAGTCTCATCTCACATTCTCAAATATGTAACTACCTGTTAACAATTTTCTGATGAATGATAAGAAGCGAATAACATATCCAAGACATTTGCGAAATTGTGTGATCCATTAAGTTTTTGACAAAATGTGGCAGTAAAAGCTGTTCAAAGTTAGGAATCATATTGAAATGTTTAATTAGGATCTTTATAATTCTTCTGTCTCTCCTTGTTGGCTCGTTTTTCTCAACAACATGTTGAAAAAGTTTTTTTTTTTATAAATCTATCTTTATCAACAGAGACCAGTGAACATTATGCAGACAATTACATCTCAGGAGTTGTTGGACAAGGTAATAATTTGTGTTAAATATTTCACAAGTTCTTTGTTACACAGGGCGATGATGATGATAATGATATTAACTTTATTCCTGTGTCAATTTATTCAGCTAAACAGTAAGTTTGTGTTCTGTAAGATTGTATTCTGTATTCTCCAACTGAATATTTTGCAAGCTGGACCAGTTCTTAGAAAGTTCAATGCTCAAGTTATCATCTGACCTCATTATTTATTTGTTGTCCTATTACGCCATGACAAATGAATTAAGTATCTCTTTTTGGAATTTATTTCTCTTTGAAAAAGTAGATACTATAAGTCAGTTTACTTCTCATGAAGGATAGCTGCTGGATACAGAAAAAAACCGTATCATTTCAAAGCCACGAAGTATTTTTTCTGAAGACAGGATGTGTTTCAACCCAGTGCCTCTGATTTCCAATGACAATTTTATAATTTTCTATCTCATTGTGTTATAGCGACTGTTGAACCTTTTAAGAACAAAATAGTTGATCATACATCTGCTGATCAAGGTATGGCAAATAACTATAAGTTTGATGAATAAAGATGATACCTCTATGCGCTGAAAATAAAGTGATTTGTTTTAATACAATAGCCACACTTTGAACTGACAGAAGTTGTGTAGAATCTGAACTTTTTATCATTCAGTGACAATTGTCCTTTTGAAGCAGCGAATTTGAATGTGTTACTTGAAATGCAGTATTAAGTAATTAATCAAAGAGGCCTTTACTTCTCTCCAACTTACAGAAGTACTGTCGCCAACTCTCTTGCACCCCCCTGAACCTGTGGAGATGAATAATACTGAACAGCAGGAGCTAGGATATATGCCACTCAGAGATGACTTTGAAAAGGTAATTATAACAGAATTTACAGTGCCATTTTACCAGATCATTCAAAATGCTCAGCCACCTGAGATAACCTTTTTCACAGCAGCCTCAGATGTGATTTAGTGATAGCTTCCTGGCCATTGTAAAGGAAGTTGTAAAAGTCAGCACTATGTTGCCATAACCTTGTTTTGGTTATAGTAAAACTGTATTTTAATAGTAATCCACAGTTAAGAACTACGATGAACAGACCAAAACTAGTCAAAGGAACTCATCTTGCCTTACACAGGGCATCAAAAGTACTCATTTTTTGTGAAAAATGTAGAAGCAAGAGGATAGAGCCATTAAGTAACTGGTAGATATTACCCACAATTATATGAAACATAGCTTAGGCCATTTCCATTTAGAGAGAGAATTTTGCATCCTTGTTGGTAGAGAAATCTCTGACTTTTGAAGTCTCCTGAGCACTTAAAAATTTAGTCAATACTGCCCAATACTGCTCAAAGGATGTGGCTTGTGTATCACTATTGTGTAACACCATCCATCTAGACTTGATAGGTGAGAAATTGGGAAGTAAATCACAATTTTTTTTTTCTGTAGGAATATGATAATGAGGCTGAAACTCTTGTCAGTGGTTTACAGTTCAATTATGATGACGAGGATGTGGAAGTAGGTAAGGATGAAAAAATTCAAACTTGGTGAAGTGTTTTCAAGACATCCTAAAGGGTTTCACATACATCTCTGCTCAATTTAGCAAATTGGAATCATGTAATTATTTGCTTACAGCACAATGTATACAGTTAGCTCCAGTAATCTAGTTTCTGTTTTGTTTTGTAGATTTAAAGCTAGGAATAATAGATATGTATTTAAGAAGACTCAAGGAAAGACAACACAGAAAGAAGTAAGTACAAATAACTTTTTGTAAGAAACATTTTCAACTGACTGATGGATGTATCCCTTACAGCTTTGCGAGCTGTTTACCAAGTAGGGTTCATATTAAAAGATTGTCATTTCAAAGCCAGTAAAAGCCTCTGTTATGCAGTTCCATTATTTTTTGGCATGTTTTAGTGTTTATTTGTTTGTTCTTGTTTGTGAGCAGCTCATTTCAAATCTTATTCTCACTTCATCCTGGTCAAGATGTCTGTGGTAAGAAGGTGCCAGGTTGCTTTTTTAAGGGGGTGGGGCTGGGGGGTTTGGGTTCAAATGACCCCACCTCCTTTTTTTCAAAGGAGTTATTGATTTATAGTTTTAACAAAAAAGTGACTTAACACTCTCACCTCTTATTGCTGGTATGACATTAAGGTAAACACCAAGCTAGAAAGCTCTTCTGATACAACCCCCTGAGTAAGCTCAGATAAAAAGTCTTGTAATCTAGTTGGTTGAAAAATTTGACATAGTTCTCCTCTCTTTTGTAATGTTTAACCCCTTACACCCCAAGAGTGATAAGCATCTAATTTCTCCTCACTGTATCATCCCTGAATCACACATTAAGGTGACAAGAATAAAGAAAATGATCACCAACTAAAGAAGCTCTTGATTGTTAAACAAATTCTCCTTATCAGCCCCTTAGGAAATTTATAGAGAACAGTATGGAGAATATGCATACTGATGTTAGGGTGTAAATGATTAAGGTGAGGGTTTACAGGTAGCTCATGTACAGTAGCATTGATGACAATGTTTTATTTCATTTCTTTCCAGCATTGCAAGACAACATGGACTTATTGCCAGCAAACACAGAATAATAGGTACCAAAATCCAGCTAATCACCTCATATTTATCACACAGCATGTTATAACTGTTGCCCTTACATGTATCCTCACAACTCAACTTGCAGTGGCCTTTACAGCCACTTTGCCAATCATACCGGTAATTAAAAATCAAGTATTTTTTAACAGCCAAAAGGATTCCGTTTATGCACCCTTGTGCTTAGCCAGTTACAATTATGAAAGGCTGTACCAAATTATCACTTTCATGACTTTTGATGAAACTTTTAGTTTATTTTACTATTTTCCTTCCAGCATCAGTTATTTTTGAGCAGATTTTGAAGAAGGGGAGGGATTCTTTTCAGAGGTTGTCAAGTCTTGTCCTCACAGAAGTCTATGAACATATTTCATGTAGAGACTTTGTTTTTGTTCCAGCTCTTCGAAGAAAGTACAGCAAAGAGGACAGGTTAGTGATCTGTGTACATCAACAGAGAACAAAAAGATGATGAGATTATGATTTTCCTTTCCCAGACATTAGTTAATTGTTCCTTTGACCTTAAAACAGGGCTTGACAGTTTTATTATACTGTTTTCTTAGTGCGAGTTGTTACTTCCAGCATTGGAAACTGTACATGATGATGTTTTAAAATCACCTTCATCTTTTATTTGTAGGGAGTTCAGGGATGCCACCAGAGTTTTTGCGAGATTTAAAAGCCACAGGGAATGGGAGGAATTTCTAAATGGTCATTTACGTAAGAAGAAACAGTGTGTAAAAATTATAAATCTCGTAACTAAAATCTTTGTAACAAATGGATCTCAATTTTTCACTGTCTGTACTCAATTAATGACAATAGACGTTAAGTCAGAAACTGAAACAACGAGAATTATTAAGTTTTGAATAATTTTTTATGGGTGTGAAAGTTTACCATTTTGTCCGTGTGTTTTGAAATTGTCAAATTTTTTTTTATGCACTTTCAGGCGAAAGAGAATTGCGAGCAAGAATCAAAGATCTCACGAGATACAGAAAGAATGGAATCACAAAACTAGCAGGTAATCTTTTGCTAAAGTAAGACCTAAAACGAGCGGGATTTTATATGTAGTAACGGCAATACGGCGCTCGCTTTTAAATTTCTTTTTTATTGCAAGATAGAGGATTAGTATGAATGAAATCGGCACAATGTAACTTTGTTTTTGGCGGAAAACATTAATTTTACAGGAAGTTTGCCTAGGAAAGCGAATTGATTCTTAAAATAAAGTGTTATCTCAGTGAAACTTACATTTAGAGTTTTAAGGCGTTTTTCGCTAAAGCTGAACTGGTTAAACCTGTTTGACACGTTTTCAGAGTGTCAAGAATATGATGAACAAAGGTTGCGACGAGAAAGAAGAAAGGAAAACAAAAGGAAAATGGTGGTAAGTCTTTGTACGCTTTCTGGCCGAAGTTAGAATTGTCACGACATGGTTGTGATGGAGCTTTTTGGATTTTAGCTTCCAATTTCAACATGGTGGAGCTAGTTAAACTCTCAGAAGTGATTAACATGTAACTTCTCCTTATAATATTCATACATTCCTTAGCAAACAGGCAATGAGAATACTCAGGTAGAAGTTGTCAATTGATCTGACACCAAATTCACGTAACTAATTTATTAGGAAATGTGTAACGGCAAGAGGGGAGAATTAACAATCAGAGCTTAGGAGTCTAAGGGTTTATTTGTGATCAACAGCTAGATCTTCAATGACCACAGTAAATAAAGCGATTGACATAATCATATTTTCCGGTCCTTCCTAGGGTGGAACCCAACCGAGAAGAACGAACGTGTCGATGGGAAAAAAGAATGAGTAAGTGAATTGAATGTTGTGGATTGTTCTTGAATATCACCTCTTCGTAGATTCTAGAATATGTCACCATATTTATTCGGTGAATTGTTTCCTCCGTAGGGCCTCATCAGAAGACAAGGATGAAAAAGGTACTAAACTTAGACGATTTCATTAAGACAAAAAGTTGTACCCTCTTGTGTGGACATAACTCGAGTCCGCAGACTAAAATTGCAAAGTTGCGCACAATTCAACTGTTTGTTCTTCCTTTGCAGATCGATCGCTATCGTCACCAAGTTTTGAAGATCAGATGAAAAACTGTCCGACCTACAATTTACTGTCATTAATGGAGAGACAGGTGGGAAAGATGGCTGTGGTTTATCTAAACGTTTCTTTAAAAAAATTTTAGGACGTAAAACAATGTGCTGTGATGTACCTGTAAGCGAACATGTCGAAATGTAAGCGTTGATGATTCTCCATGGAGTTTTGACGCACCTCCCACGTTGGACAAGTTAGAGTCCATATGAGAGCGCTTTTCGAGCGACTGTCGTAAATCCAAATCTGAAGTTATCACAGCAGCCAATCAGATGTTGGAAAATATTGTAAGAAGCCAATGAGAACTGAAAATAAAACAAGCAAATTGCTTCAAGCGCCGAAAAACACCAGTGAACAAAACGCGATTAGCTTAAGTTTTGTATCTGATTGGTCGAGAGGATGGCGCTAGCTCTTTAGACCAATCACTGAGCAAAATGAAGCAAAGCCATCACAATCCCGGATTTCGTTAAACGCCCATTTGAAAAGTGTTCTATAGGAGGAAAGTATTTGTACGAACCTTATCTTTAGTAGCCCTCTGAAAATTTGTTTTTCTCTTCCACGACAGCTCTGCGCTTCTATGCACATGAAACCTGGATTTTATCTTACAATCAAAACAATTGTTTTAAAGGTGAGTTAGTTTGATATTAGGTTTTTTTCGTTTCGCTGATTTTTTTACTCGTGCGACGGACTTCGCTAAAAAGGGGAGACTGCTCGTGGTCTTTGTTCGACGCAACTCAGCCGTAACTCATTGGAGAATGTTAACTCTGTGTATTTATTCAATATCCTGGCACAGTCAAGGTACACTGTTTAATGAACGAGGACGGTGTAGTCATGTGTGGGTTGAATTTGTTGTTGGTTATCGTTCGTTCACTGAGTACACCCCGGGTTTCTTATTAGTCCTTCTTCAAGAAAAGCTAACATACAACTAGTCTATTCTTGTGTTTTTCGCGTCAACATGTTCCCGCCAACAGCGTAGCTCCATCTTCCTGTTTATAAATCACACAGAACTCCTAGTTCCTCTGATTCGCTCTGACGAAGGGCTAGCGCTAGGACATCAGCTTTAGAAACTCTTTACGGAGGCCACTTATTTTTTAATATCCCCCACCCCTCCCCCGCCCCTTACCGACGTAGGACCACAGTTTCTTCAGGTCTTTAACCTCTTAAACCAAATCAGGTTAGGTTACCAGCCGCTGGTCGTTAAATGAGCCTGCGCTCCTTCTCAGATAAAAGCGGATATCTAGCTTTAAACCGAGCCGACCTGGGAGCAGACAGCTGATAGGGAGGTTTATATACACCTCCGCTTTGATTTACACTTTATTACAAAATACCTTAACGCCTAGGGGAAAGGTGTAGGATGTACTGTACATAATCTTGCGTTTTTACCATCTAAGAGGGCTGATAAGTTGCTTTCCTTCTACAGGACAATCTACTGAGAAGGCAAGGTGTTCAGGTTAAAACTCGATATCCACCGAATCTCGACAAAACACATAGAAAACACATCATGAATTTCCTCAAAGAGAGCGGCTGGGTCGCCACTTCGTGAAGCTGACACAACAGTCATTCGATGTGAATACATAATACAATATAAAGTAACTTCTAATGTACTGTACGATGACAGAATGTACAAAGGAAATGTAAATATTTAGGCCTATAGTCCACTGAATGATAAGTAATATTTAAGAAAGATTGAGGTGTACAGTTTTAGTCCATATGTAAGCGGCGAGTTCAGCCATAAAAATGAAGACGAGTGGAGGGTGTTTTACAAAATGTCAATATCAAAAATTAAAGTGAATTATGACACTAACAGATGGTAGAGTGATAGTTGAAGTGAATTTTGTGATTGTATGTGCGTGTTTTTGTGCGCGCGCCCCTCAGATACTGATTTTAAACAATCCCTATGACGCGTTCCGAGCTGCCCTCTCTCCCTTCAACTGAGTGACGTGTTCCGAGCTGTCCTTTCTCCCTTCAACGATCACACCCCTCGATCGTCTTAAACTCGAGTTTAAGCCATTTATCGTGTTTTTGTTTTGTGTTGTTGAGACAAATGTTGTCTTATTAAGACTCTTTGAAGCTGCACATTAAAGGAGGATACTTTTATTTACTTTGACCAATCAGACATTTAATTCAGGTTGTTATCGACTTCCGGTAGGAAGGATAATCAGAGTTTTGGGTGAAATAGTGGATGAGACAATCACGAATGATGTTTATGAGGCGTGTCATCTTAAACCAAGTGACTTAAAGACTTCACGGTGAAGACGTAAAGGCAAAGTAGTTGGAGGATTATTTGAGATTAAGGCAGGGAGCTTGAGGTTGTAAAGAAATCCGTTCTCGTACTTCTTGAGCTGTCATTAACTTTGAAAAGAGATGTGGATCGAGGGTTTTGGGTGTGCGCAACAAGACTTGCTCTCCATCCTGGTTACCGCAAATCTGAAATGACAAAATCAAAGGAACAATTATCAGCTTGTGACTTAACTGAAACCTAGGGTTTTTAGTAAACTACAATCGATAACAAAAGTCGTTTACACATTTATACCCGACCACAATCAGTTTATAATATTCAATATTAGGATTGTGAGGAGGCAACGCGACGTAATAGGGCGTATTGATTGGGTGTCACAACGTGAAGTAACGACCAATAACATCTCAGGGAGTCAATAACAGCGACGGTAATTTGATGTTAACGGCCTCAGGTTCAACTTCGTTTTCAGGGTCTCTCGTAAAAGAGAGAGCCCGGACACAAAGTTGCCTCAAACAGGAGCAAACGCGCGTGAGCCCAGTAGGCTCGTGTTTTCTTGACAAGTTTCAGAATTTAAGGAGGTGAAATCAATTGCGTCCTGAATTACTTTCGAGTCTCAATTGGGAATTTCTCTTTCTGTATGCAATAGCAAGTAAAAATAACTTGAAACAAAGCCATGAATCTCTCCTGTTGTGCGCAAAGATAACAGAATGCTGGACAAGCAGCGCAACAGTGTTTCGAATTTTGCTAATTTTTTTTTAGCCAATCAAGTAATGGTGTGAATCCGTATTTTCTCACCTGCAATGCCATCAACAAATCAAATCTGTACTTGATGCTTGTGGGACGAGGTATGCAGGTTATTTTACCAGCTAGGCAAAACTGCTCACCGTGATCCTGAAGACACATTAAAATCAATCATTAAATAGGAGTTGGCTATCGGCGGCTGGTTCGGAAAATTCTTTTCACATGAAACGCTTAATGCTCATTTAATTTTCCCGACCACCCTACACGTTTGAGATGACGAAGGTCAATCGTTCATGTAACTCTGATCTGTGACGGTAATGATTGTGCGTAACTGGAGAAGAAGAACCTGCCGAGTGTGGAGATTAATTCCATAATTCTAAAACAGAGACCAGAAAAAATGAAGGGAGAAATCCGAGTCCCCTTAGATATTCGAACCATAACAAGTTCCGAGGTCTTAATTGCTCTACTAACTGAGCGACAGGGAGGTCGTCGGTGAGCTAGACCATATTAATATCTGACAGAAGTTTTAGAAATTGTTAAGACCAGCAATGTTTGAGGCATTCGTCGTAGAGAGGGTAAACCGGCAAGAATAAAAGGATAAAAACGCTTACAGGCTAATTGAAAAACCAGAAATAAGAACAAGCTCAAAAAACAAAAAAAGGAGGGAGGTACGTCTCTATGGTCTTGTCGAAGAGTCAGTGGTGAATGAGACAAGTCTTACCTCAAGTTCATCAGCAACAGCGTCTGTATCAAGGTAATTGTGATAAATTAACGGATTGGCCTCTGTAAACTGTTTGATATCTTCTGGAACCTGAATGAAGCAAGGGGGCGTGAATTTAAATTAACTTTATGATAATTTCCTTGACACCAGTCTCTAACGATCACTGTTGGGAATTAGAAAACAAATATTTCCGCTAAACTAAAGAAAAATGTATGAATTATCCTTGTAGTAGCAAAACGAAGTAACGACATTCAATTTGGCAAAGAGAATTTTAAGATTGCCTATATACTCCAATTTGTATTCAAGACATTTCTGACGACCGAAGAATGAAGAATAAGATTTTATTTGATTTAATTAATCTTAACATATTTCAAGGTTCAGTTTCAAACACACAAATATACTAATCCCTTACCTGTGGCTCTGAGGGTTCAGTTTTCTTCACAGTCACTTCATCAGAGGTTTGTGAAGTTCCCGTTTGTTGCTCCTCTCCTTTGCCGGTAGGTTTGTCTTTTGATGGTTCAGTCACGTGCTCCTTAACCCCTCTCCTACTCCCTTGGGTGCTAATCTTGCGCTTGATTCCTTGGGAACCTCCGCCAGTTGCAATGTCATTTCCTCTGTCTTGCTCACTCTTTTTGATCACCAAATTATTTATACGGCTTCGCTCAGTAGTTACGTTGTCTTTGCTTCCTCCCGAAACCTCCGCTTTTTCAGTGAAAAGTTTCACGCTCGCGCGCGGACTTCCATTTTTCAAGATGTCCACAGCTGATCCTTTCGCTTTTCCATCTCCCTCATTCTCGTCTTGTTTTTCTTCTCCTTGCTTTGTATTAGAATCCTTTTTACAACATTTTATGATCTTTCTACCGAGCTTAAAAAGCAGTAGGAACGGAAGGATGAGGAAGAAAATGAGGTTGAACAGAAATTCTTTGGTTTTGTTTCGCGGCTTGGTAACCTCCTTTCTGCAAAATATAAAAGTTACTAACTTTAGAAAATAGCTTTCCTTTTTAAACAACACTTCTTTCCATGCTAGTGTGGTTATCCTTTTGGAAGCAGGTGATGTAGAAGTCACTTGTAGTCTGCAACAAGGCTTTTTTGACAACTTATCGAGTGACAACAGCTTGATTTGAGCTTCACTTACAAAGATAAGCTTAACAGTGTAAGACACTGTATATGATTACATCATATTCTATTCATAAGTTCGTATTAGTTCGACTTAACATAACAAGGCACAGGCTTTAAGAACTAGTTGAAAAGCATGTGAAAGCACAACATGGAAGGGATAACAATTTTCATAACAATTGCACAAATTCTTCACAAGCCTTTCACATGGTAAATTTCACTTGCATATAAAATTGTCAAGCGAATTAAGTATATAACCCGTATGAAGGCTGTGCGTAGATTTTGCCATTAAGAGCGCGTGAGTTCACGCAAGTATGCGTCTTGTTTTCATCAGGGTAGAAGCAGTGTGCATCCTTCCCTCTTAAACAACAATGGATCGTTATACTAACGTGACTGGGTCGACTTCCTCTCCTTCTTCATTGTACTCGACCACCACGATCTGGCCCATATTGTTTGCCTTTTCTTGTCGGCCCTTCTTCACTCCGCCCATTCCGAAGCGTGCCACGGCAGCCCCCTTTCTTCTGAGGCCCATGAAGGCCTTCAAAGCACCAAAACCCACAAGTATCCCCAAAATGCTGGCAATGCCACCTGGTGATGTTAGGAATTTAAAAACCTTGCCCAGTTTCTTGAAGAAGTTTTTGACTTTAGTCCATATGTTAACTGCGCCACCAAAGTCCAGGCCACTCTCGGTCGGTTTTTCCTCGTTCCAGTCTTTCTTGTCTCTTTCCACGCATTTGAAACCAGTGTCATAACACTAGGAGGGAATAATTAAAGATCTTTCGGCATTCAACAAAATTTGTTGAGCCTTTCTATTCATAGCCGCTATGAAACAGCAAATAGTTCCACCACGTTTATCAGGGTGGAAGACAGACGACAGAATCTGATTTATGTAGCGTTAAATGATGAAATGAGACTTCCCAAAACCTACGTGGCTTTAAAGGAAATGCCATCTTTAACTTCCCATGATGATGCTCTACTTAGATATATCCTTCATACAAGCCAACAAAACAATACATACACTGCAGCCACATCCGGTCGCGCAAACACACGGTGCTGTGGTAGTGAAGGTGACATTGGCGCTGTCGACCATTTTTTGTCGGGAATCAAACAGCTTTACTGTAAATCAAACCGCAAATTGAACGTGTATCATTCAGAATAAATAAAAGCTGCTCTGTTGCAAGAGGTAACAAGCAACTCAAGAAAGATAATTTCATGCGTCTACAAAGAAATAGCAACAATCGTTGGTAAAACGTTTACTACGTTGAGCGCTTTATGTGATGTCTTTACTCTAGCCAGGCCTCAATGAAAGCAATCATCCCACACGAATCAGTAATTCACATTTAATCCGTCGTGTTTTCTTTCTTTCCATGCAGATGAGTTAAGGTACCAACATGATTTCGAGTGCAATTCGGTGTTAATAAGCACGAGTGCTCGGGCACATGCAATTGTGTAGTCTTTAAAAAATTGACTAATGCATATTTACACCAGTTGCGCGAGAAACCATGTAATTTTTTTCTAAAAATTTACATGAAAAGGGCATCACAGATAGTCAAGACAGATGAAGTTTTGACGGCACGCGCTATTCGTATTTTGCGCTCGTGTTACAACTTTGCGCTCGCGTTAAATGAAGAATGCAATCATTTTCAGCCCATTAGAAGCGCGTAATTTTCTCATTTATATTATTACACAGGTAACCCATTATTCAGTCACTGCTCCAACTTACCGACACAGTAGTTATTTCCCCCTTTCATGTTATAGGCGTGGACATCAAAGGAGAACAAGTGTGTTTTCTGAGGGTTTATAGATAAAGATTTCTCCCTGAACTTTCCTACTGCGCCAGAGCATTCTGATATCACGACCTACATAAAGGAGAATATAGTTATCAAGTCGATGGTCCAGACTTTAAAATAGACGTAAATCGAAGTTAGAAAGCAATTAGAGTTTTAAATTAGACATTCAAAAGTATTTTGTTTCCCGACTTACAAAATTCTTCGATATTATAACAATGATAGGTACGTACGAGTTATTTCTAAATTTTAGTATGAAGTGTCTAGAATGAAAAAACAAATCTTTTCACTTGTATATAACAACCAACGAAGCTGAAAAATTAAATAGAGCATGAACATTTACAAATTGATTTAAAATCTTCATAATTCTTGCAGAGAAATAGTGTATAAAAAAAAAAACAGAAAAAAATTTTCCTTTGTGATTCAGTTTATGAACATTTCAATTTACATTATCGAGCTCTCATAACTGAGAAAACTACCAGCCAGGCGCATTAAAAATCTACTGAGCTGATTTAAACAGTTCGAAAGGAGTGTTGATCACAATAGCAAACAGTATTGATCTTACTAACAGCGAAATCAGCCGTAACATAACCAGTGTTTTGAACCACAACAAACAAACGACCATCTTTTGACATCGCTTCAAAGTCCTGAGCGTACGCCTTCAGTATCTTACCAGAGGCCCTGAAAAAGTGGAATCAGTTGTTTTAAGTGTATTAAATTTCACTTTCCAAGACCCCTTATTGAATGAGTGCAGCAAAAGAAAACTATGAATTGAAAAGGCCTAGTCTACATAGGCGTAGCTAGAGGGAGGGGGAGGGGGAGGGGGAGGGGGGAGGGGGGTCCTGGGCCGCCAATGATGACCCTTTGGTAAGCCTTTTTTTCTGTCACATTACGTAAAACACAGCATAGAGATGGACATGAAAATCTGGTGAGTATTCCCTGTTTGACACAGTGTGACCCCCCCCCCTTTGAAAAATCCTGGCTACGCCCTGGTCTACGGATCATGAAAATTGTTTTTCGAGTGCCAGGGTCTCCGAGAAAATTTCCCATGTCGTTCCCATGGCTCGGCGAGAAGAGGAAAACTTGGCATCGGGTTTCTCAGTCTCAGTTGCTTAGCACCATGACGTAACTTCGAGCGCATTTCTCTGATGCGTCCATCTGCTTTGAAAAATTTCCTGTAGTTTTCACGAACTTTTGCGACATGAACTGATTCTGCGATTGATTGTACGAACCTGTTGTATATGAGAAGGATGTCATCTGCACTGATTTGAAGCGTCACCATACTCGTCATACCTTCGTCAATCTCATACGTCAGCATGAACTGCTGTTCTTCGTCCTTTATTGGACGCTTCTTGACGCCAACCAACTTACCAAACTTCTCGGGAAAATAATATGGTGTCTTGCCTGAGGCTCGACGACGCTAACAATAACAAGAACAAAAAATTCACAAAATATACCACTAGTACACCAAGATCTCCTGTGCACAGCCCTTATTAGCCTAAACTGATGTTTTGTTAAGCGTCGCAAAACATTATTACGCACGTCGCCACTTACCTGGTCTTGTTCAAAATAATCTTTTGGCTGATTGTTGAGACATCTAAGATGCAAATTGTAAAACAGTGATGTTAGCGTCAATTAAAGTCTTTATCTGAGACTCTCGTGGACATTACCGTCATTGTCCCAAATAATTTCGAAGATGGGAAATCTGGGTAACTTATGCACCTTTTTATTTGTTCTGCACAGCATTATCCAGTCGGTGGATAAGCTGTTTTTCAACAATAACGTAAGGAGCTAACCATCCCTGATCAGCCAGAAATTGCCAGTCCAACCTCTACTCCTTCCGATAATTCTCTCTAATCGTTGCTCTACCCCAGTACCCTCCTTTAACCTTCACACTCAAACATCAGTAAGCATATTCTTCATCCTGTTCACTATACATTTCCTAAGTTTCTGGCAAGGAGAATTTGTTTAGCAATCGAGGGCTTCTTCAGCTGGTGATCGTTTCCTTTATTCCCGCGACCTCCGCTAATGCGTGCATGGTTCAAGGGTGATATTGCAAGGGGGAAGTTAGATGCTAGTATGCGAGTCACTTGTAGGGGTCAGATGGTTGAAGAACGTCAATAAACACCTCATTTTTTTAATCGACAGTAAACATGTTAATAACCCGTTAGTACCGCACTTACGCGCCCTTTTTCTGTTGGCAGCCAGCAGGTCGTTGATTTCTAAATGCTGTGTAAGTGACACCAATTTTATCACATTCATGAGGTCCGCTCGGTTTGTAGTTCACTTCATGTTTGTCTATTATCATGTAATCCGCAGGTCCGTCCTGCATAAAGAAATAAGTATTGATTAGTGATATAATTCCGTCTGTATGAGACTTATTTAATGTCCGTTGTGACATATCAGCACAGCTTCATTACAACGTCAACGTGTGCGAAGACATAAGCTGAAAACGCCATGAAACCTGCAAAAGAAAGATGGCAGTGTTCTCATTTCAGTCTTGCAAGACTTTTAATCGAAGCCCACGAGAAAATTGGATTTACGACTAAGCGCAAACTGATTGACTGAGTAAGATGAATCGCGATCACAACTCAACGATCAAACACAGCTGAGTGAATCTGTAATCAGTAGGATTAGCGTTCATTTTTGCGTGAGTGTTTTTCATGTTGCTTTAAAAGGAGGTTCTCGTGTAGATTCTTTCTGTCCTTCTGACTCGAATGTCAGTGACGTAGATCCCTATAAACCATCGGTAAGGTGGAGCACTGTCACCAGTCTGGTTTAAAAACTGAAGCACACCAAGGGACGCGTGCTGCGCGTGCGTGGAACTACCAGACCGATCAGCTGCACATGCACAACTCGTGACCGCTGATAATCTTGTATAGTTCGAGGATGCATTGTCATAAACCAAACAGAGTAAGCTAAGTAAATTATTGGTAAATACAAAGCAATTTGGAGAAAAATAGATGCGTAATTCCCTACCCTTAACTGTGGATGCATCTTAGGGTCTATCTTAGCAGTGACAAACGGAATTAGGAGGAACTTCTCTGTCAAGGTTGGAAACTGTCTGTGGGACTGGAACTCGCCAATATAGCTTGCAAGAAGCTGTAAGGAATACCAGATAAGGTATTATTATTCGATATTTCAAAGGTCAATCAACTTGTTTTCTTAGTTATAAAAGAAGGAACTTTAAATTCTATTTCATGCGAGCCTGCTATGTAAATGACCAAGCTGAAAACTGCATTTCAGCTGACTAAAAAGACTCACATAATCAAAATGTCTTAACTTGACGTGACAGTTTTAATGTCACGCAATATACTTACCCTGCCATATTTTCCCCTTCCCCTCCGTACATGTGGCCCTATAACAATCTCCCCACCAGGGACCCACTTAGGTTTTGTCACATTCCCTTTCTTTGTGGTTACTTGATCAAAAGTTTTCACGTGAATACCGAATTCCATTTCCCATCGTCCTAACTCGTTCACTGTGTACCTGCAACAGAAAAGGCACGTTACATTTTACAACCACTGTAATGTTTACGATTACTGCCAGACCGTGGCTAAGATTTCTTACATTTGGGAGTAGAAGGGAGGGAGGTAACAGTAACAAATTCCCCTGCACCTTTGCATCATTCCCAACTGAATCTCTACCAATTAGATCTAAAATTAAAATTTCTTTTAATTTAAATATTTGAAGCTTTCAAACCTAATGAACTCTATGTATTGCTGTGATTTCCTGCCTTAACCCTTTAAGTAAAAAGACAGAATCTCTTCTTACAGTATCATTACAATATCAAGCAGACAAATAATGACAGTAAAGAAAAATATGGATTAAGGGATTATTGGTTAATCCGATACCAAATTTTCTGTACTAACACCATAAGAATTGTAAGGCAGACAGTAAGGAGAATTACTAATGAGATCTAGGAGTAAACATGGTGAAAGGGTTGAAAGTGATTGACAAGATAGGCAGTGATAAATTTACAAACTTCAAACATAAAACATTTCAATATTTCTCCAGAGAAAAATTAATTTTGATTTTACTTAACTATTTAAAATGTTTTCATAAAGGCCAAGACAGTTCTTTAGAATTTGCTATTAGTCCATGCAGCCCTTGTTCTAACCAATCAGAACAGAGATGTTTCAGTTTTCCCATGTGAAATTCTGGATGCATTTCCTGTTGTCTGTTTTTAGTTACATTTAGTTCATTATGCATGCATGTTGACAATGATTGATGCTGAACATACCACAGGTCGTCATATTTCATACAATGAGCTGCGGCTTGAGCCTTAGCAAAAAGTTTACAGGTCAGACCTGCTCGACTGAATGGTGTTGAGTCTGAAAAAGAGCCACGCCACTTGTCTTGTTCCTTACACCAACAGCAAAATCCCTTTATTAAAAAAAGAGAGAGAGTATAGATAATTTTGATGATTTTCTCTTAAGTAACCAAAGCAAAGAACACTGGTTGTATGCATATTTTGTTATTGTTGTTGTTGTTAATATGTATACAGACCTGACTATCCCAGATCTTGTTTCCATTTGCATCTCTGTCAAAGCCACACGTTGATTCATCACTCTCTGATTCCCACATGTCATCGCAAAGATTGCGTGACCCAGACACCCAACCACCATTATCACTCACTTTGACCTTTTCCTCAGGCTTATTATTCACCATCTACCATGGAACAGTAAAATTGATTAAATAATTAGAAAATGACTTGTACTAACGGTGCACTGAACTTTGAATCCTTTGGTTTTGTGTAAAAGCTTCTCCCTCCACCCCCCTTCCTCCTTATTCCCTCAATAAACAATTCAAGCCCAAACAAAAGCTAATGCATCTCCTCGGTTTAGACATTTATCTACTACTTACCCCTCTGTAGTAATAAGGATATGTTAGATGTACTGGTGTCTTAGCCAGGGTTATAATAAATGGGTTGTACAGACGAGCCTGCTCTCTTTCAACCTCATCATAAACTTTGCTTACGTTTGATACAGTCTTAAGCATCTCAGTGCCGTTCTGAGGAAAAAGAAGAAAATTCTACCATGTTTCATAGAGGAAACCTTTTAATCCAAATTCACTTATAAACAATCTTCTATCAACAACACATTTCTCACATAGCTATGGTTTTGTTTGTAGTTTCTACCTCAGAGATATTTATAACGAGGCGATCTGGGAAAAGTCAGTTACAAATAAATTTTGATTTTGGAGATCGAGATAGATAATTTATTTTTCCTGGAATATAATGTGCTAAAAATGGATTGATCTCAGTAAATAGTTAAAATTTCAGGCTATTATATTATAAACATTAGCCCGGTACCCTTCGTCTTCAATCCCATAGATGAACAATTATTCCATTTTATGAACTTAAAAAGCCATACTTAAAAGCATCAAAACTCGATCATGAAAACATGTTAAAATCTCTTTCGATCGTCAAACAAGAGTGGAAAGTTCACAACACTGACAAGAAATGATGCGTTTTTTATACTTGCGAAAGGAAAGCTATATTTTAAAGTTCCACCAAACAATTTCGTCTTTTTGCTAAAAACTACAACCTCCTTTTTTCTACGATAAATTTATTTCAAAGCGTAATCATAACATTCTAATTCTAATCGTATTGAGCTAACAACTTGTAACGTCTCGTACTACTTGGAGTACTTACAGGTAATCCAAAGAGTTCTTACCTGTCCGCTTCGAACTGACATGGTAACAATAAGCTTTTTCTCGCACGCCTTTTCGTATACAACACTCATCGGGTCATCTCCGCCGCCAGTGTTTTCACAAATAGTTATGCTACTTTTTGCGATCAAATCGCTTCGGGAGGGCAGTGAACTTGATAAAAGCAAGAAAACTGTAAATATTCTCATTGTTCTACATAATTAAGTTCATGTTTGTGCCTACTTGATTCCCTAAGTACTAACGATCGATAAATAAATAAAATAAAGTAATCCGTTAAAGTTAACTGAAATTTTACTCGTGATTTAAAACCGTGCGTGTTTGCGCGTGCACTTGTAAAGCAGCAGCTGTCATTATCCATCGCGGGCGACTACGAAACTGAACTTACAAAAAGTTTCAAGCCCTCACAAGCTCTTTTTGAACTATGATTTCAATAGATTTATCATCACGAAAATAGTTTAGAAAATAATAAAGACCGTTAAAAGCGCAACTCATTTTTCAAATCATTGCCCAAACGGCTCTCAAACAAAGGGGAACAACGAAAGTTCAGATCTTGCCGTTTGCCCTTCGCGCAAACGCTTTTGTTTTCTCATTCACGACCGTAGTGACAACCCAATTTGGAGAATGATTGATAAGATTTCGTTGATGTCACCTTACCGGAGGTATTCGGTATTTTAATGAAAAGTTCTCAAAGACATGCCAGTTTTTTTCCGGTCGTAATACGAATCCTTTATAAAAGTAAATGATAAAGAACCACGATAAAAATTTCAATTACATGGTGTCTTCATATCAAAAATTAAGTTTCCGTCGCAAAATTAAATGTTTCAGGGAGAAAAAATATGGCAAGTTTTAAGAAACAAATAAACGAAATTCGACTGCCAAAATATTTAGCTCTATACATCTGATCGCGGTATGAGCGCTTAAAGCCGTTTTTAAAAAGCGTTGACCCTAACGACTATTTACACAAACTAAATTATAGATTTCAGAGGAAGACCGCTAAATTGAGATTAGATAAACTTCTTCTGATTTTTTTATTCCCTTCACTACACTTTAGTCGATATTGACAGTCATCTGAGACATGCAAGATATTAATAGTCATCTGAGACATGCAAAACTTTTCATCTGTCGCTTTAGGTTAAATATTGCCTGATCTTGAATATCGAAAAAAATTAAAATTTCCTGCAATGTTTATCGTCAAAACTTTATCTTTTAAAACATACATATTTTGCACCTATTGAGCCTTCGGTTGGGGAAATAAGCTCCTTTAAAAAAACACACACTCGCGCGGGGACTTGGGCCTATATCATAAGATTGTGGCATTTTTAATCAGCTCGTGCTTACTGAATTTGTGCGAAATTCGTTTGGCCAGCGCTGAGAGCAAAGTGATCAATTGAGTCAATCTTTCTACCTTGGTGCATTTGATAAGGGAACAATCGAAAAATGAATCCAACGCTAAGTTCTTCGATAGGTTTTGATAACGAGCAGGAAACGTTTCACGTCATTAAATAACTGTCACGTGCAATGGCTTGGCCCACCTGCTTCAATCAATTCTCTAGCTATTGAACGGAACTCCTCAACAAAAACTACTGCAAGCTATTCTTCTGAATCTCACTGCCAGGAAATAGAGCAAGGTTTTTCAATCACTAGTTTGAAACGCCGCTTTGAATTCAAAACTACAAACCCTCAGGTATCCAATTGGGGAAAGTGGACTTCATCGCGCAGAGTCTCTCAATTCACGCGAACCAACACTAATATAAATTAACACTTGATAAAACAACAAACATATGCTTCTTCAAAGCTAAATCATCGCTTCAGGAGTGCAAGAGCACGGAGACAGCGTGAAAACTTACACTTCACCAGCAGCAGTTTACTGATCAATTGTGCTGGATAAATGGCGAGTCAGGAGAGGTCCGAAAAGACCATTCTCATTGTTGGAGTTGTTTTCGGTGTGTTGGCTTTGTGTGTTCTTACTTTAATACTCTGCTGTCTTTACTGGCGACGCCAGCTGCAAAAAGATAGAGCGAGAGGAAATTCAAAACTGGGTTATAGCAGTGAATTTGACAAAACCTCGTCGGCTGGAGCTACCTCACAGATTGACGTTTGAACTGGAAACCTTAAGCCGGGTTTAATGCATTTGAAACATTTCTTTCAGTGTCGTTGCCGCTGGAAACGAAACTAGAATTGTAGCAAACGAGTCAACCATAATATTGATGATTTAGTGCTGCTAAATTTCATTTATTTGAAATTGAATGGATGAGTTTTTTTTTTGAGGTCTTTCTCAAGCGGATGGCACTACTGATGAATTTATCCGCCGCATTTTCCAGCAGTTGGTAACAAAATATCATATGCGTTTTTTTTTTCTCTTTTATAAATGCGACATATAAAATAGAATGTCTGTAAAACCCTCCAAATTAGCATCTTTTGTCGGTAATCTTAAATAATTAATTTTTAGAAGTATATAAACGCTAATTTACTAATCTCGTTTTGTCGCAAGGTGCTTGAAGGTGTCTTGAGAACTAAGATAAAACGCACAAAAAAATCGTTATTAGTTTTGAATCCATTTCTTGTCTGGAATTCAAAACTTTGAGTTTTTTCTAATGAGACATTTTATCCAGGATTCGCAGATGAGTACATACAAGGGTAATTTTAATCTTCTCTCTCCTCAGTCGCTCATAATTTATACTTACTACAAATTTTGGTGGCTGGTATGGCTCTTTAATTTCTCATAACAAGTTAAACTGAAAATAACATACCGAACTCGCCACGTCGACCAATTATTCAAATCTGTCAAATTCTGAAAATTTTTAAAAGATCAGCTATGAAAAGCATCTTACGACAATTCGTTTGTTTGTTTACGAACGTCGCGATCATCACGTAAACGCAGTGATTAAATGCCACATTTATTAGTTTAATCGCAGCTTTTCGTAATGTGTTTGTTGCAAATGGGGGCAGTACTTAACCGCGCAGCCCAGAAATTAGAAAAAAAAAGGAAAAAAAATTTGAAAAGTTTAAAAGCCAAGAACATAATTTTTATTCTTTCTTTTCCACACAAAGTACACACATAAACCAACGTGACAACTCTGTCACAGAATTGTGACATTTAATACGCTGAACTCCGACAGAAAATGGTAAAATGGAATGACTATTATTAAAAAAGTAAACGGAAGTAAAGAGTTGAAATGAAAAAAGGATTTGATAAACAAAAGCGGAGCATTTCCGGACAGAGAGAACGATGAACTACGTCTCTTTCTATTCCTTTTGATCAACACTGCTCTGTAACTACTTTGGAGAAGTCACTTAAATCGTAATATTGTTTAGTTTTTTTTTTTTTCAACATTTTTTACATTCAGGCCAATGATGAAGTTTTCACATTCAACATTGCTACCGAACATCGCAGGTACGTTTTTCACCTTTTCATGTTTTAAGTCTGAGGAAGACAACAAAGAAAAATCATGATTACCATCAAGTAAGAGGCAAATGTTTCATCTTCTTGATGTTATTGTGAATTTCACTTGCTGAAGCTCTTGTGAAAATAATTTAGAGCCCACAAATTACAGAAATACAACAACTGAAGTACACTCGACCGATTATTCACTGTTATTTTAATTTGAAAAACAATGTACCAGACCTAAATGTACCAAACCTAAAAAACAATCATAACAAATCAAGATGCAATCTGATAATAATCCATTAATTTAAATAATTTAATCAGAGGCATCGTGGAAAGAAAAGAGGACTGCGATAACTAATAATCTCGGCACCAAGCATTACATAAATTTATCAGATGCCTGCAGCTGATTTGGATTCTTCATAATCGTTTTCGCTCTGCATGTGCACCGATGTATTGAGGCTTTAAAACGAGTTCTTTCTTGAACATTTTCTTTGAGGATATTCGGCAAAAATAAAAAAAAAAAAAAAAAAACGGCCTCGCTTTGATGCTGCCGACAAACATGGTCAAGTTTCGCACAAACAGAAGTGAAAAGTCAGTTGGTCACGTTGGCCCCTGAAAACTGATCATCTCTCGGAGCAGATAATTCCTGAGGACAAATATACTGGCCTACCTTTTATCCAAATAGAGACTTGTGTCAATTATCTATTAAATGTTTTGTCACTGAGTGTTTGGTACAGCATCTACGAAATAGATAGACGTTTGGATAGATAGATAGACGTTTATTAAGAATACCTTAATAGCAGCTGGAAGCTGAATTACAAAGGTGTACAAATTATATAATAGAACTATACAATAAAATCAAACCTAAAAGGGAACTAATTTACATATGGGCCCATATACAATTGTAATAGATGTCAATTAAAATGTCTTGCGCTTGCTGGAATGAAAGTATCTCTGAACCGATTTGTTTTGAAGGAAACTCTAAATGGTCTGCGTCGTCGTAACTCCATAAGTTGATCTCGGTTGTCGAAAGGCAGTAAGTGGTACAAACAATCCAAGGGATTGGAGACGATGTTGTTAAAGAATTTTAAGCAAAGGTCTTCCTCCGATCCCTTAGGGTTTTCAGCTCTGCCATCTGAAGCACTTCTCTATAATGAGTATCATAACCGTATATAATTTTCAAGGCTCTCTTTTGGACACGCTCTAAACTTAAGCTCAAATAATCAGGGGAGACTATAATGGTAGACCTGACATCCATAAAGTAAGACGGATTGAATGCAAGCAACATAAAAAATTCACTAATTCTGGTGATGGTACCTTGGCTCGCTTTAACTGAGTTAAAAAGTAAAGGCGCTTAGCGGCCTTTTAATCATCTCAGTAACGTGAGTGTTCCACTTGAGGTTGTCTTGAAAATACACACCCAGTAATTTCACGACACTAACGGCGCTAACCTTAGAGCCATTAATTTCTATGAGATCGTAGGAAGGAGGGGAGCGCACGAAGGAAACTCTTAGCTCATTACATTTTTTCGGATGAAGTTGAAACGAGTTAAGTGTTGACCAGGTAGCTACTTCGTTTATCATAGACTGAGCATTGCTAGGACCACCCTTGCTTATGATTTCATACACTGTCGTGTCATCTACATATTTTATACAATCACTGGCTGATGGTACTTTCAAATCATTTATCATAACCAAGAATAGCCACGGTCCCAATTTTGTTCCCTGCGGTACTCCTGCTCGGACCGATCCCCACTCTGAGAGACAATCATGTGCAAGTTTGACCCTTTGTTTCCTATCTTTAAGAAAGGCTATTATCCAATTAATGATGTAAGGGTTGATATTGTAGGTCGAGAGTTTCGATAGCAAAAGGCTGTGATCTATCAGATCGAAGGCTTTTCTATAGTCCAACGCAAAGATCCGCACGGTGTTCCCCGTTCCGTCTGTTGCTTGCGCCCAATTGTGCATCAGGTTTATCAATGCATGCGCAGTGGAGGATCCTGGAATACACCCAAATTGATCGGGTTCCAAGCGTTTCAGAAGTGCTGGTTTCACATGTTCATGGACGACGTAGTGCTCGGCAATTTTGGACAACGTTGGTGTCAGTGAAATAGGTCTCAAATCTTTCGCCGCATCCTCAACTATCTTTGTTTTGGGAAGAGGGGTGATGTTTGCACATTTCCAAATGTCCGGTAAAGTCCCTTGACTAATCGAGGAATTGATGATACAACGAAGAGGTTGAGCGAGCTCAGGAGCGAAGTCACGCAAGACCCAGTTTGGGATATTATCTGGGCCCCCAGCTTTGGAGGAGCTGACCGTACTAAGGCATTTGAAGGTAGCTTCCAGTGAAATCATGGGAGTTTTAAAACCCTCAGTGCTCACAGTTTCGATATTATCTAAAAGTGGGTCAAACGAAGCTTGAGGTTCTAGCAGAGCTGTGTTGATTTCATTAGCCAAGATCTTAAGGTTGATTGAGGTAGCTGGTTTACTTGCTAGGAGCTGATTTGCGACACTTGTAGATGTTTTGTTCATTCCACATAACCGCCTACATTCGGACCACCACATTTTAGGATTGTTTTCGGTCAAAACGCTGACTTTAGTGTTGTAATAAGAGCGTTTGCAGAGCTTCCGTTCCCTGTTTACTTTGTTCCGGTAGTAGTGGAACAATGGTTTGTTGTCTTGGTAATATGCTCTTTGACGGTGTGCTATAAGTGCCTTGAGTTTGGGTGAAATCCATGGTGCGTCGTTTCGGTGGAACTTAACTCGCTTTTTGGGAAGGATAGAATCTAACCCTATGTGAATTAGGTCACTGAAGTGAGCATACTGTTCTTGGACGCTATCTATAGTGTCGATTAATGACCAGTCGACCCCGTCATATAACGACCAAAAGCCTGTTTGGACTCAGCGTTAACAGCACGTGTAGTAACCGTTCTGTTTGCAGGAATATTGGCCTTCGATCTAATTTTTGGAAACAAACCAACAGTACAATGATCGGATAGTCCGAAGGGCGGGAATGGAGAAGGTTTCTCGTAGTGTTCTGTAAGATTAGTTAGCACTTTGTCGAGTGTACGATCCCCTCTTGTTGGAAAGTGGACGACTTGCGTGAGGCGGAACTGCTTAATAACTGGTGAAACATTTGCCCTGTTCCAGTCGCCAGCGAGAATTATACCTGCGCCAGGGATATCACTCTCTATCCTAGAGAGAGAATCCATCATGTAATCAAGGAGGGGTTCATCTTTGGCAGGCGGTGGAGGATGGTATACTGTACCAATGATAAGGCAGCTATAACCCCGGGGCAATCGGTTGGGCGTGATTTTGGCCCACAAAACCTCAGGGCCCTCGGGGTCAGGAAACTCATAGTCCCGTAGAATTGAGAATTTGATGGAATCTTTTACATATAGAGCCACACCCCCCATGTAGCTTGTGGGTCCTATCTTTGCGTATGATGTTGTAGCCACTAATGTCAACTACGCTGTCATCAATAGAATCTTTCAGCCATGTCTCCGTTATACAACAAAGATCAAACTCGTGGGTGTTCAAAAAAAATACGAAGTTCGTCTTTTTGGTGCCAAACTCATTACATTAGACACAGCTATTGGCGGTACGAACTGCAAGGTGTTTTTCCTGGCGTCGATGTTTCTCTTAGGCTTGATAATAGCCAGATTATTGAAATTGACGGCTCTTTTTCTGTGTAACGGCTGGAGGAAACACGCGTAGTTACTCTCACGGGAATTGTTGAAAGTCTCGGTAAAGCGTGATTATTGAACCGTAAAGATTCATTCAAGATGGAAGAGTTATAGCAATTAACAGTTCTTGGTCTTGTGTAACTACTGGAGATGGCGCGTGTGGTTGTTCTCACGGGAATTACTGAAAGCCCCGGTAAGATGTGATTGTTCGACTGTGAATAATTATTCAAGGTTGAAAATTCATTCGTTTCTGAAGAATATTTGCTTCGGCCTGTATTTAATTGTGTTTTAGTAAGTCTTCCGGACCGTTTCCCTCGGTACTTAAAAAATTCCATCCGCTCGAATGTTCTTAAATAAAACTGACCGTCTCTCCTGAAGGCTGTAATTTTTCCGGAGCGACACCAGTTCGCGCCGAGAGTACTGTAGGGTCGTTGTTTGGCGAATTGGAGAATCAAGCTGCCGAATTAAATCTCTAGTGGCTCTCTGCCGGCTACCAATGGCGATAATAGATTGAGCAGGACCGGGGTTGGTCGAAATATCAACGTATACCGTGATGTCCAATGGAGGGTCGTGGCCAGGGATGACTAAGGAGACAAACCCGTGTTTAGTGTGCTTCTGTATTGGAACTCTTGATCGATGAAAACCATCTTTGACGATACAAGTGCATTTCTTCTTGAGTTGAACAGCAGTGTGCAGGGGTTCCCACCTTGATTTAAAGGTAGCCTCGAAGGATAATAAATGGTTTAGAAATGCAGCGCTTAAACAGGATAGAATAGTGATAGAAACTAGAGCTACTCTAAACGTGGCCGCCATGATTGGCGCCGATATGCTAATGAGCCCAAATGAAAAGCTTGCCGTCAAAACGTTGACTGCTTGGGGTGACGAATATTCAGTCAAATGTTCTCCCATCTTAAGAGGATTACCACATTAAAGGAGACTCATCATATTGCACCTACGATGCAGAAAATGGCGGACATCACCAAAAAATTCCCAGTTTTTGGTGACGTGACGCGTTTACGTCAATATTTGATGGTTAAAATGGATAATGTAAAATAAGAGACCGTTAGTAAAAGACCTGGAAACTAAAAGAATAATGTAATTAATGATAATAGTAGTAATAATAATAATAATAATAATAATAATAATAAAAGTAATAAAGGAAGAAAAAACACTCAACACTGTCCATTAACAACGTTGCGGTTTATTAACACTATTTCTTTGGATAAAGTGTAATCTGCATTGTAATTGATTATTTCTTCTTCTTTTTCTGAAGGTTTGGTGCTGAAACTTTCACTTTTCCTGGAATGTAACGCGAAAGATCGTTGTCCTACAAATAGAATGGAAAATGACTAAGTTTTAAAACAATCGTTGAGCACTGTCAGTAGTGGTTTCCATAAAAGTTGTGAAGAGCGACTGAGTGTTTAAATGCAATTCATGTTATCAGTGACTTGAAGTTCAGTAACATCGTCGACTACTTTATCTATTGAAGTATGGCGAGCTTTGAAATTTTTACCTTGAGACTTTTAATCAAATCTTTCTCTAGCTGAGAAGCTTCTTTGGAAAAGAGAAATGAGCTCAACGCCGTCTTGGCAGCTAAGGAAAGAAAAAAACTCTGAAATTCACATAAGGATTTTACAAAGCATAGGACAAGGTGAAATGTATCATTCTAAGGAGCAAATTCTCAATTTTGTGGCCTAAATTTGTAATTAACTTGGATTATAAATTAATTTATAGGATTCCCTGACCGGGTAGATTCAAATCCGAGTTGGCCACGAAAATGCAGAGAAAATTTACAATTGAGCATCAACGGAACATCTATTGAAGAAATTCCGTGTAGCTTTTCGAACCTTTTCCTCGACGAGCTGTTCCTGGTGTAAGTTTTACTTTGAATCTGTCGAGCAAAGAGAGACCAAAAGATAAAAAACACACACATCAGTTATCTGCTTGGGTAAATGCAACAGAAAACAACCTTTATGCATTTCAACCACCGGAGACTTCACGAAACAATGTGTGAAACATCTAGGGTTTATCCCACTTTTCGTAGCTGGTGGGTTAGGGAAGGTCACTATCTTTCCAACTCCTGACAAGAACAGTGTACCTCTGGATAAAGAGAGAATCGCAGGGAGAGTCGGCAAGAGAAGGGCCATCGACCGTCATATTTAATTCAGGAGCATATCAGGAAGCTTTTTCCCTATAAACTATAACTTTTCCACACCTCATTTGACACAAAAAGACAGAGACTCTAGTCAGGGCTGGTCCAGCACACGATCAACTGGAGCTTAAGGCCTCTTGGTAACTCAACGAAAGTTTTGTTTCATGAAGAAAACTGCTGTCTTACTTGTAGTTTTGTACGGCACCGTAGGGAGCACAGACGGGAATTGCAAACAGCAGTAAATCTTCAGAGATTGGACACCCTGTCAGAGAATCAAGCAGTGATACAGCTTCCTGCAAACCAACGAAAAAATTGTGAAATATGGTTAAATATTCTCTACCACGTAAATACATTTGCAATTAACGAACTGGTGACAATTAAGTAAAAAATCAGCTAAACGCAGCAAATTAAAAAGGCTACATAAGCATGACATCGACGGAAATCGACGGAGTTCGAATTTCTCGCAATCATGCTTCACTCAAAATAGTTGCATTGACAGTGATCAAAATATTCTTTTGCGGTTACTCTGCGACGGTGAATCACGAATCACGCTAGTGAGTAAAATCAGAGTTTACTTTTACCGTAAGCTGCTGTGAAACTGTCATGCTTTAATCTATCGTCATCGATTAATAACGGCAGATTATTAATGAAACAGGGAAAGAATGAACCAAATTAAGAGTTTCGATGGTGAGAATCGTTCAGAAAAAGACAATTTCAATAGAAATTATTGCACTGCGTACTTTCGGAGTTACGTCTTCTGCTTCATCATCTGATTCAGCCTGAATGGAAAAAAAAATCAGTTAGTATTAAAGAAAACAAATACTATCTAGGATTTAGTAAAGATCTGTAGATCATCATACGAACGCGTCATTTTTAATCACCAAACAGGGTCTTGTCACTTATCATGTGCGCGTGGCATTTTGTTACGACCTCTGAATGTTAATCTCGCTAAGACTGACAAAGCCATTGACTCTGTGATAAGGTTTGATGAGGTGTGAGGTGTTTAAAAAATACATAGCATAGCCAAGCTGTATACTTACAATGTCCTTTTCTTTCTCAGGTGTGACATAATTCGCACCTGAAAATGGAAAATCTGTTTTACACTTATCACTTTTGAGATTTTACGGTTGATTACGTGAATGATAATCATCATAAAATATTGTTGTACCTTCATCCTTTGAAATTCCCTCTTTGGAGGAATTATCCTCTACACTGTCCGGTTCCAAATTGCTTGCTTCATCAGTGTGTTTATCAGAAGAGTTAACCAAATCGTTCGCCGTCTCTTCACTGTCAATATCGTCTTTCTTTCTATCGCCTCTCTCCTGACTGACGCTTGAATTTTGATTTGTACAGTTTGTTTTGCTGCCTTTGTTTTCGTCCATATTCTGTTTAGGCTGGAAGATATTGTCCTGATCTCGGCTTTTACCGCCTTCTGGTGCACATGGATTATTTTGATTTTGGTATTGGCCTTTGCTTGTCTGGGTTTCCCTTCTCCCCGATTTACCGCTGACTGGCCTGTTGGCGCCACTTCCTTTGCCCGCTTTCTTGTCTTTTTTCCTCTTATCAGCTTTGCTCTCTTTTGAAGGCCCAGCAGACTGAAAGAGGGAAAAAAACCAGCATTTTTTATGAGGGAAATATGCTCATACGTTTGAAGAATTGATTTGCCTATTCCCAAATGCTTGGGAATAGGCAAATTATTTTTAGTCACTTGAGGCCGTACAAAACGCAACAGGCATTTCTGCGAGTCAAGCCTCATTTCGATGCAACTTTGCCAGTCAGCCTCGCTTCGACTCAGACTGGAGAAAATTCAATACTGTCTAACATGCTAAAAACCATTACCGCTAAAATCTCCATTTTCATTTGCCGTTCCTCTTCATCCTGTTCGCCGTACTTCTCTTTGATTTTCTTAAGTTTTGTCTGAAAAGTGAAAAAAGGATATGACTAAATCATTCTAAAAAGGTCTTTTCTACACGGGTAGTTCCTTTGAGTTGTTTTTACATTGCTTCCGTTCTCTGAGATAACAAGAGGGTGCAGCCTTCAAATAATTTATCTTTTATTTAGTAATTTTAGGTCACGCTAGAAAATCAGTCTCTAGCTTCTAGGTCTTTAAATCAAACCATCTTGCTGATTGTTTATTACGCTGTACAGAGTAGTCCATGTAATGATCACTTCCAGCTAGTGACCCTTGACCACTTCCGGTCACATGACGAGTGGCGTGAGCAGCCACTCAGTACTTTCACCCTATGTAATCGTTGACTCATGTAATTTTCCAGTTTTACTTCAAGTCTAAAGTGTAATGTCAAACCACCGTTCATTGACTACCATTCAATGACTTGACAGTCCTCATTTTGTCTGTACTTTAATATGACTTTAATATGACCAGCTAAATGAGAATGAAGTCATTCTAAACACTTGAAAACAAACACATCCACGTTACAATCTACTATTATGCTCGGTCGAAGGAAATGAACCTTAAACGTTCTCTGTAGCGTTAATAATCAGCTAAATGTTTGATTCTACCCACCGACATTGACAGTCTGGCAGTTTTAAAGAAAAGTATACCAAACCTTTTGTCCTCTCTTAGGTGGCTGCTGCTGCTGTTGTTGTTTTTGTTTTTGCTGATGGTTTTGTTCAGATTTCTGTAGAAAATATTTTTAAGTATCAGAAGATATCAGGGACTGTTTCCCAAAATACTTTCAATACACAATGTGGCGTCACGCAGAAACAAATGCCTGAATCACCTATCCGCATAAATAAAACATATAAGCTAATGAAGAAGATTTACAAGGACTAATGTACAACATGACCATTAAAAACAGAAGGCAGACATAACTCTGCGTACCTTGCTCCTCTGCTCACATTCTTCTCCTTGTTCTATTTCTTGCTCTTCCTCGTCATTCTCCTGCAAAAGGCCGTCTTCACCTTGCCTGGCCTTCTTCTTCCGATTCTCTCTGAGATAAATTCAATTACAGTTATTAAAAATCTGTGATGTACCTTGGTCACCCAATTAAAAAAAGAGGCCAGGGTAAGATCAATATTGAGCACAGAACAAAGACTTCAATGTCTCAATGGGAGAAACTAATTTTTCTCTTGTCCGAAATCTTTCCAGCCTACTCTGTATTCTGAGGGTAGCTTGATAGGATCAATATCAGTATCTGGGAAACTGCCCACCTAACCCTCCCCTAACCCAACAACAGTCAAGGTTAATGTTGGGTTAGGGGAGGGGTAGGTGGGCAGTTGCCCAGATACTGATATTGATCCGCTTGTAATCGCATCTTCCCCTTTGAAAGAAACGTGGATACACCCAGACTCAGTTCAAGCAAAAGTTGACTGCACTTTAATTTCATGAGATGGTCGCCGCGTAAATCAGAAGACAAGAGGCTGCACTTGATTCACAGTAGAAGTTAGAGCTCACTGCAGCATGTCACTTAGTAGGAATCAAGATTTACTTGCACAGGATAATGGCTAATTATTACCTCCTCTGTTTCGCCGATAGACGTTGCTTGTTTGTGAGCTGAAAAGAAGCAGTAATGAGGTACATTAGGCCACGTTTCGATCGATCGAGTGCTTTAAAACAGAGACAAAAATAATAACAACGGCCTTTCAAGAAACAGAGTAAGTTCATTCCATTGGCTTGAAGCGCGAGAAAGTGCGAGTGGCCAGGTAACGAGGGTTTTCGTTTTGCATCTGATTGGTTGAGGAATGAGGGCAAGCTTAGTGGACCAATCATAAAGCTATGGAAAGGAAAGCCAATCTAATTCCTGATTACTTTTTTGATACGATTGGCAGTTTCTTGATAAGAAATCACCAAAACTGACATAATAAAACTCAACTGACTATAAGTTACGCTTTCTTGCATTTTGCTCCTTATGACCTCTCAAACTTTCAACATACCTGTTTGCTTTCCTCAGGGGCAACAGTTTCTCCTTCTTCGCTATCTCTTCGGCTGTTGCTTCTACTCGTTCCACGCTGAAGCTGTACTCTATAAAGAAACACAGAAACCCGATAAATTTAGTGATATACAAAAGATGTATACATTGCCATTGAAAATTATTCTACAGGAAATTCAAACAAAACTTACTTTCCCTCCTTCGTAAGCTGTATATCGATGCTTGTATCAGGAAACAAGCTATCTTCCTCATCATCTTCTTCCAGAGTAGCTACCCCTTCGACGGCAGAATTGGGTGGATTTTCTTCCTCACCTTCGTCGCTTGGAATGCTCAGCTCTTCGTCTCCTTCAGCATCCTATATCAAGTTCCAAATGTTATATCATTGGATTGTTACCCGATATATTTGGGTTAAAAAAAATGTATATTGTGTAAACAGTCTGTGTGATGGTGTGAGGCTCTCAAAAGCGAATAAACAAGACAAAAGCAAAACAAAACATGGTTACAGGAAAACTAAGCATCTTTGAAAACCTCTCGGACCTTACCTCAACTAATTCAGTATCTTCAACAGCCCTGACTTTTCTCTCGTTCAAATGATTTTCGATGGACGTTTCATCCAATTTAAACAAAAAACCAAAGCCCATCATAAGGTAACATGGCGGCAAGAAGTTCTTCTTGCCCCTTATCATGAAGCTTCCCGTGGTTAGGTACTCTCCTGAGGGTGCCGTCTTGGATACCTGCGAATGATGTACCCACCAGGCTGAGGTCACAATCCGTGCCTCCCATGCAGCACTGTAGGACACCGCCATGCAACCGGCTTCATTAAGGGTCTTTGGCGGGACGGGCTGACCCGTGGGGTTCTTTATTATAACACTTGTGGCACCATGGAGATCCGCGTGAACGTACACGTCACCTGAGGAGAAAAGATATATGTGATAATGATATATGACACAAAAACACGTAACTGGCGCCAAAACACACAAAGTCAAGAGCTGAAAAATGTACCCACTGCCAACCGGGGAAAATAAGAAACAAGCTAAGAAGCGCTGGGAAGCATGTAAGCGGTCACCAGGCGCACTCTCAAAAACCATGTGACCAGTTTTGACCGCGAGCAAACTCATGACTGGCAACATTCGTAGAAAAAGCTTGGGAGGTTGAATAATTCATAAAACAGTGTTAACATTGGGTGTAAAGTTAGCTACAACACACCTTGTTCTAGATGTCGTTTCACCACAAGTTCATTCTGCTGTTGGTCTCGGCCACCAATTACCAAGTAATTCTCAGAACTGATAAACCAAAGAAACTTCTCAAACCTGATAAAGAAAAAAAATATCTAATTGGCTTCCTAGCAAATATCTATTTATGTTAATGCCTCTTTATCTTCTGTATACATCAAGGTTCGCGCTCATTTATTATCAAATCTATTCTTCTAAAACCTTGTCTGCTTGACAAGAATGATCAAGAAAAACTGCTACAAAGGTGGTTGTATCTTTGAGATTTATACCAGTATGTTTTCCGAGCTTTCTTGATTCTTGTAGTAGTCTCAACTTCTTTCAGGGTTTCCTTCGTTTTTCGCTCCGCTGATTTTAACGCCTGTGATTGAAAACAATTAAATTTGTTAAAGTGATTTGCAAGTTATGCAACCAATAACTTAAGACATAGACCAACTAACCTTCTCCGAAGCATCAATTGTCTTTTGTTCCTTTTTTGAGGAAAATTTTTTCTTATCATAAAAGCTGCAACGATAAGAGTGAGTAGAAGTTCCAATTACTCGGGGTAATATATAGCATAAAACAAATAACGTGTAATATTGTGGTTTGATCTTTCGGATGAGTGTAGTCCTGAGAAGGACTGTTGTCGGTAATGGTGACTGACGTTTCGACAACCTAGGCGGAAGACATCATCAGAGTCAATTGAAAGGTTGTTGTCAGTCGAATGTACTTAGTCCGGCTTGTATAAACTGATTGGTCAGTTTTGCCGTGATGTTATTGGCTGTAAGACTCAAGTGGCGTAAGTCAGTTGTGATTGGTCGGAAACGAAACGTCAGTCACCATTGCCAACAACAGTCCTTCTCAGGACTACACTCACTCGGACGATCAAACTACACTATTACATGTTACCTCCGGGTTCAAACCATTTACTGTAAAACAAATAACGTTTCTAAGACACCATTATCTATGAGCAGCGACTGACATACATTAAGGAATAAAATCATTTTTCCTCCTCCCCCCGCCTCCCACAAAGTTCAAAAAAACACCATTAGTCCTCAACCCACTGGAAGCAACTACATCAGATCTATGACAAAAATCTTTCTAAATCCATCCCTGGTAACCTTTAGCAACGAGGCATGTGCTAAAAGTGTACTAATCAAAAGGACGGTGTTAAGAACATTCAAAAACAAAAGGAAATAATCGCAGTAATAACTTCTTGTACCTTCTTGCATTCGCGTATGCAGACAAAGCCAAGTTGATGTCAATTTTAGTAAATTTAGGACCCTATAAGATGGAGAAAGTGTACTTCAATAAATAAGGAGTGCTGGGAGTTATGGAACTGAGAGAATAATTTTGCAGTTTTTAAGCCTATCAAGAAAGAACATATCTACGCGACGATGAATGTATTAGGAGTAGTGTTTCACACTAAGCATAACGAGTTAACAACCTTCAACTTAAAGGGGGCTATGAAAAAAATTATATAAACAGTAAAGAAAAGCACGAAAGAAGCAATAATAAACCGTTATGAGACAAAGACGACAACGGATGGAAAAGAATAAAACGGATATAAAATTTGGTTGAAATTCTTGGCTACATTTTTCAAGATGCGTCAACCATGACTTGGCTGCTCATCTTCTAAGTGGGAACGTTCGCCTGTACACTTCTGAGTCGTTTATCACTTGTAAACCTCAACACCCTAACATCAGCATTCATATTCTTTATACTGTTCTCTTTACAATTCCTGAGGTGCTGACAGGGAGACTTTTTGTTGATGATGTTAAGTTGATGATCATTTCCCTTATTCTTCTAAGCATAATGTATGATCGAGGGGGGTGATACTGGAAGAAAAAATTCGACGATAGTCGCTCTTGAGGGAGTCAAAAGGTTACAATAGAAACTCCACTGTACAATCACTGACACACCTTTGTTTTTTTCTTCTTTTTATTTTTTGTACTTTCATCATCATCTTCTTCATCTGAACCAGGGTCTGATTCTGAAGAGTCATACGGATTCCTACGTGACGTTGTTGCATAAAGTGTGAAATAAAGAAAAAAAGCGTGTAATTAAAAGAGAGAAAAAGTTCTTGTTGGTCGTTCCCCAAAGATTTAAGCTGCTTCCTTGATTATATTACTTCGCAAGTTGTGCTAGAACTAATGACATTTCAAAACAAGGGTTCCTACAGTGAGACAAGCTTTTTTTGCTCCCATAAACAATAGCTGAGAAAGGGATTTTGGCGCAATGCTAAATGCGCAATGCGCAGGTCGTGACAAAGATGATGTTACACGTACAATTCCCAGAAGATGTTGAGGTGGATAGAACAGAGGTACCCAAAAACAGTGCCAGAATTAATTTTTGGGATGAAGACAGGTTGACTCAACTGTGTTTATTGCAAAAAGACCTGTGGGGCTTACCAAATCAATCAGAACCAATTCCATGAAGCAACTCAAATCTTCAGATCAAAACTACATAGAGAGGAATCAGTTGGCTGTCAATGAGTAACCAGGCCTAGGACTCCCACTCGGGCATTCTAAGTCGCTAGCAATCTAAGCACTTGATTATGGAGCCTACAGAACCATGCTATAATAGAGATATCAGACCTGAGATGCATGCTGATATGATTAGTTTCCAGTTTCAATGCACCAATAGCACAAGCCACTGGGTCCCCTTGTGACTGTGCCTCTTTAACGATGTTGTTGATTTCAGACCAGTCAATCTGGTTTGCGATGGCGCTGTTCACAATCAGGATTGCTTTTTCCACCTATGAAAAAAGAAGACATCTTTAAAAACGCTGCTGTTTTCCACCTTGATGAACACGTTTTGTCTCACGATGTAATCACTTCGGACGTCATGTCATCCCACTTTAAATAAAAATAATTATAACAAAAACAATGTGATGCTAGTCTGGAAGAGCGGTAATAGCTCGTCGAAAAAAAAAAAGGAACCATGAAGAACAGTTCTGAGAAGTAATGGTATTAAACCGCACACACGCCTATAAATCATTTCCTCCGTAATACTATACAGTGTCAGTTAGAACTTATAGATGGATACGAACTGTAGTGCGCCCTGACACATAATGTGATCCTTCGTGACACAATACATCGTTGATATACCTCGTTACTGTTATAGATGTCATCAAGACACAAAACTACCGGGTTTTTTTTAAGGGGGGAAGAGGGAACGGGGTTGGGGGGGGGGAAGGGGAGGGGGGAGGGGGAAGAAGAAGGGGTTAGGGGAGGGGGAAGAGGGTTAGGGGAAGGGGGGGGGGAAGGGGAAAGAGGGTTAGGGGGAGAGGGGAGGGGGAAAGGGGTAGAAGCAGTAGCAAGACAAAAAAAAAGGAAACATCTTGATGAGAAGATATTTTATACAGATAAAAAGTTATGCATTTTTACATACATTTCATAACGGTAATGAGATGAGTAGAATTCGTCGAATTTTGAGTTGGTAATCTTAATAAAGGAAAACTAGGGTCTGTTCTGTTTTGACACCTTTGATGTATTTAGCATTCAATAATAAAGCTTTAGCTAAAAGTTTTAATTGAGGAAAAACAAGCGTCTTGAAAAAAAAATTAAAGTGGATCATCAGTCAACAAAATGGTTACAATCATGATAAACTTACAGTACCTTCTAATTTTTTTTTTCAGATCACTCTTTCAATTAAATATTTAATCTGTCCAGTATATTCTTGCTCTTGATTATGAAAGATTACTTTTAAACAACTGACATGGATTCTGACAAAGCTACTTTGATGCGTCACATGAATTTGAAGTTCAGTTTCAATTGAGAAATATGTTTCGCAGAATCTCAGTGATACCACGTCGAACTTGCCTCATCTTCCAACAGTAGATAATAGGATTTAAGGATGAATTAATATACAACAGTGAAGAAGTATTTATCAAGAATAACCTTAAGGTGGCATTTGGTCCTCGGACGAACACAAACGCGACGAAACTGCAAAAATGGGGCAGGTAACAAAACAAAAACAGAATGAAGACATATGAAGTGCATATGACGGTTTTCCTTTGCTTTGCATCGTTCACTGCCAATTCACCATCTTTTGATACTTGTTGTACTTGTAAAGCTTGAATTTGGTTTGTGTGGCGCAGCACCACTAAGAAAATTTTGCAGTAAACCACAGTTAAAGAAATAAAGCAAAAACCAAGAAAAAAACCGACCACAAGACCCATGTCCACCCAAACGATCCTCAGCATTGAGAGCAAAGCACTAAACACCCATATCAGCACGACACCGGCAACAACACGCCTGTGAGTCACAAGTTCCTGATATCTGAGATGAAGATGAACGGCTAAGAATCTGTCTACACCCACGGCACTAATACTGAAGAATGAAGCATACAGAATCACTCTTCTTATAAAATCTGTACATTTGCGCAGGCTAGACGCCGGTTCGTCTGAGGAGTTCTGCAGCAAAGCCGTAACAAGCTTTTCAACGTAAAGTGGTTGTGCCAGCAAACCAACACTAAGATCAGAAACAGCAAGACTCAACAGTAATGTTCTCAAAGTCGGTGGTAAGGACGAAGATTTCCTCAACACATAAATTGTTAAACTGTTCAACGCTACAGCTGTTAAAGAAAACACGGCGTTTAACACGGAGTTAACGATGAGAGACGAATAAAACTGGTTTTTCGCATCTGCCATCGTAGAACTTCATGAAAATTAAGCTTCAGTCGGGCGTTCTCCCGCTAAAAGAAGTGAAATTGTGCGTTTTACAGACTCCGATCATCAGAGAGGAAACTCTCACTCTTGAAATGCATGAGCCTCTATAAATTCTATTTTATCAGCGTAAGTAAACAAGGTGCGGGTAACTGTCAAGGGCTAATGAATGTAGTGTGTAAAATACTGTCACCTGACACATAGTAGCTAAAAAACGTAATTTCTTCTTTTACTTATTATCGAAATTAGCTTTTGATGCAGTTACCATTGATTTGCAGGTCGGCAACTATTAAAAAAAATTAAAAATAAAAAAAAAAAAACCTTCACTCTCAAATTCGGAACAAAACTGATTTAGTTTTTTATTCCGTGTCATTATTTGGTTGGTTAACGGTCTTTTTCATTTCCTTTTGATGACGCCAGTGTAACTCACAAGTGCTGTCCTCCTTGAAAAGTACGTCAGTGATCCAATAAAAAATGAGAATGAAACGTCATCAAAAGGCATAGATCATCCACACCTTGCAAATATTTCATTTGGTGAAGTGTAATCCCGCCCCCACGTTTCCCCACAAACACATACAAAAAAAATGGGATCCTGACGTTAATATTTTTGTCATTGGGCGAAAGTGACAAGAAAGACGCTCATTTTTTACGATAATACGCACCGGAACTCACCGGAAATCAAGTCTTAATTAATCTTGACCTAAGAGTTTGGCAAACGCATCACTCCTGATCAATGACAAATGTTATTGAATAATTTAAGATTAAAGCCTTTTGGGGGAAAATAAATTTAGCAAATAATTTCAACAAAAAAAGAAGAAAGAGAATTATGAAACGAATATCATTTTTCACATTTTTAAAGAGAAAATCTAACTCCAAATCTGTTTATGTTATTTTCTAGATTGAGTCTGCCCAGCAAAATAGTAACTCACAAACCGAGTTCCAGAAACTTAGATGTAAAATTGATACATGAAGTTTCTTTGAGAAAGTAACTAAAGGGGTGGAACTGGAAGGAAATACTGTGAATGTCAAAATTAAGCTTCAATTCCGGTTGACCCTGTAAGCAGTTGGTTCCTCGTAAGCCGAAGGAGAGAGAACTGGCCTGGCTTGGATAAACTGGATATCAAAACACTAAACAAAACAGAAAGGCACAAAACTTAGATCTTTTCTCTGAGAAATTTTGGAATTTCTTCGCTATTTGTGAAAATAAAGGTACTGGCTCGCTGACGATTGCCTGCAAAGACTACTCCAAGGTAGAAATATGACATGAACAAAAGACATTATCATAGATTATACTCTCCATGATAAAAACGCTTTTTAAAAATGTAAAGACAAACACGGTATTCCCAAAAAAAGATATTCAGAATTTTGGCCAGTGCAGCCTTTCTCATAAAATACAAATAAATGTATTCCATTGTGAATTCTCAAAACTCAATTGTTTTTAAGTGGAAATGGAAAAACCCAACATACGTTGATTATTCAATATCTCCGTGTCGTTCAAATGTCAGTTGGAACTTATGCAAAGATAATTAACTTTGGCTCAAATGACACCCCACGATTATTGAATGCTTATTGTTGATGAAGGCAACAAACTGCGAAAAACAATGGAATAGCTGGCGTCTTGTGGTTAACGGTTTGTTAGAACATGAAACTTGAATGCCAACGCAATATTCAACATATCACTCAAGTGATCAGAGAATTTGAGCTTATATCCGAGTAAAATTTTTTTATCATCAGCACTGCTAAATATTTGTTTTCATCAGTAAGATAGAGGTTGCACTTAAGAAATATTTCGACTTCGGCTTCGAAAAAAATTAAAAAAAAAAAAAGCTGAATTTGCATTGATGCCGACAAACCTCCGTGATATTTCCTCTCCCAATCGTAATAATTTTCCCTCTAAGCCACATATAGTTCCCGCCATTTAATTTAAAGACATAACGCCTCTAAATGTTCCTTCCGCAACTTTGGCGACGAGTACAATTTCATCTCAGCGTGATCAATATCCTGTTTTCTTTTTGAATACCGCCAGCACACGTAGTTAAAGTCAACAACGAGAATTTTGAGAATTTCTTTACCTCGACTACCATACTGTGGTAAACAGATCAAATTCAATTCAAAATAAATTCTCAAGCAAGCGAGATTGCAATCTAAAGTATAACCTGCCTTCCTGGAGCACAGCTAACTCGCTCTCTAAAGTAAAGATTACGGTCTACTTTGGTGGATATCAGTCACAAGCTAAGAACCCGATTCCCTTTCTGGTTTAAATCGTACGGAAAGTTGATCTTGCCACTTCGTAAAGGTTATTTGAACTTATTCATGGCATTCTATCATCATATACGTACACATATACCCGACAAAAAATCGAAAAAACTAGAAGGCAATTTTGTTTTTCCAAAACACTCGTTACATCTGGATATGTAAAATTCCTATTCCAGTTGCGTAACATTAACAACAAAAATTACCAGTCAAGTAATGCAAGATCTCGACCGGCCAAAGGGCTTTTGCCTACCTTGGGGTGAAAATATTTAACTCTTTACCAAAGTAGATCATAACCACAAAAAGCTTTAACCTTTTTAGAAAGAAAATTTTTATAAATATGTTAATTCATAGATCATAAGATGCTATTTTATTATCGAAATGTAAGCTGTTTTTATAATCTACATTTTTTCTTTTTTCTTTGTAACTTGATATTTAATATTCGAGTATGTATGAATGTATGGATGTATGTATGCTTGGAGGTGAATAGCACTTGGTAACCACTTCTGAACCAACCAATCGGCGCGCGTGAAAAGCACTATTCCCCTGTAAGGTATCCATAACAACTAAAAAATTAAAAGCAGATGATTTTAATGGGAAGAGTTCATGCCAAATTTTCCATTCTGTAAACAGATAACAAAGAAACGCACATATCCAAGCTCTATCTCAACTCGCACTCCGTCGATCATTATTATTCTTCTGTTTTTTATTTGTTTTACTCGACTGACCGACTCACTTGGCCTGACCTGTCTGACGACAAAATGTGAAAACCTAACATTATCGCTGTTTTCCATGGATACAAAAGTTTGCGCCCAGAATGTATAATTGTTGGTCAATTTGCTCAATAAAAAGGGAAAGTTCCAATTGTTATAACTTCAATTAATTTAATTTTCATAATATTCACTCAGAACCAAGTTCTAATAGATTTACCTTAAATCAATTTAATTTCATAAAAATTCAGTGAAAAGATCGCTTTTCAATTACGCAGAAACAAGGGCCTGGCTAGACAAAGTCTGCCGATAATTACTTTTTACCTTTTACAGCTTCTTCTAAAACAAAAGAGAGAACGAATTAACCTCAACCGATGTTTTACTCAGTGGTGACACAGAAGATATTTCGTAGTATGCAAATGATAGATCGTCGAATGTGTCTCATTTTCCAGCAATAAATAACTGGGTTGACCGATGAATTAAGAAATAGCAGAGTTGAAGCATACAATTCAAAATCCACAAACGTAATTTTGGGTTCGGGGATAAATGAACCGACAATGAACACACAATAACAGGGCAAATAACAAAACAAAAACACGAGGTATACATAAAATGCACTAATCGCCGACTTCCTCTGCTTTGCAGCGTTTACTGCCATTTCACCTCCTTGTTCTAGTTGTCGCAGTTGAAGATCTAGAATTTGGTTCGTGTGGCGCCGTACGGTAGCATAAATTTTACAATACACAAGTGTTGTGCAAATAAAACAACAACCTAAAACAACAGCGACTGTAATAGTTTCGGCAATTTGGAGAGGGAGAAACTCCGCAAATGACAGCAATGCACTAAGAATCCATACTATTATAACCACAGCAAAAACCCGCTGGGGAGTCACAAGTTCCTGATATCTGAGATGAAGGTGAACGGCAAGGTATCTGTCTATACTCAGAGCCGTAACACCCAAAAACGACGCGTAAGAAAAGATATTGCACAAAGACGAGAAGATGAGAGTAAGAGCATTCGGCTTGTGAAAGTCTTCTTCAGTATTGCAGTTGACCAACTCCACGACAAACAAGGGCTGCACCAGCAAACCAACACAAAGATCAGAAACAGCCAGACTCAACAGCAATGTTTTCAATGTATTTGGCAACTCGGTCGTCTTTCTCATCGCATGGATTGTTAAAACGTTCAACAATATAGCTGTGAATGAAGAGACAGAATTCAATACAGAATTTATGATGCACGACGAAAAGTACAGATTTTCAGCCTCTTCCATTTTGACATTGCGACTCTTTTTTTTTCAACTCGTTGAAGTGAACTTGTACGACAGCTAATGGTGTTTAACATAAATGGAAATTTTTTGTTAAGCTCGGACTATTTCAATGCTTATTCAAGTTCTTGTAAAGGACTTAATGAAGTAATATATGTAAAGTTCAACCACCTGTCAGTCTTGGTGAAAATCGAAGAGAAACGGCGACCTTAGTAAATTGTAAATCGAACAAATTTTGCTTTCTCTCTCTAGCCCCGACCTGAATTTAAAGTTCAGCGCTGTTTTTTTATCGATTCAGATACACAATTAGTTCTTGCTGTCCACCTAGTTGATCGCTGGAAATTGAATTTGCCAAAATCAATAAAAGGCGTAAAATTCTGAAGAAACTGTGGTGCTGCGTCGGTTAGGGGTATTTCATGACAATTTTTTCTTATCAACTTAGTTGACAATGTAATTGGCCACCGTAAAGAGTTTCTTTTGCAAGAATAACAAACTTTGAAAGATAAAAAGCAACGCTGTTAAAACATGACGTTTCGGCGAAAGCATGTCACCATTATCAAATGCAAATAAGAAAAGATTACCGATGATATATAAAGAAAACGAAGGTGTGAGAAATAACATCGAAGTGTGGAGAACAAAATATAGGAATAATTAAGTGAAAGTTTTGCTGGAATGGTGTATAAGCTCTAAGGCCTTAGATGTTTTACAAAATCCCTCGTCGCTGACAAACTTGCGATTCGAATGTGCCATCTGATTCGCATTTCTCAGCAGAGGGATAGGAAATTCACTTTTGTCAGTCTAAAGAATGGGATACACCAAAACTCAGGGGCAATGTTTTTGGAGTTTTCGCTGCCTTAGCATGAAGTTTCCTTATTGCAAGGACTTTGCTTTAAACTGTTAACAGAACATTAAGAATGCGTAGGATAATCGAGAGAGTTAGCATATTAATAATCTTCTTTAACTCACTTTCGGAGCAAATGTTTCTTTATCATAATAAGCAATGTAAAGTATAAAGGGGGTAGGTTTCTAAAGAAACTGTGGTGCTGCGTCGGTGGGAGAGAATAACAAGGTAATTTAGTATTATCAACTGAGTTGGTAAATTGGCCACCGTAAAGAGTTTTAAAGCTGACGTTTCGAGCGTTAGCCCTTAAAGTATTACTAGCATTACTATCTTTACTTTTATAACTAGGACTGTCAACAAAATAGGGTAACCTCCGGGAAAATCGTCCCACGCGAGCAATTTCAAAAGAAACCATGGAAAACTTTATATCACTGTAAATCCTATAAAGTATAGATTCTGACAACTTTTTCCACAGATTTTTTAAAGGCGCGCGCGAGCATTTAAACACAAAACTAACGGTGTTTGCTTTACTGAATTACCAGCCTCCGCTTTACCGTCGACCCCCCCAACAAACTGGACAGTATCATTCTGCAGATAATAAACCATAATAAGCTAACAAGTCTGTAGTGCTTTTCAATATTCTCATTGGTTCCTGAGAAATATATTTTGAAGTTGGACCATAGAAAAATATTTCGGTTGTTGTCACGCTCCGGAACGTCACGAGAGAAATAGTTCGAATTTGGTTCAAGCCTCGCACATCTGTGCGTTCGTATCTGGAGAACATTCAGGCCAATTTTTATGACAATCCCACAGATCTTCATACCCGAGTATTCCGTTTAAGTAGAGGTTACTCCCGTTAGAACAAACCTCGAGATATTGCCCTCCAGAGAATTTCACAGTTTTCGCAACTCATTAAGCATGCATATCAATGCTATTATGCCGCCGACCAATAAAACGCAACATCGAACCCCCAGGCAAGTCTCTGTTTACTCAGGAAGTCTCGCTCAAATAGGGATTGCCGACTGATGACGACAGATCTTAAAACAATATATCGATGTTTTTACGCCACGTCACCGGTTAAGCATGTCATATTTGTGTTCCGCGATGATCGCTTAGTTCATGTAGCCTGTCACCTACGGTAAACTTCACAGAAATTATAACAGAAATTATGTAATTTACTAATTTGCACTAGACACAAATATGGTTTACGTTTTCCGAAGATGAAGGCTTCCTACATCTCACCTCTGCGGAGACGAACGCTATTAACGACAAAAGAGAAATACATGGAATGCTCTATCGCCCAACTTTTTGCATGAACATTTCACACAGTTAGATTCAAGCTTTATGAATGCATTTATTATTCTGAGTATTAAACATAATGTACATCCCGCGAAGACCTCTAATGCTTTTAGAGATAACAGTATAATTGCAATGACAACAACAAACAATGTAATAGTTCATTCTTCTTTGAAGAGTTGAGTTTGGTAGAATACCCTTCCCATCCCTGGGTCAGCATCTTCCTTGAAAAACGTTTGCAGAACGTTAATCTTTCCATTCCGTGACCCTTAAAGAGTCTCTTAGGATATAGTGTTGCAGTAATACTTATACAGAAACCATGGAAAACGAAAAAAAGTTCAAAGTTTCTTCAAATTCTCAGTTGTATAACTTTTGCTTCTAATAAAAAAATGGACCAATCTAATTGTTTCAGAATGCCGTTTCATGGTTTACAGTCATCTCAGTAACAGCTCTATCAGTTCGGTTTTGACGAGCATACATATTTCGCAGTATGGAAAGTATAGATTGTCGAATATCTCTCATCAACAAGCAGTAAAAAACAGGGTTTAACGATGAATTAACATATACCAGGGTGAGAGTATAATGAAAAAAATTATAATACGTGGTATTTAGTTCACGGATAACTAAACCCACACCACGTGTACAGTAATGAGGCAAGTAACACAACAAAAACACGACATACACATAGCATGTGCACAACCCCGACTTCTTTATCCTCGCAATGTACACTGCCATTTCACTATTGTGGACATGAAGGGCTTGAATTCGGTTTGTGTGTCGCTGCGCAGTGGAATAAATTTTACAATAAAAAATGGAAGTACAAATAAAACAAAAACCAAAAATTACGACCAAGATTGGATCACCAATTTGCGACGAGAGAGACATGATTAATGAAAGCGATGCACTAACCACCCATACTACAACAGCCAAAGCAACAACACGTTTGTGTGTCACAAGTTCCTGATATCTAAGATGAAGGTGAATGGCCAGAAATCTTTCGGCACCCAGAGCTGTAACACTCAGAAACGATGCAAACCAAAAGGCACGAGGCAAGAAGAGATCGACAATCTCAAGAACATTCACTTTTTCCAAGGCACGTCCTTCATAGTGGCAAATAACCAGTCGTGCGACATAAATAGGTTGTGCACATAAACCAACGCAGAGATCAGAAACAGCAAGACTTATCAGCAACGTTTTTAAAATCTTTGGCGATGCCGACGACTTCCCCATGCCAATAATTGCCAAAACGTTTAACATTATGGATGTGTAAGAAGAGAACGAGTTAAAGACAACATTAATAATACAATGGATGGAGTCTTGAGCCTGAACCATGATCTTGTTGGATAAGTACCTGACTCGTTGAGATGAGCTTGTATGCGGAGAATGAGTCAATCTCATTTGAAAAGTTAGGCCTGCTGAAATGCTTTATTAAAAGCTCTTGTCGATGACTTATGAATAAGCTAGGGGCAGGTTCCTGCCACCTGTCCTGTATTATTTTTAGAAGACATCGAAAGCACAGAAGGCTACCGCCTTGAGTTGTTTCTAACGGTTTTTTCGTCTCGTTTTCAGTGTTTCAAAGCTGCACACTTCATACCAGGATTGGAATATCACGAATGTGCCCAGAAAAAGGCGCTTAAAATAGGATTAGCAATGTTCGATAAATAGCAAATAACTTTTTCACTTGCAACAATGCAACTTAGGATAGGGAACGCAGCTTTCAAAAAAAAAATTAATTAAGGTTCGTTTAAAAAAAAAAAAATTTAAGGTTCGCTGACATCCTTCTCCGTATTATTACATACTTTGATCTTGTGAGAGACGTTTAACTTATTTATATTGCCTTTCCGAGTTCTGTTCGGGACTGATTAATTAACTAGTTCAGAATGGTGACATCTGTCGGTTTACCTAGATAGAAATGTCCACATGCATTTCACTATATCGTCATTACTGACCCGCAGTGACGGGCCCGATCGAGTTTATTTGTCGCTCCATAGTCCAACACAATTATCGCATACTTATCGAGTGTATTTCCTAAAAATACTGTTCAGAGACTGGTCTAATTTTTCCACATGTTGATCAATTCACATACAACTAAGTGCAATAACGTTATCCTGAGAAAAGAAAAAATTAAAAAAGGAAATGGGAATTAATTAGCATAGAAATTTACGCTGAGGCCACGAAAACACGAAATATTCATAAAATTAAGTCCACAGAAAAATTAGTTCAAACTTCATTAGAATACCAGATGTTTCTTCAGAAATAATTGACGATTCCAAGTTTACAAAGGTCCGTTTTCCATAAGAATGAAAAACACCTCCTTTTCGAACAAAGCATTTTAATCACGCGTAAAAGAAAACCTGTTTCGACAATTGGCTGCTACCGCTCCATTATGATATACGAAAATAAAAGACGAATTGACATTTCAGTATTATATTCTAAACCAAAACTTCTTTTTTTTCTGGTGACAAATAATTTCTTCGCAAAGTAAAACAATCTTCAAAATCGATATTTCAAGGAAACTTAATGCATGCAGCATCCCCACCTCCCCCACCCCTCCCTCCTCTCTGCTTTTTACACAGTTCCGCAAGTCTGGACTAAAACATAGGCATGTCGAGCGTGCCAATGATATTGTTTCTTGTTTTAAGAGGAGGGAGTGAGTTCTTGGTGAAACAACACAACAGAACTTTTCGTTCCGAATTGGATTGCATGTAGCAGCCGATTCACCCTATTTTATTTATTTACTAACCCTTTCACCGCTAAGAGTGAGTACCATCTAATTTCGCTACTAAATCAAATATTCAGGTCATGAGAGAAAAAAAAAAAACAATCTCCGACTAAATAGGCTCATGATTATTAAACAAATTCTCCTTGTACGTATAAGGGTAAACGAATACAGAACATTGGCAAGAAAACACATACTGAACATACTGATGTAAGAGTGTAAAGGGTCACGTTCACTTTATCGTCCACAGAGCGAAGTCACAAATTTTTTTGGGGTGACCCCTTTAGGGCTTTATGACTGCATAATCGCATTCAAAACGGCACTCTTGTGTTAAACAAGATTGACTAATCGCGCGCTCGTAGCCGGTTCAGCTTTTTCCACTACGGACCACGGTCCGCAATTTTTCCTCAAGACCTCAGCCATTATTTTCATGCCGTCCGACTTCCCGCCCAGTAAATAACAACATAAATTTCGGTGCCAAACTCTCCCTCTTTTTTTGCGTACATAGTTACTGGCCAATATGATTTAAGAGAAGCATTTAAAATGTCGCGTTTTCTTGAAGCCAGCCGGGAAGCTAATAGGTCTAACGTGCATCACATCCAGTGGAAAAAAATAAAGTAAACTTGGGTACCCGAAAAAGTAAAGAGTTATTGAGGGTTTTCCGCAAATGCAAGCTGTTCACATCTCATTGCTAAGGAAGCGACGGCGTCTGTGCACGATAAAAGGTAAAAGGTATGGAATTGGTTAATGTGAAATGAATAGATTGCCGTCACGCCCACGGTTTTTCATTTCAAAAAATTTACACTACAATTTAACGTATCGCCGGACTAACAGAAAAAGCCAGAAACGGAAAAAGTTATTTTAAGCACGACCAGAGGATCCGTAGAGCTGAGACAAAAAATGAGTTTAGTTAGCCAGTTAGTTAGTGCGTCAAAGAAATAAGTATTGACATTGTAGTGAAAGATTGTGTCGACGGAAAAAGTTAAGTGGCGCTTAACTCATTCCGCAAGTGCCTACCGATAATTGATTATCACTTGTTGGGTGAAGGCTGAGTACTTCAAAACGCGTAAAATTAACAAATCGCCCTTGTGCTCGCGTTATTGCTTTAAAATTAGGAAACGGTCAAGTTTTAGAAGGGCCCGTTCCATAAGGCCTTGTATAAACTGCACAAAACGAAACATCTCCTTTGTTTAGATCTTACATTATCGAACAATTTTTTTACTTCCTTGACAGTCCTGTTTGTTTAGATATAAGTTCTGGGCCCTAAATCAGAGCCATGTCACAAGAAATCGTACAGATCGGCGATCTTTCCACTCCCTAAAGGATAATTTATTTCTTGCAAAAGAAAATGTCAGAACTGCTTCCGTCTCTCCCAATTTCCCTTTCCCATATGAAAATGTAATTGGAAAATCACAGGGAATCGTTTTCATTTTTTTTTCAGTTATAAGCATTGTTGCCATTAACAAAACGCCGACATAGATTTCACCAACAAGTTCATTAGAGACGCCTCATGAAATTTGATACCCTATCTTTTGGGCATAAAGTAAAATTTACGTTCATATCGGCGGCAACACAAAGGCCAGGGATTCAATGAAGCATGCCTTTAACGTTCTGCTTATGCCTCAAAAGTCAAAACTGATTAAAATGGAACAACTCTCTAATGACTCTCTTTAAATGTTTTTTAGTGTATTTTCTTCATACTTTTTTCCTTAATGATAAGAAAGACCCTTTGCCGACACAAGAGGTATACAACGTAATTGTATGTTAAGTTGAGCATGTAACACCGATCATATTAATTCTTCCATTAATTCCACCAACCAATCAAATAACAGAGACGAAATGTGTCTTGTCTGAGGGTTGTTCGGCTAGACGAGAAATTTGACAGTATTCCACTCTGTCTGAGATTTTGTTTTCGTTGTCATCGAAAATTCATAGGAAAAACGGGGACGCGAAGCTCAATTTCAGGACCAATTTAAATCAGATTTAAATCTCGAATCGAGAGAGCCACGCAAAGTTTTTTTTTTTCGCATACCAACCAGTTTCATATAAGTAACGTTGCCACAAAGGAATGCAATTGTACTACGAATCAAAAAGGTTTTACACGACATGTAATATATTTCATTAGGTCCATTATGTTGTGGTCATTGATGGTATCCAACACCGAAAGAAATCATTTTTCAATCTACAAGGTGTTCTTTTATTACGTCTCCGATTATTGCTGGCTTTAATTATTTTTCTACAAGCGATTACTTTTTTTTCCTTAAAAACATTACGAAAAAAAGCTCTTGTTACTCCATTATTTTATTTTTTACATCACGTATGGCTTTTTTTTTTAATCTTTCTCGGAAAACAAGTTACAAATGTAATACATTACTTTTTAACGAAAACGTACATCGTTCTAATTCTATAAGGTTACCTAACGACAGATGCTATCTACATCTTTCATCTTCAAAATATTATTTTATCAAACTTCCGTTTTTTGTTCACTTTAAGATAGTCTTTTCTAGTTTTCCACCCTAACATTATCAAATCTATGTTAATTTAGAAAGTACTTTGTCCTTCAGTTTTTTTTTTTTTTTTTTTTTTTTTTTTCAATATTGGGTGGAGATCGTGCGTTTCTAAACAAAAACCTTACAGGTTCACTATCAATTCAGTTGTGATGAAAAACAAGTTTTCGCAGTGAGTTCATAATAGCGAGACGAATATGTCTTATCTTCCAAGAGTAGACGACAGGATTTAAGGTCGAATTAAGGTACACCAGTGTTACAGAAAATAAATCAAATGTGCGCATCGACGTATTTTGTTGAGGGATCAGGATACGCGCCACCAACATGCAGTTATGTGGCAAATAACAGATTAAAAGGACCAGAAACACGTAAAATGTACTGAGAGCAAATTTTCTGAGCTTGTCAGCATTCACCGCTATTTTATTGCCTTGGGGTACTTCTTGTCCCCTCTGTGGACGATGCTGCAGTCGGCTTGCAAGGCGCCGTACAGTGAAATAAATCTTACAATACACAGTTGTGCAAAAGATGACACACAGACTGGAAATACACGTCAGAAGGATTAACAACACTATTGTATTCCAGAAAGATAACAAAGCAATCAATGCACCAAACAGCCACAATATTATTACCCCGACCACAACACGCTTGTGAGTTACTAGTTCCTGATATCTGAGATGAAGATGAACAGCTAAAAATCTGTCTACACTCAGAGCCGTGACACCAAGAAACGACGAGATTGCAAATAAACCAGCAGAAAATGTGCACAAGGCCAGTATCCAATTTGTTCGCTTTTGTTGCAAACCTTCAACCAGAAACGCAGTATAGAGAGGCTGTACCATTAATCCAACTCCAAGATCAGACACAGCAAGACTTAACAGTAATGTTTTCAGAGTCTTTGGCAAAGATGAAGTTTTCCTGAGTGCATTGATTGTTAAAATGTTAAGCACTATGGCCGTATAGGATAAACAGCCATTCATAACCGAATTACTCATGTACGCTGGATACATGGGATCTGAGCCTTCTTCCATTTTTCAAGCTAAAGTCTAGGAGAAGAGTGGTAGCCTTGCTGTTGTGTTGAGCGTTTTGGTTTGGCGCCTGTCTCCGCATAGAATGGACGAGTCTGATGTCTACGACGCAGAGCCTTTGTTTAAAAGCGTTATTGTGGCCACTTCCTGTTAAGAGCTGATGAGCTTATGTGTAAATTAAAGCCACCTGCTGGGTGTTCAGCGGGAGGCCGGATTTAAATTGCACGCAATTCTTGTTTTCGGCCCTTTTTGTCGAAAAAAATTCTCTATCGTATTTATTTGCCATCGTTATATTCAGCAAAAAAATACTATTCATTATTTGGATGCAAGACAAATTTGTTAAAACAGAACAACTTTTTCCATTAAGTTTTCAGGTGAGCTTTTAATAGCTCTCTCTCTCTTTGAGCTGTCCATCTCAAAAGTGGATTGAACAGAATTGTAGAGATAAATTAGAGAGGGCGGAGAAAATGATTGGAATTTGGCATCTTATCTCCACGATAACAGAGAAGATCTAAGAAGATCTTCCTTATAAAAATTATAACATCGACGCTGCATCTCTTTAGTAATTTCAAAATGTATGTGAACATTAAAAAATACTTGAAGGCGGTCATTACATACCGTTCATAAAATGCAACGTAGGTTTGTAAAAAAAATGTTAACTGCTTCAATTTGATTGGTTGTAAGACTACAGAGTAAATGTTATTGAAGGGCTCCTCGAGTTGCCCATTCAATCAGTCGTTTGATTGCGATAAAAACGAGAAAATTACTCACCCTGGTGGGGAAAAATGTTGAAGGATATCCTTTAAAACAATTTGATAAAGGCCATTGAAAGGCAAAACAATTTGATAAAGGCCATTGAAAGGCAAAACAATTTGACAAAGGCCATTGAAAGACTTCCAACTTACCAATGGTAGGTTTAACTCCACAAGCTCTGCTCTCAACATGTCTACATCCTAAATGTGTTTGAAGAACAATGTTGCATTAAGTACCAAAATAGCGGCTAAAAGCCCTGCGGGGTTGGAGGCTTATTCATTTTCAAAGCTTCCAAGCAGGGGGCTCATCAAAAAGAGAGAGGGCTCAAAAATTCAAAGTGAGCGTGATTGTCTTTTCGGATCTACGTTTTGATAAATACCGATTACAGTATTCTCTTTGGTTGTAAAACACCTGGAACTATCTAGAACGAATGCTATCGAAGGCTTTTGGATATCACAAGAAAACTTCATGGCAATAAGATTCTCGCCTATAAAATAACTATACATCTCTCAGAACAGTAAACGATGAATCAGTTTTGATCGACAAAAAACGCACGCTGCATTTAGTGATATTAAAAAATCGTAGTTTTCACGATAGATTTGCATATTTTGTTTGACGTTAAGTCGATGAGGAAGTATCAACTTATTTTAAGGCTAGTAAGAGGGGCGATTAGCTTAACTCCACAAGTTCAGCTTTCAACAAATCTAGATTCTAAATGCATTTGAAGCACAAAGTTATGTTAAGTACCGCATTGGATGTAAAAACCCCCTGGGGCTTAGAAATCTCCAGGGCTTCTAAACTGGAGGGCTCATTAAGGAGAGGAGCGGAGGGGAAGGAACTCATAAAAACTTAAAAGCGGAGGCAATTATCTTTTCTACAACTCTAACTTTTCGTGGAAATAAGATTATCAACTTTAAAACAACTAGAAATCACCCGGCACCGTAAACAATAGACCAGATTTGATCGACCAAAGTGCGTACTGTATTTAAGAATTTTGAAAAAAAAGTCCCAACTTCCACATTAAAATTGAAAATTTTTGTGTGACGTAGAGAGACGGAAATATTAACTTTCCTTTTTAAGCTAATAACGCAGTAATCATTACGCAAGTTTCAATTGCTTGTCGAAAATAATCTCGATTGCATTGGTTTTGCTTTCATCTGTTTTGTGATTACTCCAGGAATCTTGAACCATCCTGTCAACCAATCAGATGCCAAATTAAATCCCATCGTCACTTGTCCACTCGGATTTTCCCGCCTTTTCAAGTAGTTCTGATCAGTCGATTTTACCTTGAGTTCTCATTGGTTCACAATGATATTTTCCCTTATTCTGATTGGCCATCGTAACTGTTTGTTGTGGGTGTCAAAGCTCAATCGTAAGTTGCTTTTAAAGTAAATACACCGCTTTACCTGAGACTTTTGCAACGAGTCAATTCTTCTTTGGTGATCTTTTCGGATGTTTTCTAACTTCTTCAGTGCCGTCTTTTCCTGAGACAGAGCCTTCATGTCAATTTTCTGGCTTTCAATTTTTGAGAAGAACTCATCCACTGCCTAAAGATTCAAGATTATAATTATTTTTGGGTGATAATTTCATGATTAGATAGTTATGTAAAAATGCAATAAAAATAACTCATCAAAGAAATGGTTTCTTAAGAGATGCTATTAATGTAAACTGGTTCAACATTTAAAATAAATATGATGATAACTAATAATAATAAGTATTGTTAATGGTAGTCGTGGAAGAATTATTTATTTTTACAATTAATATCATCATTATTGTTTATCATGATAGTATCTACACACAAAAAGCTCTTTATCTGATACAGATTAATAATAAAAATAAGAAAAAATGCCTAAGATGAGCACTAAATCTTAAAAATAATAATGAATCACTATGCAAGTTATACAATAATGTGTTAAACCAAACACGCATTTATACCCAAGAGTAAGCTCATTTTTTACTGTCTGGGAGCTTCTAGATATACTAACTAATCAAGTTAAACAAAATGGCTGAGTTATCAACAAAAACACGTTTATAGCCCAAGAGTAAGCTGTTTTTTACTGGCTGGGAAGTTTCTAGATGTACTAATTTTTTTTTAGCAAAGTTAAATTAAATAGTTGAGTTATCCACACAAACACATCTCAACATGCTCTTAAGGCACTCTTCAATTTCTAATGCTAAGAAATAGTAAATGGGTGTGCATTTGAAATACTTCAAATCAGCATGTTTGAAAAAGAAAAAAATGAGGCAGTAAAAGTGGCACAATGTGTTTTATAAAAGCATTAATGGGTTGCTGATTACCTTGTCAAATGATGGAAACTCCAGATATGGACTTTTCTTGTGTTGATTCAGTAAGAATGGGTAAAATTCTTGATATCTTCAAAAGGTAGAAAAAATGACAAGCATGTCAGAGAATGTACACATTTATTTCCCTCATTTAAATGTTAGCTTTAGTGATTTGTTTTGAATAAAACTATAAATTTATATGCTTTATATCACAAGCATTAGAGTTGAACATCAGGTAAAACTGTGTCAACCTAGTTTGATTGTTTTTTCCTTTTGCTCCAGATACATTATCACAGTCCTTAGACAGAGGAAAACACAAATTGCACTACAATGAATTAATCTCAACCTGAAATCAGTTTGAAATACAATATATGTTGTTGAAAGAGGACGAGTGTCATGTAATCAATCTATGAATTCCACAGCGGTTTCAAAACAAACCGGCAACCACTAGAGTTCCATCGGCTACTTGATAAAATATCACTGGTTACCTTGGTCAAAATAATTACCTTTTTGCCCTTAATGAATTTTTTACAGTCACCTACTTTTGCAGAGTCTGATGCTCACTTCAATACATTTTTAAACCTCTCCTTTGAAATCAAATCTTCCTCTTGGATAGGGAAGAGTAAAGAATAGAGAGAAAATATGTTAACTAGCAGTACCAACTAAATTCAATTCTTAACCAACTTACGTTAGCAGTTCATCCTGATCTGTGCCATTGCTCTTATTGTTTGATGGTTTCTGTTCCTTTTTTTGAACAATAACTCCCTAGTACACCAAGGAAATAACTTTGTCTGAATAATACTGTAACAGTGTTTATCCAAGAAGGAATCTGTTTGTTTTTCAACCAAAGAAATGCATGCTGTTTACAGTATCCAGAAAAGCTGAGTTAAATTTCAAAAGCTAAATGACATATTAAAATTTGGTGTTTTCTCCAAGGCCCCTTCCTCCAATCTTTCACAAACCCCTCTCTTTTGAAGCTTCAAAAATTTACTAGCTCCAGAAAAAACCATTAAGGAAAGCATACTTACATTGCATTTCTCTGTGAGTGTCATTTCCAAAAAACTTTCAGCTTTCTTTAATGCCTCCATAACTTCAGGAAGATCTAAACAAACAGAAAGAGATGGCAATGATTGTTAAATAAATTTAGAAACATTTATTTGAATTTTAGCAAATGATTTAACGATTAATAATTAATTTACCAACCTTCTGCTACATTAAATCCTTTTCCAATCTTGACATTTTCAGGGAACCCTACTTCCATAAGGCAATGTTCTATCAGAGCAGCACCATACACTGTTGGAATAAGAAAAATGCTGTTGATGAAACACATGTAAAACAGAGCCCTGTATCTGGCTTCAGCCATCTTTAAGCTAATTCAAATGACAAACTTTTCAAGAAAGTGTCTTATCATCTTCAATAATATTTATTTGTAAGGTTTACAGCCCCGTGTGTACAAGTAAGTTCTTGAAGTTAAATTTCAGTGCTGACACCCTAACTGTTTTACTCCTAGAGGTGATCACATGTAACTTCTCCCTAAATTATTAATACATTATCAAACAAATAGGTTTTGAGAATACTCAAACTTATCAGGTAGAGGTTGTTATCTTAATCTAAGACCAAATTCTCATAGCTAATTTAAAAGGAAATGCCAAGCAGCTAGAAGGGAGAGTTAACAATCAGATCTTGAAAATTTAGGGTAAAATACCATCCATCAGGATTAATTGGGAAAGAAATTATAGCCCCAGTTGTGAGAACCCATTGAGTTTAATGTTATTTCTTATTCTTGCCACAAAGTTAACCCTTTAAATCCCAATTTGACTTAAAATCAATGAAAAAAGAGCAAAATCACAGATGTGTTACTGCACATTCATAATCTGATTCCTTTCACACCCAAGAGTGACCAGTGAGAAATATCTCCCTGTACTATGGTTGTATCTTCAAGAAAGAAGTAATGAGAGGAAAGAAATATCATCAACTAAGAGATGATGTTTTGTCTTACAACAAGTTTTCAGATCAACAATCAGTTAAAGATATGTTTGGCAGACAGCACACATAGAAGTGGTGTTCAGATCTTGAGAGGGAAAATTTATTTTTGTTATTTGAGTTCCTATAAATTAACACTCCTCTTACAAAGCTGCTTTCTATTTCTCCAAGAGTTACCAGAGTCTCAGCAGTGGTGTAGTGCAAGAGTACGCATTTATAATCAAATTTTCCTAATTAACTGATGACACAATCTTACCAAAATGTGGATTTAAAACCTTCTTTACTTCTACTCCTTCCTTGCTTTCTGATAAAATTTCACATACCCTGAAAAATTTAAACAACAATAAATTGTAGTGCAACAGATGTTCTTTTTTAAAAACATCATTGAGTATAAAAAAAGAAAAAGAAAGAAGCAATGAAAAGTTTCTTCCAAATAAGAAAAGATTATCAGCAACCACACACAAATAGTATGTTGCACACCTTTCTTGGTTCATTAATGGCTCCCTCTGTCGGGCAGAATTTACTGGGTATTTTTCACGCACAGCAAATTTGACATCATCAGCATCTGTTCTTGTTCTTAGAAGACTCAGGATTGTGTATTCGTAATCAGTGAGAAAAATATTGCCCTGAAATGAACACAAATCAAATGCATTGTAAAATTTATCCTGCATTAAAAAATTCAAATCATTCTACATCAGAAAAAAAAAACAAAAAGGAAAAAACAGACATCAATGAAACAAGATGTGGTTTACCCTGTCATAAAGTTCCACAATCAGATGATAAGCTGCCTCATCTGAGCCAAACTGTAAATCAACAATCCGATCAATTCCCAATTGACTGATGTTCACAAGCCTCCGGGAACGAATATGTTTACGACACTGGGAAAAAAACCAGTTATAATTGATAAAAATAAGGTTAAAATCCTAGAATGAATTTCTTTTACACATACATAGATATTTTAGGCCATTGGTGCCTCTGGGTATGTGCAAGATCACCAGGCCAAGTAAACATATTGGATACAAACATGAATTAAAAACAAACATGAACAACAACTGTGTTACAACAGTTCAGCAAATTGGTAAATGGAGGTAAAACAATATTCTAGCAGGATCAATGACCAGAATCCCAGGTCTCCCTATAGTACCTCTAAGGAAAAAAAATTACATTAAAATCACATGAAAATCTGAATGAAATATAAAACTCATCTCAAAGATGGTAATAAAAGTTGCAAAGTCACACATCTGTGTAACATAGGCTTACCTTCATTGAAAATCCAGATGGCATCATATTCTTGGGCCACTCAAATTCTGTTGTATTTATTCTGTTACCAGATTCTACCAGTAACATGACTTTAACATCAGTCCTTAAAACATTGTCAATAATACCAAAAATCAGCAAACTGATAGCTAAAATAACCATTAATTTGTGAAATGAGCCAAATTTACACACCATGGCCTCACCCATGGTCACATCTTTATTTTACTCCATATCCCTGCTACATGAATGTCTACAAGCATGACTTTTACAAATCATTTTTCAAATGTGTCCTTCCAAATTTTTTCACTGAAAAACTTCCTACAAAGAAACCTGTGGAGAACTCTCCCCTTTTCTTGATGATGCCCTGTATTATCTTCCTTCTTTGGTCTTCTTTAAGAGCTTTTCCATGACTATAAAACCTCCCAGATACGCTTAGCTCTACCATGGTGTCCAATACAACAATTCAGGAATTTGAGCTGTTTACATATTTAGAAGGTGGGTAGAAAAAAGAATAGCAAATTTGGGCCCATTCCACAAATTAGTAGTTTTTCTAGTATGAGCCTAAGATCAGCCAATCATTTTCAAAGATTTGGCCAAACTGAATTAAGCACACACTGAGAGCACCAATCAGGGCAGCAAAATTATGTTGTTTGTGAAGAAAGCCTGGGATAGAATTAGTTCTTATACCATTCTCTCACTAACAAACACACAAGCCATTCACGCTACATCCACATTAAAGGATGATAAGCAGTAAAAAACAACAAACGAGTGCCTTTTTTATTTCTGCTCCTGCTTCCTGCCCTCTTCTGCCCCCAGTTCTCCTGGGTTCCTGCCCCCCTGTTCCCCTCCACTCTGGAGTACTGATTAAACATCATCCAAAAGCATCATTTCGAAATCATTTTCAGGGATCCTAAAAAGAAATTATGTTGCCAAAAGCTATTTGTTTGTTTTTCGGTTGATATAAAGAATGAAACGATCTCCTAGGACGAGACGAACAGGTCATCTAATGACGCTTCTTTCTAGGGGTCTGCACGGTCTGCAGTCTGCGTTTTATCGTGACCGAGCTTGCTTAGGCTATCCAAAAAAAACCGCCGACTAGACAGAGTAGTTACTACAGCCTCGCGTGAAAAATTACTTTTTTTCAGGAAGCTCGAGTTCACGTTACAATGGCGTCCAATTAAACTTAACTTTAAGGGTCTAAGGCAGCACTGACGGACAAAAAATAGATAATCTTACTTTCCAAGTCTGATCAGATAGGTCTTGTTATCGATGTCATATACATTGGCCACCCTCATGCCAAGGAGGCTGTCATAAAAAGAGATTAATTTTAAGTAAGGCAAGTGCGATGATAATTTAAAATGCCATCAACTGAAAACTCGCAACAGAAAAGGAAGCATTCGACAACGAAATATTTTCGTCGCTAATAATCTCACCTTCCTCTTAGCTCTGTGATCACCGCGCAAAGATCAACGGTGGTAAATCTTGTCTTCATCTTGTAGACACAAAGTAAATAAAACACGACGAATATCGGGGGTTAATGACACCGAAACGTCTTATTTTGCAAATCTTCTTCTACTTCGTCCGCCATTTTGGATTTCCCAAGCGCTTATTTTGAATTGAAAACACCGCTGGTCTTATTCGACGGCGACTTCAGAAGGTGTTTCACGTGTACTTGCGTGCTACATACAAGGGGTAACGCGGGGGAATACTTGGGGTCATTAGGAACTAATTCCACCAACTGTTTTATACCAGGAGCATTATCCATGGTCACTGCAAGTTGTGGGAAAAGTCAGTGATATAAAAATTTCCTCAAAGTCAGGGAATATACATCTTTGAAAGAAGTCTGGCAAAATTTGAAGTAATTATCTTGCATTTTAATTGGACCCTTCATGATTATGCTACGTTTACAAAGTGTATGTCCAACTTCTTGTCAAAGTTCTTATGAAAACTCTAGCTGAATGCATATTCTACAATAATTACTTCTTTTTTTCATATATAAAAAAATCATGCCCATTTTCTGATGATTAGCTATTTAACAGTCTGCATGATGCACAGTCATTGGTTGCTGTCACATTTGGTACTAAATAAAATTATCAATACTACAGAAAGAGAGAGCTGTTGTTATGCTACTCTTCTTAAAGAGATTCTCAAGGGTCTCTACAAGAAATAAGCATGCAATGTACTTTGCAGCCACTTTGTGATGTAACACTAGGAGACACAATTGATCTTGATGGAAGTTACATTATGCACTTCTTCATGTTAAAAAGAATAAACCTTAGTCATGACTTATTCTCTTGAAGATACTATTAAATTTAAAAAACCCTAAAAAATGTTTCTACAATTTGTATATCCTAAAAAATTTCCTATTAATGTATCTTCAGTGCTCTTGCTTTCAGTGCTTCCTACTGATCACAACAGAGACATAGCTGGAAGAAACTGTGTAAAACTGACATGATCTTGTTATCACTGTGCAACAGCTTGACAACTAATCTGCCATGGGCGGCATGCAACATTGGTATGCAGAATATTTTAGAATAATCTTGATACATGAAATGAAAGACGATAAGAAACTTTCCCCCCCATCCCTGACATGGTATACTGAAGTATTGAAAAATCTGACAGAACTCGAATCTCTGTTTACAAAATATAAACAAAGAAAAGACAATATGAAACGTTCCCCCCCCAACCCTAACATGGTATCTGTAGTAACTAGCATGTATACTGGAGAAGCGTCTCTGGTATACCTAGAACAAAACAAAAAGGAAATCAACTGACAAACACTCATGACTTAACACATTAAATGCTAATATAACAATAAGCTTTCCAAGGAGTTTTGAATCTAAAATTGTTTTCACTTCTTCTTCACTTTGACTTTCAATTACACCTGTCATAATTTGTACCTACTAATTAAATGTCACAGAATGTAATACAATCCAGTACATCACAACATCAAGCTTAACCTTCATCCCTATCTCATTTCATTATTTGAAAATGCTAAAAAAATGCATTTATATTCTTTTCTAGCACATACTTCATACAACTTTCAGTGAAGTTCTTACCATGAAACACAACAAGTTCACCAACATCATTTACCATAGAAATCTTTTGCTTCACATTGTTCCTAAAAAAAGATGAACACTGTCAGCAAATGACATGCATTATGGTAAAACTTTACAACTTGCCACTTTAGCAGATGTTTTTCATGAAAATTTCCTTTTAATCTTGCTGTTACTTGAAAACACAAACTTCCATTGTCTAATACCAAAAATATTTTTCACATTCATACAATCTTAGCATACACTCTATGGAAATTTGAGCCTGTCAGCCATTCACATGACTATATAACATGAATTTATTACAACTTGGTTAATCTCATTTAACCCTTCTATAGGCAGTTCACAGTCATGCTTTATCTTTCAGTTCTAATAGACTCCTTCTTTTGTTCTTACGAAGGACTACAAGGAAACAGCGTTAGAAATTCTTTACAGTGCATGGCCAATTTACATTATCAACTCAGTTAATGAAACCAGATAATCTCTTTCTAACAGACTCTCTGCCTTTTTTCTGATTGCATTTTTTAATGTCAATGGCTTTTAATTTGACAAGAATATCAAAAATCAAGCACTATCATATTTTTCAGCTATAAAATAAACTATTTGTTTCTTATACACACGGGATGAATGGTTTGGCAAGCTTGAAGACTGCTTTTAGGGAGAGTTTTGCCTTTAAAATGATGCAAAAGTTCAATCCTTCAAAGAACCTGCAGAAAAAAAGCAATAAAAGAAACATTACAGTTTAATTTATATCATTACTAAAATCTGTCAGATAAAACAATATCTTGTACTCTATAAGCAAAATAATTGTAAAACATCCACTGATGTGCAAAGTTATCAGCATCATAAGATGCTTGTTACCAGTACCAGTATAATTCACCAGATTTATCATCTGACCTCTGACTTTGTTGATTTGGTTGCTAATATTTGAAGTAGGTATATGTCTCCATCAGTACAAACTTCTCTTACCTGGTCTTTAATAATCGGTAAAATTTCTTTGCCAAATAAAGGGAGCACAATTTCGCGCCATCGTCCTCTCCATGAATAATGACTGTGAATTTGTCTGTCACCAGATTTTTGCGCACAAATTCTTCTACATTTCTGAATTCAAAGATCAAACAAAGATGATTAACCCACATTATCGTTATAGTGAACAAAGCTTTGCACCATCATCCTCTCCATGGATAACAACTGTGAATTTGTCAGTGACAAGATTTTTCTTGATGTACTCTTCTACATTTCTGAATTCAGGGATCAAACAAAGATGATTTAAACCCAGTTTGGTAATACAAGATGTAAAATCTTGTATTGCAAGAAACAAAAAATTTACTTCAATTCCACTGCATTTTGCACGATAGGGAATGATTGAATTGTATATAACCATCATGTGAGTACCTACACTGCACTTTCAACTGGATCCCAAATATCCTGAGCACAGCGTGCATCTAATTATCAACTTAAAAAGTTTTCTTTTGGATAACATAGAAATGAACATAGTTTAGTCATTAACATAGAAGTAAAGAAATACTCTCACTTACGAGCAGAGATTGTCAGCAAGCGTCTTTGATTCTGACCTTTGGAACAGTTTTGATACCTTCCCAGTGTTCAAAAGGAAAACATCATTGCCTGCCTGATCACAATGATCTGAATAAAGAAATATTTAAAACTCCTTTCAGAAAAGATTATCATACCACTATCAAGACTTATTTTCTTAAACTACATGAACCAAAAACTCCAGCCTAATGTGATTTCAATCACTCACCGCTTTTTGTGAAAAAACCCAAATACTCTTCACATGAAGGATGTGATTCATCAAAAGTAATGCCATGTGCTCCAACCTGTGAGTCTGCATGGTTTGAAAATTTTTTATTTAATAGTGACATTTCCTTTTTAATTCAACTGTAGTTAATTAATCAGAAGAAATCCTTAAATTAATCATACATTAATTATCTCAACCCAACTCTTTTCACAGACCTTGCAGTTGAAATCTCATGCAATACAGAATGGTTAACATAAGAAAAAACCTTTTAACTTAAGGTATTTTATCTATCATTCATAGGAAAATACTCATCAGATATGGGAGCTTACTGTCAGTAAAACCCTGAGCATGATGGAATGTTATTGCCTTAGCTTTTTCACCACAAATAAAGATACATTACAAGTTACCTTTCCCAATGTCCTCTGCTGTTGCCCTTACTGCTGAAGACTTTCGTCGCCATTTGAACCTGCGGGATTTCTATTCAAGAATAAAATCATTCAATCATTAATCAATGATCAGCTCATGTTGATTGAACTTCTTAACCACTGTCTTAATTGATTGTTAAACAGGTTAACTGTCTACATTATTTATTCTGTATTATACATTTTCCTTCTCATTAGTCTTGGGTGACTGTTAATGCGCCTACTGATAATTTAGGTTATCCTCAGGAAAATCAATGACCACCACTTGCCAAAGGACACTGACTTATGTCATCCTTTGGCAAATGAAGGTGAAAATAAAATTAATTCAATGAATGAATATATGAACATTCAATAAATCAAAGGTTCTTTTATACCAAAGACAAGTTCCACTGAACTTTCTACTTACATTATTCTTCTTAGTAGGCTCCGCTGATGATGGGGATTGGGGAGGTTGATAAACAGGGGGGTCAGAGCTCTCCTGAACAGGCTCTGTGATGAGGTCAAATGGTTGACAATTTTAATGTTTAGTTTTATACTCATAACTAATTTACAAGGAAATGTGTAGCAGCTAGTGGGGAGAATTAACATTCAGATATTTAAGTTAAAGGGTTAAAACACTTTTAAATCATTTTTGCACCACAAAGATAGTTACATTATAATTTACCTTTCTCAATGTCCTCTGTTGTTACCCTTACTGCTGAAGACTTTTGTGGCCATTTGAACTGGTGGGATTTCTTATCAAGAACAAAATCATTCAATCATAAATCAATGACCAGCCCATGTTAATTGAACTTCTTAACCACAGTCGTAATTGATTGTTAAACAAGTTAAATGTCTACATTATTCATTCTCATTAGCCTCGGGTGACTGTTGTTGCACCCATTGATAATTTAGGCTATCCTAAGGAAAATTAACAACCACCACTTGCTGAAGGACACTCTTACATCATCCTTTGGCAAATGAAGGTGAAAATAAAATCAATAAATTAATGAATATAAGAACATTAAATAAATCAAAGGTTCTTTTATACCAAATAAAGGTTCCATTGAACTTTTTACTTACAATATGCTTTCCTCTGGAATGAGGTGATGATGGGGACTGGGGAGGTTGATCAACAGGGGGATCAGAGCTCTCCTGAACAGGCTCTGTGAAGAGGTTAAATGGTTGATAATTTGAATCTTTAGTTTTATGTTTGGTAGATAAGTAAACATTCACAGAAAATTCCTTGATTACTTCCCATGATAGAACATCAACTAATGTTCACTCACGGCAAGGTTTATACTGAGTCTACAAATGCAAAATAATTGCAAATAACTCTTTCTTCAGCTTAACCCTATTTAACATGTTACTTCTCCCTGTAATATTCACACATTATGCAGCAAACAGGTAGTGACAATTCTCAAACTCATCTGGTAGAACTTTTTACCTTGATTTAACCAAATACTCATAACTAATTTACAAAGAAATGTGTAGCAGCTAGTGGGGAGAATTAACATTCAGATATTTAAGTTAAAGGGTTAAAACACTTTTAAATCATTTTTTCACCACAAAGATAGTTACATTACAATTTACCTTTCTCAATGTCCTCTGTTGTTGCTGTTACTGCTGAAGACTTTCGTGGCCATTTGAACCGGTGAGATTTCTAATCAAGAACAAAATCATTTAATCATAAATCAATGATCAGTCCATGTTGATTGAACTTCTTAACCACTGTCTTAATTGATTGTTAAACAGGTTAACTGTCTACATTATTCATTCTTATTAGCCTCGATGACTGTTGTTGCACTCATTGATAATTTAGGTTATCCTAAGGAAAATTAACGACCACCACTTGCTGAAGGACACTTTTACATCATCCTTTGGCAAATGAAGGTGAAAATAAAATCAATAAATTAATGAATATAAGAACATTAAATAAATCAAAGGTTCTTTTATACCAAATAAAGGTTCCATTGAACTTTTTACTTACAATATGCTTTCCTCTGGAATGAGGTGATGATGGGGACTGGGGAGGTTGATCAACAGGGGGATCAGAGCTCTCCTGAACAGGCACTATGAAGAGGTCAAATGGTTGACAATTTGAATCTTTATTTTTATGTTTGGTAGATAAGTAAACATTCACAGAAAATTCCTTGATTACTCCCCATGATAGAACATCAACTAATGTTCACTCACGGCAAGGTTTATACTGAGTCTACAAATGCATAATAATTGCAAATTACTCTTTCTTCAGCTTAACCCTATTTAACATGTTACTTCTCCCTATAATATTCACACATTATGCAGCAAACAGGTAGTGAGAATTCTCCAACTTATCTGGTAGAATGTTTTACCTTCATCTAACCAAATACTCATAACTAATTTACAAGGAAATGTGTAGCAGCTAGTGGGGAGAATTAACGTTCAGATATTTAACTTAAAGGGTTAAAATACTGGCAAATTTTACAAAAGTTAACTATCCTTGGCTAAAAAAGTACAGATTGAGAGAATATTCCAACTGGAATATACAAAAGGCTATCCACAGCCCTTGGCTGAACTACTTGCAATAAAACATACTCATTAAACAGCAGTAATTACCTTCTTGACTTGGGGCATCAATTCCAGCTCAGAAATATGAGGTCCCAGGAATTGGGGCCTTATATTTCTGAGCTGGAATTGGAGTTCCTCCTTCAGGCTCAAAGACTTCAAAAAGTTAACTATCCTAAGTAAGTACAGATTGCGATAATAGTCCACTTGGGTTACAAAAGGCTAATGGCAACCATGGCTGAACTTATTGCAATAGAGCATACTCATGAAACAGCAGTACCTGCTGTTAGAGTTCCTCCCTCAGGCTCACAGACTGCAGTTAGACTCTCACTTGGAGTCACTTCACTATAGGATGATGTGAAGACTCCACACACATTTAAAGATGATTGAGAACCATTATCAAAATCTTTCCCTGACCGTTTGCTGCTGCTTGATACCCTCAGAACAACATCCTGCAAGCTTGATGCAGCGGCTTCTATTATGCTCTCTACGTAGAGATCAAGCTTCTGTTGGTCAATCTCTGACTCCCTAGAACTGGGAGTAGCATTCTGAAAGTAATAAATCATTATAATTGTTGATAGAAAAGTTTAAATAAACTTCCTATTTGTTATTATAACATTAAAATGTTGAATTAAAAAAGGCATTTAAATGTTATGATTGGGTCTTTTGATACAAATTGCTCCTGAAGCACAGTATGCACTACACTTCCTTGAAACCCCATTTGAAGCCAGTCGCTGTAAACATAATTCTATATTTAAGCTCAAGAACCTGGTACTTATTAGGCTCCTAACTTCAAGGCGGCTAATGCGTCAAGTTTAAAATGAAACAAATAAAATGTTTTCTTTCACATATTAAAAAGGAAAAGTCACTTAAGAAAAGTAAACTAGAATCTATTACTCTGGTCTTGATTCCTTTAGAGGTTCCAGTAGTTTGTGTATGATATACACACTAAATCTTAATTCTTTAGAGTTCTGTCACAATATACAGACTGGTAAACCAAAAGCTGGTAAATCCTTATAGGTTCACGCATAGTAGACTTAAAGACATTTGATAAACACGGTTTGAAAATAAGGAGACTGTAGTGCACTTTAGACAAGGTTAGTTGTAGGTATCATTAGTTTGGGTTGTTTTGATTGATTTCAAGTAATACTTCTAATGTACTACATGGCTAGGGATATTTTAGGTGCCCCTTTATTAGTGGGGAAAGTGGGGGTGGTATTCCTCCTCTGCTAGACGTCATTTGACATGTGATCAAAGTCATCATTATCATGATCATCATCATCATCATCATTTTTCCTCCACTGTTCTAGCATCCAGATTATGTGAACAATTTGGCCCGATTGGGAAATGTTGAAAATAAGCTTTAAAGGGAGCCATTGTAGTATGTAAAATAATCCAAATGTGCTCTTTCTTAAAAAAGGTAGATTATTGCATTTTTACGACAATGAGACCCTCACCATATAAATTTAGTGTCAAGCAATTCGACAAAGAAACGGCCGCCATACTAAAGTAGACGTTGAAAGAAAATGAACGAGCACCTGAAGATTGCTTTCTCCTCTATCAATCACTTAGAGTTCTCCTTCACGTTTTTGGACAGAGATACTCTGTCCAATACTCTCCAATACCCTCCTTCCATAACGTCTGCCAGACGATTGACTGTAACTCGTTGGAAAAGTTCGCCATGTTTTAGCTTTAAATTTATTCCCTGCAGCCCCTCCCCTGTAAAGACAGTGATTTGACTCGTAACCAGGGTCCACGCCGTGCCCTGACACTTCTTTTAAGAAGCTTCTTTTCAAGCATTAAGCTTGTTGGAAACTGTATGATACGTTAATTGTTCTCAATTTAATTGACATTTATAAGGGATTTGGCTTATTTATACATAGCTAAGCAAAGCTGTAGGCTGCACGCGTTTTATCGTCGCATATCTGGTACTGCACCACGTGCTTACGACGAGAAGTTGAGTGTGTTTCATTCTAATAAGCCGAGAGTTGTGAGTGGCAGTCAACCGAAGCGTAGTAGCAAAATTGTTGAATGAAGCCAATAAATCGTGAGTTTATAAGGAAGCGTGGTACAGCTTTTTTACGTCTTCGACACATCCCCAAAAATTGAAAAAGTTATTTCAAACAAAAGAATGACGAATGAGATTAGCAATCCAGTATAAACGAAACCTCGCTAGTAAATAAGTCTTTAATTCTCCAACCTGTAAGCTGCGCAAAAATACCGTACTATTGCGCGAATAGGAAAAAACCTTCTTCAGAAATTCCATCTTGCAATGTTTTCCATAATACCATGTTGTCTTGTAAATATTTCGTTTGTGCCTATCCTTTGTCTGCACTTACCTGGTATCCTTTCCACTTGCTACAGTCTCAGATTTTTGACAACTCTGCTCATGAAATGATGAAGCGCGCGATTTTAATTCTCATTTCACGCGTGAAAAGATCCACTTGCCGCGACAAAATCTTTCCGAATTCTAATTGTTCTTAACCACAAAAAATGCTGAAAGATCGAAACCTAATCAGATTTGTTCTTAGCAAGCGCCATTTTGGACTACCAACAAGTCCACCCAGAGTGGTGCTATTCCGTCGACCTCTAAGACTGGTGCTTTTTGTTGTTGCCATGATTGTGTTGTTGCTTTATTTGCATAAAAGACGTATTTTGGCTATCTAAGACCTGTGCATCTTCACTTAGCAGACTTTTATGTTTATTAGTTGGCCGTAATTTTCAACAAATAAGAATAGGATTTCCTTGCGCTTGCTTTGGTACCCGCCCTTTGGAGTCTTTTTGGTCCCCAGCTCCGTTTTTTTTTCCATGCTTCGTGTTCATTTCAGACGGTCTCACTTTTCACTTGAGTTTTGGGAATGTGAGTCCAATCGACAAACTGTGGTGAAAACATTTGCGTGATGCATAGGGTTTGTTCACTGAGAAGCTAAGTGATCGCAAAAGTAACATTACAAACACCGTGCAAAATGTTGATTTTATTTATTATATATTATATATTATTTCTACTCTAACATTACTTTTAGCTGACCCTTTCTCCTTATTCAGCTAATTATTCTTGGCGTCAAATTTCCTTGCGTTTACATCTGGTCCTTCATTTCCTACACTTTGTCTCTTCGCTTCCTCTTCCAACACATATGAATTCTTCTTTTTCTTTTCATTTAAAGACAACTCAACTTTATGCATTCAGGAGCCCAAAGGCCTGGCATACGACAAATTCCGAATTTGTCCGACGAAATATGGTTAGAAGCTCATTTTAACCACCCCAAGTACAAAAAAATTAACAATGAACTGTACTCACGTTGGGAGAAGTCATCTCTTTGATTCCTTCCATCACTTTCTTCAGTTTTCGTTCCAGTGACTCACGACGAGCCTAACTCCAACCAACGCAAAGTTATAACAACTGGTTGTAATTTTCGCGCGTTGTGATGACGTAATAGACGAGATTATTAACTAATCAACAGATTAGCAATGGTAGGTAACTTCTGCCTCGTTTTCAGGCGCCTTTGCACTGGTTTAGGAAAGCGCGGGAAACTGCCCAAGTGCGCAGACTGCTGGATAGGAGGATATTGACAGGTTTTAATAAACGTTCGCCCGTAGACTGCCTCAGACTCTCATTTACTCAAAGCGATTGCAAAAGCAACAGGCAAATCCAAGAAACGAGACTGAGAAAGATTGGCAGCTTGTCAGGAAACATAAAGGGGTGCGTCGTTCCGCAGGTAAACCAGTCTAGGGCTGTTGGTTGCTTTGGCCTCCACGATGCGCGGACCACTGACCGCGAGAATTTAGCACAGACCTCTTCGCAAATGAAAGGTTCTAGATAGGAGAATGAGAAAGATCGGGAGCTTTCCAGGAAATAATGAAAAGATCGCGTCCTCCCGCAAGAAAACCAAGTCTTTAAACGAGCTGTTTTGTCGTTGATGCTTAGTTTGCTTGCGAACATTATGAAAATGAGAAAAACATATGAGTGCTAAGTTCTGCTTCGTACGTAGCATGAAACCACTTGGCTATAAATTAACTAACATTCCTCGCCAACAGTAAGCTTCGCTCTTCGGACCTGTGAATGATACAAAAGAGATGATTTTAAACCTTTGACCACAAGCAGTGACCATCAAGTAATTTTTGGCCACAAGTGCATTACACAGTTTGACGGACAGGCAATGAAAAGACAAAAAGTGACTAAACTGGATTGAAGCTTTAATATCGCAACAAATTGTTGATATCTAAAGACATAGAATATATATAGGGTACCGGTCATGAACATCCATTTTCATATGCTAGGAGTGAGTACGTAGCTTAAAAAAACTGGAAAGGTTTTTAGAAAGTATGTCACTTTGGATATCATGATTCATTTTACCTGTTCCGTAAGCGTCTTATGATCCAAACTACCAGCAGTTCCTAAACAATTGAAGCGCTTGCTATCAGGGGACCGGAGAGCGATCGTTGGGTTGGTCAGTAGGTACCCCTGGGGGTATGGCTGAGGACGTCATCAGGTTCAATAAGTCTCATTAACTACTTAACAAATAGATTCCAAGTTGCCATGCGTCTGTTCAGTAATAGATCACAGAGGACGTCAAAATGTGGTGAGAACAAAAAAGTGGCACACGAGGAATTTAAAAAACTTTTAATGATGACGTCATCTTTACGTCTGTCCTCCAATAGATCATAAGTGAGAACCAATCAAAACGCGTGCATAACTGAGCTTATTATATAATTGTAAATAGCCCTCTATTAATGTGCCGGACATGTTTTCATTCTTCGATGCCCATGCAAATAACCTTCTTGGACTCGCTTTTAGGTGAAAATACCATTCTTTCAGACATGTTGTCGAGGCTGGAAAGGCCAACTTACGTCAATGAAAAAACAAAAAATAAACAGCAACTAAGCCGCCATTCATAAAGAAAAAAAATCAAGGGAACGAACTACGGAGCAGAACAACGAATAATACTAGACTCTAGATCTGCACAAAATTGAAGGAGTTCTTTTTATTTCTCTCTACAAAACATTATAAATCATCATTAACATAATCACTCTGCCAATTTAATATTTAATAAGCCTATTTTACGTTGTGGATAACAACAAAAATATCCTAAACTTTTATTGTCAAGGTCATCATTTCTTGACAAATATCCATAACATACTTTACAGATCTATCGATTTAATTTCAAATGTTTACAATATAATTTAAAACTACTCTTGAAAACTTAATTAACTTTAAACAAAATGTCACCTCTCATTAAGTACAAAGTGGCTGAGCCAAAATTGTTTCTCTTATAAAATATGGGCGATTTTTCCGATAAACTCGCCTCCTATCCGACAAACTATTTCGAAAAGAGAAATTTTTAATATATAAGAATTACTTTTATTAATGTATTCTAATACTAACAAGCCATATAGCATTCACACAAGGCTAAATTAATCTTCGCGCAGTTAACTCCTCGCAGTTCATGGCAGTTCATTAGCTTTTGTCTTTGAATGACTTATTCACTAATATACAACATTAAATAAGATCCCATCAGGAGGGAAAATGAGGACAAGATATGCCATAAATCATGATAGTCAAAGAAATTCACGACTGCGCAGCTCTTGTTCAGATCACGTGATTCCTCAGCAGTCTGCGTCTTGTCTGTTGTCGCCTTGGCAGTAAAAATCCAAACCGCAGTACCCATACACCCTAGCGTGACTAGAATATAAGAGACTTGAAAAAAGCGGAAAATGAACGTTTGAAATGTGCAACATCGACGGGTGGTCCGAAAGAACTGAATCAACACTTTACCCATGATAGCAAGGAGACAAGCTGAGATACAGCTAAACAAGAACATGTCTGGGAAATCAAACTGAATTCCAAAATGCACCGGGAAAACGATACTTATAACCACTAGGATCACAAAGAACAACACAGCCTTTAAAACCTCATCCCACTTTTTGAGGTCACTTTTGCTCAAAATGTTGTAAAACAATTTTATACCCACCCAAGAAAGAATACCGATGTAATAAAAAACCAAACAGACTACAAATATTAATTTCATTGCCAAACCCATTTTATCGCGATGTGTATAGAGAAGGGAGCCAAAGTAGTTGAAAATTAACAGTGGAACTAAAAAGAACAGGAAAAAATTGTTGGCTTGTACAGGCTTTTTGCACCTTTTTCCGACAACGCACTCCTTGAAGCTGATTCCGTTATACAATGATAACACAATCAAACCTGAAATAACAAACATGAAAGCTGTATCGAACTGGAAAGTCAACTTGGTGGGACAAAAGTGATAAAGCATGGAAAAACACCCCTCAAAAATCAGCCCCCAGGCTAAAGCGTACCCTATCGAAAAAGTGAACTTTCTTTTATGAGCTTCAGCGTGCAACATTATCTCTTCTTCTAGATTGTTGGTGTTAAAATAAGGAACAGTCATTTTTGCCAGGTGACCGTTGATGTTCGGGCATTTCAAGATGTGTTTCGGTAACTCGACTTGGCCTGGCGGAAGTCGTGCAGTTGACAGGTGGTTCCTACGCGCCTGCTTATGGCACCAAGCGAATAACTCGGCTTCCATCACCCACACCGACCAGGCCAGAATCAAGCCGTGAATCATGTATACCAGGTTACTTATCATCAAATTGAAGGGAATGTCATATCCACTAACTCTATAACAAAAGTCATTGTAATAACACCTGTCCCTGTCGCCCGTATGTATCATCTCGTGCCAGTCTTCGAAGACATACTGGTATGAACCAACCAAAAGGACAAAACCGACAATACAGGTGGTGTAAGAGAATGTTTTGGGTCCATGCGCGAACCAGTGGGTAAACAGCACTATTTTCATTGCTTTAAACAATTCCTTCCAAGTTAGAGTGTTTTTTCCCTTTTTGCCACGTATCAATGGTCGTAGCTCGTCATCTTGTTCGTCCTCTTTCTTTTTCCAGCAAGATGAAAACAAGCTCCTAAGATTGTCTTTCATTCGGTGACTAGCTGCCATGGGCGACGAAAAGCTTACCGCTGAATCGTCAATATGTTCATCTTCCATTGCCAGTTTATATGGTTCCCTGAAGCAAAACAACGCCCATAGCGCCACTGCAATACCACCAAAAAACGACAAAAAGATTAGGAAATAGAACGGTTTTGCGTAATCATAATCAAACGAGCTCGCTAGAGTTAGCGTCACGTTTTTTTCTCTTGTTTCGGACTTGCTCTTTATCGCAATCCCTATGAACCAAGGGCAATCAGTATCTTCTAGAGGCGGTAATGATGCTTTGGAGAGGGTGATCCGGCCCTTTTCTGCGAATGACAGCCTCAATGATCTGTGATTCAGTGCATTTATATTCTTCACCACATCCTCGCACGTATGTGAAACTTTTAAGTAAGCTGTAACATTTATACTGGATTCCACAGTTATGTCAAGTTGTTTTTTTGAGATACCCGTGCTTGGTTTGAACTGAAATGCTGCTGGTTGAGTGCTTGAAATCGTAAAACTCTTTGATTGACCGATATCTATAGACGAGACGTTTTCAGAGATTTCCACTGCGTAACTTAGGCTTGGAGTTCCTGTTAGTAACACTGAATACTTCTGGCCGGAAGGCTTTGGACATGAAATTGACGTGCTCCAAACATGCGACACAGCAGTGTCAAGATGACCAGAGGAGGACAATTCGTCCTCACCGTACACTGTCATGTGAAGAGTTCCTGTCAAGTTGAAAAGATGATAAAGTTAGTGCCTAAATGACAAAAACGAAAAAGTAATCACGCAAGAACCGGACGCGGGATATTTGTACACGATTGACAACGATTGAAAAGGGAAAATTTAAGGGAATCTAGCAAAAGAAAATAATTTATCGAGAGAGTAAAGCCTTCCGTGAAGATTAGGTCCAACGCCTTACAATGGCCGGATACAGACACGGCTGTCTTTTGAGAAACAAAGGCGAGCTAAGCCGTTTTGAGCCCCTCAACTAAGCATGACTGTTTCAGAATTGAGAGGGCCATGAAATATTTCAGAAGCCTACTGAGTAAATGGAGCTGGCGGGTATGGCCTCGGAGAGGCCTTGGAGACGAGAGCACATTTTCTTTTTCTTTGGCGTCCACAATAGGCCATTTTACAGTTATGTACAGCCAAGTCCTGGTTTGGAATGAGGCTGAAGGTGACCTTGTTGTGATAGAGACTAGCGCCAAGTTAGCATAATAACAAAGCAATTTACATTTAAAAAGCAGCAAGGTTTGTATCATAACAAGGTCACCCTTGGCTTCACTCTTCTTAAAAGGCTTGGTAAGCAGGCACGCAACTGTAAAATGGACTATTCCGTAAACTCTCATGGAGTCTTTAAATAACACATGAAGAACTACCACTCCCCTACCCTACCCAAGCTCACTCTTTTCTAGAACCGAGACCTCAAACAGCCAACATCATTTAAATGAAGTTTTCTTTGCTAAAATCGTGTCACCCAGGCCAGAGACACTTGTATGGAATTAATCTTTACTGTTATTAACACTTATCAGAGGAAATTTCTATATGTATGACACTTAATGTGGTATGTAGCTTTGCAGAAGTCTTATTTCCCCTCTCTTCCAAATTTCTGCTTACTTTCTTTGAACGGTTGCCTGGGGAGCCTCCTCATAGTTCTGAATATTTGGTAAATAAATGTTTACACTGAAAGGGTTGAGACCATGGGGCAGATTAATCCTCTGACTCCCTTAGAGTTACCAGCACCTAACTTCTCCTTACAAGATCACCCATGAATCAAACCTCAAGGTGACAAGAATAAAGGAAATGATCACTAAGTTGTCTAAAGAAGCACTTGATTGTTAAACAAATTCTCCTTGTCAGCACCTTAAGAAATGTATGGAGAATTGTGAAGTAGAGACAAAGTTTTACCATAAGTCATAACCTGATTCACTGGTATACAAGTACAAGAGTGATATACAAAAATGAGTAAATAATCTATATAAAGAAATAACCACAAATGATGTACAAGAAACTTAAGGTTAGGGTTAGCAAAAAATAATGCAGATTCCAAGTTTGTGGCATGTTACTAAGAGTGTTCTTTTCAGGAGGTATAGAGTATTTTAATTATGATATACAACATATCATCATCATCATCACTTTTTTTTTCCTTTTTTACAAAACAGATTTTTTTAACAGCATTATAATTTATAGAAGGTGAGGAGACTTGAGAAGTTACCCGGCTTATGAGGTAGAGCCACCTAACTTACAACAATATTTAAAAAATTAAAAGTGCTGTGAATGAGCAGCTTTGCCAATACTGTGTTTATTTATACTAAGTAAAAACTCTTGCATTTTTGTCTTAAAGCTAGAATAAAAGAAACTAGTCTAGTGTCGTCAGCAAAAAGCATAGGGTCTGCTGACCCTTTAACACCTGAGAGTGACCAGCTTCTAATTTCTCCTTATAATATTACCTCTAAGTAAAAAGTTAGGTCACATGAATCAAGGAAATGATCACCAACTGGAAAAGCTCTTGATTGTTAAACAAATTCCCCTTGTCAGCGCCTTTGGAATTGTACAAAGAACAGTATGGAGAATGTGCATACTGATGTTAGGGTGTAAAGGGTTAATTCAGAGGCATTAGGGAGGTCATTTACATACACAAAAAACAATAACAGGCCTACTTGAGGGTCACCACATTTGATGGTTTGTATTGAAGAAGAAGAGAGAACAGTATGGTGAATATCCACACAAATGTAAGGGTCAGAACAGTCCAAAGATTTTGATTTTATGCAGATGGCTGGTGCAGCATGAGTAATTCACTTCAAATACATCCTTCTCTCTTCCAGCTCAAAGGATTGTGTTTTATTGAGCTACATGATACCCTCAGTGGTCAAGTTGGATCACAGAAATCAAATAGTACCATATTTAGAAAGCTATGGTGTCAATGCATCATGTGCTTATCAACAAGAAAGCAGTTTAAAAGTTTCAGTGTCTTTACATGATACTGATATCAACAAGGAAACACTGTTATTGTTGGGGTGTCTGTGTATAATCTAAATATCAACAAGGAAGCAGTTTTTAAAGTTTTAGTTTCCTAATTTGTATCATGCCATTGTAAAAATGTTAATTGACTGGTAATGAAATATAAGTTAGTGTACTTAGAAAAAATAAATGATAAATAAATTAAATCAAAACTTGTGAATATTAAACAAATAAAAAAGGAACAATGAAAATAAATCAAATACAAATAACAAAAAAAAAAAACATAGGATACAGTCATCCTCAACCCATCCCTGAATTTCTTCATATTTGTGCCTTCCTTTTTAAATGGACTCTTATTGACTTTATTTTGGGTTTCAAGACTTATTTTGATAATCCTTTAATCATCAGAAGTTTAATGGTGCAGAGGAAGAAATTGCATGTTGTCAGTTTTGTCTCTGGCTAACAAATAAATGCTACAAAAGTAATTCTCCCACCTCTGATTTTCAAACTTTGGATCTCAGACATTCAATTGCAGAATTCTGAGTTTTATTTCCCACTATCAACTCTTGATTTTCTGACCTCCACCTTCACACTCCTAATTTCTAACTTTGGACTTTCAATTTCAGAGTTTGGAGTTTTATTTTCAACCATTGACATATAATTTTCTTTTTTTCTGGCTTAATTAGACTTTATGGCTTTCAACTTCTAAGCCTCCCACATCCTAGTCTCTGGCTGCAAACTTTCAAAATCTGACTTTCATGAATAGTTTAAAGTAGACCTTCAACTTAAATGAGAAATCTTCCATTTTTCCCATTTCAACTTTTAAGTATCACTTTCAACAACCATAACCTATGAAGGTCCAACTTTCTTCTTGAGTCAGGAATACAGAATCAAAATATAAGAACATTTTTAACATTTAAATTAGAGAGGTACAGCAGTAACCAAGGTAAGAGGTGTATTACCTTAAAGTTTACATGTTTACTAAGGTTCTACTTTTTTTAAAAAGTAAAATCTACATTCCAGTATTTTGAAAACAGGTATATATATATATGTATAGATAGATAGATAGATAGATAGATAGATATACATACATAGATACATAGATACATAGATACATAGATATAGATACATAGATACATAGATACATAGATACATACATACATAGATAGATACATAGATACATAGATACATAGATACATAGATACATAGATACATAGATACATAGATACATAGATACATAGATACATAGATACATAGATACATAGATACATACATACATACATACATACATACATACATATATAATAACTCTATGTTAGCCTATTGAGTGGTATGTTGCTTGCACCAATCAGGGTGTCCCATGGGGTATGTTTCTGGACCGATGTAGATTGTGCCAATAAGGGTAGCAAATTACACAACTAGCATTGACAATTTTTTTTGTCCAAATATGCTCGAAACTATCCTCCTTTGAAACTTATGCTACTTCTTCTTTAAGAATGCTTTTAAAAAGGAAACAAAACAAGTCCAAATCTATTGTCAATAAAGCATGACATCTTTTGGATCTTCAGTAACATGCTTGCTCAGATAAAACACAGCTAATTACAGCACTTCATTCCGGACTGGTACTAGAAACGGTGACTTAATGGATCAAAATGTATGATATTAATATCATGATTAATAAATTTCCTGTGTTTCAGGTCCTCTAGACAACGAATCACGTAATATTGAAGTAACCCTCCCCCCAAGATATTGCAAAATTGAAAATAGAGTAAGCCGTGGACCCAACTCAAAAATGATCAGTCTTAAAGACCTAGCATATCATGCCTCTGGTAATGTTCTTTAAAAAAATGATTAAAATACACTTTTCTTGAAAATATTGGCAAATATTATGCTCAGGAATGTAGATAATAGCCGGAAGCCGGGAAAATTACCCGGCTGTGAACGCGATTCTTCCGGCTGTGAAGCACTACTTCTTTTTCCAAAATGTTTTTAAATGTTGTCAGAAGATTGTTATTTATTTAATTATTTCATTTGTTTACACCTTTAAATCTAGGTATAGCATGCCAAAGGCACGCTAGAGCGGGCCTTCGGCCCAAATACCCGCCTATCATTGCAAGATTCCCTCCTGTTAAAAACTTTAGCTACATCCTTGATGCTCTTTTGTTCCAAAGTTATGGTGACTGAATCGTGGACTAGCACGAGAGTCACGCATTCCTCACTCGCTTACTAGCCCACATCTACTTTCTTTTTGTATCATAAACCCCAGAAGGGAGCCTGCTTACCAGAGGGTTAAAATAAACAATAGTTCCTGTATAATTATAACATTTTACTTGGCAGAAACGGATCCTCAAAGAAAGAACAGTTTCGAGGAGCAATTGAATAGTTCTCATCTTATCGCTGACTCACACACTAAAGCTTCGATATTCAGACAAAAGCCGGAAGACATATGATACAAAAAAGGGTGACAAGAAAGGGATAATCTAATCTTGGTAGTAAATGCATTAGCTACAGCAACAAACAGTTCCACGGTATATAAGAAAGTGACGTGTATGACATGCGATCAATTTATGTCACGCAAACACGTGAGGAAAGCGAAAGTCTTCGGCTGTAAGTTCTGATCCTGATAATAGTACCAGTTTAGAATGTTAATCGGTCATAATTGCACTGTACATAAGACACTATGCAGCTATGGTGATAAGATTCGGCTGAGTAATGCGTAATTCATTTATTTCGCATTCCCGCGTTGCCACTTGCAGTTCTGTTTGTCGTAGCATGATTTCAAATTTGCACTCTCTTATTGTGTTCAAATTAAAACAACCCTCAGAAAGTGACCGTTGATCGTCTGAGAGCTCTAAAAAGTATATCTAATCTTAACTCAGAACAAAAAAGCATACGTTGCAACAAAATGGGTCTGACAACAACTTCAGCTGCCAGCACAGCAAAATTCGCTTGTCATATGACCATACGTAGTCACGATTTGAAACAGAAAATATGACCTATCCATATATCTGTATACATGTTTATCAGCAATAAACAGTCTCTCTATCTTACCATTTTTCTCTCCAGAGGTCTTTGCTTTTACATATAAGAAACTATCTTTGTCCTCCGTTGTTACAATACATGAGTGAGACGACGTTCTCGTAGACGGAAGTGTACGGGAAAACATTACTGAACTAGAACTGCTAATAAAGGATAGATTTTGAAGAGCCGCTGCTTTTGTCACCTCGCCATCAAAATTACATTCATTAACAAGCCCTGCAGTCGATATAGTCCAAAGAAAGGACATGAGGATACAAGAACGCACCATTATGGATCGGTCTCCACTGAGTAACTGAGCTGAGCCAGGCTACTGATGCGGAAAAAATGAGACCGAAAATGAAAGCCACGTGACTCTAGTTCAATACCATGGTATCAAGACAAATGCCTGCCTTCAAAGGAAAAACAGTTGTGTCCTTGTTTACTGGTTTATAAATAGCAACTTCTGTTTTGTTTATTTCCTCTAAACACTTGCTACCGAAAATCTAAGGAATGGTTTAAAGGCACACTTTGTCGCCGCTGTCGTGGCATAATAATTTATTGGAGTGTCACTGCACATGTAGCGCATCGCATTAGTTTCACGTCAATTAAAATTGATAGTCTAACATAATAGGAAAAGATCATCATTCTGCTTCATTCTTCCTAATACGATCGGGCTCAGCTACTGATACTAATCCACGATACTTCCTGTCCGATATCTATTTCTTGAAAAATCAATGCAGAAACGCGTCAGTATACTATCATTTTACAAGTTTATATTGAAAGCACCCATTCAAACCAGCTTGAAGCCGAACTGGTCCAGCCTGCATAAATATCGCTAATAAATAAATAAATACTAATGAGGGATCAAGCGAGCTATTCAAGAGGTAGACTGAAATCATCAGTTGGTGGAAGGTTATTTTTTTTAATTCCAGGCAAATCTTACATAACTTCTAACTTTCAGACCCGACCAATTGCTGAAGTATCCGAGTATCCAGCGTCTCTTACTTTGAAGTATACAATATTTTCGTATCCAAATACAGGTATAGATTATCCTAAAATCAAAGAGTCTTTTTCATGATTTTTTTTTCTGTTCGATGTATCATGAGACAGTTTCGAGGTACTTTATTTGAAAAGAAAATCGCGTATATTAGTCAAACATCCTCCCCTCCCCCCCTCCCCCCATTATCTCTCAATACCCATTACATCATCATTCACTTGCTTGATTCCTTTTGGTATCGTAAAATCGCAGCCATTATTTCATAACCCTGGAAGCATGCTCGACGGACACAAAATGTTTCTGGTGATGAATCCTGACAAAGCTTTGCTATGGGCGCAAGGCTCGTTTACGAGAACCTTAACCCTTTATTCTTGAGAAACAGGAAAAACAGGAAAAGTCTCGAGGGCTTTTTAGGAGCTTGCACTACAAATAAATCTCTTAGAAGTCTGGAGGAGTTGATCCCAGACCCTAAAAGCGAAAATTTCGCATATAGCCGATAGCACTGGATTAACAAAATATTTCCGTAGTAAGTTATCACGAAAATTGTTGTTGAATTCGAGCCAACTACTTCGACTTATTGTGCTGATCAAGACCAACGCAGAGATTGTTATTGTATGACCCGAGTCTCCTTACTCGTACCATGATGATTTGTTCTAAAAATATGTTTGCTTTGCGTTCAGCGGCTCATGGTGAGAGATTCGATCCAGGCTCAAAACAAAAGTAACAGAATTTGACTCTTGATGCCGCAACATGTTTTGCAGTAACATACCTTAGCACTTTTTGACGCTATCTGAGTTAAACGATAAAGTGCTTATCTTATTGACAAAAGGCTGCTATCGATCACAAAATAAATGTCGTGATTCTCTTACAAAACAGTACAGGGCGCGGTTGAAGATGCTTCCGGTGAGAATTTGATCGAAATAGCATATCTCTTTCATAATGATCTGGCAATGTTTAGCCGAATATATAGTTTCTTCGAACGTCTTAACATAATTGAACAAAGCTTGTCTCGTCTAAAACCGTACTAACATATGAGCGATGGGTGTATTTGTACGCTTTCGAGTCCTACTCTATCTTTTGGTGTCCTTTGTTTTACATCAAACCTCTTCTGAGACATTTACAAGCGCCCGGACTTCATTTCTTCAACTGAAAAGGTGGAATATGTCCGACTCGCGGTGTCTTCGATTTCGCTTCAAAACGTTTCTCCCAGATGCGCTTCTGCTGTACATGGATGATGAAGGAAATACGAATTTCTTACGACTTGAACTGATTCGAGGAAAGCTACGACTTACATGCAGCTACGGATCTCGATTCGGGCCGATGGCAGACGAAACCCGCGGCGAAAATTTAAACGATTTAGCCTGGCATAGAGTGTTAGTGGAAAGGAATAGGGACAACACAACAATATACTTAGACAATCTGCCGAAATTGGCCGTCGAGAGCCGAGAGAAGAAAGGACTAATCGTGAAAAGCCCGATGTATTTTGGTGGTTTTCCATCCAACCTCGGAGCAAATAGAGTCACACAGCCTTCAGTTCTTCTTCTGAACAGATTCATCGGATGCATAATGGATACAGAGTTTCTAGAATCTTCATCTGAACAAGGAAACAAGATAACTAAAACCAGCGTGGAATATTCAGATGAAGTAATCCCAGGCTGTACTGATATGTGTGAAAGAAATAACACATGCCTCAATAATGGGACATGTCTGAACAGATTCATTACAACTGCCTGCGACTGCACCACGACTGGCTTCAGAGGGGACACTTGTGAACGAGGTAAGCAAGCTTTTTTTGTCAGAAAAGGGAATGTTTTAGAGAAAAGCCTTGAAAATTTAGCTTCCCTTCCCTTCCCGTTGTTGTACTGATTCCTTAATGATATCAGTGATTTGCTTCGTCTTGAAGGGTATATTTTTACTTTCTTCTTCTCGAATGTGTCATGTCCTACTGGGAGATGCATGCGAAAACATGTTGACATTTCTTGAATGAGGTTATCTCTGAGAAAATAAACTCCATTGCCAAAAAACATCATTAAATCATAAATTTTTTCGTTTTAAAATCCTTCTCGCCATAAACTGAAAGTAAGAAATGTTATATTGCAAACATCATACGTTTATTTGTAAACAATACTCATGTGAAATGCGGAATTTTTACCGTGACAGAGTCAGCGGGGATGGAATATGTGTCAGGAAAGCTTAGCCGGGTGATTGATAATGGGGTCACATACTAATCCAAGTATCATATCTCCTAAATGTTCCATTACAACAGCAACAAATTGCGTATTCTTTGTCAATCGTTATTTTCAATTCACCATACTCTGTCTTTCATGGCAATTACCTGATTAGATTTGAAGAAATGAGGTCATCGGAAGCCGCTGATATGATGGAAATTTTATTTGGCTGTAATTAAAATTATTTTTTAGGTTAGGTCACACGATTAAATGTCTAGACTAAAGAAGATTGCTTAACCATCTGTGTTTTCAATCCTGCATAACAAGCGTTTTTTTCTTTAATTATGATTTTATTTACGAATATTTCAGGCGATCGAGGACTAGCAGGTCAGTCACGCGCGCGGAAGGCGGGCGGGAGAGCAAAACCACAACCTTCTCACTCTCTCTGTCGCGCGTGTCGCTCGCACTCCGCGCGTTCAGTTGTCAAAACTCTTAACAACGCGTTCAATGCGTTTAGGTGTGTATTTTGAGAAACGATAAAGGCCACAAAGTGTGTGTTGATTTTGGAAGTAATGCGTCACACCAAACACTGTTCAGAGTATCCAAGCTCGTGTTCGTTGCGTGCACAAGAAAAAGTAGTGTGAGGCTTTCAACCATTTATCAAGTCATAAGCTGTTTTTCTGATCCTTATCAGTATCACAGAAGCCGGAAAAAAGTTTTATAAACAAACTGGTTAACAAGATAAATAAAATAATAAGAAAAATACTCAAGTATCAGTAAAACACTTCTGTGAGATACCGCTGAAAACTTCCAGACTCGAGCCTTCCTCTTATCGACGTAAAAGTCAGAACCGTGATAACAAGTCTTGTAGTCCTTGTTTAGTAGCTAAATTTTAAAAGAGAAGAGGGTGAAAGATGTGTAGGATCAGTATGATTGTGTTATTTCTATTTTGGAAGAAAATGACCTTTTTTCCTTCCTCTAATGTGCCCTTCCTGTCATCGCATGATATGAAATATTCAGATGCCGATGTGAAGCCCACTCACATAAACACAAGAGAATCGGTCAAACAAGAGTTAATCTTCTACATTTCTCTAAAGCAGACGATGAATCGTATTTCGTAACTCAAAGGAAAACAATGATCAACCATTGTACTGATATATAATATCAAGTCACTAAAATGTTTCCATCATATTTTCAGCACTTCCGGTCATTGGTCTCAGCCATTTAGATCACTTAATTTTCAAGCGTTCCAATGAATCCGTCTCTTCAAAGCACGATCGAATCACGCTGAGATTCAAGACAGCCAATCAGAATGGATCACTCCTGGAAAGCGGGCGCGGGGCGAGAGACTATTTAGTGATCGCGCTGAGCAATGGTTACATTCTGATACGATGGAACCTTGGATCGGGTGAAATGTACCTGCATGCGCGTGACAAACCGTGCAGTGACAATAACTGGCACTCGGTTGATATACGAAGAAATCGGGGCCGAATTAACGTGACAATAGACGGCGTTTTTCACGTTTCTCAGAGTTTCCCAGGAAACTACCAATCATTTGATTTGGAAGAAGGCGAAGGAGATGTGTATGTGGGAGGAATGGTTATCAATGGCTTTGCTACGCATCGTCGTCCGTCAAGCTTTCCTTTTGAGGGGTGCCTTCAGGAAATCAGTTTCAATGGTGTGGATATCATCCAAGGTTTTCTCGACACGAAAGACAATTTTATCAGCCAAGGAAGTCTTAGATTGACTTGTGAAATCCCAAAGCGAATGATTCCAACAACTACGGCAATAACACTACTCGTTACGATGGATACAACAAAATCTACATCAATAGCAAATAAAGTGCAACGTCCAACCTCATATACGACCCCACGAAAAATGATTGTGACTGACAAAAATCAACGTCTCTCAACCTCAAAAATCAACTCCAAATATTCAGAATTACCCTGCGCAGATGATGAAGACGATTGTAACCCTGAAGATTCTGGTTCGGGAGGGAGCGGCTATTCCGGAGATAATTATGTCAGTCCCGGATCAGACAATGAGTCCACCGCGAAAGGTAAACATATCATCTCTGGCACAGGAGCCAATACAAGCGAAAATAAGTCGATTAAAAGCAAGGAAACAGGCGTGGAAAGTATAGGCGAGTCGGACAGTTCTCTAACGCCTTGCCCGGGGGATGATGAAGACGCCTGTGAAAATGCAAATGAGTCTGGACAGGGCTCAGCTGAGCCAGGCTCAGCTGCCGGCAGCATAACCACCCCTCGTCCCAGGACTTTTCCTAATGGCAACAGCGAAGTTAATGTTGAAGTAAAGGAAAGAGCCATCGTAAAGGAAAACAGCAGCAAAAAATGGACGCTCATAGCGGGGATAATCGTGGTAGGAACACTTCTTGTTGCATTTTGCATCTTCGCAATTTGTTGGCTTTGGAAAAACAAGAAAAACCCCGAGTGGACAGGGGTGTACCAAGTCAATGGCAGCCGAGAAAGATGTCTGGCAGCTGAAGCAACAGACGTATGATGGCCTAATTGATCACCTGATGATCATGGAGCATCCGTGGACAAATCAGAGAACAGTCGTGTCTACTTCTTAGCTGTTGTTGCTTCGTGAGTCACGCAACCCCGTTGAATGTCACGAAACACGTTTTCGCAAGAAGGCCTGATACTCTGTGCTTGTTTGGCCAAGCAACCTCTCCTCCAGAGCGAAAAATGTAACGTGACTTTCAATGGACGATTTCAAGAGGAAAAACATTATCTGACTTAATGAATTAATAATTTAGATTATCATCTGATAGCTTGGAAGAAAAGAAAAATAAAAAAGGAGCAAAAGAAAAACAAAAATTTGAACGACTTAACAAATTCCACCCACATAAGCTTTGTTTACATAGAATTCTAGCAAAGTTCATTTAGTCAGATGTTGTTTCCACCGAACAAATATAATTATAAATTTGAAAAAAATACGTCTGTTTGATTGGGGCATCTGCTGAGACCCAAATCATAACAAACTTCTGTATGAAAACAATTTCAGACTCTCAGTAATATTGTATGGAATTCTTAGCTCACTATGAATCACAGTGCGTATAGTAAGTAAGAGGTTAAATTACATCATAAGAGGAAAAACAATTATGCCAAAAGGAAGAGCAATTTGGACTCTCCGTCTCTTATAGTTGATAACGGACTCTCAAATACCCCCCCAAAAAAATAGTCCATGAGACCGTAAGTAAATGATTCCGAGATATCATATCATTGTATCAATTCTAATGTTAAGTTTTTACGCAGTCACGACCTAAACAGCAATTCTCCGCACGGTCTAATATATAATTTTTTATAATTTTAGCCTCTAAGGTTCGTAAGTAAAATCAAACAATATCCATAATAAGTTGATATGTTTCTTCCGATCACCATTCCGCTCGAAAATGTGGTGATATTGTAAAGAGTCATTTCATTTTGGTTACTGACGGGAGCAAAAGGACCAAAAGAATTATACAAATTAGATTCAACTTAAAATAGTTAAAGGGTCTTTTCAATTCGAACCATATAATCCTGAACCATTACTTTACCTTGTTGGAGAAGTATCAGTTAGGTATATATTATTCAACATATAAGCTGAGTATAGAGTAGAAGTTACGTCTTAGTCGAGATATGTTTTTTCCAATGTGGCAGTTAGGTAACAACTGAGCATGACCGCGTTTATGTAATGTTTAGAGACATGTTACAATTAGACAGTGCTACTGATTCAAGTTCAGGTTTCTTTCACTGCACTGAGATATCTTCTTCACCTTTCAGTAAGAATAAGAATAAAGTCCTTTCTTAAATGGTTTGGTTCGATGTCCAACTCTAACAGACCCGAGAGAAATCGAAAAAAATAGAACCAAGCTCTTTGTTAATCCAGGTGAACTCTCTGATCGCGCTCTCGCTCAAATATACACCAGTGACTTGAGATAGACTTCTTACTTTGACCCTTTCAAAGGTGATCTGTTCTGAAAACGCTTCGTTTCTGATGACTGATTTGGAAACCGTAAAAACTTTCAGCCGGATGAGCCTGACATAAGGAGATTTTGGCTGAAATAGTGGCTCATGTAACGAAGCTGATTTGCAATTAACACCGATTAATACGAATACGGCCACTACTTTCTCCTCAATGTTATTGTGGAATGTTGCAGTGTTGGGAAAAGTTTCGGGATTCTTTTTCCTCCGATGGGCTTTGATGTGTTATATGCTAATCTTTTTCTGGTCTGGATTCATCTATGCGAAAGACCTTTAATTCGATTTTGATATTACATAATCCCCTAATCATAATTTCGAAAAAAATTGAAGAGACAAATCCATTAGCATGGGAAGGACTACAATATGCCACACGGTCTGTACATAAATAACATCCTGCACAGATGATCACCTATTTTTGGTCGTGTTAACTTTTCAGATGATTTAAGAGCAGATCTTTGACACTTCAAACAAAAAATTAAAAGACTACAAAGCGTCGTTTATTGGTAAAAAAGACAATTTTCTAATAATTCTTCAGTTATTAAACGTGCGATTCATTTAAATAAAGATTAATGTAAAATAAAAGCTTAGCTATTTTCTCACAGTGAGGCCTGGCTTGATGACATCACTTTTTTTAAATGTGAAATATAAACCTTAATTAATGCAGTTTCTTTTTACTCAAAGTTTTTCGGGAAGGACCTACACTAACGGTATCCCAAGCCATTTTGGTTATCAGAAATTATCACTTTCCCATAACGCCTGAACAACACCCTTACTACGATGATACTTATAGAAGTAAACTTTAACACTCGTTGTTTGGTTGTCTCTTTCTTTATTCACTCTTACTACTCAAGGCATTACAACGGGGACTAGCTCTGATCTCACTAGGAAAGTGTGGGTCACCGCTTATGCAGGTGACGCTAACTGAGCTGTCAATCCCTAACCTTCGTCATGCTTTTACACTTAACTAGCGAATCACGCTAAAAAACTACGCAGAGCGGAGTTCGCATACTAAGTAGATACCTTCGCGATGTTTCCCCTTCACAAAACGACTTTCTACCTTAAATTTCTTAGTCTTACGGTTAAGGTCGTGCGAAACAAAAACAAGATTGACAATATAAAAATTATAATAAACTTACTAACAGAATTAAAATCATACTTGAAAAGATATCTTCAGAGAAAATAGCCCTTGAAGACTTTCACATAACGGCAGAATAAACAGAAAATTCGGAGAAGAAAGGGCGTACCCAGGGAACCACCCCTAAAAGAGCTACGTGCTAGCCGTAGAAGTTATCTAATTACAAATTCAGTGCGGGAGATGAAAAGAACTACGTGTTTACACCTTAAGGCACCTCTAAGAAAAAGAGGTGTCGTCGAAATTAAAATTAAAAAACTATTTTCCTGAAAATTGAAAAAAGTATTTTCAAAGGAAATTCCTTCCTGTAGGATCAATTTTTTATGAAATGGAGTCATTTTCCTAGTAATTAATCATCTTTTTACAACACAATGGAAATATATCGATCTCTAGCCACAAACCGCAGTTTAGGCAAAAACATCTGTCTCCATGTCAAATTCACGATCATAATAAGGAAAAGGTAATCAAAATCTACCTGTAAGATGAGACCGCCAAAAGGAATAAAGAAATGACCAACCGGCTTATTACAATGGTTACTGAATGGCTTATGCTAATATATTATTTCCATTCATTTTCCAACACCAATATAGGAAACCCTTACAATGTTTTTAGTTTAGATATATTTCTATTTTTATCGTTTAACAATACGCTTGTTTAATTAACCTTTAACTCCCAAGATCTCATCAGTAATTCTCCTTACTGTCTGCCATATAATTCTTGCAATGTTAGTTCGGAGCATTTGGTATTGGATCCACCAATAATCCCCTAATTAGTATTTTTCTTTGTTCTCATCACTTGTCTGCTTGATATTGTATTAATATTGTAAGGAGAAATTATGTCTTGGTCAGCCATGGGAGTTAAAGGGTTACTGTGCTGTAGATTAAACTAACTCCTATGACACGAACTGAATAATCATGTCATGAACTAAATAAGCATAAAAATTCCCCAGGATGAAATATTGTGAACAAAGCACAAATTGAAACTATGCGGTTACTTCGAGGTATTTCCTCCTCACAAATCGCCTAACACATTTTACCTAACAGAGCATATATTACTACAACTCCCCCTGTAGATAAACAAAAATACTTATTGTCCTGAAGTGATTGTCTGAATAGCAAATTGCTTAAAGAGAGGTCAACTAAATGAAAAAATATTCAAATTTCCAAGTGGTTTCCAAAACTTCCTAACATAACTTATTGGTACGTTATAAAGTATGTTTAAAAGAGTCCTGTGATTACTATGCTCCTTCTTCTAAGCTCTGAACTTAATGGTGCCATATATTCACAGACCTACATTGAACCTATATGTTGTTATAAGAACAGCAACCAGAGACACATGATAGACAGATAGAGTCTGGTTGTCCTAAGTGAGCTTTTCCAAATTCAAGGGGATCTTTACCCGGCAGTGTCAAAATCCAATTTTCAAATGTTGCGTTAGTATAACAGTTGGTCAAGAGAATATATTCTCTTGGTTCGGTCCCCTCCTCATCTGCATTTTTCCAAGTTTTGTTCTCAGTTTGGATTATATTTCCTGATTTTGAGTCATGACAATTTAATCCTCCTTGTGACTCATAAACATGACCACATACGCTGACATGAGAAGAGCATGGGATGATAAAATGTGCCAGAGGTCATGGGCGTCAAAAAAATTCAAAATTATGCAGTCTTGGTTATAATCTCTTGATTTTTTAGGAGAAAGCGTTTTATCTGTTGTTGCTTTTTTAGCAAAAATCCAACCAGCCACACACCACAAAATAACCATAAGCACGATATAAGCAACTTGAATACAAACGTTGCGCTTTTTGTTTGCGCGTATTGCCCTTTTGATTTTCTCCCAGTTGCACAAAGCATTGCCAATAATAGCAATCATGCATTCTGCAATGCAGGTAAACAAGAAAGTTTCAGGAATATTGCTTGAAAAAAACCCACACAAAATGAATGGTAAAACAAAACCAAGAAAAAACCAAAAACACTTACCGCGATTTTCTTTCATGTAACTTATTGAACAACTGAAATCTGGGAACAGCTTCCAACCCGTCCAGAAAGTAATTAAAATCCACCAAATTGCAGCAAAAGTAAAAAAAGCCGGAGCGTTAACCAGCCCAGGTGTTAAATGGCTCCGTGTGCCTAAGTAGTTAAAAATGTACAGTGGTACTAGGAAGTAAAGGAAGAAATTGGCTGCGTCAACAAATCCCCTTTCTCCTGAATTCTCTTTCATTTCGATTCCATTGTACAACAAAACAACGATCAATCCTGCAATGACGAACATAAACCCTGTATCAAACTGAAACGTCAGCTCACTTGGACAGAGATGATAAACGAGGGAAAAACAACCTTCAAAAAATAAAGCCCAGGCAAAAGCATAACCCATGGAAAACGCATACTGTGGTGGGAGATCATTACTATTTCTAAAACGAGAAAATAGTTTTGCCTCCATATACATCACAGAAATAGCTAGAATTAGGCCATGAATCATATATGCTAAGTTGCTAATCATTAAATTGAATGGAATATCATCATACTTGCTGACCCTGTAACAAAAATCATTGTAATAACAAGTGTCTTTGTCTCCTTCTTGTATCATCAGATGCCAGTCGGCGAAAACAAACTGGCCTGCACCAATCATCAACACAAAGCCAACGATACCAGTTATGTATGAGTATGTTTTGGGACCACGTTTGAACCAGTTCCACATAAATTCACAGCATCCTTCCATTCCTCTTTCTCGAGAGGTCAGAATTAAATGTACTGCAACATCAGATTGCATGTATAGTGGGATCGATCCATAATCCGCTCTTCCATTTCCTCCAGTGCTACTCGGCGAAGAATGATGAGTTCCACTGGAAGCTATTGGAAAGCAGCGAATACCGCAGCACGCCACTACGGCACCACAGCCTACTGACAACGCGACCAAGAGAAATATGGGCCAAAAGTAGGAATAATCAAATGATCTTTTCAAAGTTAATGTCACACTCTTAGTCGCCTCATTTGGCGTCTCACCTGTCGCATTCTTAATTGCAATTCCAATGAACCAGCTCGAGGTGGAATCAGTCAATGGTGGAATAGAAACTCTTGACAAAGTAATCCGTCCCTTTTTGGCGAAAGACAGGCGAATCGACTTTCCCTTATAGTCAACAACGTCAATGTTCTCATTGACATCCTTGCAGTCACGTGATACTTTTAGGTAAGCTGGTACGTCGTCAGATTCAGAAGTGACAGTGACGTCAAGCTGCATATCTGAGATGTCTTCTGTTGGGATGAACTGAAATACTTTGATTGGTTTATATGGACCTAAACGGAAAGTCAGTGGTTTATTGAGCACTATTCCTAAAACAGAGCTTTCTACCTGCACTTTAAAAGCAAGGTTTGGTGTTCCTGAGAGTACCAGATGTTTTTCTTGATCTTTGTTATTGTGGTCACGTGACGGACATATGATGAGAGAACTCCAATCCCCTTTCGATTTCCAAACATCCAAGTTGCCCAATAAGTGGGGTTCATCTGCTTCATATACTGATGCATGAAAAAATCCTGTTGGAAGGAATACAAATCCTCAATTTCTGTTATGTGAAGATTTAAATCTTGGTTGATTTACAGTCAAATATACCAGTAATTGTTTAGGATTTTTTCAAATTCTAATGTCAATCGAAGATGGTTATTTGGCAAAATTGCTACTAGTCAGAAATTTTCTATGTTTGTGATTTCATATTTATAAAGTTTGAGCTAAGTCTCAGTGGGGTTAACCAGTCAGCCATGAAAATTTCAACGGTTTGTTAACTGTGAAAAAAGTTTCTTTTACCTGAAACGGAATGAAATTAACTAATAGCTGTTCAATGGCCAAAATTTTAACCAATTGTCGTGAAAGCCATCACCTCCTTGAGACCCTCTTGTTTACTTTTGGTTTTAGGACCTTTTGGCTTGACTTGCTGCAGAGCGTGACAAACTAACGGATTTTTCCACGAAGAAAGCGATTTTAACACCTCAGTCGATTAATGAATTTTAAACAGGGCAGATCATAAATCTAGAATTGAAGCTTTACGTTGAATTAAGGTACCTTGAATAATTACACTGTTAACAACTGTGACAAAGAGGAGCCAAATGTTTGATAAGGAATGCATCACAGCAGGGATGATCAAAGGTTCGTAAAGTACACTCCACTCGTGGTTCGTTGCCGTTCAGCTTTCAGATGCAAATTGTTTTTATCTTTCCGAGAAATTGTTCCTGTATCACTCGCAAACGCAAACAAAACCGGCCTAATTTATTCATGATATCTGTCTATAAAAAGACGACTAGACAATTTAAATTATTTTTCAACAATGAACTAGGATTCCAGTTGAAATTGTTGACTGATTCAAAAGTTGTGGCACAAAAAAAAAGCATTCAACCCGAACTACCTCGATCAAATCGAACTTCTTCCATCTAACCCCAACTGCCTGGATCATTTCCCGGAGAAGGAACACTTAAGGATGTAAAAGGGTCCAAATTGGTCTTCAGTTTTTCCATTTATTGCTGTTCCATTAGCAGTATGGGTGAATCCCTTTTTCGGTGTGTACGCCCACATATTCTATGGTCGGAGTTGATACGAATACAGAATACGAATAAGTTCTTTTGGTACTATGTCAAAACCGATGACTATGCTAAATATACATCAATGTTATCATTTTATGTTAATTTAGCACGTACTTTAACTGACGTTATACGGACTAAGAGTCGCCAAGTTCGTAGTCAAAACAGAGCGTAATAGCGTTTTACCGACAGGTTTCTAAAAAAAACTTTCTAAAATACCACTTTCATAATAATCAGAAACGTTCGAAAAGCCGGCTAGCCGTGAAGCTGATTTTCATGAGAGAAATGTACAGAGGAAACACAAAAATCTGTCTTTGTTTCATGACTAATAAAACATCTGCCTTGGACAGCCTTGGCAACGAAAGCAGGCGTGCGTCCTCTCGATCGCGTGAGATGGCCTCCACGTAAACCCCCAGTACATTTTTCACAACTTTTACTTGAACCACAAGTTTGCAGAATTCATGTGTTAAGATGATAAACCTTTCTTCATCAAATCTATATTTTTAAAATACATCATAGCTCGCGATTATAAAGTGAAGCAGTCGGCCTATTTCCGTCACGAAAAAAAGCACATGATGCTTAAAACGAAGAAAATTTACCCGATATGTCAAAAGAAAGAAGATACGCGCGCTCACCATTCGATTCGCTGTTCACAATTTTGGCTTTCACCTGCAAGAAGCGTTTTTGATGGCTTGATCCACTTGTCTTCACAACACATAAGTGGCTCAGATATTTGGAAGCTGCAAGTCTGCCTGTAATCATGGCAGACATTGTAAGGTTACTTGCCAAGTCTGGCTCTCTGAAAGAGCAATCGACAGTTAACTGGTTTGCTTGTGTTACAAAGGGCAAGAGGTAGACAGGGAACAGCAGGAGTACTGGAAGAAGTGTAGCAGCAACGGCCATGTCGAGACTTCTGACAACTTCCTTTTCATTTTCAATTTATGCGTGCCTACTGTGTTATTCAATAGGGATGTCTAATCCAATCGGGTCACATATCGCTTATAACCTATGCACACAAACCCCTTATTTGGTGCACGCCACTCTTTAAATATCGTCTCGACAGTACATGACATTTCCATAAGTATGTCACACCTCGATGGCTATGCTACAGAGGGTGCCGCGAGTTACGGTTGAAAACTTCCGTCGCTCGAGGAAATGTCGCATGTAATTAAATATTTAAGACAGTGTCACGCGCAGCCAGAAAGGGGATCTTCACGAGAAGTATTTTCTTTCGGAACAATCCCCTTAAGGTACATAATCTTTACTAAACATGACCCACTTCGGAGATTGGGCCTAGCTGAGGGGCTGTATTGGACGCTTTTTATTGTAATATGGAATCAAAAACAGATACTGCATCTTTTTAATAAAAATTATAGCATTGTAAAATTATAAAATTAAAATTATGATTATTAATATTGTTACACTTATCATTATTATTATTATTATTATTATCAACATTACTGTATGAAGTTACCAAAAATAATGACCTTTAGTTGTTCCGCACGTCACTGACCCTTCATGTCTTTTGCGATCAAAAATTGGTATTTGAGAGGCGTGGAAAAGAAATTCACGAGGCGTGATGACGTGTATTTTGGGATAATACTCTGCCTTTTAGTCCACCACTCATTTGTCATTTCGATGATTCAATTTTGGAGGATAATAATTATTATATCGTTAATCCCTGGAACCTTGAAATCCTTACAAAATCGTACGAAATAATTTTTAAAAAAATCAAAAGAATAAAAAGTTTTAAAATAAAAACAGCGATAAAAAAACTATTTTTATATCAAATTTCTTTTGCCTAACACAGTATACCACCATTTTCTACTTGTAAGAACTTTTAAAATTAAGTCGTCGAACCTTCACTCAAAAAATTCCACCACTCAATTTCATCCCAAAAAAATTAAAAGAACGGAATAAAAAACTATTCCAAGTTTGACTTAAATTTCGCAAAAAAGTATCTTTTACACATAAAAGCGTTCTATTTTCTTTGTCCATATCCTATCAAAGCACTCTTTACTGTTGTGCCAAGCTGTTAACTGATTTTTCACATAAAAGAACTGCTCATCACACCACATCTCGCTCGAAGCCTGGACCCTAGTTTCCCACCTTTTGCGCCTACTGTTTCCCTGCTCAGCGATCTGATCCTCTTTCTTTAATGCAACCTGGCCTTGTATTGTAACCTTAGCAGTGGTTGGGTCGCCTTCTTTGATCGTAAATATTTCTTTTCTGATGCTATCATAGATGCGGTTCGTCTCTTTCAGATGAAAACATCCAAGGTCAGTGGTAAATGACAGCTTGTATTCATCTGACAACTGACATGTCTCCAGTGTCCTACATAAAAAAAGAAGCATCTTTCATGGGTGTAATACCATTTTCATGACAACATAATGAAAACGTCGAAGGTTTCATAATAGGTAGGAGAAGTTACCACCCTGCAGTAAAACTATTCCACAGAAAAACTATTCCACAGGGAATATTTTCAGGCGATAAATAATACACCTTTTTTGTTACACAGCTGAATTAAATCCTTTCCTTTATCAATTGAAGGCTCTAGAGAATTTGTTTCCCAACGAATTCTCATGACTGTATCATAATTAAGAATAGCGTGATGGACCAGCAAACAAATATAGAACAAAGTAAACTCGAGAAAACAAAACAGCGAGCGAGACCGTGGTCAAACGACCATATCAGCCAATCAACCAGTTACCAGCGAACAGAGGAAGGAACCAAAATCTAATGTTTAGTTTCGCTAAGTGACAACAAATGTCCAGCTGCGACAGTCAACACCTCTATCAGTTTACCTTGCTTTCTTTGGTCTTCTCCGCCACTCAAAAGGAAGAACTTCGTGTTTATACTCCATCGTTGATTTCATCTCTTGCAATTGCAACTTAGAATCCCTATTTCTGACGTCTTCACTTGATGCTCGAACTGGAAGTAGTAGCTTGCTTTGACTTCCTGTCTTTATAAAGAGACTTGAGGACTGGGGAGAAGGCCACACTAACGGCCATTGGACTGAGGAGAGTGCCAGGCGAATTTTATGACCAGCGGCAACAGTGTAGGCTGTAGAGTCAAGCTTTAACTGCGCATGGATGTTTTCATTGGGTTGAAGAGGTTGAATATCTTCTGAAGCATGACCGCGGAGATGAGTCAAGTTTAGCACTCCTGCGGGAAATTAAAAAATTAACAAACTTCGAAATCATCAGACAAGGTTGAGCACAATGACTTAAATTGAAGTGGCGTGTAGATTAAATTTTAGTGACTTTAAGTCTAGGGTTTTTACCTTGGCTACCGCAAACAAAAAACTTCAAAACATCACGTGACGTAGCTTTAGGCACCCGGTTTGCGGTTTGCAGTTCACGTTTGATCGTGAAATGGGATGTTTTGCGGTAAGCAAATTTACGACAAAGGCTTTCTCATACTTAGGTACTCTTAACCTTAACTAAATTGTAAACGACCAAAGCAAACAGTAAAAGACTGAAAATAGGAAAGTATCAGAAACACCAGGTGGTTTGTTCGTTTAGTGGACCTACCTCTTGTGATTAGCACTGATTCGCCATTAGGAAACACGTCACAAAGTCTGGCGGCTACCAGAGCACTGGGTCTATCACAGCTTATCTCTAAATAAACCTCGGGAAAGCCTACTACTGACACAGGCTCTTTAAGCGTTTTCGTCTCCCAGCACTCCGCCAAAACGTCCTCTATTCCCTGCTCCACCGGCAGATCCTCGAGACCATTTGCAAAAAGAAAACCGCCCCACGCTCCACTGAGATACGAGGACTTGACTGGTACAATGGATTCTGTTGGCTCTTTTTCAATGATTTTTTCGTCTCTATCCGATGCAACTGCCAGTCCCCTATCAGTTTGTAGGAAAAATTCGTGTTGGTGTACATTTGGTGAGGGCCAGCAGTCTTCTGCTATCCATCTCCCTGGCCATATCTCCTTCTGGTGCGCCTTCGAAATGCCTGGGGCCGTAAAAATGGTTGGTCTTAGTACAAACAGATGTTTTTGACAAAAAATCAGAAAAATAAATAAAAAGGCAACCGATGATAACATACCATCCCTCATGTACACCCTCATCACAGGCTCGTCCATGACACCGGTTGGAAGGCCCTTTAAATGGTAGTCCCACCACCTCAAGCACTCTTTTATGTGGTCTATACGAGGCCCTGGCGTGGACACACCAGGCCATTTATGAGGCCACGGTCCAATGAGCGCTCGAACTGGGCACTTCAGATGTTCCACCATACGAAATATAGCATCGGTATAGAGATCAGTAAATCCTCCCACAAGGAACACGGGACACCTGATGGAGGCGTAATCCTCAGAAATGGAACCATGCTGCCAGTATGCATCACGTGACTGATGTGAAAGCCAAATGTGTATCCAGGGTTCACTGGATTTGTTTAGGCGATCCAGCCAAGCTTCCTTCCATCTGTAAGGTTTACAGAAATAATATACTATGATAAACGCCTAAAGAAATTTAATGCAAGATTTATCAGCACGTTACACAAAAATATTTGATGGAGAAGAAATTTTTATTTTAGCTCGAATAAAACAACTACCTTGGCCCAAAGTTCTCAGGATAGGGAGGACGCGCATTATATAGCATCATGAGATGTGACCATGATAACATTTCCCTGCCAAGAATACAGCCACCTCGGTAATGGATATCATCAGCGTATCGGTCATCACTAGAGTCAGCAGATATGATTGTCTTCAATGCTGTAGGTTGTCTGGCAGCTACTTGAAGGCCATTGAATCCTCCCCAGCTTTTACCATACATACCTGCAATTTATAATGGTAAGCCACGAAAATCACCACAGCTTACGAAGAAACTCGCCCTCGTTATTCACGAAAACCACCGGTTGGTCTCCTTCGCGGCTGTTTTGGGATGTCACGTAATGACGCTCTTTCAAAGCTTTGCGTGACATGCTCAAAAAAATTATTGTTCTAAGAAAGTACTCGCAGCAACAGGAATGGTCGCATCAAAAAATAATTTCAGCCGAGAGAAAGTTAATATAGTAGAGACTAGGACGTGCACAAAGGTCTTGGAGTGCATGTTGATTGAGTATCGTAAAAGCACAGCGTAGTAATCACAAAAGCCAGTCAAAGCAAACAGAAAAATTGCGAGGAGCCCATCAGAACTAAAAGAATAAACAAGCAAACCGCTTAAAGCACCAAAAAGTCATCAGTTAACGATGAGTTTCACCTATGCATCTGATTGGTTGAAGGAGGTGTATCATAAAAAAGCATAAAAAGTAGTGAAGCAAAGCCAGTGTTATCTCGAATCACTTTCGAAATTCCTTTGAAAATTGCCCTATTGCAATGGTAAACCCTTCTCAAGTAGTTTTTAGGTTAAATTCAGGTTCAAGGTGCCTGGTTTTTCTTTTCTTTCTCGCCGAATGAAAAGACTCTTCTCTGGTTTTCCGCAAAAATAAAACAATTCCCTCCTTGAGATCATCTAACCTACCAACGTTTCCCGTGCACCAAGGTTGTTGTGAAACCCAGTTGATGACGTCACAGCAGTCATCTTGCTCTTGCTTTTCATATTCATCGTAATAAAATCCTTCTGAGTCCCCAGATCCCCGCATGTCCACACGGACACAAACATAACCATGAGAGCAGAAATATGAATGAACCGTTTCATCCCTCTGAGCCGTGTAGTCAGCGCGTCTGTATGGTAGAATTTCTAGCGAAAATGACAATAAACAAAAAGGAAGCGCAAAGCTTGTCTCAGTATTTCTACGAAGCAAAAAAATATACAATTTTGAATCATCTTTTCTATCGAAATTTGTGTGTCAAGGTTTTTGAGTCTGATGATGACTTCCGCTAAGGTTTTTGGAAACGTCAGTCACCAGTACTTCCCACGCGGACATTACAAGATTACAAATTTGTATTTTCTACTCTCACTCTGTAAAAATTATGACTGGCAATAGCTGCAGGGAGAAATTACAGAAGACAGGGCCATTGAGGTCCATTTTGACGGGACGGTTCGAAGAAGGAGGTTGTTAAAGTGATTCAATAAGATATAAATAAGTGGCCCTGTATTGTGAAATTTTACCAGCTCTTACCCAAAATAGCCGGATATTTTTCAGCTTCTGCGGATGTGCCCGATGTTTTGTCTTCCAGTTCAGGGATCCACAGTTTAGCTGCTAGTCTGATTCCATCTCGCATTGGTATCCAGGCCGTAGGAATTCGATGCACAGAATATGACATATTGATCTGTGCAGTTGAATTCCGCAAATACAAAAATTATGAATAAATAAATGATAATGATAACGATAATATTGTATACGACCAATAATCAAGTTTTGCTCGTGATCAGAAGATGGTGTGATTGTAGGGTGATATTGTCTAAGCCCTCTTCCCTTAAATTCTCGAAGATTCCAGACACGTTCGCCAGTCCTCTAAAAGACTGAAAACACAATGGAACAACCTGTGGGTAAAAAAATTCCGCGCACTGAGCCACAAAGACTCAAAAGTGAGCGAGGTCTATTACAAAGTTCTTATGACACGCGTCCTGCATACTGCTAGGATCAGCAACTTCGTTAGCGTCATGTTTGTAGAGTCTCTGTGGCTCAGTGGTAGAGTATCGGAGTGAATAATCCGATGGTCGGGAGTTCGATTCCTCATGGAGACCCAGAATTTTTTCTTTGTCCCACGCTCGTAACAAGACGAAAAACATCTTTCTCTATTCTCTTTCTTTACCGAGCTCAAAAAATTACCATCTCTCTTATCCTATTCACTTTATGTCTGTTCTCAACTTCGTCTCGGGAAACATTGATACAAAGGGAAAATTAAAGTAATCGTTTCCCTTGAGGGGTGACATTCAGTGTACAATGTCTTGGTAAATATGCAGTTCTTTTAAGTTGAAAACAGCCCATATTTGTGTCGATTTTTTCTTGCAATAAGAATTGTATCCCCATTTATGACAACGAATTAGAACATTTAAGTGTATTTGAAATAACCTTTTCACGATTCACTCCACCGGCCAGTGAAATTTTTCTAACGAGAGATAGGCCTATGAACAATGTTTCGTGACACAATTAGCATATAAGGATTGTTTTTTTCTTTTGAAAAAAATCTATTTCTAGCTCGCGGTCGAGATAACTCTACAATTGAATGAATATTCTGGCGTAATAAGCTGTTTTAAGAATGTCCCTCGGCTTTTAGATGATCTAACATTAATACTAAATGCATTTTCTTTGTATTTTTGGTAGTGAAGAGATAATTTGAGTGAATTTCAAAAACGATAGCAAAAGTAATCAATATTGAAGAGCCCAATGCACAATACGCAGATTGCATTCCATCATATTTAGCAAAGTTTTCACGCTCTATTAATGCGTTCAGTTGATTTTTTGTGTAAATCAGAGGTAGCAAAATGGAAATACAGTTACTGCCCTTTTGAAGAATAACTTTACACTTTACTCACCGTTACCTCTCCGTGGAATTATTCTTCTCTGACACACGAGGGTTCTTTTGAAACCGGCTGTCAACTTGTTTTGAATTCCTTCACACGTTAGGAGCTTGGAGACGAAATATAATTTGACCGGATGTTTTTCACTGGTACGCAACGCTACAGAAGACCTCGATCGTCTACGATGACTGGCTACGAGGTTACTTGGTTGACAGTTCCCGAGATTTCTCATTTTAATTCCTTAAGTAATTTAGAATCATAAAATGAGTTGTTTTCTTTGAAATCCACCGGAAGCGAAAGAACAGAAGCCTCATTTAGTTTTTCGCAGAGACCAGGGCAAATGACAATTATAGTCAGAATGGCTCCTGGTTTTAATACCTCAAAAAGCAAGGATTTTATTTTTTTAAATCCACAGTTGACAAAATTCAATTTAAGTTTTTTTATAGCTGACCGTCCATGTATTTCAGAATCATTCCATTATGTTAAAGCAAAATATTATTAATGGATAATATCCCATCTATTCATTGTTAGCTGATGCGTGAACAGAAAAACGATTGTGTACGGGCAGAACACTCTCATAAAAATCTGCACTAGTAACTCGTTTGCAGATAAGAGTAACACTCGATCCTGCAGTCGAATCAGGCTATTGTCTGCGACAGTAAATGGCGTCTCGATAATTTGAATTTGTTCGCGACCAACATTTTACCCAGGTCATATTTGTAGCTGAAATGAAGAATCCTTCCCATCGCTTGGCCGTGGAAGGTCTGGGTACGAGACTGCTTTGCAACGCAACACAATCATGTGACAACTTCCTTCCACCGAAAAAAACTGATACCCCTTTCACACCAGCAAAATATGTTTAGATGAACGAGGCTTACCTGAACTTAAACCAGCAATATTAAACTGAAAAACTAAATTTTACATAGGGTTCAAGAAGTAACTAACTTTTATTATCGTGAATACTTTTAGAAGACAAATAAGCCTTGGATAACAAATGTTTAAAAAAGTTAGCGATGATAAAATCAATATTTTGACGACTCCAAAAAACAATTTTCTCCCTAAGCAACAACTGTAAAGATCACTTGCAGCCGCTGAAAAGTTTCACCGATTACTTTCATCCTAAAATCTAAAGTCAACGAAATATGTTTAAAAATAATTTTGCTTCATAAAATTCTCACAGGTTAGATCTAAATTTTCTCTTTATTGCTGAAAAAACCATTAAACATAAAAGCGTTCTATTTTCTTTGTCCACGTCCTATCAAAGCACTCTTCACTGTTATGCCAAGTTGTTAATTGACTTTTCACATAAAAGAATTGTTCATCACACCACATCTCGCTCAAGGCCTGGACCCTAGCTTCCCACCTTTCATGCCCACTCCCCCCCTGCTCAGCGATCTGATCCTCTTTCTTCAACGTAATAACGCCTTGCATTGTAACCTTAGCAGTGGTTGGGTCGCCTTCTTTGATTGTAAACATTTCTTTTCTGACGTTTTCGTAGATGCGGTTCGTGTCTTTCAGATGAAAACATCCAGAGTCAGTGGTAAATGACAGCTTGTATTCATCTGACAACTGACATGTCTCCAGCGTCCTACAGAAAATGAATTAAAAAAGGCTGCATCTTAACTGGGTGCTCATGGTAAAAAAAAAAGTTGAAAGTCTGATAACAGGGAAGAGGAATTTCTCACGATGCAGGGGAAATATTCCAAAAGAGTTGCACCAAGATTTTACAGAAGATAAATAATAAACCCTTTCATTGCTACATAATTTCATTGAACTCTTTCCTTTTGATAAATTGAAGGCTGAAAATGTTCATCACCGCATATCAGTAATTAGTTGATGTGACCTTCCGACCAGCTGTGCATTAGATTTAACAACAAAACTGTGAAATTCAGTCTCTGCAAGAGGCAATCAAAAACATCGACAAAAACAAATTTCCAGCTGTAGGAGTCAGCAACCTTTAAAGTTTACCTTTCCCTTTTTGGTTTTCTCCTCCACTCAACAGGGAGAATCTCGTGTTTATATTCCATCAGTGACTCTATTTCTTGCAATTGCAACTTGGAATCTTTTTTTCTGACGTCCTCACAAAATACTCGAATTGGAAGTAGTAGCTTGCTTTGACTTCCTGTTTTTATAAAGAGACTTGACGACTGCGGAGAAGGCCACACTAACGGCCAGTGGACTGAGGAAAGCGCCAGGCGAATTTTATGACCAGCAGCAACAGTGTAAGCTGTAGAGTCAAGCCTCAACTGCGCACGATAGTTTTCATTAGGCTGAAGAGGCTGAATATCTCCTGATGAATGACCACGGAGATGAGTCAAGTTAAGCACTCCTGCGAGAAAATTAAATAATAAGCAAAATATTTTAACATCATCCAAAGAGATTGAACTCGGCGTGAAGATCAATTAATAGTGACTTTAAGTCTTAGGATTTTTATCGAGTACTGCGAAAGGCAAAACGTCAAAATATCGCGTGACATAGCTCTTGGCGCGGGATTTTCAGGCTGGGTTTCACGTCTGAAGGGAAGGAGTGCTGTTTTGCGTTAAGTGATTTGAGACAAACATTTTCCTACTTAAACACACTAAACTCACTTTCTATTGTTATTTATTTCTTATATATCTTAAATACCATCTGAACATTTAAGTTTTGTTGCGCAACAGGAAATAAGGAGAAAATTATGCGTTTAGACCTTAAACTCTCAGCCGATTCTGTATTCCTTCGACTTTTTCCGGAGAAAGGGCATACATTGGCATTGTGCTTTCCTCTCGCACTGAACTATTTAAATTAACTATGCATGTGGCTGCAGCTTTGTTGAGTGTACATACCTCTTGTTATTAGCGCAGATTCGCCATTAGGAAACACGTCACAAAGTCTGGCGGCGACTAAAGAACTGGGTCTGTCACAAGTAAAATGTAAATGAACCTCGGGAAAGCCTACTACTGCTACAGGCTCTTTAAGCGTTTTCGTCTCCCAGCACTCCGCCAAAACGTCCTCTATTCCCTGCTCCACCGGCAGATCCTCGAGACCATTTGCAAAAAGAAAACCGCCCCACGCTCCACTGAGATACGAGGAGTTGACTGGTACAATAGATTCTGTTGGCTCTTTTTCAATGATTTTTTCGTCTCTATCCGATGCAACTGCCAGTCCCCTATCAGTTTGTAGGAAAAATTCGTGTTGGTGTACATTTGGTGAGGGCCAGCAGTCTTCTGCTATCCATCTCCCTGGCCATATCTCCTTCTGGTGCGCCTTCGAAATGCCTGGAATCGTAAAAATTGTTTAGTTTTGGTACAAACAGATGCTTCTGGAAAAAAGATCAGACAAACCGATGATAACATACCATCCCTCATGTACACCCTCATCACAGGCTCGTCCATGACACCGGTTGGAAGGCCCTTTAAATGGTAGTCCCACCACCTCAAGCATTCCTTCAGGTGGTCTACACGAGGCCCTGGTGTGGCGATACCAGGCCATTTATGGGGCCACGGTCCAATAAGCGCTCGAACTGGGCACTTCAGATGTTCCACCATACGAAATATTGCATCGGTGTAGAGATCACAAAATCCCCCTACAAGAAACACGGGACACTTGATGGAGGCGTAATCCTCAGAAATGGAACCATGCTGCCAGTATGCATCACGTGACTGATGTGAAAGCCAAATGTGTATCCAGGGTTCACTGGATTTGTTTAGGCGATCCAGCCAAGCTTCCTTCCATCTGAAAGTTTCCCCAAGATGATATAGTTAAACAAATACATCAAGGGATTTTGTGCAAGATCTATCTGCACGTCAAACGTGGATATCTCGATAGAAAAAAGAAATTTTTACTCCAGCTCGGTTAAAACAACTACCTTGGTCCAAAGTTTTCAGGATAGGGAGGGCGTCCATTATATAGGAACATGACATGTGACCATGATAACATTTCCCTGCCAAGAATACAGCCGCCTCGGTAATGGATATCATCAGCGTATCGGTCATCACTAGAGTCAGCAGATATGATTGTCTTCAATGCTGTAGGTTGTCTGGCAGCTACCTGAAGTCCATTGAATCCTCCCCAGCTTTTACCATACATACCTGCAATTTAAAATGGTAAGCTACGAAAATCGCCACAGTTTATATGGAAGCTCGCCCGCGTTATTCACGAAAATAACGCTCTAGTCTCCTTCGCAGCTGTTGCATAGGATGTCACGTAACGACGCTCCCTTAACGGGTTGCGTGACATCCACGAAAAGGGCTTCCAGACAGGCCGTAACACTGTCTAACTTTGAAACAATTAGTGTGAAATCGTTGATTGGGTATTCCAATCAATAAAGGTTCTTCCGAAGAAAGATTTACTTTTAAAATTCATTGAAAGCTCAAGGTCTAACTGTATGAGGGTGGTAGTAGAAGCTAAAGCAGGAGGGTCCTATAAGGGGTTCGTTCCAGTCAAGAGTGCATTCCGATTAAGTATCTTAAAACCAAAACGATAGTTATCACAAAAGCCAATCAAAACAAAGAGTAAAATCAAAAAAGTCAATCAGAACTCAAAATAAGAACAAAGCAAACGCCCGAAGGAATATGTCACCAAGTCACCTTGTAGGTTTTCTACGAAAATAAAATAATTGTCTCTACGAGATCAGCTAACCTACCAACATTTCCCGTGCACCAAGGTTGTTGTGAAACCCAGTTGATGACGTCACAGCAGTCATCTTGCTCTTGTTTTTCATATTCATCATAATAAAATCCTTCTGAATCCCCAGATCCCCGCATGTCCACGCGGGCACAAACATAGCCATGAGAGCAGAAATATGAATGAACCGATTCATCCCTCTGAGCCGTGTAGTCAGCGCGTCTGTATGGAAGAATTTCTGGAGAATATGACGATAACTTTAAAACAAACCAAAAAACAAAGAAAGTTTCTTTTACAGGAGTACACACTGATAAGCGACGAATTCTCTTTTAAGCCTTTAATATCTCCCTAGTCGTAATATGTTTACAAGCTCTTGCAAGCTAGGTATAACTAATGTTTTTACCTCACGCAAACCCAAGTGCATGTAGGCGCTGTATTCAAAATCTTTAGCCCATTGATAAGTTCATTTGCCGATATGTTTATTTACCTAAAATAGCCGGATATTTTTCAGCTTTTACAGATGTGTCCAATGTTTTATCCTCCAGTTCAGGGATCCACAGTTTAGCTGCCAGTCTGATTCCATCTCGCATTGGTATCCAGGCCGTAGGAATTCGATGCACAGAATATGACATAATGATTTGTGCAATTTAATTCTACAAATAGAAAAGGTATAATTCGTTCTAATCAAAAGCGTGGACAAAGGGAAGGAGGAGGTTTAGATAAGTTATCTGAAACCAACCAGACAAGTTTATAAAGTAGTTATTTAGTCAAGAGAAGATGACGTACGAGAACTTAACCCATACACAGTGATACTTTTGAAAGACTATTTCAAACTTCACGCCACGCTGGGAACTGAGTCAATTTATTTGTAGATCCCATGATGACAAGACTAAATGATATCTTTGCGGTTGCCAGGGTTCAAGTTTCTTCCACTTCGCTCTCTCTTGTTTTGGTTAAGAAACAAAATCAGCCCGAAAAAATATCAGGCTTCGACGAGCATCCTGAAGAATAATTAGGCGCCTTTATCAACTGAGCCACGAAGCCACGTGCAAGGCAAATTTTGATAAGTTCTTCGTTCCTGTGAGCGAATCTGGTCACAATTTGAAGGAATAAATTACACTTGGACTCACGAATTAGAAGTATCCAGTCCTGTCTTCACTTAACAGTAAAGGCAAACGCGCGCGCGACGTGCGCATAACGGGTCGTAGGTAGGGGGAGATGGGAAAAAGGAACCTCTTGCGCCTGGAATTAATTTTTTTTAAACGCGACCCCGTGAACGCCCGATCAAAATTAAGAATACACTAGGAACAAGTCGGATCCTGCATGAGACATGGTTTTCTAGACCTCAATTACAAAGAAGCAACAGCTAAAGCAAAACTTGGAACTCTGTTTAAAAGAGGAGAAACTGTGTCAAATGCTATTTAGTCAGATCGAGACTACAGATGTTAACGAGAGAAACAAACTTAATTTGGAACCTATTACCAGCTAAGCGTGGACCATGTAATCATGAACGGAGGCATAAAAGAGTTTACTCGCTGCCATTAATCACGGCTAACAGATTTAAGAACTCACTTATTATTATGCACCATGCAGCCAAGGCCACTTGATAGTTCAGATTTCATTACTATATTTATCGTATGTGTATAGATTATCCATTGTTTTAAAACATGTAATTCAGTCTCACGACTGCCAGATGTTATTTTAATAAACGACTTATCTCTCTCTCTAAGATTTCTAAATTTTTCTCACATGATTCACTAGCTCTTCAGTCTAAACTGAGTGTTACTACTCCTATTTTTGAATGAGATTGCAGAATTCAAGACGAAAAAGGAAGCGATAGAGAAAAAAAATCTAGGAGAAACCGAAAGAGAAAGGAGACAAAGCAACTTTTGTTTTTTAAATGTTAAGGAAAAATGATCCCGCTCAAGTGACAACTTCCTATGCATCGTCACTGCACACCATGCTTCACCAGCTTCATAATTCACCCACAATGATCACTTGCGATATGTTAATAGGAAATGTTTGCTAAATAATGCTGTTCTTGCATACTTTAGAAGAAATCGTTCGGACAATGTCACGGGACATTTTTATCGCCCTGTGATCCAAAAACAGCTCGTGTACGACCCGCAAGGTCACCGGGAATTAGGTCCAACTGATTTGTTTATGAAATCTCCTTTCTTATCAATCATCATAAACCTCCAAGTTGTCTTAAAAGGATCATGTATAATTTCATTTTCCGATGATTATTGTTTCTTATGTAAAATTTCATATGCTAATCCGTCTCACAAGTGTTAAGATTATATTACCAGCGAGAATATATTCTGGCACGATAAGCAATTTTAAGGTTGCTCTCGACGAATGGATGATGTTCCTATAAAACTAGAAGTCTTTAGGTTCTATATTTGGTGGTGAAAGGATAATTTGAGTAAAACCAACAACAATATTAAAAGTGGTCGATACTGATGAACTCAGGTCATTTTTAATCTCATTTGGCAGAGTATTCGTGTTCTTTCAATGCGTTCATTCGATTCCTTGTGTCAATCAAAAGCGGAAAGATTACAAATACTGTTCTTTTGAAGAATTACTTTTACTCTTCACTTACCGTTATATCTTCGTAGAATTATTATGCTGCCAAACACGAGGGTACTTTAGACCGAAGCCGGCGGTCAACCACTAACAACTTCTTGTTTTTTTTAAAATTCTTACACGGTAAGAGCTTGGAGACGAAATTTGACCAGATGTTTTCCAATCTCACGCAACGCTACCAAAGAGCACGGACCTCGTCTACGACTGTTGGGTACCACGCGCACTATTTGGATACCGGTTCCAGAGGTGTTTTTTTTTTTTTTTTTTTCCTAATTACATTTGAACTTCTTCCGTTCTCGTCAAGGGATCAACGTAACTGACAAAAACCGTGGAGTTTCATTCCGCATAGAACAAGTGATTTGAATCCCTTCAATTCATCGATCACTGATGTGTGACCAGAAAAACAACTTTGCAAGGGCAGAAGGCTCTCTAAATAATCTGCAGTTGTAAATCCTTTGCAGCTTGGAGTAGCGGTTGAACACGTAGTCGAACAAAATTGTCCACGACTATTTGAGGCCCGCCGTTTCGAAAACCTGAACGGAAATCAACCTCAGAGTCAAGTGAATTGTATACTAGTGGAGTGTCTGGCGCCTGGTTCTTGAAAACTAAGTGGACTGAGCAAGACCTCCTCGAGATTACCCAAAAAAAATATCTGAAGTGAAAAATTAGCTGTACATTGACATACACCTAGTTGCAATAATTTGTCAAAGGAAAAAAGCGAACAGAAAAAACAATATACAAAAAAGCCAAATAGGACTGGATTTATTGGCATATAACACTTCCCTCTGATTACAAGTGATATAGGCCCGGCAGCCGGACAATTTTCACAGAGTTCTTTTTGCCTTTTTTTTTTATTACAACGTTGCTGCAATTTGGTGTGTATTTATACAGTAACTCTACACTCTAGGTATCAGGCCATTTGCAAACAGTATTAGCATGGAAAGGAAAAGAGAGATTTTTTGTGTTTGTTGTTGTTTGCGACCAAACGCACTCGTGAGACAACATCCTTCCGCAGCGACCAAAACTTCACTGATTAATTCATGCGTCAATCACAAACCCATCTTGCTCTCGCGCGAATCATTACTACGCAGGAACTGATCTCTCGCGTTATGGTTAACGTACGCGCTACTTGTGCTAACGTTGAAGCCAACTGTTTTCCAAATTGTTACCAATATCTGGACCCAGGGTGCGATTCATGGCATTTGAGCAAAAGTGGCGTTCAAATGCTTCGTTCCCCTTGAAAGAAAGAGGGTGAGATGGACGTGGAAAAAACTAACTATTGACTAAATTGTTTTTAGAGTGTAATTCTAACAGGTTTGAAGGAGACTTTCTCTCGTAGTTTGTTGTTGTCGATAGAATGTCATTAAAAAAAAAATCTGTGCAAAAACAGAAGAGCTTGCTAGGTAGTCTTGGGTGATTGGCAGCCATAGGGTTGTTCTTAGCCTCGGAGGTAGGTGTAACCACCAAATGTCCCAAGCTATCTTACTCGTCTTCAAAAATTGTGCATTAACAAAAAATTTGATCAGTTAGTAATTGACTAATGTTAATATTCACTGCAGAGACCTGATATGGGAACATTCAAATTATTCTTTTTAGATGCGATTTGATCCGCTCCTCTCCAGTTTAATTTGTTTTGTAATATGCTCTAAGATTATTTCGTTTTGTTTGGAGAATTTTGACTTAATCCGCGTTTCTGATCGATTGTTTGCAACATGCATTGGATTACTTTACAGGTAAGAGTATTTCTCGGTCGAGATGAGCAAACTTTTACGAGGCTCCTCTCAGTTTAATTTGTTAATGATGCTGAATTGGAGTAATAAACGCAGTTTTTCTTTCTTTAAACCTCATATTACCGCAAAATGATTTCTGTGGCGATATCACAAGACGTCGATATTGGTAACACTAGCACACAAGAAGCAGCTTATATCATATCATATCACGCGACGCTTTCGCGTTCTGTTTACGTCGTTTATGGCACACACAACTGCTCAAGTTATTGTTCAGACTATATTTCTTAAGTCTACCTGTTACATGAAACTCACCCTTTCTGTCTCCGTAGACTAAATCCCTCTCCCAGACAAGACGGCGACTCGCTCAGCTGAAGCGCATGAAAATAATTTACGGATCTGTGAGGTTCTTTTGTTTCCGTCAGATTCTCAGACGATAAGAGCCTGGGGACGGAACTTAACCGGGTGTTTCACCAACACAACTCCTCAGAAGGATCAACTCGCGGGCCTTGTTACGCGGGCTTTCCGAAGGAAACGCCCGAGGTATAAATTCGGCTTGGTTTTTTTTTTTTTTTTTTGCGTTTAGTCACAAAACGCAGTTCCATTACAACGCATGCGTAGAATGAACCTTAGAGCGTATGGTTTTAAGCAATGGCTGCCTTATTGGGCAATTCCTTGCTTGATGTACGCGAAAGAAATTCGATGGCTATTACGCTCAATATTCATACAAAGTCACGCACCGTTCGCGGTAGACCCACACTAAAACTTGTGGAGCGTTTTGGAAACGGGTCGGTCCGCGAACTTTACGAGAGATCAGTCAATTTACGAGCGATCCTTTACGAGTGAACTTTCTATCGAGAAATATCAAGCGAGACCTGCTATATCAAACGAGCTATCTAACATTACATAACCGTGTTTACATTACATAACCGTGTAAATATTATGTTTACAATTACATAACCGTGTATTTGGACGTGATCGAGAACCCAGTAGAATACCAGAAGCTACTCTAAAACGTCTCAGAAGAAAGGGCAGAAAACTGAAGGAATTTGTTTTTGAGCGTATTCGTCCAAGGATACCGAAGTCCTCTTGACTATGTCGTTATGTAAAGGTTATTAGAGTTACAAAGAATGTTTGTAAGCTTAATACGAAGAGGGTAATATTACATAAAGTGACACAACATGAGAAGAAGTATTTGTTGCATTGTTCTGTGAGGGTATATCAAAGGATAATTAAATTGGAGTGTAATGAATTGGGTACAAATAAACATCGGTAATTTATCCATGTTCTCTTGAAATTAGAAGATCCTAATAGAACTATGTGTCTTAAAAAGAGGCCCGTCAGACACACGTATCAAACTATTGGTAAATTTCAACTGAGTTCAGATATCGAGAAAATCCCATGGTCCTGCTCCAATGTACACTGATCCTAGCAAAACAATAACGGCACCATAAAATAGCCAATCGAATGAGTTGGTATTAGAACAAAATTCAGGACAACAATGTGTTGGTCAATGAGTTTAAATAAACATCCGAGTTTTTAGATTTAAAATTCAATAACAAACAAGGAATCAATTTTTCTGCTGATGATCTCGTGTCAATAATGAATACTGGAAATCGGTTGTATTCAAGTTTGTCTCAGTTGAGCAGACAATCATTTTTAATGCAGACAGAATTACCAACACTTTTAAATGTGTTAGAGACTGACTATGAACTTCAATACAGTGAGAGCTACACTGGTACTATTCATCAAGAAGCTACAATAGAAGGATGTCAGTACTGTACCTCCTTAGATAGAGCCTTTCAATCATTTATATCCGAAAATTTCAACAATTTTGTATTGACAATAGGATGTTCTGCAGTTGCTATCTATTGTAAAGGTAATGTGGGCATTGAAAGTCCTTGAATTTCAACCTTTGGCATCTGTAGGAACCTACTCCTATATGGTAATATATTATTTTGATTGTTGTCTAGTACCATAACAACATTCATTACACTCCAGCGGACAAAAATAAACACAAGTAGACTTATTCATGACCGGCAATGACGAAATTGCTTGACGACTGTAACAGTGGCAATATGGCAGTCCCCTAAATATAACTCCAGATGTGCGATATTGAAAGCCCGAGTTCACGCAGCTATGCGTCTAGTTTGAGTATAAAACGAAGCTTCCTGTGAAAGTCTTTTGTCTCAGCGATCGTCAGCAGCCGTAATAGATCCCGATCTTCGCGCTGCCAGCGATTGTTCCCCAGGAAGAGAGCCTCTAGAAAGAGTTTTATCGAGTTTTCCCTCGTCCGTCCAAATATTTGTGAAGACAAGAAACCTGTTTTTACACTACTCTGATCCGAAATATTCTTCCTCTTTTTTATTCTTTCCTTCACCAGATTTTGGTAACGAAACGAGTAGTTTCCTTTGCAACTTATCTGTTTAATGTCTGAATAAACCGAAGAACGTTCACTGAGGGGACCTCAAAACGAGTCGCTCTCTCTAACTTCCTTTAAGACTTAATCGGTAGAAGAAGCACTCATTTCCACTCACGGTTATGTGCTGTGTCGTGAAATGATCTTTGCTACTAAATAGACGATGGTTTTCATGGTTTTGAGCCAAGCAGCGTATGCAATTTCACCTCTTTAGGACAGTAGCTCAGCTTCCACCGGGAGGAGTCTGGGAGCTACTAAAGGGTGTGTTTAGGCGCCGGGTGTGTGGTCTTCATATTTCATGCTCATCCTTGTAGTGGTCGCGCTCGGCTAGAATCAATCGGGTAATAAATGTTACATAAATACATCAAATTGCAAACCTTGATTCTCAAAACCAGGTTTGATGGCATTCATATGATTTGAAGAAAATGAGCCTCTCCTTCACCTGTTGTATTCTCCAGTGAATTGTTAAGTTTTAGGGACATTTGACTTCCTCCACTTAACCCTTTGACTCCCAAGATCTGATTGATGATTCTCCCCTTTAGCTGCGATACATTTCCTCGTAAATTAGTTGAAAGAATTTGGTGTTTGATCAAGACAACATCTACCTAATAAGTTTTAGTATTCTCACCACCATTTTGTTGGATGATGTTTGGATATGATAAGGAGAAATTAAAAATTAATCAGCCCTGAGAGCGAAAGGGAAACTAACTCCCATCAAATTGCAAAGGAATAAACCCTTTCAATAACACCTCTAATGGTGTTAGTGAAGAGGGAATAATCAAGTTGTTTTGAACAGGTGGGAATGAAATCTAGTCAAGCTTTCATTGTCTTTCTCTTTTATATATATTAGTATTGTTTGTGAAATGTACCTTTGGCTTAAGAGAGTATTTAAAATTAAAATAACATGTCTTGCACACAATGGCGGAGCAATGTACTTTTATGGCAAGTAATTTGGTGTTAACAGCTGAGTTGAAAATGTAAATTAGCCACCTCAGAGAGTAAAAAAGCTGACGTTTCGAGCATTAGCCTTTCGTCAGAGCGATTGACAAAGGGTTAATGCTTGAAACGTCAGCTTTTTTACTCTTTACGGTGGCCAATTTATGTTTTCAGCTCACTCACCAAGTTACCACACAGCACCACAGTTCCTTTAAAAACTTACCCCCTTTATTCAATGTACTCTTATGGTCTAGTTTCAGCATATTTATGAAAGATAGCTGCTGTACATATAGAACTTTTACGCAGAATCCCAATCAATATTATAAGACTTCAAGAAGTTATTTGTAACATACCATTAACTAAGGTACAGGTGAATTTATAAACATACTGTGTAGCTCAATGAGTCTTGATTGGCTTATGTTGCATATCAATTTAGATTAAAACACTGATCATTCAACTCACTCTCCACTATTAATATGAATTAATAATTAATCTATAATTAGTTATTAATTAATAATTATGTTAGATACTTTGATGTTTAATAGTTTTGTTCAATACTATGACAAGTAACCATTTATTTAAACACAAAATCGTTCTATTTTCTTTGTCCATGTCTTATCAAAACATTCTTCATTGCAATGCCAAGCTGTCAATTGACTTTTCAAATGAAAAAACTGTTCATCACACCACATCTCGCTGGAAGCCTGGACTCTAGTGTCCCATCTACTGTGTCCACTGTCCTCTTGCTCAGCAGTATGACCTTCTTTCTTCATCATTACTTGCCCTTGTATGTGAACCTTGGCTGAGCTTGGATCCCTTTCTTTAATTGTGAAAGTTTCTGTATTAATCTCATCATAAGTGGTGTTCGTATCTTTCAGATTATAACATCCATTGTCCAGGGTGACAGTCAGTTTGTAATTGTCAGAGAGCTGGCCAATTTCAAGATCCCTTGAAAAAGAAAATAAAAAGTGATTACAGCAGGAGTAGGAAGAGAAGGAACCTTGGGAGCAATGAGAAGGATTGTTACCCTACCCTCCCCATGCCCCCCACTTCTCCCCCACCCTCCCCAAATGCAATCCTTGTCTATCACAAGTAACTTCCCACATTTTCATCAGGTCTCTTAAAGGGCTTAGAGCAATTACTGGGGATTTTAAAGTATCCTAACTGATAGTTTTCTTGATCATTTAAAGAGAAGGAATCTGGGTAAAGGCTGAACACACCCATTGTTATCCCTCTAATAGAGCCTTCTGATAGTCCAAAGATTTAGAGCTAAAAATCTGTACATTCTAATATCTTCAAGGAGTGCATGGAATGGTGAAATTTTCATTTAACAGCAATTAACCTTATTTCATTACAGTCTTCTCACTATTATTTCTAATCAGGAGTTATGATATTACCTTCCCTTATGAGGCATCCTCTGCCATTCAACAGGAAAATGGATGTGTTTATAGTCAGGCAATTCAAAGTCTTTTAGCTGAGCATCCTTTTCACTAACTTCTTGATTTGCAGTTCGGACAGGAATTACTAGCTTGCTCCTACTTCCTGTCTGTATTGATAGACATGACACCTGTGGAGAAGGCCAAACATATGGCCAGTGAACTGAGGAGAGAGACAGGCGAAGTTTATGTCCAGCAGCAACTGTGTAGGCTGTAGAGTCAAGCTTTAACTGTGCATGATACAGTTTTTATTAGACTGAAGAGGCTGAATATCTTCTGATGAATGACCACTTATATGGGTCAAATTCAACACTCCTGCAATAAAGACAAATTGTAATGGAGATAAAGCACCTGGACTTCAAACTTTTGCTCAGTTTGTGGGGAGTTGGGCTAAACTGTTGCTTGACATTCCGCCCAAGAGAGCTAGTTAAACAGACATCTGATGAAAGGCTAATGCTTGAAATGTCAGCCTCAGAAATTCTCTATGATGGTCAACATGGTTGATGGTACCCCTCCAGCTTCAAAGTTTCTTTTGAACTTTATCCCCTTCAAAAAGCGGTAACATAAGTAAATTATGGTACAGTGGCATACAGAATAATCTTTTCCATCTTTCAGCCAAGTAATATTCCCATATTATCATAAAATGTTAAACACCTCCCATAAATGGCTGGATCTGTTTACAGGCACTCTGTGATTCGCCAAGAATGATCAAGTTACTCTTTCAATTAACCTATAAAATGCATGACAAGGAGTGCTCTAATCAGATTTGTGCTGTTCACTATTGCTGTGAAAGACTGAAAGAATTATTCTTAAAAAGCTGGAAGTACTTGGTTCTTCTTGGTCTGTTTGTTTAATTCATTCATTGAATTGTTTGTCTAGAAGGTAGATAGTATACCTCTTGTGATTAGTGCAGATTCGCCGTTTGGAAACACATCACATAGCCTGGCGGCTACCAGAGCACAGGGCCTATCAGAACTTAGCTGCAGATGCACCTCAGGAAATCCCACTATAGCAGTAGGTTTATTGAGCATCACTGTCTCCCAGCACTCAGACAAATTGTCCTCAAATCCCTGCTCAATTGGCAGTTCATCGAGACTAAAAGCCAATGGCAGACCACCCCATGATCCACTAAGAAATGAAGATTTGACAAATACATTGGATTCCACTGATTCTTGGCCAGTGGCTTGTTCATAGTTCTCTGTTGTTAGTGCCAGTCTTTGGTCATTGTGTAGTATGAATTCTTGTAGCTGAACATTGGGTGAGGGCCAGCAGTCTTCAGCTACCCACCTGCCCGGCCAAATATCTTCCTTGTGTGCCATTGAAATTCCTTCAAGAGAAGAAAGCAACAAGTTTTCTCACCTCCAAAAAATCAATATTCCAAATTCTGTATAAACAAAAGGATTTTTGCTTCATAAATTTGAATAGCTGGCTCGTAAAAAATAAAAATTGACCAAAGGACAGTCAAAACTGTTGGGAGCCTAAGACATCATACCATCCCTCAAGAACATCCTTATTAGAGGTTCCTTCATGACATCAGTCGAAAGGCCCTTTAAATGACAGTCCCACCACCTGACACACTCTTTAAGATGATCTATCCGAGGCCCTGGTGAAGAATCTGCAGGCCATGCATGGGACCATGGCCCTATGAGAGCGCGGACAGGACAGTTAAGATGTTCCACCATGCGGAATACTGCATCAGTGTAAAGATCACTATATCCACCAATCAGAAACACAGGACATTTTATTGAGGTGTAATCCTCAGCTATGGAACCATGCTTCCAGTATGCATCACGTGACTGATGTGAAAGCCAAATGTGTATCCAGGGTTCACTGGATTTGTTCAGACGATTTAGCCACATTTGTTTCCATCTGTGAATTTAAAGAACATAATGAAGTTGATTCTGATATATATATTTTTTGAGTCAGTATACTTCTTGCTTATTTTTTTCCAGCCCCTGACAATTCCCAGATGGGATCAACTTAGGCCCTACATTTATAGGAATACCAAAGACATTGGTCTTTAAAAAAATCACTAGGCTGAGCTAACTTTTTATAAACTAGTACAAGCTTATATCTTATTTAAAGGAGTACCAGTATGACATAATTTTTTTACAAAGGGGGGAACTAGGACAAGAGGGGGGCATCAAGACATGAGGTGAGCAGGTAGCAAGAAGAAGACCACCAAGGCTGAAAAAGAGAGGTTATGAAGAACTGGGTGGAGGGCATAGAATGAAGTGGTCACAGCTATAAAGGATAGAGCAAGCTGGAGATAGCAATGGAACAGCCCTATTCTCTACTAAGAAAACAAAACCATAATAATGACTCTTTTCAATAGCATGCATGTTGAAAGCAAAAAAACGATTTTGAAAAAAACCTTGGGCCTAAGCTGTCTGGATGAGGAGGACGTGCATTCCATAGGAACATGATGTGAGCCCAAGATAACATTTCCCTGCCAAGGACACAGCCACCACGGTAATGAATGTCGTCAGCATATCGGTCATCAGTGGAATATGTAGAGATGATGGTCTTGAGTGCACAGGGTCGTCTAGCAGCTACCTGAAGTCCATTGAATCCCCCCCAGCTTTTACCATACATACCTGACAAAAACAAAATTAATTGTAAAAAAGTAGCACACAGAGGCAGCCAAGTATATCACTGATGTTCTTTCCACATTTTGACATTTTTGTGATCTATTACTATGGTGAACTAATTTATTTGTTTCTATGATCAAAGGGGAAATGCCCTGGAATTTAAAATGTGGGAACCAAAATTTTTGGAACCAGTACACCAAATGGTTGAACCATAGTTACAATCTTAGCTGGTGCACAAGGTGTGGCTTTAAATAACATCACAACATCTCATCTTTGCTCTTAACATCACAGCTCTTGCTCTTGCTTTTCATATTCATCGTAATAAAATCCTTCTGAGTCCCCAGATCCCCGCATGTCCACACGGACACAAACGTAGCCATAAGAGCAGAAGTATGAATGGTTCTTTTCATCCCTTGTAGCAGTCCAGTCAATGCGGCGATATGGAAGAAATTCTAGGGAAGAAAAAATTTAAATAGCTGAAATGAAATTTGACCTCCTATTTGCAGAAGACCTTTTACAATGTGCTGACAAATTGAATGCTTTGAACAGTGCTTAAAAATCCTGACCTAGTACGGCTGGATATTTTCCTTCTTCTGCAGGTAAGTCAGTTTTATTAATTGGTTCTGGAATCCACAGTTTAGCTGCAAGTTTGGTTCCATCTTGCATTGGGATCCACTCTAAGGGGATGCGCTTCACAGTATAGAACATACTGGTTTATGGAATGAAGATTCTAAAATAATAAGAGCCACTTTAACCCTTTAACTCCTGAAAGTGATTAACATGTAAGTTCTCCCTATAATATCCATACATCATTCAACTAACAGGTAACGAGAACACTCAAACTAATCAGGTAGAAGTTATCTTGACTAAACATCAAATTCTTATAACTTATTTACAAGGAAATGTGTGCAGCAGCTAGAGGGGAGAATTAACAATTAAACCTTGGGAGGGAAAATTTTGGTGAAGGTTAAAGGGGTGTTGGGGGGGTTGGGAGAGGTGATCTCATCAAATGTCCAATTTCAGGCAGGGGCTTAGTAAATGAGCCAGGCCTGCATTTCTCAGATTGATTGAGTGGTGAATCACATTGGATACAATGCAGCAATAGAAATAAAATTTGGTTAAAAAATATATCTTTCAAAGAAAATGTTTAAAACAAACATTGCAAGAAATCAATTGAGTCCATAAATTTGAGATCTAGACCAACAAGTTGAATATCTTACTATATACGTAATCAAATGGTTGCGAGATCAACAGCATGCAAAATTCAATTTTCAGAGAAAAAAAAAAAGCACTCACCTTTACGATGGCTCTTTCACCTTTCTTTAGTCTTTGAATTATTTACTTCAGCTTATTTTTGGCAACTTTGCTCAAAATAATTTGATTACAATTACGAAATGTCTTGATTTGAGATTACAATATCAGAAATCAGAACGACCAATGTCTTGCTGAAATTCTCGGCTGAGAGGATATAAATATCGCCAACTGCTCCGCTGGTTTTTAGCAAAAGTGAAGCATGTTTATCGGAGAAAACAAAAGTACCAGAAGTAAAGTATTTTCACTGGTCAGTTTACTTCCAAAGATCTCGATCCGATTACAATGGGGTGGAGACTGGAAACCACCAGTTCTCTGTAATAACCATTCTCGTTCCCAGAGCCACTCGAGCACTTTGAAGACCAGATGAAGGTGTAGTGTCATGTTGAAATAGATATTTTCGTATCGCGAAATCTATGTTTGTTATGCTCCTGTGAGCTAGATTAAAACATATGTGGGTGCTATGAGCCACAAATTTGGTTAACAGAAGTAGGCTTTGGCCATCCTTAGCAGCATGTCTTCATGGCAGACCTATGAATGCCTCATTTTGTTTGTCATTGCCTTTTCTTATCTTTTCATGTGTCCTGGAAGTTTCTCTGGAGTGTTTAAGTACACCAAAGCCTATAAGCATGTTCTCAATAGCCCTGTGGCACTAGGGGTAATGCCTGCAAGAGGTCTGTAAGGGGGCCTGGACCCTGGCACACTCACAAGGCTCCACCGCTCATGCCGCTGGGCCAATCAGAAGTCTGCTCACAGGATATGTACAATACAAACTGACAAAGTATAATAGAGCCTCTGCCATTGTCAGTCAACTCATTGCTAGTAAGGATACTTTTGTGTCCTGGCAAACAGTACCCTTTATTGCTGACATTAATAAAGGCAGTGAATTTTTTCTTTATGTTGTGTAAAACAAGTTGAGATAGAGCATACTGAACGCATGAAAAACTAACAGTCTTGTTTTATTTATATCTTAATAATCTTGAAGATCACAGCACAATTACAATCATTAATTACATTAGAGTTTCACTTGTTGCTGGCTTTTTGTCCGTCAGTCTTTTTTCCTGAAATACAAAGATACGATAATCAGTTTATTTCAAAACAAACACAAGATGTGTTGCCTTAACCTTTGTACAGTGCTGTCCCATCCTGATAAAGAATCCACAACCCATGAACCAAAGAATACCCAGGGGTTCATTATAAGAAAGGTTGGGTATGGGGAAAGAAATGGACTTAATGTTGACCTGTGAAGGCTGTGAAAAAAATTTGTGTGGTATAAATGAATGCTTAACTAACTTTTATCCTCGTGATTCCAAGACGACTTGATGGTTGAATCTTGGCCTTATAGCATTCAGAAAAGAGCATTTTGTTTTCAATAAGGATATTTTAGCCTCCTAGGTTATAGCAGCCATAAGTGCATTGTATTTCATAGACTTGTTTGTTTGGTTGTTTATTCCTTTCCCACATTAATCAGATCAACATTCGTGATCTCAAAGGGTTGCAGTTAAAAAAGATCCTTCATTAAACATTCAAACACTTGAATAGAGCTATCAATGTGTAGATATACCACTCATTTCAATTCATTCAGAATAAATTAGAGTCAATTTTAGGCAGCAATTACCTTGATTCTGTTTCTTCCCGCATCCTTCGAACCTGTTTCATACCTACACGTTTGGCAAACCTAGAAAAAAAAAATGTACAGGAGTTACTTGCACAATATGGTACAAGTATCATAATTTTCCGAGTAGAAAGGAAAGTAAAACATTCCAATGGATAGTTTCAATAGTAAAAATCTCATGGTGGAAATCTTTGTGCAAGAACAGCTATGGCACCCCAAACCCTCCCCCCTTCCCCCCCAACCCCTTTCTTTCACAAGACACACTGACTTACCAATCATATAGTACAGGACAGTACTGACTGATGTAGATAAATAGCAGGACAGGGTTTGGAGAAATCCACACTTCATCAAGCTTGTTAGCCATCGCCACAGTCATAAGGTGAGCACATCTTGCTGGTTGCATTCTCTTACTGTCCCGTTGAACTGTTGCTTTCTCTTTAAATTGCTACACATACAAAATTTACCGTTTCAATTTAGTTAACAAATGAACCCCCAAGCTCCCAAGAGTTAAAGAAAGAAATTTCTGTGTACCATAACAGTACATATCCACATAGAAAAGTGATGAGAAGAACTGTTATGTCCACTGAGGAAAATGTTAAATTCCACCCCATATTCCCAGAGACTCAACCACAAAAATATTTAAAGCACAAAGAGAATTGACATGGAGATCTTAAGAGTACAAGGTTTAACAGGCTTGTCTGCAAGGAAAATTTTTACTTCTTACTACTTGAAAAAAGAGATTATCTATCTTAAAACAACAGAGAGAGAAGAAAAATTCTTGGTTGAAAGAATACCCTTTGCTGTTGCTTGAATCTTTCAATTGCTCTCACAAAGGGCTAATACTTGAAGTGTTAGCTTTTAAACTCTTTATGGTGGCCAATTTTAGTTATCAACTTAGTTGATAATACTAAATTACCCTGATTCTTTCATACCTTGTTTACATCTTCAGTGAAGGCATTTGCCACAACATCTGTTTGAACAGGACCAGGGCATACCAGTGTCACACCAATGCCATGTTCATTCACCTCCATGCGTAATGTGTTGTAGTAACCCTGGCGAGTCACAACAGTAACCATCAATAATCTTTACCTCAAGAAGGATAACTTTAATTACAAAATATGCACCTGTTAAAGGTTGTTATAACCAATTATTTTTTCACAGCATTAATCACCAGCTAGTCAAGGACAAATTTCATAAATACCAAAACAAACAAACCACCCCCATGAAAGTAATAACCCTAAAAAGTTGACAAAAAGATTTCCTCCTCTTAGCAATTCCTAGAGGAAGCAACCCTTCAACCTTTTGTTGGGCTAAGGACCCTTCAACACAACAAAATATTATTTACTAAAGGAAACCTGATATGGTGCCAAGTGATAAGAACAGATCACTTCTGTTTTCTCTTTATGTGTAGGCCAGACAAACTACAGAACTATTAAGCCAAACATTACTAGATTCTTGAACTTTGATCAAAGCTGTTGTAGGTTTGTTAAATGCAAGAAGAAGCAACCTGAAAGTCCCAATCCCTGTGAAAAAATTATAAAATCTAAAAGTACAAAAAGGCTCTTCATTTAGGTAATTTTTGGTTACCATGATTATGTACAAACCTGAATAGCATATTTAGTTGCACTGTATGTAGCTTGTCCTGGAGAACCTGTAAAATAGGTGTAAAATAAGGGGAATAGTTAGAACAACAACCAAGAGCACAGTAACCAATAATTATAAAAATATAATATAATTATATAAATATAATATAATTATATAAATATAATATAAGATAAAAATCCAAACCTTGACTGACAATTCATTTGTGACTCTTATGCAAAAATATATCTCAAGTGAACAATATTTTCACTGCTGGCATGAGATCATCATTTTCCTTTAGTTAATGCATCTACCTCAGTAATATAAAAAGTAAAAATTGTGAAACAGTGAGTAATAATATTTATCACATACCAACTTTGCCAGCCACACTGCTTGTAACAATGATCTGTCCTGTTTTCTGCTTGATCATGTGAGGTAATACTACCTTGGTCAATGAAATTTGTCCAAGGACATTTATAGTCATCATTGCTTTGTCAACCTCCACACCAGGAGTGTCCAGTACAAGACCACGCTGGGATCGGCCACTATTGTTGACCAGAATATCAATCTGTAAGGTGAAAAGTTCTATTTCACACAGGGAAGATATGTTTTCAAGATACATTATTTTGTAATAAAAGGGAAAGAGGAAAGCAAAGTCTCTGCAACCTATTTCTCTTAATGGTTTTTTGCAAAGACACTGAGTGATATGGTGTAAATAACATTGATGTCTGCACTCTCCCTAGAGGGGTTGATAATTGAATTAACATGCCAACCCTAAAATTGCAGGGGCAGATCCAGGATTTTTCTCTGGACATTTTGCACCACCAAGGAATGACACAACTGATGTCTGCTATGACGAATAGAAGGACTTATGTTTAGAATGTTAGTGCCAAACTGCCATTTGACATGGGCTTAAATATCAATTCTTCAATTTTTTCTTCCATTTTACTTAACACCAATAAATCACAAAGTTTGTATCTTCACAACACAAGTTACATAAGAAAACTGAAGGTCATCTAAGGTAGGGTGTGCACCCCCTGCACCCCTCCCCTCAATCTATCCTTGCACAGTTACAATGAAAACCTGCCTTTAAGACCTGCACTTAGTTGAAAAAGCCTTGGAAAGAAAGCAAATTTATTTTTGAGTCCTGTAATTTGGAAAAGGGAGACTACCAGTAGTATACATTAATACGTTGGACTGCATATCAAAACCCCTGGATTCAAGTTTTAGTGAGGTCACTGTTTTGTGATCTAAGGGAAGCCCCTTTCCTCTCACAGTGAGTCTCCCCATCCTAAAGTATAAATGGATCCCTGCAGACTTGCAAGGAGACCTGAAAAACTCGTGGAGAATGGAGGTAACCCTGGGATGGACTAGCATCCTATCTAGTACAATGTAGAAATACTCCTTATTGATTCACGCTTTATAAATCATGTGATGCTCCTGCTTGATGGGTCTTCTGCCTTGTAATCTATCTTTTTCTTAACTAATGGTGTATTCCTAATTGGTGATATAGCTGAAAAAGTCCACAGTAAATTTATTTCATTTTAAATTATATCAGATCCCATTTTGAATCATATTTAATTCACTGACCCTCTGAAAGTGATCCATAACAGCTTGAGCATGGTCCTTATGTGAATTATAATCTGTGACATCCATTGGAAGAACTAAAACATCAATAGCAGGTGACTTCTCCCCTGCCAGAACTGACAAAAAAAATTTTAAAAATTGCAGTTTATCAAATAGCACCAATATCAGTATCAATGCAATGACTTTGAGGTCCCATCCACATTTGGTTAGACAAATTTGAGGTTAAGTGACAGAGAAATTATATGCTTCAGGCTTTTAACTTGCATTTGAAAAAAATTAGAGAAAAATTAGCCTGAAAAAATGCAGGCTTCTTTGCCTTCTTTTTCTGCAATTTCTTTCATTGCCAGTAATTTTAATTCACCTGTAAGAATTACTTTATTATTTGTCTTTATTTACATGTCAAATTGTATTTCTTTTATATTATTTGTGTTCAGATTTCTTGAGAGGAGGCTAAACCTTCCTGACTTAGTTGGTAGGCCAAGTTGATAGCAACATTCAACCACACTTGGAAGTCATGGGTTTCAATCTGGTTAGGTTTCTTTTTCTGCTGCTTCTTCTATTGCAATTTGGCTTAGAGGATCGCATCATTACTTTTTATAATCCAAAGGTCGCGTTGGCAAGCACCCCACCTGACTCAGGAGAGGGTAAGGTCTATAATCTGTACCAACCTAGAAGAGCTATGATATGAATAAACGAAGTGCCTTGTTTGGGATTAGAAATATATAGTGAGCTTACCAATGCATTTTGCCTTTACCCTTTCTAGTTCTTCCTTTCTTCTTGCCGACAGCACCAATTTACAGCCGCATTTTGCCAGCTCATAAGCCAGGTTTTCCCCAATACCACTCGAAGCCCCTGTGATCCAAACCACTTTACCGCGAAGTTTTTCCTCCGGTTTAGCCCCAAACTGCTCGTGGAATTTGAGAATAAAATCACAGTCCAGGACAAAGATTATAATCAGAATTACAGCGAGAATTGCTACGAAGAGGAACATGTTTGGTGGGCCTAAAATGTGTCTTTTCTTCCGCAGGTAAGTTCTATCTTCCCTCGTGACGAGTGATTGTGATGTACTGATCTATGTACGGGAGAGGGAATTTTCGGCTTAATGTTAGTGTCTGAGCAACTGCGCACCTACCCTTCCCCTAACCTAACATTACCTCTAACAAAGTTGTTATCATTGTTAGTGTCTTTTTGTTTTTATGCTTTCTATTTATTTGTTTGTCTTTCCCTATTTTTTTTTCTATTTTTGTTGTTTGTTTGTTTATTTATTTATTTATTTTTTAACATTGTAGCTGGCTTAGGGGAGGGGTAGGTACGCAGTTGTCATATACTGACAGAGATATGCAAACGACGTCAGGCCTGTCGTGACATTATGCTTGTTCTTATACGACGTACACAGATCTTAAGTGAAAAGCAAGATGGCGCAAAATTGTACGGAGTTTCTGTAACGTCGTTTTTGTTAATAATAACCGAAATTTTAGCTTCTTCAACCATTTTGAGATCATGAGGACCTTGTTAACTTCAAGATTTTTTCTAAGAAATGATTGTTTAGCCTTGCGGTGGAGGAGAAATGTACCACCTTTAGTACAGCAGACAAAATTCACTGTGACAACTTGGAGTCCATTAGCTACAGCTTTTAATTCTCCCCACCCTAAACAGGACCGGTGTTTAGAGCCAACTGGTCTTTTTAGTGTACAAGAGTTGACTAGTTCGTCTGGATTTTTAGTTCTAAAAAATCGAGCCTTGTCAGAAGGTGTTAAAATTGTTAACGAGGTGTTGGAGTCAAACCCAACCCCCCGGTTAGTGGGGCTGTTTGATAAGCTGTCTGATACTCTGTGTGCCGCGGCTGATTTGGCAGAATTTGTGAGATTGACACATCCAGATGATCAGGTTAGAGGAGCAGCAGAAGACACTTCGAGGGGCATAAGTGGCTATGTGGAAGAGCTTAACACCAATCCTGGTCTTTACCATGCATTGAGGAAGCTTCTCTCCACTGACACACATCAGATGAATGAGGAAACAAGAAGAGTTGGGGAGTTATTTTTATTTGATTTTGAACAGAGTGGTATTCACCTAGAGGAAGTGAAACGCAGGCATTTTGTTGAGCTTCAGGAGGCTTTGTTAGTTATTGGTGCACAGTTCTCTCATGCAGCAGCATCTCCTGTTCAAGTTCCAATCTCCCATTTGCCATTGGGTGATGAACTTGCTCGTATCTACCCAGTGGATGGTGATCATGTCTTTATAGACTCTGCATTTCTGGACTCTAATAATGAGAAGTTACGTGAATTGGCATATTTGACCTGCTTGAAGCCAGTAGAATCACAATGCAAAACTCTGGATTTACTTCTTACCTTGCGCCATCAACTTGCTCAGCTGGTAAACTATCCAAGCTATTCTCATCGTGCATTAACTGGAACAATGGCAAAATCTCCAGAAAATGTCATGGACTTTTTAAAACAAGCTGCAAATGTACTTCTCAAACCAGCACATACGGAAATGCAATTATTGACCAGGTTGAAGAGAGAGATGACGAAAGATCAAAACTTAAAGGAAATCATGCCATGGGATCTGCACTACTACTCAGGTATAGCTAAATATCAATCAGCAAAGATAAACAGTTCATCTATATCAGCATACTTTCCACTTGGAGCTTGCATGGATGGGTTGGATTTGTTATTCAGGGCTCTGTTTGGAATAACATTAGAGGCTCAGGAACCAGCTGAGGGAGAATTGTGGTCTTCTGATGTCCAAAAATTGGGTGTGGTACATGAGACAGAGGGACTCCTGGGTTACATCTATTGTGACTTCTTCAACAGAGCAGAGAAATTACAGCAAGATTCACACTTTACTATAAGAGGTATGATACATGTAGAAATACGATGACTTTAGCAAACGCATCCTAGATTTTTAAGATTTAGTTACTTAACCAGTGGTTTCTGAAATACATGAAGAAATGACATGAGTGACTGTTTACAATGGTAACAAACGATGTAAATTAAAATTGAACAAAGAAAGGACAGTGAGAACAGGGCTTTCAATAAGATTTGAAGTAGGCATCTGCCCATATAATAGTAGGTGGCTGTGACTATTTAAGTAGCTGAAGGCCACCTTTTCTAGGGGGGTCTGGGGGCATGCTCCCCCAGAAAATTTTGAAATTTAGAAGCTCAGAAATGTGATTTCCAGCATTCCTGGCATGAGAAAGTAAAGTTAATGATGCATACCATTAACCCTTTAATTGGCAGATTTCTGTGTGTTTTTCAAGAGCTTTTGTGAACATGTAATGTAATTGAGTTTGGTAGGAGTGCTTGCCATGTGACTTACCAAGGCCCAAGCTGTAACCCCACCCTTAAATTTACACCGAAAATGGCTGAGCATTCCTTAATCAGTTGCGATCCGTCGCAGTACAGAAATCGTGTTGATATATACTTTATTCCAAAATTCTCAAGGCAAGAGTGTGCTATATTTTATCAGATTTATTTCAACTGAAAAATGGGTAGGCTGTAAAAATTTTAAGAGTTATATTTTTGAAGTATTTGCTGACAAACATGGCCAAGTAGCCGGTGACTCGATGACTCGCAGCCGCCAGAGCTCTGGCGGTAGCCGGCTTCTAATGAAAGCCCTGCAAGAAGATACCTGGCAGTTGGGATACTTATACAAAGTGACTTACAGATACTCTAAAAATCTGACTCATTATTGACTGGTGAAGAAACTTAAATGCTAATGTTGCCCAGAGATTGGAAACTAGGAAACTGTTGAAAGACATGGCAACAATTCCCTCTCATAAGTCTTTGATTTCTTGTAGGTAGCTTAGAGTCCAGCTGTGTCTATATTGTGACTTTATTAAAGTTTGTTTCCATCTTGTATTTCTCAATATCTGTGCTCAAGAAATTTTGCTAAATTATTACTTTCAAGGCTTTCCAAGCTTTATCTGTTTAATGTAGAAAAGTGTGAGCTCGGAATGATAAATCAGAATATTTTGGCTGACAACATAGCTAACACACTGACAGCAAGAAGTACGCCATACATGTATATCTACTTCTGTTAGCTAAACTTGTGTTAAGCTGTTAAGCACATCTCATTCTTTAAAGTGACTGCAAAGAAGCAGTGCATCTGATCCTTGATGACTCCTTCACTGGAAGAGGGTCTTTTAGGAAATTACTGGTACTAATTAATTATTTCTTCATATAATTGCAAAATAATTTTTTTGTTTTATGAAGAAATGACCACAGTGAGCTAAAGTTTTGCTTTCGTGTTGTATCTGTGAAAGTTTATTGTACTTAGTGCATTGGTATTGTCTTTATCTCACTTCTAGGTGGCCGAGAACTTGTTGATGGATCCTACCAGCTTCCCATTGTTGTTGTGGTGTGCAACTTTCCTTCTCCTGGGGTGTCTTCCCCTCCACTTCTCAGTCATAGCATGGTAGAAAACTTGTTTCATGAAATGGGTCATGCAATGCATTCCATGCTGGCCCGCACTCAGTATCAACATGTCACAGGTACCAGGTGTTCTACAGACTTTGCTGAGGTTCCTTCAGTACTCATGGAGTACTTTGCATGGGACCCAAGAGTGTTAGTGAAGTTTGCCCGTCATCATAAAACTGGGCAAAGCCTGCCAGAGGAATTTGCACGGCGCCTCTGTCAAGGACGGACAATGTTTGGAGCTTTGGAGATGCAGCGGCAGGTTCTCTATGCAATGATTGATCAGATTTATCACAGTAAGCACCCATTAGGTGGATCTACTACAGATATTCTGGCACAAGTTCAAGAGAAGTACACGCTGATACCACATGCACCAGGTAGGTTGTGTGTGTGTAGGTTTTAATAATGGACTCTAGTGGCTTTCATTGTTAGCAATAATCCCAATACTTTAATTTCCAATTGAAACTTTGCTGTGAGTGGTCCAAGTTAGACACAATCTGTGGTTCTTTTGTTGATATCTCTCCATATGCATACAACTGGGTGAATACATTAAGCAACTGACTCAGCATGAGCCAGCATTTTGGACATTGTAACTGCCCTTTGTCAAGACTTTTTAATAAGATGGTAATTGCACTGTAAGGTTGTGCAGCTGGCAAAGTACTGTACATTATGGCAGGATAACCCAAAATTTGTTATCAGTTGTGAGAAAACCTCCATTGATTGTGATCTTTTCTAAGGCAAGTTGAAAATTTTCAAATTGCTAAATGAGCCAGGAGGCCTATCCTGCTTCCAGTAACAATTGACAATTAATTGGAAATCCTGTGGTACTACTAAGTGAAAAGAAGCAGAGTTAGAATGAGGTGTCTTGCCAAAGAACACAGCACAGTGACACCTGCCTGGGCTAAATATGAACATCTTGATCCAGTCCACTACTCTAACCACCAGGTCACAATTTTTTCTCTTAACCCTTCTCACCATAACAGAATAATATATATTCTCCACACTCTTCTCTTTACATTTGTTTCAGTTGTGACAATGAGAATTAGTCTAACAATCAAAGCTTCTTATATTATTGGCAATCTTTTCCTTTATTCTCATGATTGTGTAGTATTACTGTAGGGACAAATTAGTTACTAGTCACTCTAAGGTTTAAATGGTTAAGCCACAAAAGGTGTTGGTTAAGTCAAATCGTAGATTTCTCTTTTAAAATATTCCAGGAGTAGTACATTAGCTGGGCAAAGAATACACTTTATTACATTCAAAGGCTGAGTACTCTACCAGAAATCTGCCCAAAAGTGTCCACTGTCTCCTTTTGGCTGACACCAACCTGAGAAGGTTCCGATTCTCAAGTTCATTTCTGGTACATGATCCTCCTTTTGAATCATATAATTTTAGGGACAGCTTGGCAACAGAGGTTCAGCCATCTCAATGGTTATGGAGCAAAGTATTATTCATACTTGTGGTCCAGAGCTGTAGCATCACGTATCTGGCATCAGTGCTTTGCCAATGATCCTTTTTCACGAGAAATGGGTGAAAGATATCGTCACACTATGCTGGCTTATGGAGGTGGAAGAGAACCAAATTGCCTTGTTGAGGACATGCTGGAGAAGAAATTTACCACTAGTGACCTAGTGCAGTCATTGCTGGATGATATGAAATCCTCAAATCCATTTTTTCAATCTTAACTTTATGTGAAGTTTGAACTATTTTTGTCACAGCTAAGAGTTGCTATCAGTTGTAGCTATCAGACTAGGATGGCAAGGTTGTGATGGCCTGTGCTAAAACCTGGAAAACCAGAACATGCTGGAACATGCCAGAACATCCAACAATGTGCCAGAACATGCTGGAACAGCGGAACATGCTGGAACATTGTGGAATTTCAAAAAAATAAGAATAAACATAAAAATTTGATAAAAATAGTTTTAAAAAACGTCAAAAACTTCAGTCTTTGATAATCTTTCTGTCTTTTGTTTTCATTGTGACAATTGCCAGGCAGTGATAATTGCCTGACAGCTGGGCATGGTCTCAAATAGACTAAATGCCCTGCAGTCAGAAATTTTCCCAAAAGGTTCTTTCAAACTTCTTGAGAATATCAAATGTTTGTTTAAGAATGTCAAGCCATTCCAAAAATTAGTTTGCTGTTCTAGTGGATAAATGTTCTGAGCTTGTGCATACCGTAATATTGCATGGTTGTTGACACCCAGAATTCTACACTTCTGGTCAGACAGCCAGGCATGGTCTCAAATGGACTTAAGGTCCAGCAGTCAGAAATTTTTACTACCAAACCAGGTTTTAACTGCTATGTATGTCACATCTTTGTATCTTCAAAATTTTCCAAATTGCCCTCGTCGCTTCGTGACTCGGGCAATTTTGGAAAATTTTGAAAACTCTCGTGCAATTAATCCTTAATAGTACTTGGCCTCATGTGATTACATATACAAATTGCACTCGAAATCATTTGATTACCTCTACTTATCAACTTACTTTTTATTGTTTCCATTCTTATTCTATAGTCGCGTTGTTGAAAAAAGCCTCTATTCTTAACTAACTTTAAGGGGAACTAAGAAAAGATTATCTCGCCCTCTCTCCGCCTCTTCCCCGCCCACTTTTATCGATGGCACTTAACCGGTAAACCTCACTCCAGGTTGAACAGTAAAATTATTTGGAGCATTTTCGGCTATTTTCACCATACCAACGCGTGGAATATATTCGTAAGAAGATGCATAGACATTGAAGCTCCATTTTTAGTAATAACTAATAATTTTCTTTACACTATCACTGCACAAAATTGTTCCCTGCCTCTCCCATAGAAGTCTTTGTAATTAGTGATGTTATTTCCCGATCTGACAGCTATTGTCTTGTGTACGAATCAAATCTCATTATTCATCCTCAATGCTTGCTGGGGTGGTCGAACCATCAAATCACTCAGGGTTATTTCTTCTACACACGTGCCCTTCTCCTCACCGAAGCTGCTATCATAAAGAACTCGCTCTCTAGTACAGCAGTTTGTTAGTGCAGTCATGGCTAGACCAAAGGTTTATTTCGATATTTCCATTGATGGAGCGCCAGCCGGACGTATTGTGTTTGAGGTTTGTGGAACAAACTAGGCGTTGACTATGTGAGCGTTTAACACGCGACGACTAAATCCGACGATAATAGCGAAAGAGAAAATTGACAGGAAACCGGAAAAAGCATCGTTTGAAATATCTTAATCAGAATTCTGCGTCGAAAAAGCATGGAAACTTTCTAATTGAAGAATCAATGCTCCTTATCTTTTGTCAACGTAAGGCCAGACGAATTATATATGCTGATGATAGGTTCAGCTGTTTTGCTCAACTCTTTAATCTATTGCACCTCACGGACTGAGGAGTTGCCACAGCGAGATATATACATATATAGATCGATCTACGATATTTTAACTTGTATATCTTCTAACATGAGTACAATTACTTTACATCTTTGCCTTGCAGCTTAGAGCCGATGTAGTTCCGAAGACTGCAGGTATGTTATTACAACAACTAGTTTGAACACCTTCAGGTAGAATTTTGTTCTTTCATTCTCGAGGGGCGCTTGAAATCCGAAGGAAGGCGCGAGATGAAGAGTTTGTTCAGCCGCAAACCAAGGACGTTCTGCAAATGATCTAAATCGCCAATTTAACACCTTTTCATGCAATAAATTGTTTAAAAAAACCCAGGGCTTTCTTATTTGGCGTTTGATAGTACAATATGGTTTTTACAAATAGTTGTGAACCTCGTTTAGCACAGAGGATTGGAAAACTTTATGAAAACTCTCTACCTCCCTCTCTCTCTCTCTTTGGGAACTCGGTAACTTTACATGTGTTTACCAACCTGTTGATCGTTGAGGGTACCTTCGGTGAAGCACACCGTAAAATTGTTTTTGTATTGGCCACAGGACACGCACACAAGTAATGACACCGCCTGAATATTTGAAATTGAGAGGAAATTTACGGTAATATCCAAAAGCATTTTATTATACACTTACTGAGAGAAGAAGAACCCTGATAACTTGCAATAGGTGGTAGTGTTGATCTTTAACAATTGCTGGGATCTCCTGTTGGAGTAACAAAGAAGTGGATTGTTAAAACTAACTAATCATCTCCATTTTTCAGAGAACTTCCGTGCTTTGTGTACTGGAGAGAAAGGGTTTGGCTTCAAGGAGAGTAAATTTCATCGTATTATTCCAGGCTTCATGTGCCAGGTTAGTTTTTCCTAGAGAAACAAATTTTTAATTTCTGTCTTTATTCAAGGGCTCCGCTTTGGCAATTTAGCTTAACCCTCTACACTCTAAGCATCAGTAAGCATATTCTCCATACTGTTCAGCACTCCTTTCCTAAGGTGCTGAAAAGGAGATTTTATTTAACAATGAAGAGCTTCTTTGGTTGGTGATCATTTCCTTTATTCTCGTGACCTCAATATGTGATACAGGGGAGATGTTGTAAGGAGAAATTAGACCCCTAAGATCACTCCAAGGGGTCAAATAGTTTAAACCTTTAACTCCTATGAGTGACCAAGACAGAATTTCTCCTTACAATATCAACACAATATCCAGCAGACAAGTGATGAGAATAAATAAAAATATTAATTAGGGAATTATTAGTTGATGCAATACCAAATTCTCAAAACTAATATCACAAGAACTATTTGGCAAACAGTAAGGACAATTACTAAGGAGATCTTGGGAGTTAAAGGGTTAAAGATCTCATTCTGTCAAAAATTCCTGTGAAGTCTCCAAAAGCATCAAAACTCTGGCTCCATTTTCAAAGTGTATTCCTTTTTGTCATTTTGTCCTTAAATCTCCTAGGGTGGAGATTTCACCAAAGGAAATGGAACTGGGGGCAAGTCCATTTACGGTGAAAAATTTGCAGATGAAAATTTTTCACTGAAACACACTGGTGAAGGTTAGTTATGGTGTTACCTTGTGAAGATAATTTTTTCAATTTTAAAAGTTTATGTTTAATAAAGTTACTGCTTTTGTCATTACTTAAGTCAACCATCTCCAGCAATCATTCTTTAAGTGACCACTTCATTGAAACAACTACTTTGTAAATACTGTTTAATTCTTTTTCCCCTTTAATCTTCATTAGATTTATTTGTTGCAAGAATAGGGCAAAATGTAATTTCCATTGATACTTCATAAGCATTTGTATGGTATTAACCCGTGTATAATATGCACTCTATTTCTATAAAAATTACCATCAAAGTTTCAGTGTGTATTATGCACAGATTCTACTGTTTGTCAGGTGTGTTTTAATTTGCATACGTTAAAAACACAACCAAAAAAGTAACAAAAGCTTGGTAATAATTGGTCTTTATTAGCTTAAGTTTAATAATCTACCAGTGAAACATTTTCAATTTCGATCCATGAAAAGATTTAGTGGAGTATTTAGCAAACAGCTGACAAGATAAACATCATGATCACACTGTATTACTTTCATCACAAGCAATCAGAAATTCAGTATGGAAACAAAACTTACCATGGCTGAACATTAAAGCTACACAGTGTCTGAAAAGCTCAGAATTATCCAGTTTGCAGAGCAAAATGGAAACTGTGCTGCTGAATGAGAATTTGGAGTCTTGGAATGTTTAGTCAGGTTGTGATGAAAAAGTAAAGAGAACTTGGAAAATATGCCTTGGCTCAAACAGGCAAACCATGGTAAGAAAGCTGCATGGCTTGAGTTGGAAATGAATATATTAGCCTGGATTACATTTTGCTGTGAAAACTTTTTTTTCTGAAAAATTTGTTTAAAAACAAGGGGTGTATTATACATAGGCGCATATTATACACAGGTAAATACTGTAAACAGGCACTCATGACGAATAGCACATTCTTCAGTTGTCAGATGGAAAAAATGGATCTTTGAAATGTTTTATTTAAAAGGTGTTTGCCTCACAGCCAAATATGAGAATGCAAATGTTTAAGATACTCTTTTACTGGAGGAATTTACTGGAGGAACACATAAAGAATATATATACATTTATTTTCAGGGAGCTTAAAAAACTTCCATGCTCTCTGAACGAGCTCTGAGTATGCTAACCAAACTTGCTCTCCTTTTTAACCCAATTTATTTATCCTTGAGGTTCAAACCTCGGCAAAGACAATTAAGTTAAGTTTCTTCATGGAATGCATGCATTAGGTCTGGTTATTTGAAGCACTGGCTTAAAACATTTCACAGAGTGATAATTAACAAAGAACATAATTAGTAATTAGTAACCATTAATTAGCCTTTCTCTAGATCTAGGCAATTCAGAAAGCCACAAAATTCTATAACAAAAATTTTTTCTTTCAAATCAACACTCTCAATCCCCATTGTATCAACAAGTGCTTTTCATTCAAATAATTTATTCTTGTTTTTTCACACAAGCCACAATTCCTCCAATCGCTCTGACAAAGGGCTACTGATCAAAATGTCAGCTTTTAAACTCTTTACAGTGGCCAATTTACATTATCAACTCAGTTGACAATACTAAATTACCCTGTTATACTCTCCCACCAATGCAGCACCATAGTTTCTCAGAAACTTACTCTTTTCATGCATAATTAATTGTTTGCCTGTGAAAAGCCTAATCTTTGTTGCATCTTTGACCAAGATCCAGATAACAGTTATATTCATTCATTGTTAGTCTTACATTGTATGCTTTTTTTCTATAACTCGAACCCTGCCAAAAGAGCAGTTTTAAATCAAGCTTGGAAAGAAATCCATGATAACTTTGGTCTGTGATTGGTCCAGGAAACTTGCTGATCTCAACCTAAACAGTATAGCCTCTATTCACTCTTTCCTGTATACTTTTCTTTCTTTTAGGAATTCTATCCATGGCAAATGCTGGTCCAAACACAAATGGGTCTCAGTTCTTCATTTGCACGGCAAAAACCGCTCATTTGGATGGGAAGCATGTGGTGTTTGGAAGTGTGGTGGAGGGAATGGATGTTGTAAAGAAAATGGAGGATGTTGGTTCCCGTTCAGGCAAAACTAGCAAGACAGTGGTCATCGCTAATTGTGGTCAGCTGTCATGAAAATTCTGCTCTTCATACTAAAACTGTAAAACAGTAGTTTCTAAGAAATAAACTTTCATGCTCCTTTGCATTTTGGGTTTGGCTTGTTTGTTTGTTTATTATCATTGTTTAACCAGGCTGGCCTAGTTCAGCTGTAAGCTGGTCGAAATGGGGGCCACATTGTATTTTGCTATCCAGTATCAGATAGCCTGCAAAACAAGCATAAAATTTTTGCATTTCACAGGCAAATGGAGACAATCATTAGGCCATCCCAAATCACAAGTCATAAATGAGTGGAGGAAGGTGAAAGAATACCTTAAAAATAATTTTTTACACTCCTCCAATCACACATGACTAGCACTACTGGCAAGTGTCAGAAGTAGGGTCAAGTAGTAATTGGATGGGCAGAAGGTGAGGAATGATGGCTATGTCACCTGAAGAAAAATTGTCCTGGTGTGATATGGTTGGACATGAATTAGGAAACTTGTTAGGGTGCATGCTTTGGTCAATAACACACTTGAGGAATATTTATTAAAGTTATGGTGGAGTTAATTCATCAAAGAATTGGTGCTCAGAGTGAACAAATTCTGTGGGATAATTTGGTTTTATAAACTGAGTTGATAATTTTCCAAAGCTGACATTTTAAGCATTAGCCCTTGTTTAGAGTGAATTTTATTCGTCATTCCCTCTGAAAAGGTTTAATGCCTGAAACGTCAGCTTTGAAACTTTTCATGGTGGTCGATTTATATTATCAACTTGGTTAATAAAACCAGATTTTCTTGTTTTACTCTCTCACTAACACAGCACCACATTTTGTTCAGAAACTTACCCCCTCTTTCAAAGTAGCTCTTGCATGTGTACCATACCAATATTTTGACTATCAAGTAACACTGTTTCGAGTTAAATCACTTGGCCTCATTTTAAATTATTATTGAATCTGACGTTCGTACTGTCCATCAAGAAAACATGATGAATGACAAAGCAAGCTTGCTGCCAAATTCTCCCAATGGTTATGGCTCCCAGTGACAAGCAGTTTGGGGAGTTGAAAATATTAAATTAAATGAATACTGAAACAACAGATCACTGTGACTGTGAGACTCGGAGACTGCAAACCTGATTTTGATTGGTCGACAGATCTACCATAATCAGGTTCATGAGCTTAGAGAAATTGAAAACCACATACTAGTCATATCTATTGTATGCAGTTTAGTTTCTTCCTTCTTGTTGGCTCTTTCCTTGGAGTAAAAAAACAAAGGTAAAGAGAAAGCAATCAGTCAGGATTATCCACACAGTGCTGTTGGCAAAGTATCAGGGAAAATGCAGGGTTTCTTTTGAAGATATGTTGCGGTTGTTTGTTAGCATTATCACATAAAATAATAAGCAAAGCTGAAAAAGTGAAGATCCACTTAAATTGTCCTTCAGCTCTTTCGCTATAAATTGTGCAGTGATAAATATATTGAACTGTGAAGCCAGAATTAAAAAATAAAAAACTGGGAAAGTTGTGGCTTAGAGACACCCAAAAGTACATGTTGTGTTCATTTTTTCTAATATTGGCCCCAGTGTAAACATTTTCATGTTATTGTGGGTTGGCTTGCTACCTTGTTATTCTCAGAGAAAGCTTTGCACTCTGATCTCATTTGTGATTCTCCTTTCCAGCTGCTAAACATTTCTTCTAAATAATGTCAGAAAATTTTGTTTTAAGTCAAGATACTGGAAACACCCTCCAGCTAATACATTTTTCTTTTTTATCAACTGTCGGCTGGAAAATACATTATTAGGAGTGGATACATTTGTATCCCGTCCAAGAGTTATCGGGTTGGGAAACTGTCCTAATAGCTTGGGGAGCGCCACCAATTGGGAGTGAGGTAGCCATCTGGAACTGGAATCTTTTGATCTTTAATACATGTTTCCAAAAACACTTTAAGTCTCACCACAGGTCCACTCTGTGCCTTAGCTGTTACCTTCTCTATCTTGGGCACATATTCTAACACAAGTATATTCAGCAGTTTTCCAAATTGTTTCTTGTACTGCCTCATCAGAGCATGTCCTGCCACAGCCAGGAATTCATAGAGAGCTGTAGCAGTGTAATCAGGCCTTGGGTCTAGGTTCAGCATTCTTGCCAACCACGTCCAACCTTTTTCAAGTCCAAAAGGGTGTTGTTGGGATTGTCCTTGTGGAGGTAGAGATGAGATAACAGCTGCATATAGTCGCACAATGCCAGTCATGCGCTTTAGAAATTTGTCTTGTTCTTCAATCTCACCCTCAGAACACTGATAGCCAAGTGATGCAAAGTATTCTACATCTGCCAATTCAGCTGTCCTTGGTATGTAAAACGGCACTAGGAATGGACACTGGTCACAGAACTGCGCCAGAACGAGATCACCAATGTCAGGAAAACTGGACCAGATCCCCACAATAACAGCAGCAATAGGAAATGCAGAACTATGACTAGAAGATACCTGCTGTGATCCTTGCTGCACAAGTTTCTTTGCAAGAAGATCTTTACAGAATGACTGCAATTGAAGTTCAAAGTATTACGAACAGCTAAAAGCATGAGCCAGTAACGATTTTTGAATTATTTTCAAAATATAAGACATAAAATATTCTGCACAGTCTGACTGGTGGAGCAGTGAGTTAAGCAATCATGATGAAGACAAAGAAATGGTATCAAAAGTCTTTTTCCACCTTAACTGTTGGTAAAAAAAAATTAAAATAACTGAAAAGTCATCCAGGTTTAGCTCTATAGGTATAAAAACTCAGGTACTACTTCCACTTGTATCATTAATCCTTCAACTTCCTTAGACTAGTAGCTAATTTCTCCTTTCAGGATCACTGTTGAATCAAACATTAGGAAATGAGAGTACATGTAAAATAAATTATCTGGAGGAGCTCTTAACTGTTACACAAATTCTCCTTGCAGTGCTATGGAGAATATGAACACAGATCTTAGGATGAAGAGAGTTGGAAAAGATGATTTTACCTTAGCTGCAGGATGCTTGATAATTGAGATCTGTTTTCCTCCCATTTGTACAGCTTGCCCAGACAACAATTGAGCCAAGCGCTGAATCTTATCACGCAGGTGACGGGGTGATTGGTCAGATATAGCATTGATTGGTGTTGTGACAGCCTTGTGAAGATCAAATTTATATTGCTTCAATGTCTTGTCAGTATTCAGTGGCTCTGCTTCTTTGACAATAGCACTTCTGTAACTTGCTAGTCTGGAAAACTCTTTCCATGCTGTTGCTGAAATACAGGAAGCAAGATCTTTTGATATCCCAGTCTTTGATTGATCGCTGGAGTTGGAAGTTGGTTTTGATGTGGAGGAGCTGACGGTTTGTTTTTCTTGTGAAGTTTTCAATGCTTGTTGTTTTTTTTCCTCTTCCTCTTTGGCTTTTGCCTCTTCCTTGATTTGTCGATCAGCTTCATCCTTAGCAGCCTTGGTATTTGCCTCATTAACAAGTTCTTTTGCTTTCTGTAACAAGTCAGGAATCAGAATTGAACATTTCTGCATAATCTCAGAAATTCCTTCTGTCACTCGCTCATTTTCCTTTGCACTATTAAGATTGCTTAGGGACAACTTCAACACCTCCTTCGTCTCACTGAGGATGTCTGAAGCAGAGGTAGACAAATATGATTGAAATTTGCATTCTTTGAAAATTTGTTGTATATTTTGTGCAGTTTCTTGCACAGTTATGAATGAAGCCTCAAGCTGTTGTAGCTCTCTCTTGACTTGCTGTTCCTCTTTTAATAATCTTAACCTTAAATCTTCCATTTCTTTAACTTTTCTAACAACTCTCGCAGCCGAAGCTTCGTGAGACTGTTTAAGTTCCTGTTGCCGTTGTTTGGCTTCTTCAGTTTTTCTTTCCTCGTCCCGCTGTAATGCCTTCACAGATTTGATCATTTCGTCCACCCTTTCGTGCTCTTTTTGTTGTAAATAACGATTTTTCTCCTCCGACAATCTCTTTGAATTTTCTGCCATCTTTTTTTTTCTAGTGGCTATCTCCTCTTCAGCTTGGCGTTTCTTTTCCATTCCGTAATTATAAACAGCGACATGTGTCCAATCGAAGCTTGCTTGAAGTTCTTTCTCCAGCAACTCCTCATGCATAGGTACTTGTACATTTGAAGCACGTGTTTCTTTTTCCGAATCGCTTTCCGTGTCCGATCGATAGCTGCTAGAGGACATGCCATCGGTTTGGTTTGATTCCTCTATATCTTTTGATTCTGCTAATTCGCCACTGAAGATTACATTACCGTCTCTTTTGTTACTTGTACGTGTGGTCGATGATAGCGAAACAGGGGACAGCTTTAGTGACAAGGAAGGAGGCTTTGATAATTCCTCCAAGTTTTCCCTTGTCGGCTTCCAGTGAGGGTCATAAGTCAAACGACCCTTTGAACAGGATTTTAAACTTCTTTCTACGCTGCACAATGTCATGGTTGAACGATTAGGTGAGGGAGAAGGTTCTCTAACTCGCGGATAAAACGGCACTGAAGAAGCCGCCATTTTGGCACTCGCACGACCTGGTTACCTAGCTTTCCAAATATGGATAATCCAATGTTCCCTTCGATGTTCTGTTGATAGGGAAGCAATTCCTGAGCGCTTTATTTGTCTTAATCACTAGCCGCGGTGGTTTTTATTTAAAATATAAACTATAAAATATACGATTGACCTTGCAATAATTTCTGTTTTTGTTTTTAAACTGTGAATACCCTAACGAAATCTTAATCAAACGTTTTTTGTTGTCTTTCTGTTGCTAAGACTTAAGTTGGATAGACTAACCAATCAAAACGGAGCAACCGGCGTCATCTGCGATTTAATGTGCGCTGTACATACCAAAGCATATCATCGTTGCAGAGATTGTAAAATTGTAAATAACACGGTCTTTAAATCAATTGCACGATGGAAGACTTCATCAGATGTATGTGCGTGAATCAGAGGTGACAGACCATCTACATTCGAACGGGTTCGCCTTCCAATATTCGTTGTTTGTTTCTTGTATCCGATCCCACTCGATGTCAAGTAGAACTAGCTGAACTGAATATCACATAACCAATTTTAGAAATATGATGTCTTTTAAAGTTCGTTGGAAACTAGAAAGGAAATTTTTGTACATCTACATTTTACTTATTTGGAACCTTTCTTCAACATATGGCCAAGGCTATTTTCCGAAATTAGAGGATCTTGCAGTGCTAAAACCGATCACTTCTTCTTCAACTTGTGGAGCAACATCCAGTAAATATTGCCAGTCGTTGGCTAAACAGACGTCTTTGAAGACTTGCGTTGAAAAGAACTGTGAATTTGCTTGTTGTACAAATTGTGGTTCAGCCAAGCCTGTTCCCACAGATTTAGCGCTTACTTCGAATAAAGTTGGAGTCACTCAAGATGGCGATCCGAGGAATGGAACTATTGTCAGATCATTTCGATTTCAAGGTAATTCATACCTACAACCTTTGAGGGTTCCATTTATAGACTTCCAGAACCCTGGGTTCACTATCAGCGTTTGGATTAAACAGAAGGCAGGAAACAAAGGGTAAGTTTATGTTACCATGTTAAGGTTACTTTCCAGCTGGGGAGCACATCAACGTTAACATCGATAAATTGTACTCCGTCGTAAATCCGTTTTTATCGAACTAGATGCAACTCTCTCCGATTAAGTTCGATTAACAAAAATAACATTTTCAGAGGTACATGAAATTAATTAGCTCAAAATAACTTCGAACAAGTCAATCAAGTAATGTAATCGATCCTGGAAATTAATTGATATTTACATGATATCCAAGGTAAGTTATTTATAATAAGAGTTCGTTTGCGTTCTTGCCCTATGATTTTGAAAAATTGTCAGATCAGAGAATGAGAAAGAAAAGTAATGTAATTGAGGGAATTGTACTTAGGGAGATATAAGATTAAAAAAATTGACTCATCCTCTTCTCCGGTAGTATGCTCATAATCGATATATTGGATTTTCTGTCTTTAATTTCACCATGCACATTAGAGCTTCATTATTTCCTTTCTCTGAAGTGAACTTTGTCTCGTGGTTTTGCTGGTTTTGTCAAATTTAAATATGGCATAAAGTTATTCTTGGAAATTTCAGGGTTTGTTTTATTTTATTACATCCTCAAATACTTTACATCTTCCATAAGAGAGAGATTTCCAAAAGTTTGTTAGAACTGTTGAGATTATTGGAATGAACCCTGATGGGGTACCCTGTAAAATACTTGGGGTTTTCAAAGATCCTTGAAAGATCTTTGGTGATCCTTGAGTGTTAAAAGAAAAATCAGTTTTTATTTCATTGTCACATTCAAAATTATTTATTATCTTGTTTTAATTCTGTCTCACTGCAGTCAAAATATTTGGAAGGATTTTTGACATTGTACAATTAATCAAATTAAAAAGTCATGTCAATGTATGTAAAATTACAAATTTTTGGATGTGCATTTTGATTTTTTGATTTCTTGTGTTTATTCTGAACAGCACAATTATTTCTAAAGATGAGACTACTCCTCCAAATTTTGCCAATGTCTTTCAACTTGTTATCAAGGACTATAACTTGATGTTTTACTATCGACCTGCCACTGGGAATGCATCAGTTGCTACATACAACCTTCTGCAAAGCCAAAGTGAAAAGCTTCAACCAAATGAGTGGCATTTAATAACTGTAGCAGTTATTGATAAAGCACTGTCATATTACATTGATGGTGAACTTATGAATGCAAATTTTGTGACTCTGAGTGATTATATTGGTGACTCTGGAGGTGGTATTCGAATTGGACAGAAGTATGGAGGTAAGGAGGTGACTGCTCTTCGATTACAATCAACTGTCAATTACCTCTGCCATCAATTGAAGAGATGTAATTGTCAGTAGTTCCCCCCTTCAGTTGAATTTACATATCCTTGAAAATTATTTGAGAGTATGTAGTATAAATGTACTGAATGGCACTCCTTTTCCTAAATCAAAACTACTTGCTTCTGGGAGGGAGTTATAGTAGACTGTAATTCATTGTATTTGTTGAGAGAACATTGTGCAGGTGTACTGTAGGCTTATATAGTGGCTGTTTTTGCATTTTTGTTTTGAGTAGAAACTAGCAAAATATTGGGACTGCTTGAATTCTTATGTATCTGTTGATTCCTTGGGTAAACCTCAGGGTTTACCCAGAGAGCACCCAAAGAAATCAGGGATATTTCTTGAGGTTTGTGGCAGAAAAACTTTTTTTGGCTCAAATGGAAGTGGGAGATGAGAGGACTTCAGTATATTCTTGCTGACAGATATTACTTGAGGTTTAATTGGGTTAGACAAATCTTTGCTGTCTCTCATATCAGGATGTGTGGAACTGTTTGAGAAAAGAAAGAACTTACAGTCTCTGTAAGTCTTTCAAAAGATTTGTCCAAGGGATTCCATCAGATCCCATGGTATCTTTCTTTAGTCCTTGTGGGATGCAGAGATTCCAACCCTCCCGATTTGATCGGGAGTCTCCCGATTTGATGTCTTGCCTCCCGCTCTCCCGATTTTTACCAAATTCTCCCGATTTATCATAAAATTCTGAAAACTAGGGGAAAATTGCTAATCTTTAGAATTTTTGGCGATCTGTCACTGTGAAACACTCATATTACACTTACTTTCTTCGCGAAGAGCATTATGGTATGTTATAACTCAGGCCGGAATGATGTCAAAATTCAGGAAATGGCACTTGAGAGAACCTAAATTTGCAAAATTTCCCGGGGGCATGCCCCCTGACCCCCCTAGAAGCTCGCGCCTTTGGCACTAATAATTACTCCCTATTTTCCATCACATGGGGTTGGAATCTCTGGGGATGGATTTAATTTGTACAAATGTTTTGCCCTCAATACTACCTATTTGTCAAGATTTAAAGGTAGGGTCAACAGCACACAACCCTGCTAATGATGTGTACAGTCAGATAGTCACATAAAGAAGTATTGTCATTGTCAGTGATTTCCTCACTTTTTGTAACCCTTCTGTGTCGTGTTTAGGTGATACTGAGTGGCAGTATGAAGGCCTGATGCAGGATATCTTCATGTATGATAGAGCTTTGACCAACAGGTACAGAAAGTTGTGACAATAATGTCTGTTTGCAGCCTAATACAAGTTAAAGATGACAAGGAATAGATCCTCAATAATATTGAATAATCACTGAATATGTCCTTATATTTTTCATCAGTAACCTTACAATAATCAAGATTAGAAAACCAAGATTAGAAAAAAAGACCAACTGTGACATAAAAATATAAATTGCTTGTTTTTTCTCAGGGAAGCAGAAGAAGCTTTCACAGGTATTCTTCCAACTGTTTATGTTGCCAGTAATTGTCGATGTCCTCCAACTCATCCAAAAATAAATGTTGCTGAACCAGCCAAGTGTCTGAAAAACTTAGATGGAGACACCGAAACCTTGTCTCGACTCAAAGACACAGCTCATCCAATTGAGTTTGCCACTGATGGTGACACACTCAGTTTCTGGCTGTCAGAGATCACAGAAAATGCAACCATTCGCGTAAATTTGGCATATACTGGATTACAGGTGGGTTCTGCAACTGTGAGTTAAGATATTGTGAAAAAAGAGTTCTTTTTGCTGATCAAAATTTTATTTAGAAAAACACATCTTTCCCCAAGGGATGTCAGCTGAATACATGTTCCACTAGCTTTGTAGATGAGTTAGTTTTTTACATAGCTAAAAGTTCAGGGTGGTGCTGGAGATTCCTGAATGAATCCATTATTAGAGTGAATGTGTGTTCTTTTGTTGGGTAAGAAAATCTTTTTAAGGATGAATTTTAAATGAAATTTGTCGAGGAAATGTTCAAGTTTACCATATCAGAGTTCATCAATAACCTTGAGTTCTGTAGTATTAGTCTCCACTGATTATTTCTCAGTCCTTGACTCTTCTTTTTTTAATGAATTCATAAATTTAAATCAGTTTTATTACTCTATTTTATTTGTTACAGCAAACTAATTAAATAAACAAGTGGTTTACTACAACCAAGCCCCTTTAACAAATGTCAAATGCACTTTAAGTGAAAAATGAGTTGTTAACTTCTGCATTAGGTGTTCTACATCGTCTTGACTTTCTATGGGCCTGTGCCGGGAGCAATAAAGATTGAGCGATCAGTGGACAGTGGACACACTTATGAGCCATGGCAGTATTTTGCTGAGGATTGTGTGACCTCATTTAATTTACAAAACAATGGTCCATTGACTCAACCTGACTCTGTGAACTGTGTCCAATACATAAAGTAAGTTGTTGTTTCTCATTAACAATAGCATTATTGATTCAGGAAAAAATGAAGCAAGTTTCTGGCCTTTATTGATAGATTGCAGTTAAACTGGACTTGGAACTTGTTTGGAAAATTGTGGGAAAATGCTTGGTTCAAATTGTTACCTGGTAGTAATGATTGTTTTATTTCAGACCCTTGCAGTCCAGCCGAGAAGTGTTGACCTTTCAGACAGAATATCCACCACCTCCTGGCTCCAACATTCCAGTGCGGCCATTTGGTTCCGGGTGCAGCAATCTTTACTGCTCAGACAGACTGTTGCAGTTCTTAAAAGCTACTCATGTCAAGTTTAATTTTTACAATCACACTTTGGTACAGAATCCTCTGCACCGATACTATGGCTTGGAAAGAATTCTTGTTACTGGCAGGTTAGCAAATTCATGAAGAGTTATTTGTGGGCAATCTTTTTATTACATCAGAGTACAATAATAATTGTAAAACAGTTGAAGCCTTCATAGGAAATCATCCTTTGTCAGCAAAAGCACTGTGTGGAATTTTAGTCAGCTGCCTGGTAACAGATCCTAAAAATTTGCCACCATCTGTTTGAGACTTGAAAATAGATTGATTATTCACAAAGCCAAAAATGGGCAGAGTTGATGGTGTCAAAAATTGAAAACTAAATCTATAAGAAGGAGTTTAAACTTGGTTTGACACATTTAGTCTTGTACAGTGTTGAGGTAATGTGAATTAATATGTGCAAACGCCAACTTTGATGTCCTGACCAGATATCTTATTTTGTAGGTGTGAGTGTTTTGGTCATGCATCATCCTTCAGCTACATTGAAGGGAATGATACTCATATTGGACGATGTATTTGTGACTGTCATCCATCAACTAACACAGAGGGAGAAACTGTAAGAATTTTTTGATGAACAAAGATGTGTTTTTCCTTCATTTTAGTTGTGCAATTCAATTTTGTTTGAAAAACCTGTACTTTAACCCTTTCACTACCAAATAATTCTCCCTGATTTCTGCCACGCACTGCTTATAATTAGAGTTTTAATAATTTTGTGTTGAATCTGATGTTAATACCATAATTTATGCTTTTCTTTATTCTCATCTCTTACCTGCTCGATATTCTATTGAAATTGTAAGTAGAGTGTCTTGTTCACTGCTGGAAGTGAAACAGTTGAGGCTGAACAAACACCACCCATTGAAAGTCTGTCATCTTTCAATTGCTGTTTTGCTAGATGATCATATCAAGTGACAAAGCTCTGTTTTAGTTACCATGACTTGACATGAAAGACTATTCTTTATAATCTTACAAAATAGTAATTACAAAATTTTGAAAAATTCTATGATGAGTGATGTTATTTCAGGTATGATTTTTGTTTTCTAATATGTGTTGCCTTTTTTTCTATTTCAGTGCAATCGTTGCAAGCCATTATACAATGACAAACCATTTAGAAGAGGTGAACATGATGACTCATACCCCTGTGTCAAGTGCGAGTGTAATGATCATGCCAACAGTTGTCTTTACAATCAAACTCTGGACACCAGCCCTGCCTCACGTACCCAGGGGGGAGGGGGTGTGTGTATAGACTGTCAACACAACACCACTGGTCGTTTCTGTGATGTGTGCAAGGAGAGATTCTACAGGGAGTCTGGGAAGAGTCTAAAGTCGCCAGACATGTGTTCACCCTGTGGGTGTGAGGGGCCTGGGGTAGAGCCTGGAGAGTTGGATTGTGTAAAGGTTTGTAATGATCAGTTTTTGTGTTGCTTAGGAGATGGAGTGTGTAGTGCTTCATGAGCAGGAACTATGTTATAAATGGGAAATGCTGGTCATGGCTATAAATTGCAGTAAATATCAATTTCGAAGTATTTCAGCTTTACATGAGTTGGTTTAAACAATATGATAGTTTACACAATATGCTTATTTCAAAAAAACCTATTTATAGCATATATGTATGGTGAGATGTTTTTCAAGTATTGTGCAAGAGTCAGTTATCTAATTACAAGTCTGGTATACACACTGATCTAAATTGTAAAAGGGATTCATAGCAAATTCACAGAGTTAGGAAATCACTTGCACTTGTCTCTGTTTAATGGTGCAAACCTCTGTTGAAGACTGTGGGCAATTAACTATGGAGTTTGTGGAGTTTATCCTGCAAAGCCATGTAGTTATGTCTTTGTTTCATTATTTATAGAAAATATAAAAATAGGCACTTTGCAGTAATAGCTATCACATAAAACAAGAAACACCTTAATGGTGAGCAGATTGCATGTTGCAGTTGGTACATCCAAAGGAAACCATTTTTGAATCAAGATGCATTGTTTTTTATGTTCAAGTCTGCAAATCTTTTACTAGCTGAGCGTTGCATGCACCATGTGATTGGTGACTGCAAAGGGCCTATTCAGGTCTCTGACTGTATTGAGAATTTATTTTTGATTAATGTTGTTTTTGATGGATAGGATGATTCTAATTCAAGTGTAGTTGCTGGTCAGTGTGTATGTAAAGACAACACCCAAGGCCGTCAGTGTGATGAGTGTAAAGATGGATTCTATGATCTCAAAGCTAGCCATGCAACTGGATGCATCTCATGTGTCTGTGTTCTTGATGGCACCATAAGCCGGAATATTTCATGTCACCGAACATCAGGACAGTGTTACTGCAAAGATAGGGTGACAGGGAGAACATGTAACACATGTAAGGCAGGGTACTGGGGTCTGTCCGGGCATGAACCTTTAGGCTGTAAGACGTGTGACTGTGATCCGTTTGGAACAACAGCTGGGAATGAAAACACTTGTAACTCAGTAACAGGGCAGTGCTCTTGCAAAGCTGGAGTGATTGGGCGCAAATGTGATCAGTGTAAAGATGGTTTCCACAGCCTTACACCAAATGGTTGTTCATCATGCAACTGCTCTGTTGCTGGTACACCATCATCGCTTTTGGATCAGTGCGACAAAACTACTGGTGAATGTACCTGTAAGCTCAATGTGGAAGGCAAAAACTGTGACCAGTGCAAACAGGGATTCTACAATCTGTCACAGAGCAATCCACAGGGGTGTACACAGTGTGTTTGTGACACTAAAGGAACTGTGGGAGGGTCAGGTCAATGTGAACAGCAATCTGGAAACTGTACTTGTAAGCCATTGGTGATTGGTCAGACATGCAACCAATGTAAGCCAGGAACGTTTGGTCTTAACCAATCAGATCCTAACGGATGTCAACCATGTAATTGTTATCCCAAGGGAACCATAGATGGTGACAAAAAGAATCCAGGTCAGTCAAAGTCAGTGTACAAAGTAAGATATAGTATTATTGTCACAAGTCAGAGCAACATGAGCTTACATGTATGTCCTCACTGTAATTCAAAATTTTCAGTTTATGGGATACTTGTTTCATTTAAATGGATACCTTGTTGTATCCATTTACCTTCTGTTGCTCATTTTTTTGCTGTTTGCTTTGTTGTGCCAAATAAAAATAGTTTTGTCATTGAGAACTTTGGCATCAATTCATGTAATGGATAGAGGATCAGATGATTTAGGAAAATGTTGTAGCGGGTGACACCTTCCAAGGAAGTTTTTCTTAACCCTTTACATCCTAACATCAGTTTGCACACTCTCCATACTGTTCTTTATACATTTCCTGAGGTGCTTACAAGGAAAATTTGTCAAACAATCATGAGTTTCTTTTGTTAGTGATCATTCCCTTCATTCTCGTGAACTAACTGTTTAATACTGGGGTGATATTGTAGGGAGAATCTAGATGCTAGTCACTCTTAGGGGTTGAAGTGTTAATTGATTTATCGTACGTTGAACGGAAAAACCTTCAAAGTTATCGATGACAGTTCTCCTCTTTACAAAGTGTTATTCTTCTAGATATTGACAGATATTTACCAACCAATTCCTGTTAGCCCGAGTTGCTTCTCGGGGGAAACTTGTGTGTAATAATCAACTTCGATTTATACTTGTTCATTTACGTTCGCTCTTCCTCTCCAGATGAACTCCAATGTTCGAGCAATAATGGCCAGTGCTTCTGTTTGTCCAGTGTGTCTGGGCTGCGCTGTGACTCCTGTGCAGCGGAATACTTCTGGAATCCAGCAGGACAGGGCTGTGTCCAGTGCCAGTGTAACCCAACCGGGTCTGTTGGGAAAAACTGCAATGATACTGGCCAGTGTACCTGTAAGGCAAACATTGGTGGACGGCGGTGTGATAGATGTGTAGATGGTTTTTACGGCTTCACAACAACAGGGAGGTGAGCAGAATATTTATCTCTGACAACTGAACACAGTGTAATTCAGCCTATTTACCCTTCACTTAGTTGCTAACTCAATGATATTCTGTTCGTTACACCCTCAGCTGTATTCCTTGTAACTGTAATGTGGCTGGCAGTCTTACCAATCAATGTGATGAAACTGGACAGTGTACATGCAAAGTTAATGTCGAAGGGAAACAGTGTGACAAGTGTAAAAACGGAACCATAAATCTTCAACAGAACAACAAGTATGGCTGCAGCGGAGGTAACGGAAATTTATGGCCATAATAAGAATGATTTTAAAAGTGTGTCGATAATCCAAGATTATTCTGATTTCAATTTGTATTTTACCTCATACTAAGGTGTGTTCTCCTTTAATTTCAGCCCCATCTGAGCAGCCTGCACCGTTTGTAACAGTTCTCTCGTCCCGTGCAATAATGTTAACATGGTCTCCACCAGACAATCCTAACGGCATCATCCTGCGCTATGAGCTGTACAGAAATGATACCCTGGCTTACACTGGACTGAACCAAACATTCAATGACACTGGTCTCACTCCTGACACTGTCTACTATTATTACATCATTACCTTCACCGAATCCGGTCAGACAAGAAGTTTAGACGACGGAAACGTGTACCGCACTTTCCAAGACGCGCCAGGAGGCATGTCCGCGCCTGTTATCACAAATATTCTGCCCAGGAATGCAACTGCTTCATGGCAGCGTCCCAGTATGCCAAATGGTCGTATCATCGAATATCGTCTGGTATCTACCAATAGCCGAAGTGCAGTTGAAGTTGTAAACTGTCGAGGTGTTATTTTCATGTGTAAGTTGGGGAATCTTAAACCATACACTGTCTACAATTTCTCGGTGGTAGCTTGTACCAATGGTGGATGCGCTCGTAGTAACGTTACAACCATCCTGACGCTGCCAACACTTCCAGATTTCCAGCCCGCACCAGATGTGACGTCACTTCCGGGAGGCACTGCAGTGAGGGTGGCATGGGACGAGCCGTCCGAGCCGAACGGAAGAATACTTCGTTATGAGCTTTACATGCGAGCAGACAGAGACACAAGCGACGGAGTCTTGAAGTTCAACAGCAATCCTGCGCATGACCCAACTACCATCAATTTTAGAGAGACGAACGTGACAGGACTTGTTCCATTCAAGGTTTATGAGTTCAGGGTGCGAACATTCACTGCGCAAGTCAAGGGAGACCGAGATAGTAATTGGACAAAGCATAGGACTGGCGAAGGAAGTAAGTTATTTGAATCGGTAAACAACAGATATGGAGTGTTATGAAAGAACTGAAGCACAACGGGCTTTGATTGGTAAAACAACTGTGGCCTACGAGACCAGTAGACTCATATGAAAGATAAACACCCATAAGTACTCCTTTTCATCTTGGGTGGAATTCTAATAAACCTTCTCAGCCAGTTCACCGATAATATTTCTTCCTCAAGAGCACAATTGAACAATGAGAACTGGCTAACTGCACAGTCCAACTCAGACCTCTCTTTCCCAACTTCAGAGCGGTCAACCTCAGGCCACTGCGTGCACAACTTTTTTTCTGATAGGAACAACTGACCTTCTTTTCGCTTTCTAGCATGCTGTCTCACTTAAGACGCTGTGAAAATACACAAAGAATTATTTACATGCTTAGATATTTTTTCAATTATAGATAAACGTTTAAAAATTGGCATGTTTTCAATTAATGTAGCTCCAAGAGGGGAAGGTATCATAAATACAAGAGTTTCCATGGCCCCTGAGTGTGTTGGAGGGAATAGAGATATTTAAACACGCTACGACGATGAAAATATTGACGTTGTTTTGCTTTTCAATTTGGATTTAGCTCCACTCGGCGAAAATGTCATGAACACTGGTGCTAATGCCTTTAACAGTAGTGCTGTAATAGTTTCCTGGAGTCCTCCTCAGACCCCCCAAGGTGTCATCACTCGCTACGTCATTTACAAGTACCAGCCTCCCTCTAACTCAACGGCCGTGATGGCTGTGGAGGTGCCTGGATCTGAGCGACAGGGCATGGTCGTCGGGCTGCAGCCGTACACTCAGTATAAATTTACAGTAACAGCTTGTAACAGTTTTGCATGCTCGGGGCATAGTCCGCAAGCTCTTACGCGGACATTAGCAGCAGGTATGTAGTCTACATTTTGAGTGCCAATTACCGTATTATGGCGCTGTTAAAATTTGGTAAGGAAACTTTTAGTGTAAGCCAAAACTGAACTTAGCCAGGATAAACTTAAGTGGTTAGAACAATTTAGCCTTGATGTACTGTAAACCCCTTCGAAAGTAAAGGAGAATTAATACAGCTTCAGCCCTCAGTGTACTGGGTAAAGTAAAAGTAAATGTAAGGTCAGAAACAGACTTCTGTAATCTCAGAAACTTTTGAGGTTGAGCTTGACGTTGGAAAGAAATTTACTTTTTCAAACTCGTGGATTACTTTACTCTTTCTCCAACTCGGAAATTAAGGGATGATCTTGTTACTAACAGTTTTATTACTGACTTACTGTCTAACAGCTCCCGAAGAACAGGGACCTCCCTCGGTCCTCTCAGTTGATTCATCAACCGTGTACCTCAGATGGCCTCAACCCCAGATACCTAACGGTCCTCTACCGCCAAGTTACAACCTGAGCCGAGCTTACTCAGCCTTGTACTTCCCACCCCCTGTGGTGTCAGAAGGCGTGCATTTTCCGGGTCTTGGATTCTACAAGTTTCCTTCGGACTTCGTTCAAGCCGGTGCGAGAAATGACATCCAGTTCTGGTTTCGCACCAAGTATGCGTCTGGTTTGCTTCTCTTTCTGGCCTCTGATGGCTCACAAACTGACATGTTAGCAATTCAACTAAAGGATGGAAAGCCATGGTTGATATTTGATAGTCAGGATGGCCCTGCTGCCTTCACAATTAACCAGCCAGTCCGCTTCGACGATGGTGAGTGGCATCTATTGAAGGTGTCACGTGTCAGCCACCGGGGGACACTTACGGTGGATGGTTACCAAGCCAGTCAGGATAGTCCGGGCGCCGCCACCGTGATATCGGCAAACACTGGGGTTTACATTGGGGGTCTCCCTTCCTCCTTTACAATTCTTCGAACTGACACAGGAAACTCCAAAATTGAAAAGATCAGTTTTATCGGCTGTATACGTGGTGTCACTTCAGAACAGGCTGCTTCTGTTTCAAAGCAGCTTGATTGGACTTCTGCCTTAGAAGCGGTCAGTGTCGAGCCTCAGAGAAATGGATGTCCAGAGAGAGACAACAAAAGAGCCTTGTTCCTCAGAGGCGGTGGCTATGTCGCTGTGGACTCAAATATAGCGGACATTTTTACAAATAATATATTTAGCTTTACTTTGAAGTTCCGCACTCAGCTTTCGTCAGGGTTGCTTCTATTTGCGCACGGATCAACAACCACTTTTTCTATTCAATTTTCTGACAATCGAGTTGAAACAAAATACGTTACGACTAGTGTGCGAGACAATGTGACAGTTCAGCTGCCTTCCGGTGAAATTTGTGATGGACAATGGCACAACATGACTTTTACTAATTTCAACAACAAGTTAACTGTCGTCCTCGATGGTAAAACTGAAGTTGGAACTGGAATAACTAATCTAAAGATTCAATCCAGAACATTCATCGGAGGGGTACCGTGGGGTTCTTCGACCGAGACAATCGCCCGACAGGCTGGAGTGACTGTAGAGTCGTCTTTTGGTGGTTGTATAATTTTTCAATCTGCGGCGAAAGAGATCGATTACGTAAAGGCAGTAACGGACATGCATAATGCGGACCTTGATGGCTGCCGCCCAGCGTCCACAGTAGCGACCAGCGGTCAAATAGGAACATGTTTGCCCTTTAATAGTTCTGTGGTGTATTCTGGGAAGACAGAGATATTTAATGACTCAACCGCGAACGTTTTCACCGGTATGTTGATAAAATGAATGAAGAATTAATTTTCTTTTTCGTTTAGGCCAGTTGCTGATCAATATTGTTGTTATGATCCCAACAGGAAAATGGAGATGGAAGAAAATTAAACCCCCCTCCATTATTACACTTCAAAAGTGTTGTGTACTTTATTTGAATTAATTTTGCATCTTTTTCCCCGTTGAAGGAGAGAAAAAACACTAAGGGAAAAGAAACTGTTATTCGTGAAAAAAATAGGTATGTAATGTATCTTTTCCTAACAGATTACCTGTACCGTGTGGAAAGTTACCATGATGGAACTTCAGGTTCCGCTAAAAGCGCATGGATGTCGACACGTAGTGGTCAGGGAGGTAAGCGGATGAATCGTTATTCGAAATTTTCAAGGTTAATTGAAGTACTTGTAACCTAAGGCACTTTATTCGAAAAAATTTGAGGTTACTTGTGCTTGATGTAAGAAGGTGTACTGTCTCGAGTAAGCATCCTATCCGTCGAGCTTGAGGTAATATTCCTCTTATTTAATTGCTCAGCGCTGCAGAAAGTGGGTTATAATCTTATAGTACATCATATCAAGAAATACGAGAAAGGATCAAACAAACAAGAAACAAGAGTCTTTGATTTGTGAAGTTTGACTGTGAATTGGTTTAAATTGTTAAAATAGTCAAAGTAGGTCAAATGGTTTTTACTTTATAAATGGTCAAACCAGCTTAAATGACAAAGTGCGTAACTCGCTGAAATTGTTCAACAGGAGAAAATGCGTAAATAACTTAATCAGTTCAACTGCACAAACTTTACTAGCTGTCTCAATTTCTTCAACTGCTTAAATAGTCAGACAAGCGGACACAAATAAACTGCACAATTTGGGAAGTCTATTTTATTTGGTCGAAGTAGTTCACATGGTCAAAAGGAGCCTATCTAAAACAAAGGAAAACTGCTTGAGGTGCAGGAAAACGCCATTTACCAAATAGCGAGTGATTTTAGTTTTGCATCGGATTTCTTACGACACCCAATTGACTTACTTCTTCCCTTGTTTCTACAAAAGCCCCAAGTGGTCTCCAGGCTCCTATTCAGTTAGTGCCTCTACCCGGTGGCGAAACAGTGATAGTAACCTGGTCACTACCGGAGCGGCCCAATGGAGTGATAACAGAGTATAGGATACTATCCTACCGTGTGAACCCCCCTGGGACGCCGGCAATTGAGACAGTCATCACAGATACTAGTGTACTTAACGCTACCATCTCTGGTCTTCAACCCTATACCACTTATGACATCAGAATTCAGGCCTCTACGGTCGGGGGAAGTTCAGTGGGGCCTGCTAAAAACGTCACGACTGAAGAATCAGGTATTTTTTGTTTTTCTGTTTTGTGTTAAACCATGTCCAGTAAACCGCGAAAAATTCTTGTTTGCAGTTTTTGGCGAACATTTTCTTTCACTTAACCAAAACTTTAAAAACTGTCTATTCCTTCTAGTTCCAGAGAATGTTCCAGGCCCTACCGCTGTCCGACGTCCCAAAGAGCTTGTAGTACATTGGACCGAGCCCGGACGTCCAAATGGAGTCATTACCCAATATAATCTGACCCTGGATGGACAATTGGTGTTCAGCGGAACAGACAACAACTTCACAATACGGAACTTACAGGTCTATACAGAATACCTCCTACAGCTAACAGCCTGCACAAGAATCGGCTGCGCTCAAGGACCGGAAGTCCGTTTAAGAACCGGGGAACTACCCCCCGAGGGAATCTATACCCCAGTGGTTTTTGTGCGTGGTACAACGGAGGTTGAAGTAAAATGGCGGTTTCCTAATATCACAAATGGGGTAATTGTACGTTATGAAATACTGTTCGCAACCAGCGACGTTTTAGACGCATACGTTTCGAAATTTAACGCCACCCCTGATGTGTTCAGCACAGTTATTACAAATCTCACGGCAGGGACATGGTATTACGTTCGAGTGCGCCCCTTCAGTGGAGGTGGCGGGACATTTAGTGGTGCGGCTCAGGTAACGACACACGAGGATGTCCCTGATGATATCCCAGCACCTCTTGTAATTGCTCTCAGTCCATATGCTCTATTTGTGATTATGTTGCCACCCAAAAAACCGAACGGTCTCATCTTAAACTATGAACTGTACCAAGATGGAGTTTCAGAGCCTGTGTTGAATGAATTACAGCTTACGAATTACACAGCGGATCGATTAAAACCATACAGCCTTCATACTTTCCGCGTTCGAGCTTGCACTGCAAAAGGGTGCGCTTATGGAAAAAAAGCTGAGGCTTATACGAAAGAAATCGCACCGAATGGAACTCTTACTCTTACTGCTCGTGTGCGCAATGCGACAGCGGTTGACGCTAACTGGACACGCGTGGCTTTACCGAACGGAAAGTTGTTTTATAACTTAATGATGTATGGAAAATTTTTCATCTTCGACTCGGGTGACTTGAGAACTGAGGATCGTATTGAAACTGCTATTTCTGTTGAGGAAGCTGAAAAACTGTTCACATACAATGGCCTTCTACCATTCAGTGATTACAGGCTCTGGGTGAATGCGTCGAATTCTGTTGGGTTTATTCTCAGTAACAACGTCACCGTGTCCACCCCTGAAGGAGGTAAGTGACCATTTTGTCACGTCTACTATCAGAGGGAAGATAAACTTTGAAAGATCACTCTCTGGGTTTAAGTCTTGAAGAAGATGCAAATATGTTTCAACAAAATTAGAAGACTGATGCATTGAATAATCGATTCAAACAGTAACTTAGACATAGAGGAGAGGATATCATTTTGTTCCATCTGTTCACTTAGGCGTGGCCTTGACTTAATACTGAAGCAATGATAGTTAACAGAAATATTTATGATGTATTTTACAGATGCTTTTGAAATAAGTTATAGACATGTTAACCCTTTAACTCCCAGATCAAATTTGTAATTCTCCTCACTTCCAACCATACAAATCTTATAATGTTAGTTCAGAGAATTTAGTATTGGATCAACTAATTATCCCCAAATTTATATTTTTCTTTACTCTCATCACTTATCTGGTTGATGTTGTGTTGATATTGTAAGGAGAAATTCTGTCTTGGTCACTCATGGGAATTAAATGGCTAATAGGAATGATTACTTTTTTATGTACTTTGATTCTAGCTCCCGGCGGTCTGAAAGCCCCCAATGTCACTGTGTTGAATTCGACTGCCGTCCATGTCACGTGGGAACAACCTGCATTGCCTAATGGGATTGTTCTTGGCTATGGACTTCATCAGAAAACTGACGGCTCTGAAACACTTCGGTTCAGTGGAATGGGTTTTAATTTTACTGTCACTGGCTTGGACCCGTTTACGGACTACGAATTCCGTGTAAATGCCAGCACTGTAGCGGGGTCTGAGTTCAGTGAGTGGACTCTGGTCAAGACCTCTGAGGATGGTGAGTCTTACCTCTTTCGACCCACGACCAGCTCTCTTTGGGTCGTTTGTAAAGACAGTGAAAATGAAAATTCCCACGGTCATTCACAAGTAAAGAGGTCGTTTGAAATACTTGAAAAATGGTGATTATTAGGGACAGTGTGACGGCTTTGCTTGTTCGAGTTTTTTCTTGATTTTTTATACTGTCATAAGGGCAATTCAGTGCTCAGTGTTGCAGCTTCCAAACCCTTTTTTCCATGAGAGTTTTGTGTCGTATATCGCCTGCCGCTCCTTTGTTCACCTTTTGGAAATTGAACTAATTCCTCTTCAAATATCTAAGTTTTGTGATTCCTTACAATAACGGTTACTTATGAATAGTATACAAATGCACAGTGCATTTGGTGACTGTGTCTGTTCTTGTTCTATCAGTCCCAAGTTCCCCGGATGCACCAGATTTTAGAAATGTGACTTCCGCATCTGTGACACTGGTCTGGGACGAGCCAGCTGAACCCAATGGAGTGCTCCTCTATTACGTCATTTATCAGAATGGCACTGAGATCAAGAGAGTCACGGGAAATGTCACCAAATATGTAGCTGTTGGTCTCCAGCCCTTCACTGTCTACGTGTTCAAGCTGAGTGTGTGTACAGCGGTAGGCTGCAGTAACAGCTCGGACTCAGTCCCCATGAGAACTCTGGAGTCAGGTGAGTGCGTGGCTAAATCTTCCATGTGTTATTTGTTTTCGTTTTTTTTTTTTCGCAAGAATATGTTTTCCATTCAACAAGTTGCGTTTACGAAGCTGCCTTACAAGAAATCGCTTTACGCCTAAGGTTGCTAATTTCGTTTCCTACGATGTTAGAAATGTACGTGCCAACTGGAATTTAAAAAATTATCAAAATTGAAGGAGCGATCAACGAACCACATCTCTTAAACTGAAATAGAAAAGACAGGGTGACCCTTTTGTTCCTGCGCTCCAGATTGTGCATTCACGGCAGTAATTCAAATGCACTGTAACGAGCTATTATAAGACTTACACTAAGATTTGCTTCCTCCTCGTATTGTAATGTTTTAATAGGTCCACAAGGTTTGTCAGCTCCAAGGCTGTCATCTCTATCAGGGAGAACTGTGGTTATTGAATGGAACCCACCCTCCGTGCCTAATGGCGTCATTCTCAAATATGTGATTCAGCGGCGAGTCGTGGGTGGTGGAAATCCAAGCGATGTCAAAGTGAATGCCTCTCTTCCACTGCGTTACGAGGATAATACAGCACAGCCAGTGACCAATTATCAGTACCGCGTGATAGCATATAACAGTGGTCCGGGAGAACCCAGTCCATATGGTAACATTACTACAGGCGAGGGAGGTATGGAAGCTAATGAAATCAAACACAAATGCTTGCTTCATATTCTATTTGAAAGCTGCAGTCGAAGACTACTTGGCTGTTGTGTATTATACAAGTCTGTGGTAATAAGACTCTTAAAAAATCTCTCTCCATAAATCAAGTCCCGCCAAACTTAAAGAACCGATTCATGCAGATGTGAATTATAAGCGAAAAACAAATCTTCGGGAATGCACTCATTTAAGATTCCGTCTTTCGCCTATTTTCAATGCCAGAGGGATCATGAATTATTTTACTCTCTACCATATTTGGCATTCACACCACTAACATAGCATTTGTACCTTTGTTCCAGACCCTGAAGGCATCGCAGCACCTACTGTTGTAGCACTCAGTCCATACGCCATTCACGTGACTTGGAAAAAACCCAGCGTTCCTAATGGCGTAGTGACGCAATACGTCATCAGAGTCGTGGACCAACAGCAGTCACGCAACACTACAGTGAATGCTAATGAACCGTTTGCGCTAAACGTGACCTCACTCGATCCTTACATCATGTACAACGTCTTCGTTAGCGCATGCACAGTTGCTGCATGTGGTAGCAGCCCGCCGTCCCAAGTGCGCACGCTTCCTGCCAAACCTGAAATGCAGCCAGCGCCAACTGCAAAGACAGATTCACAGACCTCTTTGAACGTGACATGGGAGCCTCCCCTCAGGCCAAATGGGGTGATTCTGTCTTATGTGCTGTACAGGAGAACTGTTGAAGACCTTGTGGAAAATAACATTTCAGCACCAACAGGTTATGTAAAGGTGTATGAGGGGCCGGCTTTGATCCGAGAGTATCGTGATACTGGACTTGGGATCTTCTCTTTGCAACAGTACAAGGTAAATATGAAAACACCAAATCTTATCGCTACACTAGGACCTTATCGATATGCCTAAAAGTCAATTTCTCGATCTACTCATACACGTCTTCTAATGCTTTTTCCAGGTCGCTGTGAACACTCGTCAAGGCAACACTACAAGCAACTCCTCCCTACCCTACAGAACCGGTCCTGCCCCTCCCTTAGCGGGGGCATTCGTCAATGGAACTGCCCTAAATCACACCTCAGTTATGGTCACGTGGTATCCACCTGTTATTAAGCAGTTACGTGGTTCTGCTGTGTCGTATACTTTAGACGTTGAAGAAAGATCTGTCGTGAGTCGCGTGGGCACTTACCCCGGAACACAGACTCGTGTTACAGTTAATAATCTGAAGGCCAACACTGTGTACAAATTTTATGTAAGAGCCTTTTTTTTATTCTTTCTTTCTATCTAAACATCGCTTCCAAGTTGTCCTCGGTAAACTACAGTAACTCGAAAATTGTAAATATCCTCGGATCCAAATTTGATCCTGAATATCGTTTACTATCACTATTTGTTTCAATTAGTAAAAATCTTTTCTCTCTTTCTCATCAGGTTGAACTAAACAATGGAGCAGGAACCTTCAAGAGTGCTGGCTTTGGAATCAGAACCTTGGATGGAAGTAAGATAAACCTTTCTGAGCTTTTATTAAAAATAAAATACTTCTTGCTCCGCAAGAGTGCAGGGGTTTCCTAAAAACAAAGTGAGGTAACATTTGAAACATCCGTTTTCTTCAATGATTCGTTGTTTTTGTTGCCGCTTTTTTACTGATTGATCCTGGTTAGCATCAATTTATCCTTCTCCGAACGATCTCACGAAGCTAATCAGAGTCAGACTGTTTCATTTAGCAAACATCAATCGAAGATTGAATACCTCACCAAACGCAACTCTCGACTTTCCTCACGGTATCCTGTGGCAATTTGTCTGTTGTTTATTTTAGTGCCTGAAGATTTCGATCCGCCTGCACTATACGTGGTCAGCAGCACTGCAATTCGCGTGAGTTGGAATGAGACAGGAAACCCGAATGGAGTTGTTATATTGTACAAAATATATGTGTAAGTAAATCACATACTAACTCTACTCTTTTCAATAGTACAAAAATGAATCTTTGTTTTAAAGGAAGCTACGCTCCCTCTGGGATAGTTGTTAACCCTTAAACTCCCATGAGTGACCAAGACAGAATTTCTCCCTACAATATCAATACAATATCAACCAGATAACTGATGAGAATAAAGAAAAATATCAATTTGGGGATAATTACTTGATCCAATACTAAATTCTCTGAACTAATATTATAATAATTGTATGGTTGACAGTAAGGAGAATTACTAATGTGACCTGGGAGTTAAGGGGTTAAACGTTGACTGATATAACTTTTTTGTTTTTTTTGCACAGAAACAACACGTTATGGGCTAACACTACTGGCGATCAACTACAAGTAATCGTGTCTGGACTGCAGCCGTTTACCTTCTATAGCATCAAGGTTTGCTGTTCACCTCTTTATTTACTATAATTGTTTGACCTAAACAGTCGTCATTAACAGCTAAAGGAGCCACTTGGAAATATTTTGCCCGAAATTTCTAGTTAGTCATTTACAAACGTTGTCAATCGTCGATCCTCGACCATTTATTCCTTCAATTTTTGGTGATAGTGTTCCTTACCAAACCAGTATTTTGTGGTTTCCTCCACTTTGAAACTAATTTTATAAGTTGCCAGAAAAGGCTTGACTTGTCGTGGCTTTGCGCCTAGAGAGGTCTGGTAACCAGATGAACTGACTATTACTGTCTTGAAATAAAAAGTGTAGTTGAGCTTTGATAATTCTCGTATTCACCAAAATCAAACAAGTTATATGCAGGCGGGGTGCATATTATTGGGGGTGAAGATTAAAGGCTTGTGTGCGTTTTTTTCCTCTCCAAGGAGAGAAAAGAACTTTGTATGTGTTACTCATCGTTTGCGACGCTACGATTGGGTATTTGCTAAGTTCCTCAGGTTCGTTTTAGATGTTAGATCATGATTCGAGCTGAGCGATTCTTTTTTTATTTTTATTAAGGTGGCAGTGTGCACTACACACGGTTGTACTCTCAGTGATGCAAGACAGGCGCGGACAAATGCTGCAGGTAAAACTTGTGTTTTTTCGTTGCTTGTTTGTTTTTGCTGTTTTTTTTTTGCAAGTCAGCGAAGTGTTTAATGATGGGTTTTCTTAACTGATTTATCTGTTATTATCTCAATTAGCACCGACAGGTTTTGCTGCTCCGCGACTCACTGCAGGATCAACTTTTATTGTTGTCCAATGGGGTAAGTTGGAATTTCTTGTGTTTGTATAAAAGTTTGAAATAGTAGAGAAACTACAAGTGAGGCGTTTGAGAAAGGTTTATGAATATCTCTTCGTAATGTCTTTTTTCACTTTTTTAGAGCCACCATCTCGTCCAAACGGAATCATGTCTGGTTATCAGATTTTTAGAAGAATGGTGTACTCATGTCCAACGAGGTATGAATTACATTTTTTTTAATCAAAGCCTTTACGTGTGTCGTGTAAGAGTAGTTTATGCTCCAATTATCTAGTTTCAATTAATTTAGAATTCTGAACCTCATATCGACCCCGAAATGACTTTTTTTTTTCAGTCCCCCGCCAAACTCTAAATGCACTTTCATTGAGTGTCTCTTGTCAGAGCAGTTATGTGGAGTCACGTGTTACAATCCAGCCAATCAGGTAGGTCTTTTAAAAGTGAAACCGTGGCGAAAAAGTTCACATTTTTCAAAAGGCATTTGATTCTCTTCCAAGCTCTCTTGCTGACGGATGAAAGAGGCCTTGAGCTGTCTTCATCATACAATACTTCGTCGACGAAACGCTCAAGAAACATTGACTAAAATACAATTTCTACTCCAGCGAGTTGAATTGTGTGAATGCAGCTTAAGAACGTTATTTCATTCAAAATGAACCATAGTTCCGTGTCAAAAGGCTACCCTGACCCTGTATTCCAACCAACTTCTTATTCCGAAAATTCTTTCCACTATTTGCTATCGGTACAAAAATGCGAGGTGATGTGGTAAACAGTCATGTACTAATTGTACGTTCAAAAACCTCTCTAGGTGTGTTGCAGTGGTGTTCTTCACCCACGTGACCCATCCAAGACTTGTTGTGGCGCGAATTATCTGCGTAAGAACCAGGCCTCTGATGTTTGTTGCGGTAACACTTTCCATATTCAACAAGCCGACTATCAATGTTGCTATGGCAACTACATCAGTGTTGCTTCGGGACGAGTCTGCTGTCCTAAATTTCAGGGAGGTAGTGTGGTGGGTCTTGGTAATGCCTGTTGTGGAGACACCCCGTATAACAAGAATGACCCCACTAAGGTTTGCGTGTGTGGAGCGCTGTACGACCCCATTCCCCCGCGAAAGTGTTGTGGCGGCAAAGTTGTGGCGTCTGCTCAGGTTTGCTGCGGTGATGAAAAGAGCGGAGCTGCTTACGATCTGGAAGCTAGCAAGACTTGCTGTGGAGCTCAATACATTTCTGAAGACACGAGCCTTTGTTGTCAAGGATCAGCGGGAGATGTCGTGGTAAGTGCGCAGTCATATTTTACTTGGTTTAAACACTGATCCGGGCTCAGGGTATTTGCATTCAGGGACCACCTACCCAACAGGTTGTTAGCCTCTGCCTGAATCCAAGATCAAAGTTGATTAGAGTTAAGGAACCCAATGATATTTATCTTAACTTGAAAATACTTTTTGTTCTTTTTAGGTTTATAACTACACCAGCGCAAGCGATAAATCTACATCCAATCACAAATGCTGTGGTAAAAAACGAATTTCTAGTTTTCTCACATGTTGCAACGAACGTGGCTATAACTCTACTTACCAGACTTGCGCAGACATTTCCAGCAACGGAACGTTAGGCTGTGGAATGGGAACCATTTGTAATAAGACTGATGCACTCGCAGCAATGTGTGATCGATGTGATTTTGATAATTCAACGACGAACTGCGGATTTGTAGCTGGCCACTACGCTCCAACTCCTTCGACTGTTGTACCAAGAATCTGTGCCACGGATTACGAAGAAATACTTAAAAATCAGTACAATGCTGATATCCGTGAATATAACGACACTGGGCTCTCTCCTCATACAGAATATGAATACTACCTTGTCGCAATCAATAATGGATTTAATGTGTCAAGTCCAGAAGCCAAGAACCGAACGCTGATGGGTCGCCCTGAAGGTCTTTTACCGCCAGTTGCAGTTCCAATTTCCTCGACTGAAATCCACGTCACTTGGAGTAAGCCAGCAAAACCCAACGGAGAAATCCAAGAGTACAGGCTGACCCGGGTCAGCGGTCAAATTAAGCTGCGTCAAGTGGTATATATCGGTCTTAATTTAACTTATACAGACCGTGGATTGGAGCCGTTTACTGGATATGGTTACGTTATCGAGGCATGCACGACGCACTGCTCATCAGCGGAAATGACGTCACTGATCTACACCGACCAAGCTGCCCCGGCGGAAGTGAACGCAGCCATTTTACTTCCGTTAAACTTCAGCGCTATAAATGTTTCTTGGATTGAACCTTCCAAGCCTAACGGACAGATTATTCGTTACAATGTGAGCCGTGTAGTAAACAGCACGTACAAGATCCATTTGAACCCGAATGACAAAGGTTTGTCCGTAAGGAGCCTTGTAATTGGGGGTCTTAAACCCTATACTAACTATACCTTTGAAGTGATAGCTTGTACGCGCGTGGGTTGCACACCAGGTCCGCTGGCCTCCACGCTAACACTGCAGGCGCCGCCTGAAGGTGTCCACCCACCCAATCTCACAGTCATCGGGGCCAGGGAAATCGAAGCCACATGGATTGGACCAGACGTTCTAAATGGTGTGATTGTTTCATACTCACTCTACCGCGGAGATCTTGTTGTGTACAACGGGACGAATGCATGTTACAAAAATCAACACGGTAAAGACATTTGTATCTTCCAAGACCGAGGCAACGGTCTCCAACCAGTGACGACTTACAATTACTCAGTCGCTGCTTCGACTGGCGGGGGTACCACTAGGAGTGCTGTGTCTACTGCCACTACCCCAGAGAGTTCTCCAGAGGCCATTCCAAAGCCTCGTTTGACTGTGAAAAGCGCTTATAGTATTTTAGCGGAATGGAATGCTCCAGGTCAGCCAAACGGTAACATTACAAGTTATTCTGCAGTCGTTAATGGCTCAGAGTATGTTGTCGCTCTCAACATGAGCAAGTTGATTACAGGATTGAATCCTTTTACTATATATTCTGTTCGCGTGAAGGCCTGTACCGCTAAAGGCTGCGGACTCGGGGAAAGAGAGCATGCAAGAACTGGCGAGGCTCCTCCCATCGGACAGGGGGCACCTACCCTGGTAGCACGAGAATGGAATGTTGTACAAGTCTCTTGGTCGCCGCCTTCCTTTCCAAATGGAATCGTCGTCCAATATGTAGTTTACCGTAAGACAGGTAACAGTGCCCCGCTTCCAGTTTGTTTCACGCTCCAGCGGTCATGTCTGAATAGTGGTTTGTTAGGTTACACGGATTATTCCTATAGAATAAGAGTTGTAAACAGCGCAGGCTTTGAAGAAGGCCCTTGGACCGACGTGCGCACTCCTCAGGGGCCTCCTCAAGGCATACGACCACCTTCTCTTACAGTACTCAACTCCAATGCAGTGTATCTTTCATGGACTGTACCCTCTCAGCCCAACGGTATAGTCACACACTATGAAGTGCGCTATCACAAAGGACTACAAACTCCCGACAACAGTAACGTCACAGTAGCAGCTCGGTTGCCTAGCAACGTACTGAACGCCACGGTGAGCGGGCTAGACCCTTATACGGACTATCAGTTCCTGATCGCTGCCATCAACAGCCGGCGTGAGGGGGTGAGCGCCTGGGCGACAGCAAAAACCAAACAAGCACCACCAGCAGACCTTCGTCTCCTTCGTGCTGACAAGACGAAAGATGGAAAGAGCATGCGCATGTTGTGGGATGAGCCCGGGTCTCCTAACGGGGTCATTACTCACTACAAACTGTACAAAGACAGTGTCTTGATTTATCTCGGCAGCATCCGAGAATACACGGTCTCAAGACTTGTTCCTTACACTGCGTACGAGTTTCAGCTAGAGGCCTGTAATGTTGCAGGGTGCACGCGGGGTCCCACGCAAATCATTTTCTCCGCAGAGGTGGACCCACAAGGCCTGTCCCGACCTACAACAGGGTTTATCAATGCCACAGCTGTGGAGCTGAACTGGAGATCGCCAGCAATTCCAAACGGAATCATCATCCGTTATGAGATTTACATGACGGTCACGCCGCTTCAGAAGCGACGAAGGCGCGCTGTAACACCTCCCTCCGGTCAACTGGTTTATTCCACCAATGATACAAACAAGACAGATTTCAAGCACACAGAGACGGGATTGAAGCCTTACACAAAGTACGGGTTTAGTGTACGCGCGGTCAACGGTGGAGGTTTTACGGAAAGCGACCCACTGATCGTAACCACATCTCAAGCTGCTCCTTCGTCCGTCGATGCACCACTGGTCTTGTTGATGACCGCGTATTCCTTGAATGTGACGTGGAAAAAACCACTAGAACCCAACGGCGTTGTTCAGTTTTATTTTGTGTTCAGGAACAATTCTATTAAATATAAAGGAAACGAACTGAGTTTTGTAGATCAAGGTCTAGAGCCATACACCGTATACAGTTACACCGTGGAGGTGTGTACTAGCTGCAATGTTGACTGCTGTACGCAGAGCTCTCCATCAAGCCGCCGAACAACTCAGGCTGCACCGTCGGGTGTGTATCCCCCGGCCTTAGAAGCGGAAAGTGCTTTGGCTATAAAGATATCTTGGGTGACGCCTGACAAGCCCAATGGAATCATTACCCAGTACCAAGTGTATGAAGTTGGTGACAGTTCTCCGATTTATACCGGACAGGACATGACGCTCACTGTAAGCGGGAAGGCACCTTTCTCTAAATATTCCTTTTACATTAGTGCTTGTACGAGCGAGGGTTGTACACAGAGTGCACCAGCTGAAGTGCGCACCAAAGAAGCTCCTCCCAGAGATCTCCTCGCCCCTGTTGCCACAGTCGGTGGTTCTTCGTTTGTGCGAGTAGAATGGAATGCACCGCTAAAACCATATGGTGTAATACTCCACTATCTCCTTACACGTAATGGCTCCCAAGTATACAACGGTACTGATCTGAAATTTAACGACCTTACTGTGGCCCCACACACCGTGTATATGTATGTTGTGACGGCAGTGAATTCCGTGGGCCGCGTGTCAAGTCCTCCTGGATTCAGCGCAGCTACTAATCCTGGTGCTCCAGACAATGTGAGCATCCCGACTTTATATGTTCTCAGTGCAACATCCATTAAAGTCCTGTGGACAGCCCCGGGGGTTCCAAACGGTGTCATCTTCAAATATGAAGTATTGTACAGCTTCATGGGAGCGCAAGGCGTTGCACAGGTGAATGATGCTGGTATCGCCAAGGAGATTACCCTAAAAGACCTGTTGCCATATACGTTGTATGAAGTCAGAATCCGCGCTTGTACACTTAAAGGCTGCAGCATAGGAGAGGCGAACTATGCCCGTACATTTGAGGCTCCGCCAGAGGGTCAGAATCCCCCAGATTTCCCAACATCTAATATTGGTGCTAGGAGAGTACTTGTCACCTGGAATGAGCCTTTAAAACCCAACGGATTTATGCTGTCGTACAGACTTTACAGGCGTGGAGTATCGTTGTATGGTAACCAGGCGACAGTGTATGGTCCGGCAGAGTCTGTAGTAAACGTAACTAATGGATCTGCTCTAGCTTACAGTGATACAAACGTGAAGCCGTACTTCAAGTATAATTACCGAGTTATCTCTGCAAACAGCGCTGGTGAAACGGTTAGTCAGTGGTCGTTGGTTCAAACCTTGAGTGCAGCACCAGAGCAGCTTAAAGCGCCTCATGTGAACAAGACTTACCCTTACAGTTTGGAAGTGTTCATCTTCCCACCTGGTGAACCTAATGGAGAGATAAGAAATTACATCCTCGAAGTTTCTGGACGAAATGTATCTCAAGATCTAACCACTACTCGTGAGGTGGCGGGCCTTGAGCCATTTACGGACTATGTTCTACGTGTGTACGTCTGCACGGATGGAGGGTGCGCCGCGGGACCCACTGCAACCTGGAAGACCTCTGTTGGAGTGCCGTCAGAGTTTGCCGCCCCACGCCCGGTTGAAATAACCAATAACTTCGTCACACTTATATGGGACGAGCCAGGAAAACCCAATGGAGTCATCCAAAGGTGGGCAAAAACTCTATTTACTCTGTCCTACATTTCCATCATCCACCGAGTTTATTCATGTTAGTGAAAACTGGAGGCAACGCTAATGAACCTTAAATTTGATTCTAAAAATTTTTCATTTTTTTTTTTTAGATATGAGGTTCTGTTTCATGAAACTTGCGCTGTCGGTTGTCCTACTGCAATGCCCGAGAGTGGACTGAACACGAGTTTGTCTCGGCGTTATACCGTTAGAAGCCTGTCACCCTATACTATGTATAACTTCAGGATACGAGTTTACAACTCACGGCATTCGAGTTTATCGGATGAACAAAAAGTGCGAACACTAGCTGCAGGTACGTTAATATCAGTATGATAATGTCAAAATGTTTGCGTCACTGTATGTAGGCAATGACCACGAGATAAACTTTTATTTGAGATCGTTAGTTGTTAAGTCACCTTTGATTTAGGGAGAAGTGGCGCCATGATGGTTGCTGCATTGTACTTCAAATCGCTCCTAAGCTCGAGCCCAGTCCAATCTCTGTTTAAAAAAATGAAATTTATTTCATTTAATTGTGTTCGGATCATTACATCGTGTTTCAAACAGTGCCTCTCTCTACCAAGGTGTACTACTACAATTTGCATGAAAGTATTTTTACCTTGTGCCTCACTGGTTCGTATTGTTAATTTAACGGAAATCGGTTATGATGCGTTTTTCGAAGAAATTCGTAATGATACTCTTTGACGTCCGAAGGTTTATATGTTTATGGTTTCAACCTGATATATTTTGTATTTTTGTAACAGTAAATCCATGAAACTAAAATTTAAATCAATGTTGGAGCAATGAAGTAATAACCTTGTTAGACAAAAATTCATTTTCGTCTACCTCCTTAGCAAATGTTTTGCTTTAATTGGTTCCAGGTCCACAGACGACAGAACTGAGGCCTCGAGTAAATGTGTCCGGGCTCCGAGTGGCCGTGGACTGGAGCGATTGCTTTATTTTGAACGGACCGCTGGACTCCTATGAGCTGTTAGAAAATGGATTGCTTGTCTATGAAGGACAGCAAAACAAAATGGACTTGGGAAATAGGAATAAAGGAGGTTAGAGGCGAAATCAACCAATCACATCCTGGTTGTTAAATGATCTCGTTTCTCCTAGAGTATTTACGCCACATTGTTTTGAGTTGAATTTTTTCGCCACTTGCTGAAATAACTCCAAGTTAAAGAGACTTCAAAATCATAAAGTCGTACGGTAGAAAATAATTTAAGAGGCAATGATAAATTTAGAAGGGACTCGAGATTATTCACTCTACAATATTCTCTATTCGTGATCTTATCACTTGGAATTTTCTCGGAACGAGATGAGTAACTTCTTTTCTTGGGATTTGTTTTTTAACGACATTTTATTCGGTTTATCTTTGTTACAGAGTACACCTACAAAGTACATGCCACAACTTTAGTGCAAGGAAGCAAAATGACTGTAGAATCACCTCCCAGTGTTCCTGTTCAGGTGCAATGTAAGTTGTCCGCCCAAACTTATTTATTGCTTGGTACAGAAAAACCGATCGCCGTTCTTTTTTACGTGAGGTTAAAGGCTGATAGTAAGCTGCATCTAATTTACCTTTAAAAATTACCATTCAGCCAATTGAATACAAGTCACTAGAACTGAAGGATATGATCAGCAAGTGAGAAAGGTCTTCATCGTCAAACAAATTCTCCTCGTCTGTTTCATAAACGTAAGAAGAACAGTGTACAAAATACGTTAATTGATAGCAAGGTTGAAATGATTAACCCTCTGGCTCCTAAGAGTGACTAACAATATTACACAGTCTGAGTCACATGTTAAGGTCACGAGAATAAGGAAATGATCACCTACTAAAGAAGCTTCTGATTGTTTAACCAATTCTCTTCATCAGCGCCTTAGGAAATGTGTAGAGAAAAGTTTGGAGAATATACATACTGATGTTAGGGTGTAAAGGGTTCACACGCTATCTCTATCTGTTCTCAGCTGAAATTATTGCAGCAACATCAGCACCCCGCACTGCTTCGGATGAGTGGCAAAAGAGTGTTTGGTTTATTGCTGTCATGGCATTGGTCGCCATCATTATCCTGTTTGCGTTGATATTCTGTTGTATGCGGAAATCCACCGGGAGTAGAACAGTATTTGTACGGGAAAGGGAACCTTTACCTCCACGCACCAAACTGCGTTCCAGGCCTCCATCCATGTCCAGTCTTTACACGTCCAGCGACAGAAAGAGTGGAAGCATGACTGTAAGTGGTTGATGATTACATCAAGGGAAAGGGGGGGGGGGGAGCATGATTAACGTATTAACGTTCATCAAATATTTTCTCCGGCTCGCGATGATAATAATGCTTCTGGGTAACTTGGGAATATGCGTTGATTTTCCTAAAGCGACATTCCCGATTTTTTCCAGACTTACTGTCGATGCTATTAAAGTTTACGGTTAGAGTTTTATTGAAGATGATCCAGCGTTTTGTCATTGTTAAGAAGGAGGATATCGTTCTACTGAAGAACGCTTGGGAGTGGACACCAGTTTAGTTTGGCAGGCAGCTTTTCGAAAACATTGTCTCACGGGCTGCAAAATATTTGAAGGTGAATGACCTGAACGAAATGCCCTCCATTTAGGATACAGATATGCTCTATTATTTGTCCATAAATGTGATCTGTTCCTCGAAGTTTATCGTTTCCCTCGAGGTTCGCTCTTAGAAAACTGTTCGCTCTTCGGAATAGATAATATCCACTGGCAAATATCCACGCATATTTTCGAGCCAATTGTTTGTTTTTTGTTATCGTCCTAAAATTTAACTGAGCCCGCATCTTTGCTACTTTTCGACACGTGGCGCCTTCCAAGGGGTCAGTAGGACTGGTGACTAGCGATCAATTTGGTAAAGGGAGTGTTGAATTATTAGTTGGTTTGTTACATCTCGTTCATTTCATACAACTTTGTTTATGTCACAGACTGCAAGAAGTCCACGCATAATCCTTGATTAACAAAGGCTTTCGATGTAACTTATTTTGTTTCAGGAGATGCATTTAATGAACCCGTACCACAGTAGTACCACAGCTTTGTTTGACAGCACAGAGAGGCTGAACAAGACTCCCGAACAATTTGACTTTTACAATGGCAGCATGCACAAAGTTCCTCCAGATATGAGTCAAGACTGGGACCATTATGTCAAGAGTTATAGCAACAGGGATTCTGGACTGGTGAGGACTCGTGGCTGATCTTTCTCGCTATTATAGTCCTTGAGAGTGTTTTCCGGTTTAACATCTTCGGCAAATCTCTGGAGTCTTTAGAACATCTTCGGCAGTGTTCGGAACTCCGAGTAATTTCTACTGACTTACCGACCAACCTACGTAGCCAGCTATCGACTTAACAACTAACACACCTTCTTCACAAACTGCCTAGCCATCTGCAGCATTAGACTCGGTTTAGTCTGTGTTACGTCGCTTAACTACTTGTGTTTCTATTCTTGCAGTACGATGACGAAAAACTGGACTTCTCGGACAGTGAACCAAGCACACCATATCAAAGCTTTAAGAGGGAGCAGTACTTTACGGATACACACTTATAAGAACAAATAGTCTTTCAAAGTAGCCAAGATTTGTGACTTTTAAATCAGATTAATATTATTAATGAACAATGCTTGTAGTTTAGGTAGTGTATTTTCAAATTTTGATTCCAGTTACGAGTGTGAAACGACTGAATGTATTCCTGAGAAATTTTTGTGCAGGGTCTGAAAAAAATTTTTTTTTCAAGAAAATAATTTTTCGATCAGCAAGGTACATAGCTTTCATAAATAGTGTGGGACCAACTTCCCATTTCCTGAGTAATGTCAATGCCACTTTCGTTGCTCTCATTGATCTGTTTTGTGATATACTTTTTCTCTGGAAAGAGCGTCAGGTAAAACGTTGCCTAACACTTGTGTTTGTATATAAAGCTTTGATGAGTGTGGAAATTTGGCAGGGACTTGTTACCTCGTAGTCACTAAATCTCACTACAAGTGTGTGATGATCTCGAAGTCGAGATTTAGAAGAATATTTCAGGATATAGCACTTAGTAAAATCTCAGAAATAGATATTGTGTCCTGAGGACACTTTTTGTATCTAATTAGACGCCACCATTACGTATTTCATTGTTTACGTTAAACTTCTGCAACCTTTTTTTTTTTTTTATTAAGACCCGTTCGTGGAAATTACAACGCATGCATGCGATTCTCTTACCCCAGTTTCTTTGAGAATATAATTATATTGGCTTCGTTCAAAATTCTGCGCTTGTATATGTGTATACTACAGTTGAACTGTATATAAGCTTGAAAGCTGAGCTGAAATTAAAATATGTTTTTAATAATACAAGTTATTTTAATGTTTTTATCCATGGGTTGATCAACAATACAAATGCGACACCTCATCAAAAACAGTCAAATCCTCAAATCTGGCCTTTACGAAGCCCTTTCAGTTCACGATCAAGGCAATGCTTGGCATGAATCGTATTACCATAGGAAGGCGCATCCACATGCAGCGTTACCAAACACTTCTGAAGACACCAACGATCAGCAAACAGCGAGAGAGCCCCGTTGCTATAATTTAGTTGATTGTAGGCATCAATCTGATGAAAAGAGATATGAAGTTAGTTCTTCAACACACCACAAAGGTACTCACACCTTACTTGCCAGTGAACAAGTTCGCGAAGCTTACCAATTTGGTTGTGGGTGTTGAAACAGTGAAGGGAACAAGTTTAATGAAAATGATGCGACGAGGGACTTCCAGATTGAAGGCATCTCCAGCTGACAGAATTCAGATAGCGGTTCAGTAGAAGCTAGTTCCAGTTCCTCTAGAAGCAAAATGGGGATCCTCCGTCCATCATTCGTCTGGAAAGAGTGTACTACTCCACTAAAACAATACCATACCATTATTCACACGACTCCTCCAAAACTGCTTTGCAAGGCTCAGTGTCGAGTACGTGTGGCATCGAGTTTCAACCGAGTTTCATCCCACAACAAAAACAAGTCAAAACGTTTCGCAAAGAAACGTGTTAGGCTTTGCATGCCGAAAAGAAAGTTTTCGCGATTTCAAAAACGTCCGTGGCCCGTCCGGTTAAAAGGAAAGCAGATTGCAGCTCTGGAAGACAAGAAGAAAACGGATTGAATATGGTAAATGCAACTGATCAAAAGTTCCAAAAGAGGCAGAGACGTGGAAACATCTCAACAAGCACGAAGAGGTACATGCAGATAAACAGCTATAAATATAAGTAAAAGAAAATCATTGTATATAAAGGGAGACCACTGACCTTTGGAAATGTCAATTTTATTTATTATAAGTCATTTATAACTTTGGAGATAAGAAACTACTCTAAGGATCCACAATGCAGACATCCGTGAAAACAAATTTTCAGTTCCCGCCAAAATTGATTCCAGCCAACGCCCTGGTTTTCCTTGGTTCTCCCCTTACTTTCTCTTAATACAACACAGTAATTAAAAAATTTGAGTGATGCCAAACACTGCCCTATATGCATGTAAGCATTTTACAAATTTAGCCAAGAAACTTTTCATGGCACTCTTAACACAATGGCAAACTATTTGTTGAAGCAAGAATCAATTAAGTCATTCAGTTGACACAAGAAGTAATGTTCAATCAAAGTTCAAACCGTTGTGACAATCTTTTGTCTTCAGGTTGACGAAATCCTGAGCTGGAATCTACTCTGATTTGCAGCCGAGGAGATCTTCCTCGACCTGCTCAGGTATTCTTGCTCTGAACTACTGATTACGAATCTAACTCCGACGCTGATAAAACCAGCATAAGCGGTGCTTAAATTTATTCTCACCGTCACACAATCAGACCTTTTTTTGACATGCGTTCAAGGGTTACTAGCAAGAAGTTCCTCACGCTTTCACCTTAACTTCTGCGGTCGGCCCTCCCTGACTGCGGACAACAGGTGCTACTCTTCTTAGTAAATAAAACATAACAAGGAGAAAGCAAAGCGGAATGGAACTAGAAAAACGCCAAACAGATAAGACAAAGCAAATTTAATCTTCTTCTAAAAAAAACGAGCAGTATGAAACAGTATAAAGTAAGGTCAACAAAAGCAGTAGTAGTAACGTTTTATAAAGCTTTTGCAAAACAGACAAGTTAGAAAGTTTTATTTATTAACCATAACCGCGAGAAATCACAATTCTATACCAGGGCCACATATCTGGACGGATTCGAATCTTCGGGATCGACAACACATTACCGTTTAGCATGAAATTTCCGCTGGTTTTGATTTGTGGATTGTTCTCCATCTGGAAAGTAAGTTCTCAGTGAAAAAAAAAGCAGGAAATTACTTCATTCAGTATCGTAAATAGAGAGAGCGAATTTCTACAACATGCTGCACTACAGACACTTTATTTTATTCTTGTAGTAGCGTAGAATATTTCCCGCAGCGTATCGGAATAATAAAACATCAATTCGATGTCGTCTCAGATTTTGGGTTAGGGCAATTGAAGAAATGTAAATTGGTTTCCGTGTTTACATAGCCTGATGTAAACACGCGGGAGGTTGGGAAAACACGAGATAAGCGTAGGAAACCACGACGCGAAGCGGAGTGGTTTCTAGCTTATCGAGTGTTCTCCCAACCTCCTAAGTGTTTACATCAGGCTATGTAAACACGGAAACAATTTTACATTTCTTTTATAAAATAACTAATGAAAGAGGAACGAAAACCGTGTTTACATACGCTCATGTAAAATGGTTTGATGGCCAATCAGAACGCGCGTACTGTTTGAATTATTTTATAAATATATTTGAAGACTACATGGAATCCGATGAAATGTCTCTAATAAGTCGTGCACCACAACTCAAGAACTAATATACTTTGAAAATATTGCATTACCCTCTTTATTCATATACTGCTGCAAGAAAAGTGAGTCTACATAAAATCAGTTTCAAGCCAACAATTTGCTCATCTGAAACCAAAAAATTTGTTTCCGCTTGGCACAAAAAAACATAAAAAAATCCGTTAAAATTTCATTCTACACAGTGGTTAAAGATTGGCTAGTTTGTGTATACCTACTTGACTCTCTGCTCAGGTTGGGTTCCCTGTATTAGTATCAAGCGAGATCTTTCTATCACGAGGAATATGACTTCGTTGATGACTCTCAGTTTGACTACCTGTAAATTCACTTGGGCACGATTGAAGCATTAAGGAAAAAACCCATCTATTAAGTTTATTGTACATAATGAAATTGCACCATGCGAAAATGAAATTTATGGCCACGGAATGAACAACTCCACGACGTATAGAAACAAAAATAATTTACTTTAACTCCTCAATGGTGAAATGATGCAGGTTGAAACTAAAATAACGAAAACTTACAAGAGTTTCACAATATCTGATGTAAAGAAATAACAAACAACACGACGGAAAGAGGACTATAAAACACTTACATCGTTATGGCCACAGAAAGACCAATACTAATACTGCAATATGCTATGGACGAAAAAGGAAAAGGGAAAAGAGAAGCGAAAATCGCGGTATGTTGTTGAACTGCGCTTAGCGCGAAAAACGAGAAGACAGGTATATTGCTGATATATACATGATGATATATTATACATACTGCTTAACACAAGAATGAGATTTTCTCATCATACACATGCTCCAACATTTCGCCGTTGCCCAACGACGAATATTGAATTCTTTTATGATACAATCCAACATTTCTGTGGTTAAAAACAGAAATATTGGGGATTAATTTTTTATTTGATCCAACATTTGGCCGCGCTTGAAAGGCCCATATTGGATTCCCTTAATATATGATCCAACATTACGCCTTTTTTAAGACGAAGATTGAATTCCCTTATCAAATGATCCAGCATTCCGCCGTTACTTCACGACGAAAATTGGATTTTCTTACTGCATGGCCAACATCTCACCATAAATTTTATTACGACGAAAGCTTGGTCATGTTGCTTCGTGGTTCAAATTTTGCCGTTTTGCTAAACGGTCAAAATTGGAAAAGCGCCAATTTTTCTCAGAGAATAATAACCTGTCAAGTATCTTTTTTTAAGCAGGCGTTGTCAATTGATCTTGCCTGTGTATTGATAAAGTTTACCTGCGCATTGTCGACCATCTCCAACATAACCTTCTTTGCAGGTACAAATCAACGCACCATCCGTGATACTACAAGTCGCCTGTGAGTGGCAATCGTGGGTAAAACTTGTGCATTCATCAACATCTTAAAAATGAAAAAAGGCAGCTATTTGTTAGATGTTTCCATGAAAATAAAGGCAGTTGGGACATGACAATGACCTGCGATGCATTAGGGGATTCGACGAACTAGGAACTGAAAAATCATGAATATACTGTCATAGTCAACAAATGTCCATGAACGTCATTGTTTTTGATCTGAGATAGTCTTGTAAGAAAGTCGCAGCAATTGAAAATAATTCTGAGGAATGTAATTGGTGTACAATGTTAATGAGGTGAAGCGAAAAGCAGCAGGCGATATGTGACGCTAAACACTCGAGTATGTATAGTTTGAAGGGCTGTATCAGAGAGCTCCGAGTTTCTTCGAGGACGGTATCAAAAAAGTCAAATTCGAAACAGGCAACCCCAAGAGTAACACTTGATCATTAAGTCTGATCATCTGGAAAACACTTTTGTTTCTGACTGTGACTGATTATGACCTTTTCACAGCCTAAGAGGAAGTCGTCATGTGAGTCAAGTGATGACTTTCGCCTAGTTTGCTGCATGATCAGTCGTCGCCACCGAAAACAGTCGAAGTCGGAACAATCTGGTCACTTACCTCCTTTATCGACCCTTTAATACTTATCCTGACAGAATGGTCACTTACCTCCTTCAGGGGTGGACACAGTAATATTGTTACTCAGAATAAACCCAACAGAATTCGACGCATTCACCCAGAGCCTGTAATCACTGGATGGAAGATGGCCATTGTATGTGAACAGTTTTTCAGCTTCCTCAACAGAAATAGCAGTTTCAATACGATCCTCAGTTCTCAAGTTAGCCGAGTCGAAGATGACGAATTTTCCATACAACATTAAGTTATAAAACAACTTTCCGTTCGGCAAAGCCACCCGTGTCCAGTTTGCGTCAACCGCTGTAGCATTGCGGACACGGGCAGTGAGAGTAACAGTTCCAATCGGTGTGATTTCTTTCGTATGAGCCTCAGCTTCTTTTCCATAAGCACACCCTTGTGCAGTGCAAGCTCGAACGCGGAAAGTGTGAAGGCTGTAAGGTTTTAATTGAACCGCTGTGTAATTCGTAAGCTGTGATTCATTCAACACACGCTCTGAAACCGCATCTTGGTACAATTCATAGTTTAAGATGACACCGTTCGGTTTTCCCGGTGGCAACATAATTACAAATAGAGCATATGGACTGAGAGCAATTACAAGAGGTGCTGGGATATCATCAGGGACATCCTCGTGTGTCGTTACCTGAGCTGCTCCACTAAATGTCCCGCCACCTCCACTGAAGGGGCGCACACGAACGTAATACAATGTCCCTGCCGTGAGATTTGAAATAATTGTGCTGAACACATCAGGGGTGGCGTTAAATTTTGAAACGTATGCGTCTAAAATTTCACAGGTTGCAAATAGTATTTCATAACGTACAATTACCCCATTTGTAATATTAGGGTACCGCCAGTTTACTTCAACCTCCGTTGTACCACGCACAAAAGCCACTGGTGTATAGACTCCCTCCGGGGGTAGTTCCCCAGTTCTTAAACGGACTTCCGGTCCTTGAGCGCAGCCGATTCTTGTGCACGCTGTCAGCTGTAAGAGGTATTCTGTATAGACCTGTAAGTTCCGTATTGTGAAGTTGTTGTCTGTTCCGCTGAACACCAATTGTCCATCCAGGGTCAGATTGTATTGGATAATAACACCATTAGGGCGTCCGGGCTCGGTCCAGTGCACCTCAAGCTCTTTGGAACGTCGGACAGCGGTAAGGCCTCGGACATTCTCTGGAACTAAGAGGAAAATACAGTTGGTAAAGTTTTGGTTAAGGGTAGGGAAAATTCTCGCTAAAAACTGCAAGTAGGAAATTATCGTGGATTGTCAGACATGGCAAAAAAACAAACACACAGACAAAAAAACAAAAAAAACCCTGCTTCTTCGGTCGTGACATTTTTACCGGCCCCACTGAACTTCCCCCGACCGTAGAGGCCTGAATTCTGATTTCATAGGTGGTATAGGGTTGAAGACCAGAGATTGAAGTGTTAATTACACTTGTATGAACTGCTCTTGTTGTCTACTTCATTTTTGATTTTATCAACTGTCAAATTAATGCGATTTTCAACTTAGTATCGAAAGTAATCCGGGACACTTCGCTCTGTGATTGGTCCAGAAAACTCGCACCACCCTCTCAACCAATCAGAAGTAAAACCGAAAAAAAATCATCATTTCGTTTCGCATTCATTCTCACGCTTCAGGCAGTCTTCATATATTTTTATTTGGATTCTCATTAGTTTGTTAAGGAATTTTTCTTAATTTAGTCCGACTGGCTGTTGCAATTAGTTTGTTCTTGCTTTTACGACACTCAATTAAACTGATATTGAAATATTACAACCAGGAGACCATGAGCTGTTCATGCTTTTTGAGTTCAGGGACATTAAATGAGCTGCAATAGTAAGGTGATTTTAGGTAGAGGTTTATCACTGGCTAAAATACAGAAATATATTCTTGTTTCTTGTTTGTTCGGTGGTTCATAAGTGCACAGTTTGTTTGATTGATGACTTCTCGTCTTTCTTGAACTGATGCACTTTCAGACTAGAACCCAGTTTCTGCAGCACAGAGCAAATAAGAGCAATGTCACCTCTTGCTTAATGGATGAGATGCTTATTCAAGACAGTGTACACCCCTACATCTCTTCCAATTAACTTCAAAGTTTGCCGAATAAAGTTCCGTAAGGTACAAGTGTTTTATTTGTCCAGGAAAATTACGAATGGCAATTTTTCCGCTATCACATTGTTTTGGGTATCCCCGAGTTTTGGGTATCCGCGTACCCTAAACACTAGTGTTTTGGGTATCCCCTCTGGGGATACCGCACTTGAGATTGTGGTTGACGAAGAAAAGTGTTCAGTCATTTGTCGTGAAGCACCTTGGAAAGAGCTATACAGTCAGCAGTTTCAAGTAAGTTGCTTCGCATGTAAACAGTTAATTTAGCCCATCGATTTGAGACACGCACGAAACGGCGTGGACAAAACGTGATCGACTCGACGTCTCAATCGTTCGCTGCGCTCACTCGTAAGTTATCGAGTTGAACACTCGAAAAGAACTACCATATGTACGCGGACTCGGGTACTATTCTCTATATATCTGAATTGTCTCACATATTTTAGTCTTTTTTCTCTCTTATTTTTAATGCATTATATTTTATAAACGATTTGACTTTTCTATTTTTCAAAACTTTTTCTTCTTTTTTTCGATCCGTGATCCGATCCGTGATCCGATCAGAGATCTGATCCGTGATCCTGAAGTTATAGGAAAATTTCCCACACACACGCACACGTGGTAAATAAGTCAGAAAGTTTTGAATAATCAGAGTTAATCAAAAAGTACAAGGTTTCGGTTATTTTCTTAGACGCGAAATTCCATCAAGTGAAAAAATCCTCCTGTCGGGAAATGGTGCTCGCCGACAAAGGAAACTCTCACGTATGAAGATTTTCACCAGATTTAATATTTCTCACGATTTACAGCTCTCACTTTGTGGGTACACGTCGTAGTATTCTCCCTCCAAAAACGATCTTATCTGTCTGTAATTCTATATTTTTTCCTTAAGATGAATAGCCTATTGTTACAATCACGCGTTTCGCAATCAGTTCATGCACGTAACATAAAAAGGTAACACAACTCGCTTCCGGTCACGACACTCCTTCCATGCGTGTCTTAAATCGATCGGCTAAACTGTTTACATGAGAAGCAACTCACTTGAAACTGCTGACTGATCACCCCTTCGATTCTATGATACATCACAACAAATGAACACTTCTCTTCGCCGACCACAATGTCAAGCGCGAGAATTAACTTTGGATCACAATATTTTTGACATCTGCAAGCAATTTTAATTAAATTAAAATTTGTCCACGACAAATGAAAGAACGTTGCTATGTTACTTGACCCAGCCTACTATTTAATTCACTTTGAGCGTATTGGGTTTCCCCGAACGCCAGTGTTTTGGGTACGGGGGTACCCAAAACTCGGGGATACACAAAATACTGTGACGCCACTTACCTCCTTGCGCACTACGTTTCAAAATCCACTCGCTTTTAGCTGAACCTGAACTTCCATCATGGTAACTTTCCACACGGTACAGGTAATCTGATAGAAAAAAAGATAGGATGTGTACATTTTCTTTTCACGAATGACAAGTTAATTTTCATTAGGTTTTGTTTTATTTTTTTCGTTTATGGCGGGGGTCGACATTTCTTCCATTTCTAATTTCCTGCTGATGCGATAACAATATTTTTGATCAGTAACTAGCCTAAACTTAAAAAAGACTACTCTATTCATCAATCAACATACCGGTGAAAATGTCCACGGATGAGTCATTAAATCTCTCAGTCTTCCCAGAATACACCACAGAACTATTAAAGGGTAAACATTTTCCTATTTGACCTCTGGTTGCTAATGCGGGCGCAGGGCGGCAGCCATCAAGGTCCGCATTATGCATGGCATTGACTGCAGTTATGTAATCGATCTCTTTTGCCAAAGACTGAACAATTATGCAACCACCAAAAGATAACTCCACAGTCGCCCCAGCCTGTTGGGCGACTGTTTCGGTCGAAGATCCCCAGGGGACCCCTCCGATGAATATGCTAGATTGTATGTTTAGATTAGTTATTCCAGTTCCAACCTCAGTTTTACCATCGAGGAAGACAGTTAACCTGTTGTTGAAATTAGTTAAAGTCATATTGTGCCATTCTCCATCACAAATTTCACCAGATGGCGAATAAACTGTCACATTGTCCTGCACACTAGACGTGACGTATTTCGTTTCAACTCGATTTTCAGAAAATTGAATGAAAAATGTGGTTGTTGATCCGTGCATAAACAGAAGCAACCCTGATGAAAGCTGAGTGCGGAACTTCAAAGTAAAGCTAAATATATTATTAGTAAAAATGTCCGCTACATTTGAGTCCATAGCGACATAGCCACCGCCTCTGAGGAACAAGGCTCTTTTGTTGTCTCTCTCTGGACATCCATTTCTCTGAGGCTCGACACTGACCGCTTCTAACGCAGAAGTCCAATCGAGCTGCTTTGAACCAGAAGCAGCCTGTTCTGAAGTGACACCACGTATACAGCCGATAAAGTTGATCTTGTCAATTTTGGAATTTCCTGTGTCCGTCCGAAGAATTGTAAATGAGGAAGGAAGACCCCCGATATAAACCCCAGTGTTTGCCGATATCACGGTGGCGGCGCCTGGACTATTTTGACTGGCTTGGTAACCGTCCACCTTCAGGGTCCCCCGGCGGCTGACACGTGACACCTTCAACAGATGCCACTCGCCATCGTCAAAGCGGACTGGCTGGTTGATCGTAAAGGCAGCAGGGCCATCTTGACAATCGAATATTAACCATGGCTTTCCATCCTTTAATTGAACTGCTAACATGTCAGTCTGTGAGCCATCTGAAGCCAGAAAGAGAAGCAAACCTGACGCATACTGGGTTCGAAACCAGAATTGGATGTCATTTCTTGCACCGGCTCGAACAAAGTCTGAAGGAAACTTGTAGAATCCAAGACCTGGATAATGCACGCCTTCTGACACCACAGGGGGTGGGAAGTGCAGGGCTGAGTAAGCTCGGCTCAGGTTATAACTCGGCGGTATTGGGCCGTTAGGGATCTGAGGTTGAGGCCATCTAAGGTACACCGTGGATGAATCAACTGAGAGGACCGAGGGAGGTCCCTGTTGTTCGGGAGCTGTTAGAGAGTAAATCAGATACACCGCTGTTAGTAAAGAATATGGACGTCATGTTAAATATGATTCAAAAATAAGGATAAAATTGCAGCGTCATGGCAACGTGATGTAGTCGCTTTGGGACTCTATTAGTGAGCTCTAAGAAATCAGAAAGAAGAAAAATCTGTTTAAATTCACTCCAATGTCAACAAAAACCTCAAAATTTGGGAGAAATTGGCGAAAAGTGTTTCTCACTCCGCATTCAGCTTTACTCTACCGAATACACTAGGGTTCTAAGCTGTATTAATTTTCCTGTACTGTCACACGGGTTTGCAGTACAGTTGGGCCGGATTCTTTACACGACGCTTAAATTTATCTTGCGGGTAAGAAACACTTTTAATATAGTCGTATTATTTTGGGGAAAAATGTACTGTTTATTCTTGGCTTGTAAAGGGATGAACTCTAACAAACTCATCTTCAGCTAAAAAAATCAAACCAATGTTTAATTTTTATTTCAGCATAAATCAAAACCACCATTCGAAAATTAAACCTTTTCCAAAGTATTGAATTTCCCGGAGATAGTATCACTGAAAGTTTAAAATTTAGACTACATACTTGCCGCTGATGTCCGTACAAGAGCTTGCGGACTTTGCCCAGAGCAGGCAAAACTGTTACATGCTGTTACTGTGAATTTATATTGAGTGTACGGCCGCAGCCCTGCGACCAGGGCCTGTCGCTCAGACCCAGGCAACTCCACAGCTATCACGGCAACTGAGCTAGAGGGAGGCTGGCACTTGTAAATGACGTAGCGACTAATGACTCCCTGGGGGATCTGGGGAGGACTCCAGGAAACTATTACAGCAGTACTGTTAAAGAAATGAACACCAGTGTTCATGGTATTTTCGCCGAGTGGAGCTGAATAAGAATTGAAAACCATTAAAAACATCTTCGTCATAGCATGTACAGCATATGTGTAAACACATACATTTCCATTCCTTTTTGAGGGTATTTTTAGTATTTCCCTAACACCACACGGAGGCCGTCTAACATCTTATAAACAAAACATCTCTCAACTAGATTTAAGTGAAAACAAGACAAAGATTCCTATCCTCAAATGTAGCATATGTACATATGAACCGGAAACTGTACAGAAAGTCTACTGTTTTCATCCAAAAATTGGAAGACGCTGTTAGCGCGCTGGAGCTCGAAATGAGAGGTCTGGGCTTCCCCCGGCTCTAGTCAGGTATCAGTACATGTTAAGTTACGTCCTTAAGGAAGACTCTTGGCTCTTAAAGAATCAGTTAACTAGCTGCATAAGAAACTTGACAGATGCCACTTGGCACACGTCCCCACATCACTTTTCACTCTTTTTATTATTCAATAATTCTAGAATGTTTCAGTTTTTCTTGTATCTAGCGATCTCATTAACGACAGGTACTTGATTGATCAAAGTCTGAAGCGCTTTAGTTCTTTTTTAGCACTCCATATCTGTTGTTTATTTATTGAAATAACTTACTTCCTTCGCCAGTCCTATGCCTTGTCCAATTACTAACTCGGTCTCCCATGACTTGCGCAACAAATGTTCGCACCCTAAACTCATATACCGTGAATGAAACCAGTCCTGTCACGTTCGCTTCTCTGAAGATGATAATGTTCGGGTCATGGGCAGAATTGCTGTTGAACTTCAAGACTCCGTCGCTTGTGTCTTCGTCTAGGCGCATGTACAGCTCATAACGAAGAATTCTACCGTTCGGCTCGGTTGGCTTGTCCCATTCTACCCTCACTGCAGTGCCTCCCGGAAGTGACGTCACATTTGGTGCCGGCTGGAAATCCGGAAGTGTTGGCAGCGTCAGGATGGTTGTAACGTTACTACGAGCGCATCCACCATTGGTGCAAGCCACCACTGAGAAATTGTACACAGTGTATGGTTTAAGATTCCCCAACTCACACATGAAAATAACACCTCGACAGTTTACAACTTCAACTGAACTTCGGCTATTGATAGATATCAGCCGATATTCGGTGACACGACCATTTGGCATGTTGGGAGGTTGCCATGAAACAGTTGCATTCCTGGGTAGAATATCTGTGATGACCGGTGCAGAAATTCCACGTGGTGCGTCTTGGAAGGTGCGGTACACGTATCCGTCGTCTAAACTTCTAGTCTGACCAGATTCAGTGTAGGTAATGATGTAATAATAGTAGACGGTATCAGGAGTGAGACCAGTGTCATTGAATTTCCGGTTCAGTCCAGTGTAGGCCAGGGTATCATTTCTGTACATCTCATAACGCAGGATGATGCCGTTAGGATTGTCTGGTGGAAACCATGTTAACATTATTGCACGGGACGAGAGAACTGTTACAAACGGTGCGGGTTGCTCAGATGGGACTGAAACTAAAGGAGAACACGCTTAACATGACAAAAATACAGCATATACCGAGTGAGTCAAAAGTATGCAGAACATTCCATGCGCAGGAAAATATGCAATAATTTCCACGACTGGGAATAAAACCAAAAGGCGCTGGCGGAGGAAAATATGTACTGCCTTTTTTTACGATGAGGAAACAAAAGTCAACCTATTAAGACCCTTGTAGAGGATGAACAAGCTTGAGTTTCAACTGTTTACGCTTGCTTATTCCTGTGCATTTTTCTTCCACTGTTTAAATGATGGATGAGAGTAACAAATCCAACATTGAAACGTTGAATAAAGGAGGCTCTAAATCATTTTCAACTGAGTGCCCGAATTGTAACACATTTGCTTTACAACGCGCTGGTGCAAAGCTCTTAAACAATCAGATGCAAAACTAAAACCTGTCGCGTTTTGGTTACTCGCTTTTTCCGCCACATCAGACAGCATTCTTGTTTCTACTATGGCTTCTTATTGGGTCCTATTTATATCTATGTTTTCTCCCTTTTGGTCGTTGTGATGATCTCAATATGGATTTTACGACACTCATACGAAACGCACTTTATAGTGCATTAAAACAAGGCTCTTCTTGATAATTTTAGCCTTCTTTTGAGGCTATAAATTTCAGTTACCTCCACTGCAGCCATAATTGTTGTTCTGTTGAAGATTTATGGTTCCGTTTTTACACTTGTCACACTGTTTCCCTTCGACATTAACTTTGCATGTACACTGTCCAGTTTCATCACATTGATTGGTAAGACTGCCAGCCACATTACAGTTACAAGGAATACAGCTGAGGGTGTAACGAACAGAATATCATTGAGTTAGCAACTAAGTGAAAGGGTAAATGGGCTGAATTACATTGTGTTCAGTTGTCAAAGATAAATATTCTTCTCACCTCCGTGTTGTTGTGAAGCCGTAAAAACCATTTACACATCTATCACACCGCCGTCCACCAATGTTTGCCTTACAGGTACACTGGCCAGTATCATTGCAGTTTTTCCCAACAGACCCGGTTGTGTTACACTGGCACTGGACACAGCCCTGTCCTGCTGGATTCCAGAAGTATTCCGCTGCACAGGAGTCACAGCGCAGCCCAGACACACTGGACAAACAGAAGCACTGTCCATTATTGCTCGAACATTGGAGTTCATCTGGAGAGGAAGAGCGAATGTAAATGAGCAAGTATAAATCGAAGTTGATTATTACACACAAGTTTCCCCCGAGAAGCAACTCGGGCTAACAGGAATTGGTTGGTAAATATTGGTCAATATCTAGAAGAATAACACTTTGTAAAGAGGAGAACTGTCATCAATAACTTTGAAGGTTTTTCCGTTCAACGTACGATAAATCAATCAACACTTTAACCCCTAAGAGTGACTAGCATCTAGATTCTCTCTACAATATCACTCCTGTATTAAACAGTTAGTGAAGGGAATCATCACTAACAAAAGAAACTCTTGATTGTTTGACAAATTCTCCTTCTCAGCACCTCAGAAAATGTATAGAGAACAGTATGAAGAGTGTGCAAACTGACTTTGACTGACCTGGATTCTTTTTGTCACCATCTATGGTTCCCTTGGGATAACAGTTACATGGTTGACATCCGTTAGGATCTGATTGGTTAAGACCAAACGTTCCCGGCTTACATTGGTTGCATGTCTGACCAATCACCAATGGCTTACAAGTACAGTTTCCAGATTGCTGTTCACATTGACCTGACCCTCCCACAGTTCCTTTAGTGTCACAAACACACTGTGTACACCCCTGTGGATTGCTCTGTGACAGATTGTAGAATCCCTGTTTGCACTGGTCACAGTTTTTGCCTTCCACATTGAGCTTACAGGTACATTCACCAGTAGTTTTGTCGCACTGATCCAAAAGCGATGATGGCGTACCAGCAATAGAGCAGTTGCATGATGGACAACCATTTGGTGTAAGGCTGTGGAAACCATCTTTACACTGATCACATTTGCGCCCAATCACTCCAGCTTTGCAAGAGCACTGCCCTGTTACTGAGTTACAAGCGTTTTCATTCCCAGCTGTTGTTCCGAACGGATCACAGTCACATGTCTTACAGCCTAAAGGTTCATGCCCAGACAGACCCCAGAACCCTGCCTTACATGTGTTACATGTTCTCCCTGTCACCCTATCTTTGCAGTAACACTGTCCTGCACAGGAGTCACAGCGCAGCCCAGACACACTGGACAAACAGAAGCACTGTCCATTATTGCTCGAACATTGGAGTTCATCTGGAGAGGAAGAGCAAACGTAAATGAACAAGTGTAAGTCAGAGTTGTACACTACATACGTGTCTGTCACGAAATGCGATTTTAGTCCGACAGGAATTTATCGATAAATATTGATAAATATCTGGTGTAAGACTTCTTTGTTGCGAAGAGAGTTGTCACTGATAGGTCAAGAGTTTGTCAACAACACTTACCACTGATTGGAATAAATAGCAATCTATTTCTTAAAAAAAGGGTCATCCACTGTAACATTTTCCTAGACCACACCAGCTGAAAACCTCCGGTTTTCAGAAATAGCAAGACTAAAAGCAACATTACGCACCATCTGATGCATTGCGTAATGTTTCTTTAGAACTTACTGAATCAGTTGTGTTGCGATTAAGTGACAGGTAAAGATCATATAATGTATTTCCAATAAAGGTAGTCTTAAATATTTAAATACATAAGAACTGAAAAGTAAATGTCAAGAAGCTTAGAAGACACGTGATAAACGAACCAAGAATGTGTTAAAAAATGTTTTTAACAATACACATTCTGACAAATGGCTAACAAAGATTCGTCTTAAAAGGGGTTTAAGTTAGGTCAGGTTTGTCTGACTTTCCGTCAGTATTCGTTTATTCTCCTACGTGGGGAGAGCCACTGCAAGAGGTAATCGTCTTTCCATTATGTTTTAATTGGTTCTGAATAGAATGAAAATCTAACAAATTTCCGCCATCAACATTTGTACATTGGATCACTCAACAGCCTGATTTTCTGCTTCATAACAAAATTTCCTTCATTCACTTTGCTCCCACTTCACCAACAAAGAGATAAGCATGTATTGCTCTGACTTGTGATAAAAATAAAAACATCTAAAAAGTATACTAAGGTTACCTGGTCTCTTTCTGTCTCCATCTATTGTTCCGTTGGGAAAACAGTTACACGGTTGACATCCGTTAGTATCTGATTGGTTGAAGCCAAATGTGCCCGGCTTACATTGGTTGCAAGTCTGACCAATCACCAACGGCTTACAAGTACAGTTTCCAGATTGCTGTTCACATTCACCCGACCCTCCCACAGTTCCATTAGTGTTACATGCACACTGTGTACATCCCTGTGGATTGCTCTCTGACAGACCCCAGTACCCTGTCTTACAGGTGTCGCAATTTCTTCCTGTCACTCGGTCTTTGCAGTAACACTGTCCGGATTCTGGGTGACATGAAATATTTCGATTTATGGTGCCATTAAGAAGACAGCCACATGAAATGCAACCGGTTGCATGGCTAGCTTTGAGATCATAAAATCCATCTTTACACTCATCACATTGACGGCCTTTAGTGTTGTCTTTACAAACGCACTGTCCAGCCACTACACTTGAGTTGGAAGCTTCCTATCCATTGAAAAAATGGTTTAGGGAAATATATCTTCAATACTGTCAAAGAAATTAAAAGACCCTTACATTCAGCAATCGATAGGTATCATTGTAACAACTGTAGGAATAAATGAGTGCTTTATCATGTCACTGTTTTAGTACATACTAAAACAACTATTCACCTCCAATTCGGTGAATAGTTGCAAACTATAATTTCTGCTGAAAGCTTGTTTCAGTGACTCCTGCTTATGAAGCACAGCACTCTCTCCGATGAGCAACACACAAAGTAATCATTACAAACCTTGACACAATCCAACTCTCCAGGCTCTACCCCAAGCCCCTCACATCCACAAGGCGAACACACATCCGGTGACTTTAGACTCTTTCCAGACTCCCTGTAGAATCTCTCCTTGCACAGATTACAAAAACGGCCAGTAGTGTTGTGTTGACAGTCTATACACACACCTCCTCCCCCCTGGGTACGTGAGTCAGGGCTGGTGTCCAGAGTTTGATTATAAACACAACTGTTGGCATGATCATTACACTTGCACTTGACACAGGGGTATGAGTCATCATGTTCACCTCTTCTAAATGGTTTGTCATTGTATAGGGGCTTGCAACGATTGCACTGACATGGAAAAAAATGGCAACACATGTTATAGAAAAATTACATCTGAAACAATTCAACTTACCAATGACAATCCAATGATTAACACTGTTTGGCAAATTGTTTACAGTGGTCTGAAACCATAGAGAATAATATTTTGTGCCAGGTCGTGTTAAATAAAAACAGAGCTTCGTTTCAGACAATAACTGTACTTGTTCGCCCATAAGACAGTTTTTTCAGAAAAAACTGAATGTAAATTACACAAATGAAGCAAACCATTTTTTCCAGAGACATTACATTAGAAAACGAATACATCTTTGCTCTTCAAAATGTTCTTACAGTTTCTCCCTCCGTGTTAGTGGATGGATGACAGTCACAAATACATCGTCCAATGTGCGTGGAGTTCCCTTCAATATAGCTGAAGGATGATGCATGACCGAAACATTCACACCTACAAAATACAATATCAGAATGTAACAGTAAGTGCATGTACGTAAATTAACTGACCAGTGGCTATTGACCTTGCCTAATTTAGTCAACTGCAGTCAACTACAGTTACATAAAGTGCCTTTACTGAAAGAGGACGTTCTCAGGTTCATAGAGACTTAATTGAACTGTGTTGCAGCGTACTCTGGCGTAATAAAGAGATTTTTCAGCATTGAATACACGTGAATTTGCTAACCTTCCAGTGACAAGAATTCTTTCCAGGCCATAGTACCGGTGCAGAGGATTCTGTACCAAAGTATGATTGTAAAAGTTAAACTTGATATGAGTAGCTTTTAAGAACTGCAACAGTCTGTCTGAGCAGTAAAGATTACCGCATCCGGAACCAAACGGTCGCACTGGAATGTTGGAGCCTGGAGGCGGTGGATATTCTGTCTGAAAGGTCAACACTTCTTGACTGAACTGCAAGGGTCTGAAATAAAACAATCATTACTACAAGGTAACAACTTGAACCAAACATTTTCCCACAATTCTTCAAACAAGTTCCAAGTCCAGTTTAACTGCAATCTATCAATAAAGGCCAGAAACTTGCTTCATTTTTTCCTGAATCAATAATGCTATTGTTAATGAGAAACGACAACTTACTTTATGTATTGGACGCAGTTCACAGAGTCAGGTTGTGTCAATGGACCATTGTTTTGTAAATCAAATGAGGTCACACAATCCTCAGCAAAATACTGCCAGGACTCGTAGGTATGTCCGCGGTCCACTGATCGCTCAATCTTTATTACTCCAGGTACAGGTCCATAGAAAGTCAAGACGATGTAGAACACCTAGCATAGTATTAAAAAATATATACTAGTCCCTTATTTACATTTAATTTGGTTTAAGGGCTGGGTTATGACCAACAAACTGCCCTATGAAATTAATTTGATGTAACATAATTAATCAAGGCTAACATTGAAGAAGTCAGCAATATTGATGGACGCTTTCTTCTTGAATCGTTTTTCTTGGTCATAAATAACACTAAGAATTGAAAATCCCACCTGCAATCCAGCATATGCCAAATTTATGTGAATGGTTGCATTTTCTGTGATCTCTGACAGCCAGTAACTGAGTGAGTCACCATCAGTGGCAAACTCAGGTGGATGAGCTGTGTCGTTTAGCCTGGATACTGTGTCAGTGTCTCCATCTAAGTTTTTCAGACACTTAGCTGGTTCAGCAACATTTATTTTTGGATGAGTGGGTGGGCATCGACAATTACTAGCAACATAAACTGTTGGAAGGACACCTGTGAATGCCTCTATCGCTTCCCTAGATAGAAAACAGTAATCATTTCGGCGAGAAGAAATAACATCCAACACATGTTAAACAAGATACTCTCCTTTCATATGTGTCATGAAAACTATCACAACAAAGTTGGTGCATGATACGTTTAACCAGGCAAAATGATTTTGAGACGGGTGCATCTTATTATTTTAAACTGAACTGAAATAAAAGTGCGCAAAAACTTGATGTGATTAACCAATACATTTCTTAGCTTGTTTGAGTCTGCGTTTTTCTGTGGTGGATAAGAAGAGTTCTGCATCACCTGAAATAGACAAGGTCAGCGGATGTTTTTTATATACTTAACTTTTTTTAATTACAAAAACCGATAACGTATTGATTAACTTCGTCTTTTTGACATAGGAAGGCTTGGGAAAAAAAGTATAATATAAAAGTATAATGCATGTGCACAGTCGTTATAATAATTCTCATTTATTTTGCGTCGCAAGGAAGATACTTACTCAGAACCAGGAGTTATGAACAATCTTACTTCTCAGCTGGTGTACCTACCTGTTGGTCAAAGCTCTGTCATACATGAAGATATCCTGCATCAGGCCTTCATACTGCCCCTCTGCATCACCTGGAGGAATTTCTTTAGATTAATTTTTGTGATAGAGGAAAACATCATAGTATGTCTTTATATTTATCTCATTTTTACCATGACTTTGCTTTAATGAAAGAGCCAAAGTATAATATATTTAAGTTCAAAGTATAGCTTAAATATATTCCAGTAAGTAATTTAAAAAAAAAGGCATAAAATATCTCGTTAACTGTTGATGATTATGTTTTAACCCTGGCATAAAACTTTCTTTTTTGTGCTGTCGTGGGTGTACGGTAAAGAAATTCTTGGTGCTCCGATGCGCTATCATTGAGCCAGAGAGACCTTACGATTGGTTGGGCCATAACTGATTTCATGTGTGGCACGCATCCTAGCTGCGTACTGCTGGGACCAACGATATCGAAAGCGTCACATGCATTGTTGGTATTAGAAAAACGGCGAATTTTGAGCTGAAAATTAACCGTTCTTTCTTATTTTTTCGACATCGCCAATACCCTATGTTCATTTATTCCACGTTATCAGGTGTTCTTGCTAGTATATACTAAAACAGTAGATTTATTATCTCATATCCAACACGCATTCATGGAGTGATTGTTAACTATTACCTCCGAGCAAAGCACGCGGGATTTGCGGCCTAAAACATTGTTATCGTTGCAGGAATAAATGAGCTAAAATAATTTTTTGTGTGTTCTATATGATCTCACTGTTTTAGTATTAAACAATTATTTAGTTCAGTGTCAGTGGTTGGTGGTGGATATTTACCGCGCTGCTTCGCTGCTCATTGAATACCTACCACTAGCGACCCTCACTTCGATTAATAATTGTTAATTATCTTCCTAATGATGTCATGATGACAAGCGGGAAACGTTGACGTTTGCACTACAGAGCTAACTACATGGACAGAGCTAATGACTTTGATAATCTTTAAGAGGCTCTAAGCCCTTAACTAAATAATAGTCACTGACCCCCATATTTCTGTCCAATTCGAATACCACCAGCAGAGTTATTGATGTAATCACTCAGAGTCACAAAATTTGCATTCATGAGTTCACCATCAATGTAATATGACAGTGCTTTATCAATAACTGCTACAGTTATTAAATGCCACTCATCCTGTTGAAGCTTTTCACTTTGGCTTTGCAGAAGGTTGTATGTAGCAACTGATGCATTCCCAGTGGAAAGTCGATAGTAAAACATCAAGTTATAGTCCTTGATAACAAGTTGAAAGACATTGGCAAAATTTGGAGGAGTAGTCTCATCTTTAGACATGATCGTCCTATTAAAAAAAGGTTGATAACAAGTATTAATAGTAGTATGTATGTATATGGAAGCTAGAATCTTTCCGAATAATTTTGGATTATCGAAAATAAAACCAGCTTGAAAGGAGTATATGTAGAATTGACTTGTTTATACGAGCCAAGAAAACGAAAACTGTGATAAGGGATGAGTAAATAGGAATAGGTAAGAAAGGGAAATGATACATATATGCGAAATGTACTAAAAAGAACTAAGTCCAGCTGTTTTTCCCAGAGTATAATGAAAGTATCAAACACCCCCTTACGTAAGACTTAATAGCAACAGCCTGTAACTTTCGAACTTTTTCAAAGAATCGCGGCCACTTAACCACACCGATTGGCTGAAATTTAGCATGAAGGCTGATTTTAGGGTCCTAACCACGAAATTGGTATTTTAAAGTTCCAGTTGTTTTTGCTCGGCAAAAAATCAGTAAAGCCGGCGTAGTCTGCTCATACTTGCTCGCCAACATGGCGTATCGAAAGTGTTCCTATGACTTCAACTCGAGTCCTGTCGTAAAGATTTCCTAAAATCCTTATCCTTAGGTCAGGAATAAAGTCTAATACCACATTCACACAAAAGCTTAAACATGTTTTAAAGTTGTTTTGTTAATTACGGTTTAATTTTTTTTCTTCGTAGAAACTACTTAACCGAATATTTTTTTGACTTAAATTTAGCACATTGGAAATGCAAGTGAGCAAATACTTGAATCCTATAGAAAATTAACTTTTTCAGCTCTCTATTTATGATTTTTATTCAGTAAAAACCAGTTTAACAAAACATGTTTCGTTGGTGTGAACAGGGTATAAGTCTTAATTCGTCCAGAATAAAGGCAAATTCCAGAAGTTTTCTTGATATTATGGAAGTATCTGTTTATTTTGACCAAAAGCAAATATCTCTGAGCGACATTGCAGGAACGGGATAAATATTTGGTTACCGAATGAATTTAAAGAATCGATCCGGCAATAATGCTTGGAAGGGAGAGCGAAAATTTTTGAAAAAAAGAAAAGATTCTTCTGAATTCCAACCTCTTCATTTGGTGGTGATTGGTGACTTACTCAAATCTGATGCCTATAAGCTACACTTGCAGTTAATCCTACTCGTCACGCCAAAGGTTTAGATATTACGTAAATTACATCATGTTTTTGAGTGGTTCTCAGTTTCGTATTTCGTATAACAGTATAAAGACGAATTATGGAGCAAAATTCGTCTCAGGCTGATCCGTCTGTCAGCGGACGTGCTAACAGACGGATAGCTCGTCTTAGACGGATCATCCGTCTCTAAATTTTTATCTAGACGGAAAACGAAGACGGTTTTTGACGAAGTTTCCATATGAGAGAGACTGGTTTCTATAGTTTTGCAAGGTTTCCTAGGATGCCTATTTCAAGATGGCGTCCGGTAAAGTAATCGTGCCCTCGAAAGCAATCACTCCGACCAGTTTTGAAGGCCGTCCTCCCACCATTTCTTGTTTCTTTCTCATCTCTACTTCTTGTCTTCCTATCTTGAGCAAGATTAGCGAGAGAAAAGGGTAACATGAAGTTCATTAAGCTATTTTCCGGCTCAAACATGCGCTTGACAGAGGATATTCTTCTCTGATATACCGCCATATCCAATGCTGTTCTTCTCGATTTCATCAACAAGGCTACGAGAGCCGCCATATTTAAGCTCTCGCCAGGCTTCCACTCGGCTTAACACCGAGACACCCGTCGTGAAACTCGCGAACGATTTATATCTAGACAGATTATTCGTCAAAATTCGTCTTCGGATTTATACTTGGACGGATTATCCGTATGACAGATGATCTGTCTAGACAGATGATCCGTCTCAAGTATAAATCGGGCCAGTGTTGTTTGAAACAAACATCACCTTGCGGGAACGCGCACGCAATCGTTAATTGAGTTTACTCTAAGATCTATTTTGCTTTGAGAGACTGTTCGTGAAGGATGTTTTTTAAAACTTCTTTCAGTGGCTCTAAACTAGCTTTAAACCTTAACAGTATGAAAAACGAAACAATTAATTCGAATTAAATCGTCGTTCATCACTGAACTGTCGGTTGTTGCGAAAACTAAGACCCCCGAAAGCTAAGAGCCACGAAACCATAATTAATTTATTTTTCGATGACGTGGGCACGACACATGTGGCTTTTTTTTTAGGATGAGACAGCTTACAAGTTCGCACTGTTCTCAGTCTTAAATAGGTTTGTGCCTTTATGAGTTCAAGTCTTACTAGGTGTCGTGTTTCGCATCTCATTTTAGAACCAAATACCTACCCCTGACACAGAAGTTTTCAAAGAAGGGAGTACATGCTAAGGAGCGAAAGCGATACTAAGAAATGACGAATCGATGAATTGGAAGCTTCAACAAGCCCCTTCCTCCGGGCGACCCATGGGTATTTTACTGTCGTCCGTGCCCTGGGGATGGTAAATCTGAACCTTCCCTGGCTGGGGTGGGAAATTTGTACCGGAAATGTCAAGTCTTTCCAGCGGATTATACGTGCTTTATCGCAAAATATGGAGGAGTAAATACTTCATTTTCGCGTGCGAATGTCCCAGAAGTAAAGGTCTACGAGGTCTAGAGTTTTAAAGCTAGGTAAACGAGTAGAAAGTTATGGTCGCTGGGTTTTCCTTTTTTTCAAAAAAGTGAACTTTGGTAGGGAATTTGAACAAATTACCACCCCGGGGGCGGAATATCATTACCTTTATGTCAAATCAAAAGATATTTCCTTGGTATTAGGAAACTTTCTGGACGATAAATGTACTTAAACTGTTTACTTCTGATCGGTGAATTGATCTTAGAGCTTTTAGGACTAGGTCCCAAACATAGCCAGATCCTTACAGGTTGATTTTTTTTTTCCTTGACCGTTTCACTTCCCCCATTTTTTATTTACGAAACTTGTTCATCTAGGAACAAACGTTCTTCATAGTAAGTGGTATCTCCTGGATCGAGGTAACACTGAGATATTATGTTACTAAGTTGGGGTAAATTTTTCACTGTTCAAGGCGGCCTAAAGCGACCTTAGAACGTTGGGATCACATGTTGTCAAAACCAGATATTTGCCATATTTTTTTTAAATAAATGTTAAGAGGAAGGGAAGATCGTTTCATGGATATCACGAGATTTTGAGAAATCTTTACTGTAGGACTCGAGTTGAATTCAAAAGATCACCTTCGCCATATTGGCGGGCAAGTATAGGCAAACCAAGTGCACTTTCCCACTTTTTGGCCAAGCAAAAATACCTGAAACTTTTTAAAATTCATTTCGTGATTACGACCTTAGAGCAAAACTTCCTGCCAGGTTTCAGCCAAATCTTTGGAATGAAGTGGTTGACGAAGATTCGAAAGTTGAAGACTATCGCACTTAAATGACCATCACGTTGCCAAACTTTATCAGGTGGCTTTGTGGGCCGAGTTTTGTGAAATTTATTCAAGTTTGGAGGTTTCTTCGATTAATTTAGACACCCTTAATTTCTCTGAGCTTTCTTCACCTAGAATGAAATGCTTGGGGGTGTAGGGGACGGAGGGGTGGGGTGGGAGAGGATTTTTCAGCCTCTTATTTATCGGACGTAGCGTAGCCCCGTTCAAGATTTTAGATTTATTTTCTCCAGAATATCATGAAGAAGTCCGTAACGATTTCCAAAGTTTGCTCAAAGTCGCATTGAGCTAATTAATTTCGTGCTTAAAATTTTATGATTGATTACTGAAATTAATCGGAAAGAGTTGCATCGAGCTCAAAAAAAAAAACCGATTTACGAAGGAGTACAATTGATTTTAACGTCGATTCATGTGCCCCCTCTCACCTCCTCTCCCCTTTAGCTGGAAAGTAACCTTAACATGGTAACATAAAACTTACCCTTTGTTTCCTGTCTTCTGTTTAATCCAAACGCTTATAGAGAACCCAGGATTCTGAAAGTCTATAAATGGAATCCTTAAAGGTTGTAGGGATGAATTCCCTTGAAATCGGAATGATCTGACAATAGTTCCATTCCTCGGATCGCCATCTTGAGTGACTCCAACTTTATTTGAAGTAAGCGCTAAATCTGTGGGAACAGGCTTGGCTGAACCACAATTTGTACAACAAGCAAATTCACAGTTCTTTTCAACGCAATTCGTCAAAGACGTCTGTTTAGTCAACGACTGGCAATATTTACTAGATGTTGCTCCACATGTTGAAGAAGAAGTGATCGGTTTTAGTACAGCAAGATCCTCTAATTTCGGAAAATAGCCTTGGCCATATGTCGATGAAAGGTTTGAAAAAATTAACATCAAAACGTTAAAAAGTTTCATTTTGACTCTCCAGTGAAAGTTGGCAAGCAGAGTATTGCAGTAATTAACGATTGTAAATGTAAATTTCAATGCTCAAATAAAGTCATGATTGTGGAACTGTCAATCAATCTGTCATTGCTGCTCATTGATGCCTGGCTTTTACCTTTCCGCTTCATGAAGCGGGAAGAAAAAAAAAAAAGACCGTGGCACCACAGGCAGTCCAAGCTTCAGCTGTGAGATCATTTTGCGAAATACGATACATGTAGAAATATGAGCTTGCTAAGCTTGTTCGATCCGATGTGACATGACATTTCACAACGGAAATGACATGTTAAAATTATTTATTCAATAAAGTAAAACTGATCAGTATAGGGATCGCTTTTTAAGTGTCATGACCGCTGGGCTAAATAGGGACTTTAAGATTGTCGACGACGGTCGGCTACGACGGTTAAATGAGTGTCACGCAACGTTTCACACCTTTGAGATGTCACCGTCAGAGCTCTAGGACAGTGTGTTTTCACGGGGTTTCTCGTCGTGGGGAAGACGGTTGAGCACGGTAAGAATTTATTTCAATGAAATGTCGGTTTTTCCTCATTATTCCCCATGTTCTCAAGAGTTATTTTCGCACATTCTTGAGCATGGGTTTTTCTTGACGTTGAAATTAATACCACCTGGAAAATTGCTTTTTTGTGGAAAAACGCAAGGTTGGAGATTTGATTTCTAGTAATGTTGGCAAAAAGCACGTGTCTTATCATTTCATTCAGCTTGTTGATCATGGCAGCGAAAGAAACCTCTGTTGAGAAGTAAGTAATTTTTCCTAATTCTTGTTTCAAAAGCGTGACATTTGAAGTTCACGGTGAATATACTACGGCGGAATTTGCAGACGTTCCTGTGTCTACATGTCCGGCAGCCGAACAGGTTTTTGAAAATACTCCGTGTCCGGCAGTCAGAAATTTCTACAGAAACACTCCTGAAATGTTCTTTCAAATATCTAAGGAGTATTAGATGTTTCATTTTAAATGTCAAGCGATTTAAAAACTTAATTTGGATTTTAAGTGGAGGAATTTTCTAAGCTTCTGCATACCGTAAACTCGCAAGCTTTTCGACACTTACAAAACAATTCTGACCTAGTCTATTGAGACCGTGCCGGTAGTCAGAAATATTCTCCAAATTCTCTGAAAATACCTAATACAAACCTTATGAATGCGCTCGATGCTTTTTTTAGAAATGCCGAGAGATTCCAAATTTACGATGCCTTTTTAATGGACAAATTTTCCCGAGCTTGTGCATATCATAAAATCTTATGTGTAAGGTATTTAGTTTTCTCGCGTGCACCGCTTTTTAATTTATCCTAGTGTCTATTTAGTTGGTCTTGCCCGAGGGACCGTTGTATATGGGGGTACAGCTGGCCTGGGATTTTCCTCCTTGGTGCAGGAGGACGTACGGGGAGGTTTTTCACCCAGCTGTTGTTCCACGACCCTAAGTCAGTTAGCTTGTGATTTAGATGTTTCATGGATTGTATTTTATTTTTCTATGATACGTAATGTATCCTGTAGTCTTTTTTGGAGAATAAACCGAGCGCTTGGCTTGAAGCAAGCAGTACGTAAGGGTTGTGTGTGTTAGTGAGATCTAGAGGAGAGGAGGAGCTCCGCGTGAGAGGACTTGTCACGCAATACGTCACGATGATTCTTTCCCAGAATCGGGGGGGAATGGTAATCAATAATCACTGCCTAGTCTTTGTGTTCGCTTTTCAGAGTTTCAGAATCCGTTAACTATGGGAAACTCTTTAAAAATCGAGGGAATTGATATCAAAGAAGAACTTGGCGGGGGAAGTTATGGCGTAGTTTACAAAGCCAAATGGAATGGACGCTTTGCAGCCGTTAAAGTCATGAGAGATGACATGTTTTGGTGTAATCCTAGAGCAGTTGAGGATTTTAAGAAAGAATGTGAATTCCTTCGAGTGTTAAAACACCCCAATATCGTTGAAATGTACGAAGTTCTTTTTCCAGAAAACAGATCGCCTGTTCTTATCACAGAGCTCATGCTTTGCGATCTACAATCGTACTACATGAACTCGAAAACTACACCTAAAGTTTTGCTGGACGAAGTCATTAGAATCATGTTGGATGTCGGCGAAGGACTGAAATTTCTGCATGAACACGAGTGTCCCATCATTCACCGAGACATCAAATCTAAAAACATTTTACTCAACACGAAACTAAAGGCGAAGATTGCTGATCTGGGCCAAGCAATGGAGTCTCCGCTGGGAACTTCCCGGCACATGTTTAAGACACCTGTCCCCGGCACGATAGTGTACATGGCACCGGAAACATTCCCTCGCGGAAATCGTCAGGTCAGAAGTGATCGCCCTACAGTTGATTATGAAACAGAAATCGACATCTTTTCGTTTGGAGTTGTCTTGCTGGAAATTATAGTCGGTCACGTTCCGTCCCCCAAACCAATTTGTACGCCATACAAAGGTAAGTGTTGAAAGGAGCAGGGGTTGAGCGGCGGAAGGGATGAATATTTTGGTTGAATATCCTTTATTATTGTTCCTACATTCTCCCTATTGGGTCCTAATCCTTGGTTACTTTGTGTGTCAAAGGCGGAACAGTTTTCCGAACTTTTAGAACTTCCAGTCTTTAAATCTCCTGTCATGTCCTCAGTGCAGACCATATGTTTGTATGATAACTCGGTTGGATTATCGCTTGGAGTCTCCTAGATACATGATAAATCTCCTCTAGAGTTCACTTGATCTCTTAGATGAAAGTGAATCCGGAAAAATTCTCTCCTAAAGAGTAAAAATCAATTGAATTTCATGCTTAATCTTAACCATTACAATTTCCTCAAACGTGATTGTTGTATTGGCTTCTTCGTTTCTCACTAATCATTCTGTAGAGCTGTAATCGCTCAGTGTAATCAGAAAGTTGGCTGTGATCGGACGCCAGTAATTGGACAATTGAAGTGGCCAATCGTACTAAGTCCTCTCAGCCAAATCCACCAATTACAGAATTAATCACAATAACCATAACAATGACCACTTATCCTAAGAAAAAATTGAGGAATTTCCAAAACAGAGAATTTTTTTGCTACAGACATTGTCTCTACAGGAGATATTTGACCTAAATGTATTTGTTGTTTCCTGAAATTGTGATGGTTATGATTAACTGGTAACAGGACTTCTATGTCATCCAGTTTTGTGTCTGTAATCATACTTGTGATTGATAAATTGGACTCCTGCTTCATGGTCATCCAATTCACTAACTACTCATATGATTACAGAGCAAATTGGACTCCACTTTAGCTCCTGTTACCATTATTAATCAAAACTATAACAAAATTCTTGAATGTGATTGGTTATCACTGGTCCAATTTGAGCACTAAGAGGACATTGTACACAATATGCTTGTAATTGGATTGTGTATAGAACAGTTGACATAATTATAATGCCTGTTTAAGTGGGCAGTACGCATCATGTGCGTGCACTGTTGTTTCACATTTCACCAAGTTAACTTTTTTTTTTTGAAAAAGTATAACCAATGTCTAACTTTTTCTCAAATTTTGTCATAGTTTTGATTAATTGGTAACAGGACTTTGTCATCCAATTCATTCTGTAATCACACTCATTATTAACAAATCGGACTCCCACTTTGCAGTTGTCTAATTTTGTTAATCACATGTATAAGTACAGACCGGATTGGACTCCACTCAGTCCTATTACCATTATTAATTTACAACATTTATGAGTTTCCTGTTTAAAGTTGAGTGTTATTTTGTCATTTCAATTAGGATTAATATGTATTCACTTTAGCTTCTTCAGTAAGAGGGGCTAGAGTGGAACAAAGCAGTTGGAAAGATAATCCATAAATTGTGACCTAGCTCTTCTGAGTATGGTTTATCAGCATTTGGTTTTCTTGACTGTTCTGTGGGCATCAATCAAAGGCAGAGAATCATCCTCTCCTCCCATCAGTAAATAAAATCCTTTTGGTGGCTGGTATGTCACTTGGTGATGTCCATGGCTGAGAGATTGTCAGATAAATGAATATTTGACCAAGAGGTGTGGCATGGACCATCTCTCAGCAAAGGACACTATCAGCCAACTTGTCAGCAAGCCAGAAGGGGCTTTATATATTCTTCAAGCCTTCCATTAATTTTTTTATCATGTGTTGACAAAAAATTTTGTTGACTTCCCAAGCAGCATTTGAGAACAGCTTTTTAATGTCACTACCACTGGACTTGACAAAACAAGTTCCTTTTTCTCCCATGCTAAGGAATATAAATGAGTTTGTTGAGCAAATTATAGCTTACTGCAGGAACAGAGTTATTCCCTTCTCTCCCAGGAGTGACCAAGACATAATCTCTCCTTACTTTAACAATACAAATTAAGCTGACTAGTAATGAGAATATACAAAATTATCAACCAGGGGATGTTCTATGATTTAACATTTAATTCTTGAAACTAAATTTATCAAATGTGAAAGACAGTAAAGAGGATTCCTTTAAATACCCTGGGAATGGGGCTCAGTGTCAGTGATCATTATTTTGTTGACCCCACACACAATTAAATGTTCAAATTTTCCTTTTTACAAAAAATTAAAAGTCCACATTGAGTGCTCTTAGTCTTCAAGATCACTTTTTAATGAACTTGGCACCTTATCCAGCCCCAGAAATGAAGAACTGAGGTAATTGTGCCTCTTAAGAATGCAACTTTCCCAAAACCTTAGGGAACCAAGACACAGACACTTAATATCCCATTCAGTGCCTGAAGATTTAACGATAAGGCTAGTACTGTATCTCTCAGGAACAAATGCACTTCTGGTACAAACTCCCCTTTGATGCTTAAGTAAGGATAGGTGGAGAGGAGGGGTAGGCCTTGCCTTGATCTTTTAAAAAAGAAATTAAAAAAGAAATTAAGAAATGTTTTTAGTTCATGTTACACTTGATGGATGATGATTTGTGGAATTTTAAAATTGTTGTTGAAGTTCCAGTTTCAATCCCTGTCTTACCAATAGAATCATGAACCTTATAAAAACACCTTTGTTCTCTAATTTTCGATGCAGAATAGCACAACACTGAATCACATTATTATTTCACCAATTTACCAATATGTTAACCCTTTAACCACCATGAGTAACCAACACAGAATTTGTCCTTACAATATCAATACAATATCAAGCAGACAAGTGATGAGAATAAAGAAAAATATTATTAGGGATTAATAGTTGATTCAGTACCAAATTCTCCAAATCAACATTACATGAACTATATAGTAGACAGTAAGGAGAATTACAAATGAGATCTTGGGAGTTTAAGGGTTAAAGTAAAACTCCCACGAAACCTATGGAAAGTGGCAAATGTGCCAAGACCTACATAATTGATCCTGTTGCTCCCAGATCAAATTTGTCATTCTCCTTACTGTAAATCACACAATTCTTATGATGTTAGCTCAGAGAATTTAGTATTGGATCAACTAATTATCCCCAAATTGATATTTTTCTTTATTCATATCACTTATCTGGTTGATATTGTATTGATATTGTAAGGAGAAATTCTGTTCTGGTTGCTCATGGGAGTTAAAGGGTTAAAAACCTAAGAGAGCTCATATGAAAGTTCCAAAGCTTTGACTACACTCAGCAGGGTTGCCTCTTTTTTAAGAAAAGGGCTGGAAGGTTCATTGTCATATTAAGCATGTTCCCAGGAAAATTATTACTGCTGTGTCATCATATGCCATAGTAATTTGCTGTTCCTTGGTAATTGGGTTCTTAATTTTATTACCATTTAGAGGAAAATAAGTAAACACAAGTCCAATGTAATGAGTAAGCCCCTTGCTAAATCAAAAATACCCTATGGATTGTAGAGCCTCACTAAAAGACACCCTGATGAATTGTGAACACCCTTCAAAATAACTTGAGGTAGAAGTTATTTAATAATGAGTCAGTTGGACTTACCAACACCAGCAATAGTGGACTAGGTACCTTAAGGTGGGGTTATGCCACAATTACCCAAGGTTTGTAGGACACTGCTGGTATAGTGAGAGGATGGTCACATTAATTGTTGCATCATATCATATTTCCTTAGCCCCGCCCCACTCCTGGTTACAAAGCAATGTTGGTTTCCTTGCAATGTTATTAATGTTTTCATTTAGTTTCTGTGATCCCCTTCCTGATCCTCCTTTATCTGTATCACTCTTCACGCTGTGTTTTTATATATGTATTATATACCAGATTTACCACCTGGGCCCTGTTGAATAATGGTCGGAAATGCTATCCAACAAATAAATTGCTACACAAGAGATAAGTGATAGAAAAACCTATAGCGTAAGCCAATGCATAGAGTTTTCTCCAGTGGATAGCACTATCCATTTTCAAACAAGTGGGGCCTGGCTGTTAAAAACTACACGCTTTGTGAAATGCTGACAGAAATAAGCTCTTATGTAGTTCTGTTATTTACGTTATTGGATTTATTACTGGTACGACTGGCACCATCATGTAGACTGATCTTTGGGCATGTTATTTAAGATTAAATTGATGTAATAGTCAGCAAAAAACTAGTGTTGAATCAAGTAAATCGACAGTTTACTTTCAGTAAATACCATCTATAAACTTACTAACCCATCAGGAATATGAGACTCTCTTCCCTCAGTAACAAATCCTCCTTTGATAATGACCCCCTCCCCTAACCTAAAAAATCAAGTGGGATAGTGCCCCCCTTGAAACAGCATCTTTTCCACAAAAGCTAATGGAAAATAGGTCAAATTTTGTCAAAGTATATGGAGATTTGTGTTGCTAGGGAACCATGAGAAGATTTGGAGATATATGGAACAGCCCTGTTATCCTATATTCAGAGGGGTGGTGTGGAGGTCTGAGGGGTGGAGGGGTACTAAAAAGGTACTGTTGTCTCTACTAAGTCAGTGTCTTTCCTTATTTTGTATCAGATGGAAACATAGTACGGGAACACAATCGACGAAGAAAGGAACTTGGAGAGATGGGCACTCTTCACCCTCTACGTGAAATAGTCCTGCAATGTCTGGAAAATGACCCATCAAGAAGACCCTCGATTAGCCAAGTGATTAATGATTTGCGCAGAAACGACGGCAGTCAGAAACGAATTGAGTTGAAAATTGCTTTACTTGGAAACTCAGGCGTTGGAAAATCTCTTTTGATAAAGAAATACATCAACAAGGACTTGCCATCAGAACTTGTTCGTTCGACAATCGGTGTGGAATTGCATCCAGTGCCGCTTCAAATTGGAAATCAAATGGTAATTCTGAGAATTTTAGACCCGGCAGGCCAGGAGAGATTTGACAGCATTGCTCCAGCCCTGTTCAGAGGCTCGCATGGAGCTTTCCTTGTCTATGACATTAGTGAGCCGAGAAGTTTTTCTGATCTCCCAAAGCACTTGAGCTTTATTGAGCCTGTGTGCGGCGAAAATGTCAAAGTTATGTTAATTGGGAACAAGAAAGATCTTCAAAGAAGAGTCCATAATGAACTTGCTCAAAACTATGCTGAAAAAAACGATATGGAGTACCTTGAAGTTAGTGCGGCAACTCTTGAAAACGTCGAGGAAATGTTCGAGGGCTTAGCGAAAAAAATTTTAGAATCACTAGACATCAGCGATGTACAGATTATGGAAAGAAAATTACATCGGAGTCAGTCTCGAATCCATCTCGGTGAAGATGATCAGGAAGAACCCGGTGGTAAATGTTCGTGTTAGCGTAGTCTTTATGGACCTTAAGTTGTCAGGACTGCAACGTATTCAGGAAGACGTGTATTCCAAAATGAATTTTTATTTTCAGTTAAAATTTCACGCGAAGGCTAGAGGTGTTTACAACTGTCTCTTTTGGTACCACACAGGAATCACTGATGAAGTACGAGATAAAGTTAACAAAAGAATCATGTATGTAGAAAAAACTATCAATCAGTAATGAATCATCGCGCCAAAGGCAGGAATTACGAACCTCAAAGGTCAAATAATTGTCACGATTCTAATTTCACGCATGCCCAAACTCTTAACGGATTAAACAAATGAAGAATCTCTCCAAGAGATTATATGCTATTGATAATACTCGATACACGACTGTCTTTGTAGTGTTTGTATGTTTGTTTGCCCCTAAACCTAACCTTCTGACACATCCTGACCAATCTGACTATATTTAGTATCCACGTGGTATTTTAACGCTGCTCACGTGGGTTAACCCTTTTCTCCCTGATGTCATTATACATATTCTCCATACTGTTCTTTATACGTTTTCTGAGATGCTGACAAGGAGAATTTGTTTACTGATCAAGAGTTTCTTTTGTTGGGCATCATTTTCTTCATTCTCATGACCTTAATGTGTGATTCAGGGGTGATGTGAAATTGTAGGGAGAAACTAGATGTTAGTCACTCTTAGGGGCTGGAGGGTAAAGCTGAAGTTGAGGTGAGTTTTAAACTCAAAATTTCATGAACCCTTCCACTTTGATGAAGATAATAGAGTTCTTCGACGACGAGGGAGGGACTTGCGTCTGAAATCGGAAACTTTCGCTCAGAGTTGAACACTACGGTCTAAATCCGACTCCAGTATCTATAAACACAGCTAGTGTCCAAAATTGGACAATAGAGACCAAAATCGGACACAAGTGGCCAAGATCAGACATTAATGCTTAAAGTATGACATTGACATTAGATGATAGTGTCCACAATCGAACATTATGCAGTAAAGAGGATAACGATGAATATTTTTAAGTTGAGAGGGGAAGGGGTATTTCTAAAGACGAACGCATGAGCTTCAGCCAATGGGGCAGGGGTAAGGGCTTGCTAAATGCTTAGTAAGACAAGTCTTTTTCGAAAATGTGGGAGGCCTAAACCTCCTTCCCCCCCCCCCCCCCCCCCGCCCCCCGCGAATCTAATGTTCATCCGTGTTTAACATCGTCCTCGATCACTTTAGTTCAACAAACAGCACCGTGATTTACTTTTCCGGTCGTTCTTGTCATGTTCCATTGTTCCCTTTTCTTCCTTGAGTTCTATGACTCCCGGATTGAGGGCGTCACGACGAGGGGTAAGGAAGCGTTCAGCAATGGGGGACTTCTCCTGGCTGGCATCCCTGTTAGAAAGGGTTTCTCGCAATGATACCAGAAGACTGTTAGTCGTAGCTTCACCTTTGTTTTTGTTTTCACATTCAATCATTAAGTCTATGAGAACAGAAAATATTTCATCAATGTTCTTTCCAGATTTGGCACTAGCCTCAGTGTAAAACATACTCTCTCTTTCGGCAAACTGCTCCACTTCTTGCGACCCAACCTTTCTCTCCAACTCCTCATCTTTATTTCCAACTAGTACGATGGGAATTTCTTCATAGCACCTCTCCCTGACGACTTTCACCCAATTTGGCACTTCCAAGAAAGACTTTTTAGAGAGTAGATCGAAGGCAATGACCGCACCCCGCACGTCCCGAAAAATCTGAGGCACTAGGTTGGAGGCTTTGGTGAGCTTGTGACCGCCTACATCGACGATATGAAGATGGATTGACATATCAGGGAGACGCAGTCCCACAAAGTGATCTTCAGACTCGACGTTTCTTGAAAACGATATCTCAGAAAGCTGGCTGTTGGTATCCAGGAATCGGGTCACGATAGATGTCTTACCCACACCTGCCTCGCCAAGTACGACAAGCTTAAACTTGTGATCATAATGATCAATGGACTTAACGGCATCCCTAACATCAGAGGGGTTACCTGATAGTGTCTCGCTAACAGCCTTGCTGAGTTTTTCTTTAATCTCACCTGCGCTGGGCCTTTCCTCAGGAGAGTTTTCCAAACACTGCAAAACAAGATTGCGTAGAGGGTGGCTCGGACCCATCTCTTCTAGGTCCTCATGACGGCGTTTGTACTCTGGGACTATTTCCCCATCTGGAATTAAAGTTTTTATAAGGAAAGCTGTTAAATTCAGCACAAGACGATGATGATGGGAAAAAGGCACTAATCGCAGTAGGCCAAGTAAAGAACCTATCTGCATTCGTGCAGTGGTATACCCCAATAGCCTCAATTTGGCACGAAACTTCAGGATCGACATGTAATGCCTTTTAAACAATCATAGCTGTGCATTATAGGCATCAATAGTTTACGCTGAATTAAACAAGTCACGCAACTATTATGCAGCTGATAGCGTGACTTGAAACAAATTAAAGCCTAATATGTCTCACTTGAGCGACAATTTTTGAAAAACCTTGTATCATGATTAAACCATCTAGAATTGCCCGGTAGTCGCATTATGAATTAAGATTATAGCGATCATGAAATAAACAATGATTCATTTTTTTTTGGAGGAGACGTTAAGATGTGTTCTGTTTCCGATTTGAGAGCCTCATAAAATGAGTGACCGCTCGAGGCACCTAGCTTGAATTAATGAGAGTTGCATCGAAGTCTGTCAACAAGCGTGAAAAAAGTGGAAAAGCAACTGTTTTCAAGAGAGTCATGGCAGTCATTCGCTGGGTAACTTGATCAATCGCTCGTTAAAACACGGCCATCCAAATTTTAAAAGAAAAACCCGGAGGCAGTTACCTTCAAGAACCGGGTCAGGCAAATTACCCTCTGGTAAATGACCAATAATAATCTCCAGCAGCATGGCTCCAAACGAGAAGATGTCGATTTTGACAGAGTATCTCGCTTTATCGCCCCTCGGTAGTCCTCCCAACCCCGTGGGATACGTCTCTGGAGCGGCATACACGGGTGTTCCCGGCATAGCAGTCGCGTACATTGCACCACCAGGGAACGCTTTCGCCTGACCCAAATCTGCAATCTTTGCATGCAAGGTTTTCGTCAACAGTACATTTTTGCTCGCCAAGTCGCGATGTACAATCGGTTTTTTTAGGGTATGAATATAGTGTAAACCTTCGGCGACGTCCAACATGATTTTAATTACGTCTGAGAAAGGAACCTTTGGTTTAGTCGTTGAGTTCCGAATGTGTTTGGCCAAATCGCACTCCAGCAACTCTGTCACAATAATGGGGCTCTCTGGAGAAGGGGGTAGAATAACAGTGTAATATTGCACAATGTTCTTATGCCGAATACTGCAGAGAATCTCCCATTCCTGCTTAAACTTTTCTAAGATGGCTTTTCTTTGACTGACATCGTAGTCTTCCATCACTAGGATAGGTAGAATCCGTTTGGCAGCAACTTGCTTGCCTTTCCACACGGCCTTCCACACTTCGCCATACGAACCTTCTCCGAGTTTGTCTCCGAATTTTATTTCCTCAATCGAAGATGTATTTTCCATACCGTTTCAGAAGCAAGAGAAAGATCGAAATGTGAAAGTCTGTTCGTCATTAGATACTAACAGTAAATAGTCAATAACCGGAAGTGCAACCGAGCGAGGCCTGGAGTATAACCATAAACGGCGCAGCCGAAGTTAATTATTATTTGATGACGCAAAAAATTCGTTTGGCGTTACTTATAGTTAATTCGTACTTTTCATTCTGTCAGTAATCTGTTTTTTTTTTCCTGCATAATTCTTCACCGTGAATTTTATTCAATCGTCGTTTCACTATTTTAATCATAAAAAGAGGTTGTTGCTCATCGTGGTGGTAAACCGTACAATTGATGTAGTCACTTGAGAAGTTTACTATCGAGTTAATCTGCTTGACTGGCTTAAAAATATGTACTTGACGAGGAAAAAAATTAACAGTATAATAAATTACCAAGTGAATTATGCCTGCCAAAGTCTTCTAACGAGTGTGTGTGTGTTTTTTACTTTTTTTTAAAAAAAAGAGGATAATGATATAAATTTATCGACGATGCCCCACTGTTTGACACTGTATCTGCATTTTAAACGGGGAAATATTTAATTTGCAGTAAAATTCAAGTAATTTCAATCTTGAAAAACTCTCTTCGAAATATGTACAAAAGAGATAAAAGAGAGAATGCGTTGAAATTTGCTTGGTTTGCCTAAATTTTTTACCTTTGCGGAGAAATCACTTAAATTTTGTTGGTTTTTACTACCTGATCATTTTCGCCGCAGAGATTAAAAAAAAATTAATCCGCTTGACTACGTAACTTATGACTTATGACTTATAACTCTTCCCGTGGAATATAGTTAGTTGCACACCTAGGGGAAAGCTAGGGCAATTTCCCCTCGTTCAGCATTACCATAGGAAGCCTAATGCATCAGTCTCGCTGAATTTATTGCTTAGAGTACAACCTGCTTGGTTGTAAGACTACTGATAAATGCGTGCCTCTTGTTCTCCGTCGCCAATTTTTTTCCGATCCACAATGCTTTCTTCGTATATCCTTGAGCCCCGTCATATTTTGCGAGCAACTGAAACATTTACCTCCTATTCGCGCATGCTGTAAATGCAGGAGATTGTTTGTTAAATGTTCATCCCTGTTCGAGACTTGTAAAGAAATTTTTCATCAGACATATACCGCTTTTTATCATGATATTTACTAAACTCGTACCAGCTCTGCAATCATTTATATATTAGTTTTATTAATGCTTTCGCGTCTCTAAGGACCATAATAAAAATTAGAGCGTTTATATCACTCTACGTTCACCACACAACTGTAGCTCAATATTATTCAGATGTTATTCCCGATGCACACGAACAGCAAAAAGCGAGGAAGAAAAGGCGCTAAAAAGAGCAAGTCCACGGGAGGAAGGAGTTAAAAATAAAGTCATTGGCGAAAAAGTTATAGGAATTTCGCCATATGACTCAACAAAAAGTCCATTTCATCCTAGTTAGCATGGGCACCAAGGGTATTGCCTTTCGTCACCAGGCACAACCCGGAAAGTCCAAATTTCTAAAAGATTCTTATTAAACACTGATATTTTATTCGAAACGGCGCAAACAATGGGAAAACATTTTCCGAGGAACTGATTTTCACTGATCGGAAGAAAAAACCCACTGTAATGTCTTTATTATCAAAATAAACATAATACAGCGATATATAAGGTAAGGGAAGTGACTGTGAATGTGAACAAAAATCATCGCCATTTTGTAATCCTAAAGTCTTTCAAAACTGGCGAATCTAATGTTCATCCATGTCTAACATCATCCTAAATTACTTTAGTTCAACAAACAACACCGTGATTTCCTTTTCCTGTCGCCCTCGTCTTGCTCCATTGTCTCTTCGTTTTCCTTTTCTTCCTTGAGTTCTATGACTCCCGCATCAAGGGCGTCACTACGAGGGGTAAGGAGGCGTTCAGTAATGGGGGACTTCTCCTGGCAGGTGACCCTTTCAGAAAGGCTTTCTCGTAAGGAAGCCACTAAATCGCTTGTCTTAGATTCACCTTCCTTTTGGTTTTCGTATTTGATCATCAAGTCCACGAGAACAGAGAATATTTCATCGATGTTCTTTCCAGATTTGGCACTCGACTCTATGTAAAACAGATTCTTTCTTCTAGCGAATTCATCCACTTTACGCGAATCAACCCATCTCTCCAATTCGTCATCTTTGTTTCCAACTAGAACAATGGGAAGCTCTTCCCCGCACTTCTCCCTGACAACCTTCACCCAATTCGGCACTTCCAAGAAAGACATCTCAGAAAGGAGGTCAAAGGCTATGACCGCGCCCCGAACGCGGCGAAAAATCTGAGGCGCTAAACAGGAGGCTTTGGTTAACTCGTGCCCGCCTACATCGACGATGTGAAGATGGACTGACTTATCACGGAAACGCAGTCGCTCAAAGTGATCTTCGGACTGGAGTGTCCTCGGAAGTGTTATCTCGGAGAGCTGGCTGTTGGCATTCAGGAATCGGGTCACGATAGATGTCTTACCCACGCCGGACTCTCCAAGTACGACAAGCTTAAACTTGTGATCATAATGAATGTGTGACATGGTACCAACTTTGTCCCCAGTGGGGCTACTGGATAATGTTTCATCCACAACTTTGCTGAATTTCAGAAGTTCTTCTATTATCTTTCCAGCACTGGGCCTTCTCTCGGGAATGTTGTCCAAGCACTGTAAAACGAGGCTGTGGAGGGGATGGTCAGGACCCATTTCCTCCAGGTCTTCACTACGGCGTATGTACTCTGGAACTGTTTCCCCATCTGAAATTAAGGTCATGATAAGAAACCTGCTAAACTCAGATCGTAGCAAAAAGAAGATTATGCGAAGTAGATCGAAGGAAAGAACCCATTTTAACTCCCCTACCAACCCCTCTACTAAGGAGGGACTCATGCTTTGCAGTACACCTCATTGCAAGTGAATTTTTTTAAAGCTGAACTAGTGAGCAGCACTCTGCAAACAGTAGTTGTAAAACTTGCATATTTTCCAATGTGTTTCGTCTAACTTTCGTAGACGTCCGTTTTACAAGTAAACAATGATCATAAAGGCTCGACCAGACTTACGAACAGGAACAGGCCAAGACTTAGTTGTAAGAAGCTTCCCAAACATCCTGAATGACCATGAATGCAAAAACAGCTCATGCGAATTTTTTTTTTTACCGAAAAGACGCCATTTTAAACATTTGTACTGACTGGGTGTTCATTACCCGAAAAAATAGCCTGTTATGTAGGCGTCTTATTAGGATGAGTCAACGTTACATGCTCACGATCGTTGGACTGGCCATGTTTGATTTAGATATTTAAGATATTTACACTCACCCACTCCTCTCTCCTTCCTTTTGACGGCTGGTCACCCCTTTGGTACAAATTTCTATCTTTAATCAGCTTTACGCTGCCGTTAAAATCAAAGATGGCAGCTATACTTTTAACCATGAAAAAACTGATCACTCGCTCGACAAAATTACGCCTACTCTGCAGGCTATCGAAAAACTTTCCCGTATTTCTTCAATAAATGGATCCTTTTCAACAACAACTATATCAGATGATCTGGGCTTTCCACAGTAACTTAGAAATAAACGTCTTTTATTTATCTTAACCATCTAATATAGGCAAATGGACCGTGCAAAACTCCCGTTTTGCCTTCTATTGCCTATTTTTGTATTGCTCTTGGGTCAAACCTTTAGTAAACAATAAGAATCAATATTTAAAGTCGAAATAAAGGCTAGTCACGCAAGTTTTATTTGCCTGTGGCGTAAAGATTCATTGCGTGACGCGCAACAGATACGTCAAAGGTTTAGAAAGCATATTTCTACATAACACATCCCAACCAGATGTTTTTGACATAAGCAAATCTCGTTTAAAACATTATATTATGGCTAAATGTACGTTTAAACATGCACAGTGATATTTCGAGGGCAAAATCGGTAGCATTTACCTTCAAGAATCGGGTCAGGCAAACGATGCACTGGCAAGTGACCAATAATGATCTCCAGCAGCATGGCTCCGAACGAAAATATGTCGATTTTTTCGGTATATCTCACTCTACGCCAAAGAGATCCTCTTAACCTTGTGGAATACGTTTCTGGAGCGGCATACACGGGTGTTCCCGGCATGGCAGTCGCGTACATTGCACCACGAGGGAACGCTTTCGCCTGACCCAAATCTGCAATCTTTGCATGCAAGGTTTTTGTCAACAATACGTTTTTGCTCGCCAAGTCGCGATGGACGATCGGTTCTTTAAGGGTATGAATGTAATGTAAACCTTTAGCGACGTCCAGCATGATTTTGATAACGTCTGAGAAAGGAACCTTTGGTTTAGTCGTTGAGTACCGGATGTGTTTGGCCAAATCGCACTCTAGCAACTCTGTCACAATAATGGGGCTCTCGGGAGACGGAGGGACAATGGCAGTGTAATATTTCACAATATTGTCGTGATCAGTGCTGCGGAGTATCTCCCATTCCTTCTTAAAATTTTCCGAGAAAGCAACTCTAATACTTCCATCATGATCACGCTCGAAGAAGTCAGGTCGAATCCGTTTGGCAGCTACTCGCTTCCCGTCCCACACCGCTTTGAACACTTCACCATATGAACCTTCTCCAATTTTATCTCCGAGTTTAATTTCCTCGGCTGAGGATGTGTTCCCCATATCTCTTTAGTCATAAGAGAATAACAACCCTCAAACAATCTGTATTCCTATCTGATTGGGGTAACCAAATGCTCGTCATGTCTCAGTAAACCCGGAAGTGACCGAGCAAGGCCTGGAGTTAAACCCAAGCCCCGCGCAGCCAAACAGAGTAAGAAACCTATACAGGAAGCTTATCTGTGCATGATAAAACGCTCGCAATGGTAAAATAAACGACTATCACAACGAGCTCATTCTCACATATAAAATTGATATGCTCGTGTGGAGCGCGTGAAAATCACCTGAAAAGCCTATGAAACATTTTATCTCTATCACAATTTTTTTTTTTTCGATGGTTGACAATATTAGCCTCACAGCTAAACCAACCAAGCATTAAGTTCTTAGTCAGAATGGTCATCAGTTCGGCTTGCTTGCATTATGGAACCGTAAAAGTAGCATGTTAAGCCACTGGCATTGCTCGATTTTTTTTCCAAATTATACTCGTTTTTGAAAATTATGCTACTTTTTCTTGAAGCAAGACCTTAAAAAAAAAAACACATTTCAAAAATCATGTCCTGTTAGCACAATTCATAAGGGCCTGCCTTGAACTGCTCTCTAAAATGTTCTTGTCCTCAAGGCTCAAGGGAGGAATATAGCCACGAGAAAGACGCTGCTCCCAAAAACATTAACTTATAAGTCTAAACTGTCTATTTTTCTGTTTTGACAAATTTTTTTATTTCTTCTTTAATCGACCTTAGTTGATAATAACAATAATATTTATATATACTTTATTCATCTTCGTTTATGGTATGCCATGTCACCCGAGTGACAACTTTTGCCGACTTAAAAACTCGTTGGGAAGTTGTCCACGCAATTCACGAGTGTTTTCATGTTCTACTCAACAAGGAATTGTCAGGTGACTGTTCTGCGAGTGCCATCTTGAATCGCAGCTGTTTTGTCCTTGTTGATCCGCTTTCGGGACTGAGCTTTGCGCAAACGAGCATACGTGGTGTCAGATTGCTACATGAGTAAACAACAGATTAGCTTAATTAGGATGTTTAAAAAAACTTGAGCGCGTTTTATTAGCAAACCTCTTCCATGACACGTGTCAAACAATTGTTTATCATCGCCTTGCGATTTTTAAACTTATAGCAATTCGGATTTAAGTAAAAATACACGAAGTTCAATTAGTTTTCACAGTTTATTGCAGCATACGAAGCTGCATGCACTTTACTTTCTTCAAAAGAAATATTATAACGGTTTCTATTCTTTTTAATGTACAATGAACTCCCTCACCCACCTTTTGAAAGAAGCGGTAGGTACCACTCGGATAAAGCTGATTAAAAGAAATATAAACAGTTCTTTAATGTTTCATTACCGTCAATGAAAGATGAGGCTCAAAACGTAGAAATTATCTCGTTAATTTCACCTTTACCATGGGCAAAAGCAAAAGATCAATTTTAACAATAGGGAAACTAAGGAAGTTTAAAAACTTTTTTTGCTTTAAACATGCAATGAATTTTCAACACAACATTCAACCGCAGCCAAAGCGCATAGCTTTGTCAAGACCGTGGTTGTATCGTGTTTTCACCAAAAAAAAGCCAAATTTTTAGCTCCATCAGGTGTTCGGCACATGTTTACCTTGGGTAGTGGAGTGGAGTTGCACTCTTGAAGAGCTTCTAGTAAGTTCAGGAAGTGGTGAATCACAGTTTGTGTCAGCTGTTGAATCAATCAGGGAAAAGAAACACCGTTTTAAAAAAAACTTAACGTAGATTAGGACAAAACAATGAAAACTTTATTTCAAGTGGACATTCCACATCATTATGAAAAGTAACAGTTACCTTTATCAAGGTAGGTAAGACGGACATTTCAGGCACTGATAACTTGTCATAATTTTTTTAGTTAAATTTCACACTAAGGCTAGAGGTGTTTACAACTGTCTCTTTTGATGCCACACCTCAACTTCAGCTTAACCCTCCAGCCCCTAAGAGTGACCAGCATCTAATTTCTCCTTACAATATCACCCCTGAATCACACATTAAGGTCATGAGAATGAAGGAAATGATGCCCAACAAAAGAACCTTCTGATCAGTAAACAAAATCTCCTTGTCAGCATCTTAGAAAACGTATAAAGAACAGTATGGAGAATATGCATAATGACATTATGATGAAAAGAGATAACGCATGTGAGCAGCGTTAAAATACCAAGTGGATACTAAAAATAGTCAGATTGGTCAGGATGTGTCAGAAGGTTAGGTTCAGGGACAAACAAACATACAAACACTACAAAGACAGTCGTGTATCGAGTATTTTCAATAGCGTATAATCTCGTGGAGGTATATAATGTATGATACGTTCTCACTTCTTCATTTGTTTAATCTGTTAAGAGTTTGGGCATGCGTGAAATTAGAATCATGACAATCATTTGACCTTTGAGGTTCGTAATTCCTGCCTTTGGCGCGATGATTCATTACTCATTAATATTTTTTTCTACATACATGATTCTTTTGTTAACTTTATCTCGTACTTCATCGGTGATTCCTAAGTTTTAAACTCAAAATTTCATGAACCCTTCCACTTGAGGGACCAGGGGGAAGGTCACATGGTTTTCAGGAGGAACGGAGGGGGGGTTCAGTCGTCGTTAACAGAGTTTAAAGAGGAGACTGTAGAAAAAAAATTGACTGCCAATGAGGTAATCACTAGAATACAACAGGGGGAGGATCAGCTAACTTCCCCTCTCCTCCCCCCTCCCTCCGGTGATAAATAATGACCGGTCTCTGAACCACTGGCTCTGGTCTTTGATAAAGATAATCGAGTTCTTTAGCGACGTCAAGCAAAATGAACGCTGTATCGCGAAAGCCAACAAGTGATTTCTTTGCATTTGTGAAGATGTGAATTCAGCCAAATCTTGTTCCAAAAGCTCTGTGACAATAATTGGTGCTTCTCCCAGGGACTTTGGCCAAACCAACGGTTAAATATTTCACAATATTTAGGTGATCCAGCCGGCTAAACAATTCCTACTCTACTTTTAATTGCACCTCAACATTGGTCTCCCCCCAAAATTCTGCGCGGACACTAGTGTCCACAACCGAACATTGGCGTCTAAAATTGGACACTTGCGTTTGATATTGGAAACTGTTGTTCAAAATTGAACACTACTGTGCAAAAATTGACATCAGTACCTATAATCAGAACTAGTGTCCAAAATTGGACAATAAAATCCAAAATCTGATACAAGTGTCCGATTTTAGACACTGGAGGCTAAAATCGGACAGAGGTGGTCAAAATCAGACACTAGTGCCTAAAGTAATATACTAACATTAGATGATAGTGTCCACAATCAAGCATTATATAGTAAAGAGGATGACATTAAATATTAACAAAACCTATCACGATACAGGGCCCACGCAGAATATTTTTAAGTTGAGAGTGGGGGGGTCCTTGTAAGGACGATGGCATAAGGTTCAGCCAATGGGGCAGGGAGGGGGCATGCTAAATCCTTAACACGACAAACTTTTTTCAGAAATGCGGGGGGCCTAAACCCCCCCCCCCCCCCTCCCTCTTCACGGTCCCTGCCATTTTTTAACCCCTAAGTCTTTCAAAAATGTTCATCCAAGCCTAACATCGTCCTCGATCACTTTAGTTCAACAAACAACACCATGATTTGCTTTTCCTGTCGTTCTCGGCTTGCTCCTTTGTTCCCCTTTCTTGCTTGAGTTCTATGACTCCCGGATTGAGGGCGTCACGACGAGGGGTACGGAAGCGTTCAGCAATGGGGGACTTCTCCTGGCTGGCATCCCTGTTAGAAAGGGTTTCTCGCAATGATGCCAGAAGACTGTTAGTCGTAGTTTCACCTTCGCTTTTGTTTTCACATTCAATCATTACGTCCATGAGGGCAGAAAATATTTCATCAATGTTCTTTCCAGATTTGGCACTAGCCTCAGTGTAAAACACACTCTCTCTTTTGGCAAACTGCTCCACTTCTTGCGACCCAACCTTTCTCTCCAACTCCTCATCTTTATTTCCAACTAGTACGATGGGAATTTCTTCATAGCACCTCTCCCTGACGACTTTCACCCAATTTGGCACTTCTAAGAAAGACTTTTTAGAGAGTAGATCGAAGGCAATGACCGCACCTCGCACGTCCCGAAAAATCTGAGGCACTAGGTTGGAGGCTTTGGTGAGCTTGTGACCGCCTACATCGACGATATGAAGATGGATTGACTTATCGGGGAAACGCAGTCCCACAAAGTGATCTTCAGACTCGACGTTTCTTGAAAACGATATCTCAGAAAGCTGGCTGTTGGTATCCAGGAATCGGGTCACGATAGATGTCTTACCCACACCTGTTTCGCCAAGTACGACAAGCTTAAACTTGTGATCATAATGATCAATGGACTTAACGACATCTCTAACATCAGAGGGACTATCTGATAGTGTCTCGCTAACAGCCTTGCTAAGTTCTTCTTTAATCTCACCAGCGCTGGGCCTTTCCTCGGGAGAGTTTTTCAAACACTGCAAAACAAGATTGCGTAGAGGGTGGCTCGGACCCATCTCTTCTAGATCCTCATGACGGCGAATGTACTCTGGGACTATTTCCCCGTCTGGAATTAAAGTTTTTATAAAAATAGCGTTTAATTCAGCACGAGATGATGATGATGGGAAAAAGGCACTAATCGCAGTAGGTCAAGGAAAGAACCTTTCTGCATTCGAGCAGCGGTTTACCTCAGTGTAATAAAGGAACAATAGCCTCAATTTGGCGCGAAAACTTCAGGATCGACTTGTGAATGTCGTCGGACAGCTTATAATCTTTAAAATATATTTTTGGTCATAATACTCAATATAACTCACTAAAACTGAGGAATACAAAAACAATAACTTGTAGTTGAAGCGAAAATATGCACGGATATTTGTCTGTGGACATTTGAAATGTTCCGAGAGACAAACAGTTTTCCTAAAGCAAAGCTTGAGCAAAATGGTGAGCTTCAGGGAACAGTCAATTCTCAAAGATAAATGTTACGTGCATATGGCTGGAAAATAAATGGTCGTGTGACGCCCTTTAAACAATCATAACTGTGAATTATAGGCATCAATAGTTTACGCTGAATTGGACAAGTCACGCAACTTTTTGTTTAGCTGATAGCGTGACTCGAAACAAATTAGACCCCGATATACTCATTTGAGCGACAATTTTTAAAAAACTATGTATCATGATTAAACCATCTAGAATTGCTCGGTAGTCGCATCATGAATCAAGATGATAGTTTTCTGCGATCATGAAATAAATAATGATTCATTTTGTTTTGGAGGAGACTTGAAGATGTGTTTCGTTTCCGATTTGACAGCCTCATAAAATGAATGACCGCTCGAGGCACCTGGCTTGAATTTAATGAGAATTGCATCGAAGTCTGTCAACTAGCGTAAAAAAGGTAGAAAAGCAACTGTTTTTAAGAGAGTTACGGCAGTCATTCGCTGGGTGACCCGATCAATTGCTCGTTATAACACGGCCATCTAAATTTTAAGAGAAAAATCTGAGGCAGTTACCTTCAAGAACCGGGTCAGGCAAATTACCCACTGGTAAATGACCAATAATAATCTCCAGCAGCATGGCTCCAAACGAGAAGATATCGATTTTGACGGAGTATCTCGCTTTATCGCCCCTCGGTAGTCCTCCCAACCCCGTGGGATACGTCTCTGGAGCGGCATAGACGGGTGTTCCCGGCACGGCAGTCGCGTACATTGCACCACAAGGGAACGCTTTCGCCTGACCCAAATCTGCAATCTTTGCATGCAATTGTTTCGTCAACAATACATTTTTGCTCGCCAAGTCGCGATGTACAATCGGTTTTTTTAGGGTATGAATATAATGTAAACCTTCGGCGACGTCCAGCATGATTTTAATTATGTCTGAGAAAGGAACTTTTGGTTTGGTCGTTGAGTTCCGTATGTGTTTGGCCAAATCGCATTCCAGCAACTCTGTCACAATAATGGGGCTCTCTGGAGAAGGTGGATGAATGACAGTGTAATACTGCACAATGTTCTCGTGCTGAATGCTGCAAAGAATCTCCCATTCCTGCTTAAACTTTGCCAAGATGGCTTCTCTTTGACTGTCATCGAGGTCTACAAGGATAGGTAGAATCCGTTTGGCAGCAACTTGCTTGCCTTTCCACACGGCCTTCCACACTTCGCCATACGAACCTTCTCCGATTTTGTCACCGAATTCTATTTCCTCAATCGAAGAAATATTTCCCATACCGTTTGAATAGCAAGGGAAAGACTGATATCTGAAAGTCTGCCCTTCAATTTATTCGGGATATCAGATACTAACAGCTATCAGTAAATAACCGGAAGTACAACCGCGCGAGGCCTGGAGCCAAAGTTAAAACGGGCGTAGCCGAGGTTATTTTGTTGCCGCCAAAAATTCGTTTGGCGTTACTTATAATTAATTCGTACTTTTCTTTTTCTCAATATTCTGTTTATTTTCCTGTATAATTTGCCTTTGTTTATATCACTTGTATAAGTTCCTCACCGTGAATTTCATTCATCCATCGTCAGAGGTTGGTGCTCATCGTGGTAGTAAGTAATAATAAACTGTAGAATCGTTTGTCTCACGATTTAGTCACTTGAGATCGCGATTAAATCTCGATCTACATCTCAAGTGACTTCATTGTGAGACAAACGATAATACAGTTTTTCAATCATATCTCTCGATCGCTTTACATCGTTTATATCATCAATTTGCCATTTGTCCTGGATGTCGTACGACGTTTGTAAGTGTCTTTTTTTTTAGTTTTCTCGTGTCCCTACGTATAGTTGTAAGAGCATATTACTTGTAATTTATTTCTTCGATCCTTCACCTCGTTTCGTTTTGTATTTTGGAAGTAAATTAAAGAGTACGTTTATTACTGACATGTGCCCCAAAATTGTAGACATTCGGTTCTGTGTACCACACGGTCAGATCCTTGGCCCTGTTTTGTTCAACATAAATTAAAGGTTGGAGACCTCCAAAGAAATATAAATGCTAAAAACTTCCAGAACGCCGACGATACCATTGTCTATGATCACGCTTACATCTCAGATATATGTCCAGGCATATGTCAGCCATGGATCAATGCTCTGAGTGTGTGAAGAGAAGAAAAACAAGCTAAGAAGTAGTCAAAACGTAATAAAATCTCATATAGAAACAATTGGTTTTATTGAAAGGCACCGTAAATTTGGTCAACGATTCTAATAAAGGAATGGTCCAGTAAACCAATTTTGACAGAAATCATATTAAATCTGACGGAGCTCAGTTGAAATTGTTGCGGCGCGCAGTCAACTTTTTAAGTCTTAAAATAAAACTCTATGAAAAAAAAAGAGAGAGAGATTCTAGATACTTGTGCTTCACTGTTCTATAGTCAGGGCCAGGCCTGTCGCTTTAAAACCGACTCATGCATCTTATTTCTTCCAGAAGTTTACTATCGAGTAAATCCGCTTGACTGACTTAAAAATATGTACTTGGCGAGGAAAAAAATTGACACAATAGTAAATTACCAACTGAATTATACCTGCTAAAGTCTTCTAACGAGTGTGTTTTTTTACATTTTTTATCCAAGCTTAGTTTTAACTTAAACCTTTAACGTTCATGACTAAAATAAATTATCCATAAAATAATTTTCAAGCCCATAAAATTTATCGTTTTAAACACTAGAGTCGATAGGTACCTGAGGAGCGCCCAAAAAGGTTACTGTGATTTAACTATTTGTTTCCTTGCAAAACAAAAAAAAAAAGGATAATGGTACAAATTTATCGCCGCTGCCCCATTGTTTGAAAGTGTCTCTTCATTTTACACAAGGTAATATTTAATTTGCAGTAAAGTTCAAGTAATTTTCAATCTTGAAAAACTCTCTTTGAAATATTTACAAAAGACATAAAAGAGAGAATGCTTTGAAATTTGCTTGGTTTGCCTAAATTTTTACCCTTGCGGAGAAATCACTTAAATTTTGTTGGTTTTTATTACCTAATCATTTTGGCCGCAAAGATTTCAACAAAAATTAATCCTCTTGACTATAGTTAATTGCACACTCAGGGGAAAGGGCAATTTCCCCTCGTTCAGCATTACCATAGGCAGCATAATGTATCAGTCTCGCTGAATTTATCGCTTGAAGCACAACCTGCTTGGTTGTAAGACTACTGATAAATGCGTGCCTTTTGTTCTCCGTCGCCAATTTTCTTTGCGATCCACAATGCTTTCTTCTTATATCCTTGAGCCCCGTCATATTTAGCGAGCATTAAAACATTTACCTCGTTACCGCGCATGCTGTAAATGCAGGAGATTTTTTGTTAAGAGACTTGTAAAGAAATGTTCCATCAGACATATGCCGCTTTTTATCGTGATGTTTACTAAACTCGTAACAGCTCTGCAATCATTAATATATTAGTTTTATCAATGCTTTCACGTCTAAGGACCATAATCAAAATTAGAAGTTTATATTACTCTACGTTCAACACACAACTGTAGTTCAATAACATATAATGAACGCCAATCAATGTTGTTTTCCACGTATAACATTTTAAGTGTAATATTTATCCTCAAATATTATTCCCGATGCACATGAACAGCAAAAAGCGAGGAGGAAAAGGCGCTTAAGAAGAGCAAGTCCACGGGAGGAAGGAGTTCATAATAAAGTCATCAGCGAAAAAGTTATAAGAATTTCGCCATATGGCTCAGCAAAAAGTCCATTTCTTTCTGGTTAGCATGGGCACCTAGGGTATAAACTTTCGTCACTTGGCACAACCCGGAAAGTTCAAATCTCTAAAAGTTTCTTATTTAACATTGACATATTATCAGAGACAATGTAAACTGATTTTCACTTATCGGAAGGAAAAACCCACAATAATGTCTTCATTATAACACATAATACAGCGATATATACGGTAAGGAAAGTGACTGTGAATATTAACAAAAATCATCGCCATCTTGTAACCCTTGAGTATTTCAAGCCGGTGAATCTAATGTTCATCCGTTTCTAACATCGTCCTTTCTCACTTTAGTTCAACAAACAACACCATGATTTGTTTTTCCTGCCGCCCCCGTCTTGCTCCATTGTCCCTTTGTTTCCCTTTTCTTCCTTGAGTTCTATGACTCCCGGATCGAGGGCGTGATGACGAGAAGTAAGGAGGCGTTCAGCAATGGGGGACTTCTCCTGGCTGGTGATCCTGTCAGAGAGGCTTGTTTGTAAGGAAGCGACTAGATCGCTTGTCTTAGATTCACCTTCCTTTTGGTTTTCGCTTTCGATCATTAAGTCCATGAGAACAGAGAATATTTCATCGATGTTCTTTCCAGATTTGGCACTCGACTCTATGTAAAATAGATTCTCTCTTCTGGCGAATTCCTCCACTCTCCGCGAATCAACCCATCTCTCCAACTCGTCATCTTTGTTTCCAACTAGAACAATAGGAAGCTCTTCCCCGCACTTCTCCCTGACAACCTTCACCCAATTCGGTACTTCCAAGAAAGACATCTCAGAGAGGAGGTCGAAGGCTATGACCGCGCCCCGAACGCGGCGAAAAATCTGAGGCGCTAGGCTGGAGGCTCTGGCTAACTCGTGCCCGCCCACATCAACGATGTGAAGATGGACTGACTTATCACGGAAACGCAATCGCTGAAAGTGATCTTCGGACTGGAGTGTCCTTGGGAGTGTTATCCCAGAGAGCTGGCTGTTGGCATTCAGGAATCGGGTCACGATAGATGTCTTACCCACACCAGACTCGCCAAGTACTACAAGCTTGAACTTGTGATCATAATGAATGTGTGACATGGCACCAACTTTGTCCCCAGCGGGGCTACTGGATAATGTTCTATCCACAACTTTGCTGAATTTCAGAAGTTCTTCTATTATCTTTCCAGCATTGGGCCTTTTCTCGGGAATGTTGTCCAAGCACTGTAAAACAAGGCTGTGGAGGGGATGGTTGGGACCCATTTCCTCCAGGTCTTCACTACGGCGTATGTACTCTGGAACTATTTCCCCATCTGAAATAAAGGTCATGATAAGAAACATGTTAAATTCAGATTGAAATAAAAAGAAGATAATTCGAAGTAGATCTAAAGAAAGAACCCGTCTACTTTCGCACAGTAGTCAACTGCTCTACCAACCCATTTACTAGGGAGGACTCGTGCCGTGTTGTACACCTCATTGCGATATGTGTGGAAATCACATGATTACGAGTACCTTGCACGATTGATGCTTCGAAATTTTTTTTTAATTTTACGAGCACCAGGCTAGTGTAATTTTCTTATGCTGAACTTGTAGGCAGCACTCTGTGAACAGTAGTTGTAAAACTTGTTCATTCTCCAACACGTTTCGCATAACTGTCGTAGACTTCAGTAATTTTTACTGTAAACACTTCACGCCTGTATTTATTAGCCATATATAGTTAGCGGCTATTACGGGAGCCAATGACCATAAAGGCTCGACCAGACTTACGAACAGGAACAGACTCGAGCGAAGTTGTAAGAAGCTTCCCAAACATCCTGAATGACCATGAATGCAAAAACAGTTCATGCGAATTTTTGTTTACCGAAAAAACACCAAATACGGTTTGGGTGCACATTACACGCACCCTCCCCCCCCCCAAAAAAAAGGGCCTGCAGGCGTCTTATCAAGGTGACTCAACGTTATATGCTAACGATCGTTGGACCAGGCATGTTTGATTTAGATATATTTAAGTGGATGGTGGGGGAAGAGAGCGGCGAAAGGCGACTGATTTGTAGTGCCTCACCCACTCCTCTCCCCTTCCTTTTGACCGTTGCTCACCCCTTTGGTACATATTTCTTTCTCTAACCAGCCTTACGCTACCGTTAAAAGATGGCAGCTATACTTTTCATCAAGGAAATACTCGCTCGACAAAATTATGCCTGCTCTGCAGGCTACCTAAAAACTTTCCCCTATTTCTTCCATGAATGGATCTTTTAAACAACAATTATAACAGATGATCTGAGCTTTTCGCAGTAATTCAGAACTAAACGTCTTTTATTTATCTTAACATGCTAATTTTGGGAAAAAGACCGTGCAAAACTCCCGTTTTGCACTCTATCATCTATTTTTGCGTTGTTCATTGGCCAATCCTTTAGTAAACAAAGGTTAGTCACGCAAGTTTTATTTACCTATGGCGTGACGCGCAATAGATACGTCATAGGTTCAGAAAGCATATTGTATATAACACATCCCGACCAAATGTTTTTTACATAAGCAAATCTCGTTCAAAATATTATATTTTGACTACAGATACGTATAAACATACACAATGTTATTTCAAGGGCAAAATCGGAGGCATTTACCTTCAAGAATCGGGTCAGGCAAGTCATGCGCTGGCAGATGACCAATAATGATCTCTAGCAGCATGGCTCCGAACGAAAATATGTCGATTTTCTCGGTGTATCTCGCTTTATCGCCCTTCGGTAGTCCTCCCAACCCCGTGGGATACGTTTCTGGAGCGGCATACACGGGTGTTCCCGGCATGGCAGTCGCGTACATTGCACCACGAGGGAACGCTTTCGCCTGACCCAAATCTGCAATCTTTGCATGCAATGTTTTCGTCAGCAATACGTTTTTGCTCGCTAAGTCGCGATGTACAATCGGTTCCTTAAGGGTATGAATGTAATGTAAAGCTTCCGCGACGTCCAACATAATTTTGATTACGTCTGAGAAAGGAACCTTTGGTTTAGTCGTTGAGTTCCGAATGTGTTTCGCCAAATCGCACTCTAGCAACTCTGTCACAATAATGGGGCTCTCGGGAGACGGTGGGACAATGGCAGTGAAATATTTCACAATATTGTCGTGATCAATGCTGCGGAGTATCTCCCATTCCTTCTTAAACTTTTCCAAGAAAGCGGCTCTAATACTTCCATCATAGTCCCCCTCGAAGAAGACAGGTCGAATCCGTTTGGCAGCTACTCGCTTCCCGTTCCACACGGCTTTGAACACTTCTCCATATGAACCTTCTCCAATTCTATCTCCGAGTTTAATTTCCTCGGCGGAGGATGTGTTTCCCATGTCGTTGCAGCAACAGTAAAATTATTTATTTGGAACTGATCGAGTTAACCGAACTGTTTTCGTCTTTGGAAACCCGGAAGTTCGGCCGGGCGAGGCCTGGAGCAAACCCAAGCCTCACGCGGCCAAAATGTAAAGCTCATCGAATAAATCATTCCCTCTGATCGCTTAAAATCTGCAATTTTTACCATGATTCAGTTTGGAGCTTCTAGGTGTTTTGTCCCACACGTTCCAAAATATTTGACCATGGTGAAACACTCAAGACTCCCATTGGAATGGCTCGTGTAATAGGCATATCAGGAGCCATTAGTGGGTCCTGGCACATATATTTTCGCAAACGAATAAAGGGGATAAGCCTCCAAGGAAACCGTGGTGCTCCGTCTGTGGGGGAGTGAAACAAGATAATTTGAGTTGATAATGTAAAGTGGCTACCAAAAAGTTTCAAAGCTGACGTTTCGGGCGGTGGCCAAGTTACATTATCAACTCAGTTGATAAAACCAAAATTATCTTAATATATTTTATATTTAGTATATAAATCTCTCGTCTTAAAATGCTTTTCTCTGGTAGCAGGGGTGGTTTTGTACCACCCTAGGCATTGCTCAGCCCTTTTCCCGGTTTGTCGGGACTATTTGCAAAATCAAACAAGAGTTATTATAGTTGAGAGGTTAGGAAAGCCGAAAAAAATCAAAGGTAAAAACGATTGTTCAGAGTTTAGGTTAAGGGCTTCCTGACTGAACTCAATCTTTTGTCAAGTGGAAATTCAAATATTGGCAATCACAATTTTGGACAGGCGTTGTAACAATTCCGTTCCCAGGGTTCACCCTCGTCTAAGAAAAGATCATGTTTGGCTCCTTGTCACATCGGTACTTTTGACCGTGCCCATATTGACAGGAAGATAGGTCCGAATATTCCATTGATACAAATTGAAAAACAACGTTTAATAGTGCAGGGTTAGTTTCTCTAAAAATAAGAAATAAAAAGCCTTACACTTACACCCTGGGTCATTTTGGCTCGTTGTCAGCGGTGTAGTCGCTAAATAATCATTATTATTTGGACCCTGGGCTCGAGATTGCAGATTTGCCGGTGCATATCAGGGTGGGGCTCGGCGCTGGACTGGAACTAGCAGTTACTTCCTTGATGCGAATCATTTACGATTTGTTGTGCTCGGTTTCTTTACAAAGAAAGAATATGGAGGAGTACTCAATTTTCTGCGTTTGAATTGTTTAGAATTATGGGGAAAAGGGTACGAAACAGTCAAAGGTAAACTAATCTTTATATACTCAAATGAATAAGATTTTGGTCTGTACAGTTCATCAGCTTTTGTCTGTGTAATTGGTACATCAGCTGAATCACGCGAACCCGAAGCCTGACATAGTAACATTTGACAACATAGAACATGCCATTGACTTGTTTCATTTACACAGCCTGTAAAGTTTCCTTATTACCATAGTTTTAATGGTCTATCTTCATTTATCTGTAAGTATCTCGTCACACGATCGAGGAACGTTTCACGAATAAGAAAAAGAGGAACGGAATTCCAACACGTACGAGTTTTAATTAGGTTGCCTGCAAATTCCTAAAGTAAAAGGAATCGTATCTGATGCCTTCACTCACATAAACAGTCTAAAAAAGCGGTTTTTGCGCAGGAAGGGAGACCCTTTTACTTTAATTTACAATATTCTAAGCGACACGCATAGTCGCCGTCATGTTTTATGGGGTTATGTGATTTATTTACGTTGTAAAACAGAATTTCAATTTAGTTGTTTAGTCACGTTTCACGTTGCATGTCCCGAGAGGTTGGAAAATGCAAGTGAGGAACAAAACGCGAACCTAACGGAGACTCATATGGCGAAATTAAGAGACAATGATTATCTTAGAGATGATTAGGAACAACCCTTAATTTCGTCAAAAGTCTCAGCTCTCCATCCGTTTGCAACAATACCACCAACGAAATGCAGTTCAAAGCTAAGATAATTAATTAGTCTTCCCTTTATTGTGATTAATTTGTTAAATGTACCTTTAACCTTGTAGGTTTAAACAAGAGAGAGGGAAATCCCTCCTCCCTACTCAGACTCTCGTTGGATTTTCTGGCAAACTATACATAAGGAAGTTGAAAACCTTACGGAGGTCAAAATCGGATAAAATTCGAGAGAAAGCCTTGGAGCAAGATTATTTCCAGAAGGTAATAAAGTGTTGCTTATTATGAATCCAAGAATTTTTTTTGTTGGCAAGATGAGCCTAAAGTTGCACCTTGAAGTGATGTTTAGATATATGTTTCCTAATTTATCAGAACACAATTGGTGTTGTGAAAAAATAATAATTCTATCAACTTCCTTGTCGATCCATCATCATTGCTCGGCCGCTTTTAACCTCCCATAATTATCACCCATATCAAAGTCCTCAAAATAACTCTTGTCCGTTGGTTGCTTCAGGTTCGTACCTGTAATAATCTTGCAAACCCTGAAAAAATAAAAACAAAGAAAATTCAAACTTAAAATAAACTGTAATTTATTACTTAAGCCTTTTGTAATATATCTTTTTCAAACTCTGTATGACACCCAACTGGTTTACTTATTTACTTGCCGCGGCTGCTGATACAATGCAGCAATAATCAATAATTACCCTAAACTAATTAATGATCAATCCTCTCTCTTTTGTTTTCTTGCTTTTCAATTTAGTGTAGCACTCTTGAATGTCGACTACAAGATCACTGGCGCTTGGTCAAGCTAAAGCAACAATTGGTATGTTGCAATGGAAGGGGTTTTTGTGACTCACCTCTGTGTCAGGTATTGTAAGCCTCCATTCTTCTAAACTTGATCCAATTACCTACACTATCAATATATATTTATAAGGTCCACCCCACACATTGACAGTTAGATTGCTTCATAGGTTGAAAATTGAAGGGACCTGCTCAAGAAAACTTGACTGTCAAAAGGGAAAAAGCCTTTGACATTTAAAAGTGGCAAATGGGTATTTGATATTGCAATGGTTTACAGTCAAGTTGCCTAAAAATCACCATGTTCGAAGTTATGATGCTTCAAACTTTTAGTAATCTAACCTGAATTGTTATCACACAGATTTATCATTTAGGAATGGCAGATTGTGGGAGAAAGAATTTTAGACTAGTTACACAAACATATTTCACTGCTAAGCAAATGATTGTTTTCTGTGTAGTGTCCATTGGCTCTGACAAAGAGCTAATGCTGAAAATGTCTGCTTTGTAACTCTTTACAGTAGCCAATTTACATTATCAACTCAGTTGATAACACTAAATTACCCTGTCATACTCTCTCAACACCACACCACAGCACCACAGTTTCTTTATGCTGATAGTGTTGTTGCAAACCAGCACTGCTTGAGTGCTAAAACTTTTCTCAAAGTTATGACACGTTTTTGGGTACAAAACGCCTTTAGATTCAGTATCCAAACACATTTTAATTCTGACCATATGATCATTTTCTGTTTAGTCAAGGCCTTCATGGTGTTGTCTGAAAACAACAAGTGATAAAGATTTGTCAAATCAATGAAAATGTCTGTTGGTACAAAACTGTTGTATACAACACTCACCTTTGTTGTTAGAAATAAACATCCGTTTAGAGTCCTCATCACTCAAAGTCTTCATAACATTGTTGGAAAAGAGCAGAAAAAATATATGGTCTGTGATCTATGATCTTTTAAGTAATTTTTTGTTGGGCATAGTGACTCAGAATTTCTGGTGACATGACTAAAAGTTTTGGGTGACAAGACTTCAGCAACTTGACCAGTTACCATTGCAATCCTATAAACATTCAAGACAACAAGGGAATAAAAAGTGCTCACAGACATGCACCTATCAAGAAGTAAGGTAGCTTAACTGAACTGGAATTAGCTTTCTTACTATTTTATGGAAGATAGTTCAAAGCTGACTCAAATTATTGCCAATATTTTGGAAATAAATTGATAAACTTTTGTAACTTTATGGGCAGCCACTTCAGTTAAAATCAGCCCTCATGGCAAATGTTCTGACCAGGTGATAGTCTATTTATTGAACAAGGATTTTGTTTGGAGACAAACTCTGTGAGCCACTCATTAAACTGAAAGATGTATCTTTTTTCTGCTTTTTGTATGATTTTGTGGTATCTTTGGCAATAACTATGTGTAATTTTGTGTTTGTGCCTATGTTTTTATTTAGCATTTTATTCTCTTTGAACACTGAACCAAAGTAATACCAATTTGCCCTTAATTGTTTGCTCCAGATTTCAGCTGCATCATGTAGCCATTAAAAAGGCTTGTAAGTCCCCCCAAGCTGAGAGACTGATGTAACTGTTTTGTAAATTTTTATTGAGGAGATGCCCCAATTTAAAGGCTGTAAGCTTAACTCTTAAGACAAGCAAAGTGCCTCAAATAAATGAGTTTTACATTGGTTGGCTCCATATTTTTTTGTAGCTCCATATCTGGGACTTTTTTATTGGTTTGTCTCAGGCCCTAATAAAGCTGAGCTTTGCAACATACTAAAATGTCTCTAGGTGATATGTTTCTGGCAGAATCAATTACCTTTAGTTTTTTTCTCATGTACACAAAAAAATACCTCTCTTAAACCATGATTTCTGCCAATTACCTGTTGAACAGGTAACCAGTCAACTCGCCGACGGACCAACTCGCCGACGCCAACTCGCCGACGTATAAAATCGAGTAGAGACGTCGGCGAGTTGGTCGTCAATCCAATACAACTTATTAGAAGTTAAACATACAGAAAAGTAAACGATATTTAGTAAAAAAACACTGGTGTACATTGGTGAACATCAAACAGAAGCTTAAACATCGGTGAACATTGGTGAACATCACCAATGACTATAACAGCTTAAGACGCGAACGAGTTATTGTGCGACAACAACACCGTAAAGACTCATCATGTCAATCGCTCAGATTTTTTAACGAAAACTTGGCTTTCTAGACAAGATCTTTAGTAAAAAGCATTTCTTTTTATTTGCAACAAAGTTTATAAGGATCTCAAGGCGAATAAAGGGAAGTAAACATCACCAATGACTCTAACAGCTTCAAACGCGAACGAGTTATTGTGTGACAACAACACTGTAAAGACTCATCATGGTGAGGTTTACTTCGCTTTATTCGCCTTAAGATCCTTATAAACTTTGTTGCAAATAAAATGAGTTGCTTTTTACTAAATATCTTGTCTAGAAAGCCAAGTTTTCGTTAAAAAATCTGAGCGATTGACATGATGAGTCTTTACGGTGTTGTTGTCACACAATAACTCATTCGCGTCTGAAGCTGTTAGAGTCATTGGCGATGTTTACTTTACTTTATTCGCCTTAAGATCCTTATAAACTTCGTTGCAAATAAAAAGAATTGCTTTTTACCCAAGATCTTGTCTAGAAAGCCAAGTTTTCTTTAAAAATCTGACCGATTGTCATGATGAGTCTACAGTGTTGTTGTCACACAATAACTCGTTCGCGTCTGAAGCTGTATAGAGTCATTGGTGATGTTTACTTCCCTTTATTCGCCTTGAGATCCTTATAAACTTTGTTGCAAATAAAAAGAAATGCTTTTTCCTAAAGATGTCGTCTAGAAAGCCAAGTTTTTGTTAAAAAATCTGAGCGATTGACATAATGAGTCTTTACGGTGTTGTTGTCGCACAATAACTCGTTCGCGTCTTAAGCTGTTATAGTCATTGGTGATGTTCACCAATATTCACCAATGTTTAAGCTTCTGTTTGATGTTCACCAATGTTCACCAGTGTTTTTTTACTAAATATCGTTTACTTTTCTGTATGTTTAACTTCTAATAAGTTTTATTGGATTGACAACCAACTCGCCGACGTCTCTACTCGATTTTATACGTCGGCGAGTTGGCGTCGGCGAGTTGGTCCGTCGGCGAGTTGACCGTAATTCGTTGAACAATGTGCAGTATTGTAAGTGAAGGAGACCTTTGAAGCTTTGAGTAAAGACACCTGCCCAATAATAATTATCAATTGGAATTAGAGTATAAATTCACAGAACAACATTCCAAAGAAAGTCAAAATGAAAGGTAGTTGAATAATCCAGAATAACCATCAAATTATATTTAATTTCATTGCATCATAAAATACTTCAGGAACTGAATGAAAGGCATGCTGCAAGCATCAAACTAATCAAGTTTCTTCTTGAGCAAGTGGGAACGTCTCTAGAAGTGCTCCCAAAGCAAACTCAAGGTATTTTGCTTATTAAGAACACTTTTAGCAACCTACATAAGACATTCTTATTAGTGAGAGAAGCAACTTTGGTTTGATACAATTTTGCTTTGTAGAAATGTTCTGATTATTACTTGTTAACAAAACTCAATAGTCAGGATTTCACTAAGCAAGGTAGAGCAATTTGAGCCTTGTAAACATAAAGTATTCTGAGAAGTTTTAGAGAAAAGCTCCTTTTAATCAACACAGAGTCAGTAATCCTCATGTTTCTTTTGTGTTTTGTTTCTTTTGACCACATCTCATAGGAAAGTAAAAGGGATGAAAGTACTCTTTTGTGGCTCTAGGAAACAGTTACCTTTCTTAACAAAAGGACTGTTTAAAACTTGTAGAGTTTGGAACTTAGGGCAGTACTTAATACAGGACTTAGTACACCACAGCACAAAACTTTGTTAGGAAAACTTTACCCTTAGGTTTTTAGGTAATTTAATTGTAATTCAAATTGTATATAATTACGTGTAACTGCCTGCTTTGATTTTAGCTACATTGTGCCAGTTGTTGTCTGTGGACAAAAGGCTGAGAGTCAAGTTACAGAGTGGTTTTTGGCTCACTAAAGAACAATCGAAGGTACATGTAGGAAGATAATTCCTTTTTAAGTCCCTTAAAGAAAGGAAATATCCCTAGTCATATTTATGTCTCAACAATTGATTTAAGCAGTTTTAGAAAGTGATATTTTTAAAGATAAAGTGCCCAATTTTAAAAAAAGAACACAATGTAAACATTCTTTTGTCATAATAATAATGAAGGCAAATAATTTGGTACTATAAAGGAAGCTACTCAAACAAAGAAATGTTGATAGGCCTTGTTGATAGGTCTGTTTGCTTACTTTTTATTTCACCAATAAATTTGTCAGCATAACCTGTATCATTCAGTGATATTAGAGGGATAAAAGCATACCACAACTAGCTGTGCAGAAAATGTGATACATAAAATAATTCACATTGTGAATAACATTGTCAAGTATAAACAGTCAAGCATTACCTTTGTAGTAATTTTGTATGATCAATTGAGTTGATAATGTAAATTGGCCTCTGCAAAGAGTTTCAAAGCTGATGTTTTGAGGGTTAGCCCTTCATGAGAGGGAGTGGAGGAACTATAGATTATGTGTGTTTATATGCAGAAAGAGGAGCCTTGCTATTAGTGGGAATATGGTGAAGAGTAAACAAGAATAAATAAGTTGAGTGAAAAGTGCTCATTGATTAAAGAGTGCTAATTTGAAAGATAAATTTTTGTTTTAGAGTTTTGCAATTATTCCATTCACTCTAACCAAGGGTTAATACTTGAAAAGTAAGCTTTGAAACTCTTTACAGTGGCCAATTTAAGTTATCAACTCAGTTGTTATACTCTCCTACAAATGCAGCACCACAGTTTCTTTAGAAACTTACTGGTACCCGTTACCCTTTCCTAGAAACTTACTAATTTGTCCTTTCATTTCCTGAGTATGTGGACCTATCAGAACAAAAGAAAAATTCAGTAAAAGGCACCTGTAGAGTGGGAAAAAAATTCTCTAAGAAAACTAAGAACTGAGGAGATTTCTCCTCTTACTGGGAAGAGAATAAGAGTGATTAAAGAAATGTTTGCACCAAGAAATATAACATTTCAAAGAAAATGGTATTTCTTATCCTCTCAATATTGGTTTCAGGCTTCACCTGCTACCCAGGGAGCTGACACAAGTTCAGAGTAAGTTGTGCAAAAAAAATATTACATCCATTTACTTTAAATTGTTTGTGCTCAGATGACTTGAAAAGGAGTGTATGCTCTTTCTGGTTAAGGATAACTTCAAGGCATTAATATTTATCTCAGGGTAGATTGCTTCATTGTTAGTGAGAACTTTTGTAATTTTACATGTACTTTGATGCACCTGTGAAAAAGAATATTGGGTTTTCTCTAAGAACTACCATGATAGGGATTCCAGGATCTGTACAATAAAGGAGCTTGATCAACATGTTGATTCTTCCACAAGGATGGATAGCTGGGAAGTCTATTGTACTTGAGAGGAGGGGGAGGGGTAGGGGTAGGGGTAGGGAAGGGTGCCATGTACTCTTCTTTATGGGGATGCAGTGTCTAATAAGCATTTGGTCTGGAACTGATCACAGATTTAACCACATGAATCCAAAATCGATTACAATTGTGAGCAACCTAAGTCACATGAATCCTTTCAATTTCTGTTTTTTTGTGTCATATAATGTAATATAAAAAGGACCTTTGCAAGAATTTTCTTGAACTTTCCAGAATTTGAAACAAACGATGGTGGGAAACGAGAATTTACCAGCATCCATGAAGTAGAGTAAAGAAAAAATATTTCAAAAGGGTAGCACATTCAGCTCAAGGCTCCATAGAGGCTCTGCATCTTAATCATTAGTTTTGGTATATGAATGTAGTCACATGGATCATTTCGAGTGCAATTTGGTGTTAATAAGCATGGGTAATTTTTTTCAAAAATAACAAATTGCAAGAGCCTGTAGGTCGAGTGTGGCAGTCTTTGTAAACTTTACAAATGCTTATTTACAACAAATTGCACGAGAAACAATGTTTTTACTTATTAATGATGTACATGAAAAAAGCATCTCAGATAGTCAAGACTTTACGAATTTGCACTCGTGTCACATGAAAAAAGGAATCGTTTTCAGCCAATTACAAGCGCGCAATTTTTCACTTATATAATACGATATAATCATGTCCAGTAGTTCGTGGAAATAACATATGTTTGGACAAGGTAACCTTTCTGTTTGCCATATGAAAAAAAATATGGGGAAATTCGATCCTTCTTGTCGATTTCACAGGGCTTATCCAGTAAGGGAAAGTGGGGGAGGTGAAAACTATGAAAAGAGTTATTTGACCTGTTTCAAGACTCACCTTTTTTCAAAGGACAGTTCTATGGCCGTAAAATAGCAGCCATTATTCTGACTAACACACCAGGTCGAGGTCAGCTGCGATCCCATGACCCCTCAGGGGCCGTAACATGGAAGCATATTACGTGTTCGACCAGCAATGTGGACTAGTATTATGCCTTAAGAATTGAGTGTTTAACAGGGAATTAGGTGAAGTTAATGTCAAAGATGGTACAACAGTCAAATTGCATAACAATAGAGCTGCGGCTCCTTCCCAAGGCTTAGAGCTAAATTCCGGAAATGACATAATCCCCGAGTATTTGAAATCAAAAGCAAAGCAGTCATTCAAGAAACACCCTCAGACAAAATTGCTGCATTTTTTAGTACATGAGGGGGTTTATGCTGATGTATATAACTTTGCTGATAATTCCTTAATTAGAAGCTTACTATTTTTAATATAAATTGTATATATTCGCCTTCTTTTCCAAGTATTGCTTTTATTTAATTCCTTTCTTTTATATGTAATGATCTTACCCTCTCTTTATGTATTAATTTTTTAGCAGATATGTCTATGTTTTCCCATATCTATTATTTTATGTTGTATATAGTGTAAAATCTAAAACGCCTACATTAGCTATGCTATTTGCGGTGTACAGTTACCTCTCTTTCGTTACTTTTACCGAATAGAACTTGGTGTGTGGTGATGTATTCAAATGAAGTCAATCATCGAAAGTTTCCGTCAGCTTTCTTTTTAATTATAAGTACGTATTGATGCTCCCTAACGTCGCTAAATCTACAACAGCAAATTCTGCAACTGCAACAAATCTTTGTCTTGACAGGGGAGCAGTGGTCTACCAAATCTTTGTGCACGGAATCAAACATGACGCACCGTTAGTTTTGATGCTAAAGCAAGACGATCTTGGTCAAACCTTATGGAACATGGTTATGAAAAAATGTCCTTATAAGATTTCATCTTCCCTAATTCTTCTCCATCAAGGGCGAAAGGTATACATGTAGACTTATGCCAATTCATGTCAGAGCAGATGATGTTTTAAGTTGGAACGAGAAGAGCCAATCTGAACACTCCCACTTAGGCTTTAAGGCTTAGCTGTTTCCTAATTGAGTCAGAATCGTTCAGAAACGTTATCAATTAGAAGTCAGACAAAAGTTAGAGTTTTCCTCGTGGAACAAAAGATTTTATTTCTTCGGCAGATGTTAAGATTGAGACCAAAATGTTAAGTGCAACATGATGAGGTCAAGAAAGTCATGTGACTGGAAAAAGACCTGTTTGTTACGTACAACTCACTCGGAATGGATTAGTGAAATTCACATCGGTCGAAATGAAATGTTATATTGTTATGAAATATTTAATAATGATTGGTGTCAGTCATTGACCAGAAAATCATTGGATTCCTTGATTGGAATTTCCAGCTCCAATGTAAGCTAAAAACGAAACAGATAAATGTAAGGTGGTTGAAAATCCAAACTGGCAGGAGGCAGATCTCTTGGCTATTTGCCGAGCGCAGCTTGAAAGGCAACTCTATTGGTACATACGATGAAGTAATTGTGGTGAATATCAACAAGAACCAAGACTAGATAGCTCGTCCTCAGAAATTCACACTACAAAAATAGAAGGACCTAGAGTACATGGAACATTTTTTTTTTCACTTCAATTTTTTACTTTGTTCCCTGACAGATTACTCTGGGAAAGACCCTTAGAGAACAGGGGTTGGCAGCAGATTGTAATATTCACGCCCATTTCTCGTTATGCGGAGGTAAGTTGCAAACATGACTTCTTTCATGCTTACTTTGGTTTCTCTGTTTGCTGTCGCATTGCTCAGAGAAAAATTCGGATGTGGAGTCGTTTTTCTCAGCAGGATTTTTTTATTTCTGTAGGTATGGAGAAAAAGGAAAGTTCCCAACCCAACAAAGGAAAAGAGCAGAACAATAAAGGTATTCAGTTGTGTGATGCGATTTTCGGCTTAAGGGTAGCCCTAAAAGAGACCAAACAGCAAAACAATGCACAATAATGGATAAGAAACGACCAGCATGCTAGTATCTCCTGTGAGTTGTACATTTGTTTTTTAGACCCACAAAAGTGGACAAAGGAGCAAGTGGGAAAGTGGATTACTGGAGTTTGTGACCTTTGTGATATCGACGAAGCTGAAGTTTCTATGTTCAAGACGCTTTCAGGAGCCGAGCTCAGCAATTTGAGCAGTGAGGACTGGACAGAAAGGTCACCCAGTCAAGGTGACATGCTTTTTACCATGTGGAGAAAACGGCTAAAAACTTTACACGCGAGACCAAGAATGACTGATGGTACCTCAAAAACCACTCCTCAAGCCTCAACGACAAACGGTATGTTCTTAGAACGTCGATAACTTAAATTCATGTGTCATAACCTATCAATAAACTTTTTCGCTGTGGTATATAAATTCAATTAGAGGTCGAGATTTGCCATTTCTCTCTTCCTTGTTCGTTTATCAGATTCAGCGATGTTTTCCCCTGTTTCTTTTTTCTATCCAAATAAAGATCTTGGACATTTTTTACATATTATATGTCTACTCAATTTAATATGGACGTATAAATCCACGTATAGGTGTTTCAGACAGAGAAGAAACTGAGGGCTTCGTGCACCCCTATTTACCATATCGTGGTAGAGGTGGTCTACTCCTGGATTAATTCATGGAATATTCGAATTTAACTAGGTTGCTATAACTTTAAGCAAATCATGCCGTTTCAAGACTCGTGCGCGTGTTCCGTTGAACACTGTGGAACATGAGAGTTGGAAAAGGGAGAACTAAACATTCACAAGACCTACAATTACTTTTAATGTAGGTGCTACAAAACGACGATTGGGAGTGTTTCCCCTGCAGTAACATTCAATTTTTTTTTGTAGGTGCCATAGATGAAAAGGCTAGCGATGTATCAGTTGGGAACTCACTGAGGAATTCTCTTTCGAGAAACACCTCCACTGGTAGTGAGCAACTTCCAATACCCTCAGCTCGCAGTTCTGAAAAGAGGTGATTGTTGACAATAAGGAGTATTTTCTCGGAAATGAACACCAAAGGGACCATCGTACCAGTTTATTGAATTTACTTTAATTTTTCCATAACAAATTAACTGTATACAGTATTTACAACATCTAACATAGGGAAGTATGTCAATTTGGTTCCAGCTTATTTGTTAAATACGGAAGGTGTATGATTCGTTGCATCTACATATCCTTTATAGCGCCGCTGACAATATACCTAGGGCGCAGTTTCCCAAGCCATGTGCGTTGCTTGAACAGCACTTGCAGTTTTTTCTTGTTTTTTTCTTGCAGTTTTTGCCGAGTTATTTTTAGCGAGCCGTTTTTGCCGAGTTATTTTTAGCTGGCCCCTACAGAAGGATAAATTCGTCTTATATATATTTTTTTTGCTTTGCAGTGTTTTGAGCACGCAAGGTCCGTTTGGGACTGTTGAGAATATCGACAAAATCGAATTTTATCTCAGCGCTGACGAATTATCCAGACAGCCACCAGCTGATGGAGCACTGATCTCTGCCAGAGGACTGTGCTCCTCCACACCACGAAATCTTGGCGGTGCAGGCACTGTGTTGCTCAGGAATAGTCCTGTAGAAGGTGGGACATTCCTCGAACTTAAAGTGGATATTAGAGCTTGCCCTGAGTCTACTGTTCTGACCAAGCACATCATTTCAACAATTCTTAATCTGAAACTCGGCGAAGAGTTGTTTGTGAAAGGAAGAATAGAGCGTCTTGATAAAGGACTTAAATCAATGAAGAAAGGCTTCGAAATTCTACCTTTCAAGATAATCGTTGATTCGGATCAACATGCAGCGTTTAGACAGGAACGTAAACTGCAGTGTTCGTATTTACGCCAACTGTCTTCGCCATGGCCAACCCTTTGCGGAATTTTCCAGGCCGAAGGGTCAACACAAGAGCCCATTTTTCAAAATGATACCTTAGAGATTACACGGGGTATTCTGTATTGCTCTCCAGATGCATCCCTAGATAAAACAAAAGAAAGTGCAGTGGCGCTGAAAAACAGTCAAACCGGGGATATTTTTGTGGGTGTGAGCGATCAGGGAATTGTTCTTGGTTGTAAAGTGTCTCGGAATGACATAATTCCGAGGAGAGAGAAGATAGTCAGAGCCTTGAGTGGAATATTGCCAAATGTAGACCACCCTATTACCGTTTGTACAACCGCCGCGCAAGCGCATGAACTTGTTGAAAAAGAGAAAGACTTTGTGGCTGCTATGTGGATACCGAGCGACAGGTGTAGTTCGATGGATGATTTAGAAGAAATGGATGAAATTTCTCTCTTGTTTCGTATACACGTGCTAAAGGGGTCGTCAGTGGTAAGCTTTGCAAAAGCAGAACATACACATGCGTATGTACGGGTCGGTGCCGAGAAAAAACTAATGACAGATTATGAAGACTTGTTTAACCGTCTTGAGTCACTTGCAAGTCGTAACATCCCCAAGAAAACGCCTGAAGCTATAGATCAAGAAGTTAACAAAGCTTCCGTGTACCAGGTTAGTGAACAGAGTTACCACCTTTTCAAGAGGATAAACTTTGAAACTGAAAAGACAGAATTTAAAGCCATCTACGGTGAGCCAAAGAAGATAATTCTGACTGATTACGTGAAGAAATACTCTGCCTCTTTTCTTAACTCTGACGGAGGTGATATCCTGTTCGGAATAGAAGAGGATCGAACTTCAAAGGCTGGTTATACTGTAGGGGTGTCCATTTCAGTAAATGATCGAATAGAACTGGTCCAGGAAAGCAGCAAGACGGTTTGCAACTTTTGGCCTCCGGTCGATAGCAGTCAGTTTTTCATGAAATTCATCGAGGTGAAATGCGATATCACCAAGAACGTGTTAAAGTACCCAGATACCGACGCTGAAAAAAAGGGAACTTTCGTTGCATTAGTTCTTGAAAGTATGTCCAACGTTCAAAAACTAACGAAGTCTATCACATCAAAGAGAAGTCAAATCTCACTTCTTCGCTTGTCAAACAATCGTTTTGGGTTATTAACAAAAGATTCAAGTAAAGTGAACGTAGAGGACTTCTTGTCTGAGATGAATACGGAGAGTTCCAGGACTAACTATTTTAGATTACAAATGGCTTCGTTTGAAGAAATAGGGGCGGCAGTGGGAAATTTGTGCGTCGTTCATCTTCATGTTAGTAAATCGCCATACCCCATTCATCTCACAAGTCCACTCTACACGTTTTGTTTGGATAGAAAGGGAATGGTTGCGGAAATGGACCCCGACCAACTAATTGAAAGATTTACGAGTAGAGATTACCAATATGAGCCTGATGAATTCTTCAATGTTGTGAACGAGTTTGAGAAAGTGAACACGTCGTATGTTCTGGTATGCTCACCGTTTTCTCTCCCAAGGCAGGAGCGTGATCTGTATGGTGCAGTAGTCCCTGAATGGGCCTTGGTGCTGGATTTTGATCAAACCCCAAATGAGGATGGCCATTTACTGAACATCTTCAAGCCTCTTCATGACCTCCACCGAGTGGAAAGAAATCTTTTCGTAAAAACTCCACTTGATCGAAAGCTCGAAATAAATCCAAGAAATGGCGTTTGTTGGTGTGCAGTGAGAGGGTACGAGGAAATCAATAAAACTCTTTCCACAGGTGGACATGCTTCTTGGATGTCCACCCATGGCCACAAGATGAGAATTCTTATTGATCACCTTATAACTCATATAAACCCAAATCAGTTGGTGGTTTTGTGTCTGTGGGCTGACGGTCACAGAGAGTTGCTCCCTTCCCTTGACTTCATTTTGCAGTACATCTTTTCTTGTTGGGGTCCCACCAAAGTAGTCTTTGTCTGCTCTGACTCGTCTACGAAATCTGAAATCTTGTCAGGACTCGTAGAACCGCTAGAAAGAGCCGGTTTCGGAGTGAAGCGGGATAATATTTTCATTGCACTGCCACATGAAATGGCACGGCACATTGGGGCTAAACTTCCTCCACCCTACCGCTCAGAGGATGAATTCCAGATTCCACGGAAATTCCATCTTCCAGACGGCGGCGAAAGAACTATTCCAGATACTTTGCCTCAAACAATTAGACAGGCGGTTAAAGGCCATTTACAGATCATGTATCAAAACACCGGAAACGCCCTTCAGTTAAAGCCAGACGATGAGGACGAAGTCCGGCTCAAGTTTTATTCTGGTTCCGAAATCGATGAGACAGGTCTTGCTACTGGAATTGCTATAGAGAGAGAAAAAATGAAAGTGTTGAAAAGAGAACTCAAATCATTTTTGAACGACAAAAAGTCGCATGTCTGCTTGACTATTCTCAAAGCGGAGAGAGGTGCTGGTGCAACGACCCTTTGTCTACAGCTCTTGTTTGAATACCGCAAGCAGTACGTTTGTGCTAGATTACTGGAATTCCACGACAGCCTTACTGCCAACATAGAGAAGATTAATCAGTATTCTCGACTTCCAGTCATTCTATTGGTCGATAGCGAAATGGTATATCTACCAGAGTTCAATGATTTCAAGAATGATGCAGAAAAGAGGAACCTAAACTTGAAGTTACTAGTAGTTGAGTCTGATGCGTTGTTCAGCCAACAAGCAAGCTCACCTCGAAGGAAGCAACCTATTCCATATTTCGTTGGGTCAACACCTTATAAGACAGTTGAACTAAGCCGCGAACTGACGTTGGATGAATTGCCACAGTTGATTGAGCAATTTCTAAAGATCAGGGAAATTCCCGAGGAGAAAAAGAGGAAGCTAAAAGAGCTTAAAGATAGGGTATCACGGGACTACACCTTACGTAAATTTGCATACTTTAGTCTCACAGCTTTTGGTAGAAAGTATGCTGGTATACGAAGTTACGTAACATATCGCTTACGCCAGACAAATGAATTACAACTCCAAATTCTAGAGTTCCTGGCCCTCACACACGTATTTACCGATTTCTTGTTTCCGGTGAACGCCTTGGCGCGTTTGGCCGACAGGGACGTTGTTATGCTCGAGAGCATTTTCAGCAACGATGATGTAAGGGAGTTGTTGAGCCCGCCATCACCGGCTGAGTTCAATCTTAGAAGAATTTCCTTTGTTGAAGTTGCAGAGGAACTTCTTCAGCAACAAGCCAAGTCGCTTGAGATGCGCCATACTCTTTATCTTAAAGATGTTGCCCTTCGATTGGCAAAGGATGCCTTGACGGATCCACGACCAAGCAGGATGATTGATCGTATCACTAGACGATTGTACGTCACCAGTGAGTATGGAAGTGAGAAATTCTCACCACTTGTGCGATACCTGAGGGACAAAGATCCTGATGTAGCTCGTGACATGTTACATGAGTTGATTGAAGTTTTTGACAAAGGTTCCAGTGTCTGGGCTCATCTTTTGGCTCACTTATCAAAATATTACATGATCCAGTACGTCGATTTCCTTAGTGCCATTCCTCTTATCGAAGAAGCAGTGAGGGAAAACAAAGATGACGTACTACTTCATCACATTCATGGAGATGTAATTCGCTTACACATACAAAACCTTAAAGATCAGCTTGAATTTTCTATGGAAGAAGTCGTCCGCTTTGCAGTTCAGAGCAGTCATTGTTTCGTGACCGTAAAGGATAAAAGACCGCTGATGGAACATGGTTATTCTTCAGATGCTTTGGTTAGAAAAGTAGTCATGCTTGCAGCAATTAAATCTGTTGGCGGCTCGCATTTTGTGGACTTCCTCAAGGATTTTCTAAATAAAAGAAAAGAGAAGGATACATTAACAGCTCTCACTATAGAGGACAAATATGTCCTGGCTTTGGTACCGGAGTCATTTGCTAATCTCCGAGCAGTACCAATCAACGAATTCAGTGAAAATCTGAAAGACAGTTTTTTGAAATATTTAGGAGACCTCGATGACCTAACATCAGTTTGCGAAGATCTCAAAAAAGTATCCAAAGGTACCAATGACGAAGCCTGGGTGGATTTAGTTGTTCTCAAAACTACCTCATTAGTGTGTTCGCTGGAAGTTGAAAGAAAACAACTTGACCCAGAAGAAGCTGACGAAAAAATAAAAAGTCTGGAAGACCTGTTGAGGAACACCAATCATGACGAGGATTCAGTTAAAATCTGGATTAGGTGTGCGAGGCTTGGCTCTAAAGTTCCAAGTTTAAAATCGGTAAGGAGCACAGTGAATGAGTGGTTGAAAGCAACTGGAAAGAGATCCCCAAATGCCCTGTTTTACAAGTAAGTGGCTACTCGCAGGTATAATTACACTGATTTAAGAAATTTTGTGTTTTTTTTTAGCAGTGCTTGTTTCTAATCTTCAGATTTTATTTACAAATTCTGTGTGACTAATGACTCATGTGTAACAGTCACGTGCTCAACAAAAGTTTGAGAAAGCTCATGCATAATTCATTACATGCACGGACGTAAATTGCAACGAATTGCTGATTGATTTTACTTTCGTTGCACTGGATTTGCTGTTTTATTTAGTTTCCTACTGATGAAGTCTGAGATTAAAATAGTTGTATGTAGTTGTAGATTTCCTGTGGTAATGTTCAAGTTCTATGATTTTACATATTTACATTTACATATTTATAAAAGTGTAGATCGCAGCTCAGATCATGTTGTATGGATTAACTTTACTTCACTTTCCAGCTATGTTGTCGCAATTTTGGAAGCCTTAAGTGACCCAGATGATCCAGAGAAAATGACCAGAGCTGACGAAAGTGTCAGACAGTTGCTTCGGAGGAGAAAGTCGCCAAAGTCCGCCGGCGTTTCATTGGACCCCACTGTACCAGTAGAATGGCTTCATCCAAAGGATGGTCGACACATTAATTCCTTGGATTCACTTCTATATCACGAAGACCTGGTGAGAGATTACTTGCAAGGTAAAACACCTCAAAAGCAAAAGCGAGCTGGAAAAGAAATAATAGAAAAAGCATTGTTTGAAAAGGACATCAGTAAATGGGAAGGGGTCGTCAGTGACATATCCTCTGATTGGAAAGGAGTGATTACTTTGAAAAAGCGCATCTACGTACCTTTTGTGCCGGTTAATGTTTCGCCCCACATGCCAAATGAGGGAGACGTCGTAAGGTTTTGCCTCGCCTTTCATTGGACGGGTCCGTGTGCCTGGTATGTCGTTTGTCAACCTGGAGTTGCCAAAGCTCAGAAAGCGGCTGCACGTTCCACGATCAGGTTTCTAGAAGAGGATGATACCAATAGCGAAACAAGTGACAAGGACGACGAAGACAGTCTTCTGCCTCTAGTTGGAGAATCTCTTCACATGCAAACAGTTCGACCTCAAAAGACCGTTGCAGTCACCGAAGACAATGAAGGTTACCAGTGGAGTAATTACCTAGACTGTGAAAGACAAGGGATCATTTCCCATGTCTCTCGTAGTAACGGATACGGGTTCATTCATCATCCAGATTTTAAAGAATATCTCTTCTTTCATAAAAAGCAGATAGTTCCTCCAGTGGAAAATCTCAGCTCCATAGAGGACTATTCAGTGGTTTTGTTTACGGTTGGTAAAACGGAAAGAGGACTTCGAGCGATGAACATTAGAACAGTGGTATGTTATTTCAAACTCTTTATTTCATACCGTTGTGTTAAACTCAGTATGATTTACGGCTCGAAGGATGAGTTGTACCAGATGCCAATAAGAGAGAACTTGAAAGGGCTGGTGACACTTAAAGCAAACATTCATTTGGATGCTCCATAAATCCAATAAAATTAATTCTCATTCGTCGAAATTCACCGTTATCAGATCTACTGGTTTTGGGAGATTCTGGTCAGTGCTCCCAAACGTCTCCTGTCGACTTTTCGTTTCCTTAGAGGCATGTGACCAACGCTCAGAGTTTACGCGCCATCGTGGCCATACACTCTAGACCTGGAGTAGCCACGGTGCAAATAGAGCTTATAGGAAGGGTCCACGTGTCGGTTAACCATTGAAAGAAACGAGGCGATATACTTTCAATTTCGACCTCTGTTCACTTTAGAACCGTTGAATAATATAATCTCTCTAAGGATTTTGTTGCTTTCAGTCCCAACTTGATTGAAAATAGATCCCATCCTTGACGTTTCCGTCATTCTTTGTAACTAAACCAGCCCTCTTTCATGGCCACAGAAGCCACACAGGAGGGGAAGGGGTAAATCAAGGCTGATAAATATGTGACTTATAAATTTGTCTCTCTATCTATGCTTCGTCGTCATATACAATCCAAAACAAACCTCAACAGATGAATCCTCAGGTATATTTGATTTTGACTTTGCAGGAAGAAAAAGATTTTGACTCACAGTTGAAAAGCTGTCGTGAAGAATTGCGCAAAGCCGAGCACCCGAAGAAAACGCCTTTATCTGCATCAGCAGTTCCCCGACGGTTTGTTTTGTAACTTTACCTTATGTCTTCTTTGAGATCTTTCACAAATGGAGGCTATAGCTTCCTGAAGCGGCTGGAATCCTTTTTAATCAAAACCTTGTTTTTGCGGAAAAGGAGGTGTACTATCTTGTGTAGTTACAAGGGTACCGAAACTTCTTTGCCTGGGCCAGCTTGCCTCAACTGAACGGTATTCAAAATTACCGTGACCAGAACTTAAAAATTTTACTTATTTTCAAGTAAATAAACATTTAAAAATGTTAATTGATCTTGTATATATACTTCTGTTTACCCATATATGACTTATTCATGTATTCGAGTATTCAGTTATTAAAACCAAGCTTAAATGTCACTGGTTAATTCATTCAGAGAGTGCACTGCGTGTGTCATAGCTGAAGCTAAAGAATACTACACGTGATCTAGGGTTTTCCATTGTTATGACTCTCTTTATAAGCATCATTCTCTCCATATTTTCCCTATATATTTTATACAATTTTGTTATATTCATAAAACCTACTCAAAAGCATTGCAGCATAAAGATCATTGGAATTGTTTATTATTATTATTATTATTATTATTATTATTATGATGATGATGATTATGATGATGATGATGATAATTGTTATGATTCAGCTCTGAAAAAGTGGTGCCGAAGACACTAAGGGACTTTTACGAATTGGGGTCTCGCCCAGAGGGACATGTATGCGAAGTAAAAGTTCCACCTCGTTACAAAACAGTTCGTGGGTTTATAGCGGTACCATCAACTTCAGAACGGTTGTACTTTGAAGAATTGCTGTCTGGTATCCCAAAGAAAAAGGCTGGCAATATTCAGTTGAAAACAATTGTCCAGTTCAGAGTGGCTAAGAATAAGCATGGCTTCTTCGCAAAGGATCTTTTCATTAAGGTAAGATTGTAATTGCTTAAGCCGAGCAAAAAACGCATGGTCTGTCCTTAGGGCGCAAATTAATTTGTAAAATGCACACTGCTGAAACGTAAATGGATTTTTTCCCCCTACAGCTGCCTGAAAGTAAGACAGTCCAATGTAGATGTGGTTGGGAAGATCGTATTGACAAGGGAATACAGGAAGGGTTTATTGGTTTTCTAAAACCTGGAGGTCGCTATGGTTTTATAACTAAGACATACGCCAGAGAACGGAACCCTACAGGAATCTACTTTAACGAGTCACACTTACGAGGATACTCGTTTGGGCAGTTACAGTTCGGCGACAGAGTGCACTTTGTTGTTGGTCAGAATGATAAAGGAGGATGTGTTGCCGAACAGATTGATGTTTTACGTGAGAAAAATCAATTTCCTGCAGTCTCGCAGGTATAGTTATCTTACTTTTTTTTACCTTCGCAGAATTACGGGTGCAACCGGATATCACAAATGCAATAAAATACATGCAAAAAATTTATCCATGTTCATTGGCCAATTACTGGTCAATTGACCCCAAAACTGATAGAAAGTTAAATTACGTAAGTAATATAAACTTCATAAATTATATATTAAGTTAGTTCAGCTATTCACGCATTTTGATTGGTTATTACATATGAACCATCAAAGAATAGACGCATCGATGTCTATATATTTACTACACTGTGACGAGGCTAAAATGTATTTCTTTTAATTTTTTTCCAGGGAAATTATCCTTCTGGTTTACCTGATCCGCGCTTGTTTCCCAGAAATCCCCACGATATGTTTTTGCACGGTCAGCCAAGTCTTGGACAATATAGCCCCCTTTCCCCGCCCTTCGATCCAAATGCGTAAGTATTTTTATCATCTCTTTTTTCAAGGTGGTCCTTAATTATGTGAAACGGATCTTAAATATGCATTTTAGCCGTTATGACTAAGGTCGTTTAAATTTGTGGGGTGGTTTTGCCAGTTTTATCCGTTCGATGAAAGGCGTTATCTCTCACCATCCACCCCTCCGTTTTACTACCAGGAGTAATTTTAGGTAATTTTCCCTTTCGGAAGCGGCGGGTCCCTTGTACAGTTTCTATCCACCCTGGCTTTAAATGTGGCCAAAACAGCCACCTATCGTTGCCAGATTATTAGTAGCATACTAATCTAATTGCCCAGAAAATTTTATAATAGTTGTTATTACGAGATAACAGTTTACTATTCTTTTTCTTGTTTTCTCCCCTGGGGTTTCGCTTCTTTGTTCGCTCTCCTCCGATGACACTTGTGACAATGAGTACAGGCGGGACGGCTGTTCGGTTGACTTGATACGGGAGCGACGGAGCTTGTATGCTCTAGCTGAAATTGCGGTACATGCAGCGACAAAAATTACAAAACAATAAAGTTTATGACTGATAAACCAAGGGCGACAAACGCAATGTATCCGACGTAGTTAGTTACTGTCGTTTCCTGTATCAGGCTATCTCCTTTCAATCGCTCTGACGAAGGGCTAACGCTCGAAACGTCAGCTTTTTTACCCTTTACGGTGGCTGATTTACGTTTTCAATTCAGTTGTTAATACTAAATTACCTGCTATCTCCTTTCTGTATGGTTGAGTTAATGTCATCTTAGTAGATAAGTGCTAATTGATACTCTAAAAACTTGCTCTGGAGTTTGTTAATTCAAACGGCATGACAAAAAAATCATAAAGACCATTTTGTGTAACGAAAGCCGTTTCCTCACGAGCGGAAGAGTACATCTCTATTTGTCAGAAACCGGCTGATTTCATGTCTACTGTACTGAAAACTTTGGTACCGCTCACAGGCGGCCCAAGCTCCGGCTGTGAGATGATCATTTTGCGAAATACGAGTCGTGGTGAAGTTAAAGTATGTCCCTTTTCATCTCAATAGTAACGGATTGCGTCGCCAAAACGAGTACGAAAACCCCTCGATTGAGGTGGTCGATAATTACGCTGACTAGTTGGGGGTCTAGAATTTCCCATCGGTTCTTTAAATCCTCTTGGATAATTTGTTTCATATTTGACCTCCTTACATGGGCTTCTTTGCTCTACAGCACTTATTGACTTCTCTACACTACACTTAGTCACTCTAGCATACCTCCTTAAGTATTCCATTAATAAACAAGTTTGGGTTATGGGCCGGTTGGTTTTGGGGAATTAAGACACTTGGTAAACTTGCTAACCCAAATAATTCCACAAGAATAATAGAATGAACAATAAAGCACTCAATGATTTAAACAAAATAAAAGCCAATCACTGAAAACAAAAACCAAATGAGGATCTCGGTTGTTAGTCCAGACCAATGCTGCGAGACAAACCCAAACAGGAACACCATTGACAAACAAGGAAAAAGTACAAAAAGACAATAGCTAGATGTTCGGTCTCGCCAACTTTAGAATCAACTAAACTATTCAAGTTTTCAGACCACTGGACACAACATACAATAATCAGGAAACTTCGCATGAAAAATGTACTATCTCTAACGATCAACTCCAAAAACAGGTAGTAAAATATTGGAAATCGAAAAGGCGAATGGGTAATAACGGTAGAAGTGGAGCATTTAAATCCACGTAGACAAAAGGTCTTTCCTCACTTATAATCATTCGAATCTATCTTACTCTCTTCGTATTCAAATGAACAGGTTAGTACAATGTTAAGCTGTTAGTTATAAGTGTATCTTATGACCCTCTCTATGCCATGATTTCAGAATGCCTTGTCATCCTCTGCAAGACCCTGGTCGACACGCCGATGGAGGCTTTCAACAAGTAAATTACAAAAGACGGAAACGTTAAGATGTACTGCAGATGTCACTATAAGATGGAAGAAGTCGTTATTTATCATTGAAAGCCATTTTGAATATGTACTCCTCGACCCAAAGTCTTTGGTAACAACGAGGATACTAAATTATTCAAAGCAAGTTCTCCCTGTAATCGGATAGATAGAGTGGCTGACATTTCAAGGCGTAATTTCATATTCACTCACTGGAAAAAAACTGTCTCAAAGTATAACATATGACATACGGTACCAAATTTCGTACTACTGGGATATTTTTCCGAAGAAAAGATCAATTGAAATTCGACCCTGTTTTATGTACTAAGGTTATCCTAGTATTTTTAATTCTCAAAAGAACTCATTTATATATATTAGATACAATTGTTAGTAGTATTGGTAGTCATGTCAGTGTTTACCACTACTTAGAGAAATAATTACTGTTTCGATAATTTCGAGTCTTTTCGACCTGTGGGGTCAATGAGAAAAGGACCCTCGGTCCGTCTGATGATTAAATTTCGTTTTATGTCTCTAAGCAATGGACTGGTATCTGATACACCAAGATACATAATACGATTTGAGATTATTTACACTGTTACTATATTCGTAGATGTTTGTTCGGCACCATTTCCTTTCCCCACCACTTACAAGAGAATATTGAATATCACATTTTCTCTGTTTATAAATTAAATTTCACAATTTTACATATAATATTTAGAGTGGGTAAAATAAAAAGAGTATTCATATGGAACACCGAAAAACAATTGATCCTGAGAATGCTAACTTGGAGTGATGTTTACAACGACAAAAAATCAAAATCTGCACAATAGCTAGTTTAAGTAACCGCTGCTCCATAGTTTGTGGTACACATCTTGGCAGAGCAATGCTCATATAATATTAGATGCATATTTCGTCTCTTTTTTTTTTCGTCTTGTTTATTTTTACTTATACCCCTAGCTGAGGGCCTAAAAAGTGGATCTGTCCTAAGTATATCCTTCATGTATCTATATGCTATTGAACAAAGAATTGTCAGGTGACTGTTCTGCGAGCGCCATCTTGAATTGTAGCTGTTTTAACCACTTGGCCAGTGCTGACTTCGTGTGTTTGTTGATCCGCTTCCGGGACTGAGCTTTACGCAAACGTGCATGAGCAGCGTCCGATTGCTATCACAGAAAAAAGATAGCGCGAGAACTAAAAATAATGGCACAGAGTGCACCCCTGTATCATCATAGCTAAACGTCACGTAGAATGCTAGATAAGCCCATGAAAGTCAATTTGACCGCACCGTTGGACAATTTTCTAGTATAAATCTCAAAACACGTGTCAAACTTTATTGTATTTTATAAATTTCAGCAGAACAGCACGACCTCAAAAAGAGATTATGGAATAGTTCACTTGTCTAAAAACTTTTTTATCAATATCATTTAAGGTCCTAAAATAATTAATCGATAATTGATCTCACTCACCTTCTGAGAGAAGCAGTAAGTAAGGATTGGGTACCACATCGGATATAACTATTCAACGAGATAAAAAAGCAGCCTTTCACTGTTTCATGACTCTAAATAAAGACGAAGCTCGAAACGTAAAAAGCAAATTCACCATTACTGACAGTATGGCAAGTAAACAGACTCTTCTTTCTTCAACATAAGATTTAACCACAACGAAAGCGCATTTCTTTGAAATTACCGGAGTTATATCGCGTTTTTCAAAAAAGAAGAGAAAATGTTAGCTCCATCAGATGCTTAGCGCGTGCTTACCTTGGGTAGTGGGGTGGAGTTGCACTCTTGAAGAGCTTCCAGTAAATTCAGGAAGTGGTGACTAACGGTCTGTGTCAGCTGTTGAGACAATTGGTATAAAAGTAAAGAAATGATTTTCGTAAATGAGCGGCATTTTGAAAAATTGCAAAAAAGGACCTTAAAAAACTCATGCTTTGAAGAGATTCGAAACCCGAAGACAAAATAAGATGAGTTCCGTTCAAGAGAACACATCTAAAAATTAGCTTGTATTGTTTCTATTTTTTGGGAGGCTGAACATGTAAACTTGAGCCGTTAACTCACACGTATTTGGCCAGGTATACGCCTGGTTGTAAGGTACACAGTAAGAAGCAAACATAAAATGTGATTATCCGCATGAGTGAAGTCTTGAAAAAGACTACTGTCAAGATCAGAGCCAAGTAATAAACTCTATAACCTGTGACCTTTTAACTTTCCCCAACCAACTCCAGTTCAACTGTATAAATATAATTAACCGAGAAAGTCGAAGTACCACAATCCCTCACCTCCTTTGCTTGAGTCAGAAGATGGAGAATGCCTGGAGTTACTTTACCCCAGAACTCCATAACGATGGAGGCTGCGTGTGTTGGCGATTCTCCTGGACTCTTGGTTTGATCACAGTAAAGCGTCCACAACTGTCACAATGAAAAAGAGTAACATTCCTTGTTGCTTTCCACAAAATATGATTTTGCATGGATTCCAAATCAGTTTTGTTTTCGCGTTAACAAACCACAACCGACTTCAAAGACTCAGCTGGCTTTTCTAACTGGAAGCTAGTTTCAACGGTGCACATAAACATCATATTTCAATATTGGTCACAGACAGGCAGATGTACGGTATGAAATATATAATCATCGTTTGCAAAACAGAAAGTGGACGTTTCCAATGTTCCTTACCTCACAAACATTAAACGCATGATAAAGGGAAGACTTGCTCAAAGGTTCCTGAAAAGGCAACGACTGACAGTGTTAAAATGGCGCAAATAAATTTCAAACAGATGTTTTTATTGAACCTTGTTCGCAATATCTTGACTGAATTTTTGACGTTTGCACAACAACCCCACCCTCCCCTTCCGCATGGATTACAAATCGGTTGTGGAAGTTTATTCAACGTTCACCATTTAAACGCCAATAGAGAAGAATTCTGACCTTTAACTGTTCCGCAAAGCTGAACAGAATTATAAGCACGTAGTCTGCAATATGCGTGTTCTCCTCAAATTTGACTGGGTGACAGTTGACGTGAGGATTGCGACAGTGAACGAAGTGTGACAATGAGCCGTGCAGTAACCAGGCCAGCAGTCGCATATGTGTCACGCAATCCAGCAGTTCTTGACGCCTGTAAGAGAAAAAGAGACAGGCAAGGTGGCGTGATGGTTAACGCGTGAGCTTCCGATTTAGAAGCCTGGGTTCGAGTCTTGACCTGGTCAGTGTGTAGAGTGCTTTGGTGTAACACTTCTCTCCACTCATGAGTATAAAATAGGTACCGGGACCGGTCAGGGAAGTCTGATGAGATACTCGGGAGGGGGGAGGGGGGTGTTTGAATCAGTGATCAACTAGCATCCCCTCATGGAGTAGCAGTAATTGTAGTCACTTCCTGCCATCAAGCTAAGACACGGGAGAGTTAAAGCATATTGCAAATTAAAGAGCACAGCGAGTAGTTACCCCAACTGTGTAGCTGTAGGAGGACTCTTGAGCCATGCCAGTGCTTTGTTATGCATTTTGCTGTCCTCTGTGTGTTTAGTGAGCTCCAATGCCACCAGCTGGGATACACTGGCTTTCAGATCGATCGGCAAAGTTGTCTGATGTAGGTTTGGTTCACTAAGCTGGCGGTTTTCCTGTTGAAAAAGACAAGCTGCTAATCAAAAATAAATATTTCCCGTACTGTAGTCGGTAGTTTAAACACGAGAGTTACTTTCGGACGCACAGTTTAATCGTCCGGGTGATGATTGCCCCGAACGTTCATGAGTAACAGAAACTGACCTTTCACCGACCTGGCCAAGAACAACGTCAACATTACAATCCCTATCTTGGCTCTATTGACTTCCGCTCTGGTTGTAGAAACATCAGTCGTTGTCACCCATAACAGCTTTCAAAAGCTACCCTAAACTGGACGTTAACGCAGTACCGGCCATCGACTTAATATCACTTACTTTACTGGATCTGGCGGTAAAAGTCCAGTCCCTTATGAACTCTAATGCTTCCCCGATGTACTGACGGACGCAGTCAAGAGCTCGAGTGCGTGACTATGAAGAAAGAAAAAAAAAAGTTTTAAGTACATGAAAAGTTATAAGAGTAACGAAATGCCAGGAAATGTCACACAATTCTCACCCCAAACGGCAGATCATAAGGCGCGTTGTCAGATTCGCTACCAAAGCTGATTCTGCTGCCAGCATCTACAGCGACAAACTATTGATAGACAAACAAATGAGATAAAGTATCGCTCACAGAGACTTAAAAAATATTAAAGAGAAAATTCCAGAGTTACTATGCACCTGAAGAACAGACTGGAGGTTCGTGTCGGGAAGTGAAGAACGAAACTTAACGGCATGGACCAGTTCCAACACAACAGCACGAGTCAAAAACAATTTGTTACGCTCCTAAAAGATTTAAGCCAGGAGGAAAAAAGAAAAAGTAGGTTTCACATTTTATCCATGTTAATAATGTATATGAAAATAATTACGCGCTTCTGATTGGCTGAAAACGAGTGCATTCTCATGTAACACGAGTGTAAAGTCTGTCTTACCTTACTGAGATATTTTTTCGTGTACGTTATAAACGAGTAATAACATGATTTTTCCTGCAATTTGGTGTAATAAGCACTTGTAAATTTTTTAAAGACTACAACTTGCACTTGCCCTATGGGTTCGTGCATTTTTGTTGTCTTTGAAACATTCACTCGTGCATATTAACAACAAATTGCACTCGAAATCATGTTATTACCTATACTTAATCCGAACCTATAAGTAAAAGAATGTGGTCTTGTGGTTTGCGCGCTGGACTCCGGCTTCGAGCCGAGTCGTTATGTTATGTTCTTCGGCTAGACACTTCATTCTCACAGTGCCTCTCACCAGCCAGGAGTATGGCGCGCCATCCTGGGAAGAATACCAATACTCTTAAACCCATGATGTCATGGACACTTAGAGTAAACTCCGAAGATGAGAGGTGATAAGACTTGAACCTATCTGATCCTGAAATTATTCTGAAATTAACAAGCCTGTATTTATGTGGGAAAGACAGGAAACGTGTGCGCTCCCTGGGATAAAGAACTGCATTAACAAACTAACATTTTTCACGGGAGAGAAATGTTGGCAAACCTTTGGAAAAGTCTCGGTGCACTTCACACAAAGTTCCAGCAGATCTTGAAGCTGAAATGAACATTTGTTGATGGCGTAACTGATCACCTGAGCGAAGGATGGCAGCAACATCTGAAAAAATAAACAAACCAATTAAGTAAGCAAACAATCAGGCTTGGCTGAAGTCGAGCGAGAAGTAAAGCATAGCGTTATTCAACACATTGAAATAGAAGGATGTTTTTTTGGTCGAGATTCTCGCTTACCCCTGTAAGACAAACTCGCATAAATTGCATGGCAGACATTTTGCGATGGCAAGTAATGAAAGAAACATATCTTTTTCGCGGGAAAATGCTCTTACCTTGAAAGAAGAACTCGCTGCATTAAGGATTGCAGTCATTACATGAAATGTTGGTGTAACATCGGGCTATTAAAGAAAAAAAAAAATAATAAGGCTGTTTTAAGACACAAGATAAAAGTGTTGGACACCAGAAGCTTTTCATCCAATAAAATCGTGTTCATGAGCGGATTAAGGTTATTATTTACTTTAGAACAGAGCACCTACATTTTCAGGCAACACTGAAGGCAGCTTCCTAAATAACGCTTCGAAGTGAGACAGCTGACTCTCCCAGGCACTCGTGGGCTCACGTGAGGCAAATTGAAAGTACGTGTCCAAGTTGCTCAGCAACACCAGCACACGATCGCTAAGAGTCCTGGACCCAAGAACATCCTAAAAAGGATAGCAAATAAAATTTTTTTTCCCAATATGAAAAAAAAATTCTTGCCACTGCAATTCATAGAGTTGTTTTAATGCATGCTCTGAGAGCTCAATATCACATCAGCCAAAATTAAAGTGAGTGGGCATTTTAACTGGTCTAACATAAAGATGGAACATTTGTCAAGAGCGTACTTTGTAGGATAAAGAAAATTTTAAAAGCTAGACCTGTCCTATTTTGGTCTTATTTGATTGGTTCACATGTGATAACTGTCGTGCATATTTCTATTATCAGCAATATTTAAAGTGTATTTTCGCATGTATAATTAAAAATTACACACTTTGAGCTGTGTCGTTGAATGCAGAAAGAAATTTTAAATTTTCATACGTGAAGAAAAAAAAATAAACCTCTCGGCTTCAACTAAATAGCCATACACAGTTAAAGGTTAGAGAAGGAACGATACAACATTAACGGTAATAAAAACTCCACAGTACTTTCCTTTAAAGCAAACTCTAGGCTTTCAGAATAATTACCAACATATAACAGAAGAAAGGCCGCAAAGATCTTACAGTACCTCCAGCAAGTAAGCTATTGGAGACATTTGGTCAAACGATGAAAAATCATTCAAGGAGATTGCAACAGCTTTTAAAAGTGTGTCATCTGGAAAGAGAAAACAATTCAATAAATAAGAAAATGTAACTGATGAATTTTGCACTGATGAATCTCGGAATCAACCAAACCTCGCGCAAGATTTCTAGGAAGAACATTTAAGTCTCAGAAACAACTTTCTTCAATGCGCAAAGCCGAAAAGAAACGCGCGTTAACACGTGTAACTAAGAGGAGTTTATTTCAATACTTCAGACAGTAAATGACCAGTTATGTGAGGAAATAGGCATAAAAGCGCCGTCTGTTGAAATTAATCAACAGTGCAATCGATGCAAAGTTGATTTCTTACCTTTCAAGGAGCTACGAAACAGCTCTGAGAAGATGCCGTTAGGTGCAAGTTTAATGAGAACACATCTCAGAAACTGTTTAGCTACTTCTCTTATTGAACCAGGAATCAGCAGGTTACTAAAAATAGAGATTTGAGTGAGTATCCGTTAAAAAAAATATTCGGGAAATAAAGTAAAATAGAAACAACACCCTAAATCATCTGAAAACTGTCCATATGCATCCTGGGTAGTACCGTGTAGCTGGAAGTGTAACCACAAAAACGAGCACCGGAGCTTCGATTCGTTTCTATTAATTTTCCGTCCCAAGTCTCTCGCCGCTTTGCTGCTCGTTTTCTCAGGTTTCCATGCGCAAACAAAACTACCAGCAAACGATGTTGTAACTTGCGTGATGTTTTTCGTATGAAATGTTTTAATGGCGAAACTTTGGTTTAGTTCCATAATCCAGTAGAATTGTTGAAAAATTACCTTTTCTCTTGCCAAGCAAACATAGGATGCACACATTTTCTGTAGGAAAAAAAGATCACTATGAGAATTTAAACGCCACTGGTGTGATACTCTCCAGGAAGTCACAGCTTCTTTTATCTTTCCCGGCATTTTGTTTCATTTGCATAAATTGCGACAATTAATGAACTTTTTCATTTCATTTCTGCAGTACATTTTCTTATTTTACAGTCATAAATTCATGAAAAATGCCTCTTGAAAGAGTACATTAACTGTGTCAAGAACTTTTTTTTCAGAACAATTCCCAATTGTTTTAATGAGCTCACAAAGATATCAAAAGGATCTATATTCACAAGTCCCCCTTCGCATTTACCTCGCAACGCACTCCAGTATTCGAAGTAAAAGGGGCATTGCCATTGAGGGGCTCTGATGAGCAAACGTGGAAAGCACCACAATACATAAATTAAGGGTCTCCTCGTCAAACTGTTCGAGCGAGGTCCCACACTCGGGGCATGAGTCGAGCTCTAGGTCCCCCTCAAAAGGGTCCTTGTCGATGGTCCCTTCTAAGACCCTATCAAAAGATCGCGTCGAGTGGCTGTGTAACAGTTTGGGCTTTGAACCTCCTCGACTCTCAACACTGTTAGTCCACGTCGAGCTTTCAACGCTTCCCGGCCGGCTAAAGTCCACATCACGTGTTTCACGACTGCTAGTTGACTCTATGGATACTGATGTGAATAACAACAAAAATCATTTATAACCTAAGTATTTATCTCGTGTCCAGGGTCCTAACAGTAACCGAAGCACGTTATGTTTGAATTACACTTCAAATTCGCCTTCTATCGTTTTTATCTACATGATCGGTCATTAAAACGCAATGTTTAACTTTTGATATATGCAAGTTTTCATTCGATCTGAAAGTTCAAACTGATAAGTTGAGCGAGTTTAATATAATTTTACTGTAGCTTAAATTTAATGGAAGATTTTTAAGCTACAAAGTTCAAAACGCGCGGATAAAATCTAAATCTTTAAAAACACCTGGTAAGAGATTTCATTTGAATGCGCTCAGGTTAAACGTTAAATAGTTTAGGACTTTATCTCTTTATACGACTGTCGTTACCAACCATTTAAATGCGTAGACTTCTTAGAACGCAATGAAAAGTTGAAAATACTTTGTTTACTTCCTGTGTTGCGGCGAACACGCCACGAGAGAGGACGAGCTGAAACAACGGGAACATGGTAAAGTAATTTAAAAGTTAGTTGCGAATACTGTAGGCTCTTGTATTTAGAACATTTGGTGCAACAAGTGTTGGATGCTTAAACTCAAACAACTAAACGTTTTCACGGGTTACACAATATTTGAAAAATGTATTTCTTTGTTATAATTATTTTTCTTTATATTTTCAGAGTTTTAAGAGAGTTATTTAAAGATTCTCATCCTCATACAATTCACGACAACTTAACAATGGTCAACCGAAAATAAAACTGTGCATGTTGTAGCCAGGCAACTCTACGGTAAAAAAAATACCGAAAGGAGATTGTCTTTTGTTGCATAGATTGAAATAGACACTACTTCAAGTAACAGGCTCTCTCGTACCTCTCCGCCCTTTGTTCTCGACCCCTGGCGTCCCCTCTCCTCCAGCCTTGTCTCCTTCGCGACTAGAAGCCGGGACTGATCGGCGCGCGCCTAAGGTAAAGGCCGACATGTCCTGGGTCGAGGAGCTGGAAGACAAAAGTCGCTCTGAAGAACTAACGCCACCAAACTCAACAAGGGGAGTCTCGGGCAACCGTCGGAGATCATCGTTCGTCTCTGAAAGTTTCTCGTCCTTATCTTTTTCATCTTCGTTTTTCTCCGGAAACTTTCCGGTGTTGTAAGCCGAGGGTGAGGAGATCTGTCTTTCTGCATGCCGCTTGTCTTTGTCCTCGTCGTCACGTGATTTGTTACTGGTCACGGAGACGGGTAATGACATTTGTTTTTCAGTGTGATGACGACGGAGCGGGCTTCCTGGAGGGTCTGAACCGAAGAGAAAGCGAAGTAAGTTTAAGAACTATAATGATAAATCTAATAAATTGGTAAGATCGCTAGGTTGAAAAATTGAAATTAATAGTTACCTTAACCCACCTCACAACATTCCAAGACTTTAATGTCACGTTACGACAAGGAGGAAGAAGGAAGAAAGGTGGGAGGGAGGGGGGTGGAAGAGAAGAGGTAGAGAGGGGGGGGAAGTAAAGAAGGAGGGAGGGAAGAAAGAAAGAGGGAGTTAATATTTTTAATGCTTTCCAAAAAAAGTGCTTCTTTTAATACGCGCTGCATGCCTACAATGCATTCTCGATGGCTCTCTGACCTAAACTAAAAATTTTGAAGGGCAGAATAATCGCGTTTGACATTTACAGTTAAGTTTACATCAATAGAGAAATATGGATTCCATACGGGAAAACTTTATTTTGAGCCAAGTTTTGTTACCTGATCGAATGGAGGCATCTCCTGGCCCCACAGAAAACGACTCCCCAAATAAGGACGCCACACTGGCCCGTTTTGGAAAACCTTCTCTGGGTCCCTTACAAACGTGATCCTGGGCCTCCAATGTGTTTATCACTACCTGAATGAGATTCTTTGTGTCTCGTTTATGGGAGTCTGCGTGGAAGGGATACTGGAAAGAAAAGAACAACAGAAACAGATCAACGACGAGTCAGCCATGGCATGTAGTGTTATGTTATTTTTTAAGTACGTAACGGTTATCTCCTACGGCCCTTATGGCTCATTACTGTCCCTGTTTCCATTGCAGGAGGCAACTAGAAGCATAGCTACTCATTCGGCGATAACCCTACCCCTACCCCCTCCCCCCCCCGTCCTCCCATTTCATCTGTTCCCTGAGGGTTCCCTGGTAACCATTTGTACCAAGGAATATAGCGAGGCGAGGCTCTGCAACACAAACATATCTTCAAGTCTTTTTTAGTTTACCTTGTACAATATTATAAGACAAGCCATGAGCCATGTCTGACGCATGTCCTGTGGTACTCTCACAAGTGAAAACTCTGGGACATGTGTTCGTTTCTGTGGCTTAGGAGCCGCGCAAAACAATAAAAGTTGCAGAGTGAGGTTGAGAAGTTCACTGCCCCATTCTTGATTTTGATCCAAAACTTGCACAATCCCTGCCATGTAGGCGTGAAAGACTGGGAACAACCTGTAAGAAAAAGGTTAATAAGCGCTTCATAGAAAGGTTGCTACGTGATGATCTAGATAGAATGGTAGTTTTTGAGCTAGATCCTCGTAAAAAGAAGTCCTATCACCGCTCCAACTTAGCCTTCAAAGGGCAGGCATTTTTGTAATAATGGATTTCTTTCGAAAAGTCAACTACTAGTTCAGTAGTGTTTATAGCTGCGAGGATCTCTTATATTCGTTTCTTCACCGCAGTGCACATATATGATTTTCATATATCTACAGTCATTATTCATCACTTGGATGGTTTATTTGGACCCAACTTAATGACCAGCTCCCAGTTGGCTTGTTAGCTAAGTTGGTGGAGCGCTGCACCGGTATCGAAGAGGTCATGGGTTCAAATCCCGTACGGGCCTGAATTTTTTTTCAGGTCTTATTTCAACCACTAGTTCAGTAGTGTTTATGACTGCGAGGATCTCTTATATTCATGAAAATTTTTGTTGTCGCGGTACACGAAACACGAGACCTACGACGAATGTAACTACATCATGAAACAATCGATGTGATGTGATACAAAAAAATTGTACAGAAAATGAATAAAAATTTAAGTCGTGACATCTGTACCTTAATCTTCGCGGATTGCCGGTGAATTCTCCAACCTTGATATCATATCCCATTAGTACACCCAAGTAATGACTCATCTGAACGACCTCATAACTTTCTGTCTTAACAAACTCTGACCGCTCCCTTCCCTTGTTGGCTCCAGGGTAGCTCAGGAAGTCCATGACCAGCGTGACCAGCTGATGGGTGGCTTCAGCCTCCATGCTGCTACTCTCCTGACCTACACCCAGCAGTTGACTGAAGGAGGAGTCAGTGGAGGATACCGACTGACGCGAGATCTCGTTATCCTCCTCCTGAACAGTAGGGAGGTTGGACTGGATGCGACCTCCAAGGAACATACGGTCTGAGATATCGATGGATCCTGACTGATTCACAAAGCCACCTGTCCGCCGCTGTCGGCCGCCACTTGAGGACTTCTTACCTAACAATTTTACGATTCGTATCTCAGAATAAACTCTTGCGATACGCTACCAACTGAGCTGAAGAGAGATTGCTGGCAAATCAAGCCAGATACTCGGTTTATAGGTGACAAAAGTACTGCACACTTCTATGAATAGCAAATGGAAAAATTAATTAATCCACACTGTCACAAAAATGGCTGAGAGACAGAAAATAATAGTTCAAGGCTTGTACCTTTTAGCAGGCAACACACAAAAGAGTTCACGTTTTATCCAGAAAAGGAAGTTGAATGCTGAATCTCTTCAGAAATTATGATATTACCTTCTGTACCCGTTGACACCTTTCTGTTATATGAGATTCTCTCGCCTGGAAAACGAAACGTGTAGCTACAACGAAACGACGAAGAGGTTCGTCGAAGTTGACCCAAGCCGCTGCGAGCCATCAGGGATCTGGTACTGGGTTGAGAACGCAGAACAGTAGCTGGAGAGAAGAAATCAAAAGGAACTAAGTTTGAGTTTCTTACCAAACATAGTTTCCTGAATGCCTGTCCGACCTTACGCCTGTTCACATATATTACACCGCTTACTTATTAAGCATGAAACGTAACAAAGCTTTATCCTGGGTTATCCCTTTCAGGTACTTCTCAGCATATCATGTAGTCTTCATAACAGAACTGCCGGCGATACTTAGACACCTCTATTTAGGAAACAACTCCAGAGGAAACGAAACGCTAGTTCCAAATAAAAAAATCTTCCATAGCCCGCGTATGTTTTGCCTGTTCCCTTCTTCCTTAGTAGATATCTACGCGATTAAACACAAAATAAAATTGTAAACCGACCTTTAAACAAAATAATCGACGACTTGTTCAATGAATAGTTTGACGCAAATTATCCTTCCAAAGGAAAATATGTTTTGGTCCACGAATAGACTTTTCACTTTTCAAATTCTTTAAAAGGATGCAGAGGTATGAGACATTGGTAAGAAAGCTGGAAGAACATTTCATTAACCTTATCAAAAACAAGCCAGTAACAAACCGATTTTTCTTGACGAATCATTCCCTCCATCGACGGACACTTCACTGCTGGGACTCGGTGACATTGTCGTTGTACCAGATGCGTTACGCCCCCTGGGACTCCCCAAGGAAACAAAATCTGCGTTTTCTATCAGTAAATGCTTGAAACGACTGATAAAGAATTTTCCACACAGGGGAGTATGGAGGGGAAGTATTCGGTGTAATATCCGACAAGTGTGGATTAACAGAAGACGGTCCCGAGGCACGGCATCATATTGGTGCTCAATGCACTTGTAGAGGACTTTTAATGAGCAGGCTCTTATGGTGCCTAACATGTAGACGGCCCTTAGATGCACTGGCGTGCAAATGTCCTCAACTGCACCGACTAAATACGTAAAACAATGCGCCAAGGCTGACATGGTTATGTTGTTTGACTTGATGTGTTCTTTTTCGAGGAAACGCGCGATAATGGCCACTTTTTCCACGGCAGAAGACCGTTCTCGCCAATCATCATCGGAGAAAGCGCTCTCGACCTGATCACAGAGTTTTTCAGCTCCAAATGGAAGGCAGATACAGTGAAGGAGAATCTGTACACACAGCTGAGACATCTCTGAGTGTTCGGCTTGTAGAAGCTCCCATATGCTGACAAAGAAATGTGAGATGAAATCAAACGTAGTCGCAGATACCCATACAGAAAAGTTAACGGGCAAGGGGAAAACTAAAACGAACGGATATTCACGCTATTGTAATCAAGAGCAAAGGGATAATTGTGCCAAGCATTGGATCATGCAGTGTATATATTTGAGTATATATCGTAAAAAAATTGGCAGAAATTCATTGTGATAAACACAAGTAACGAATTGTCAATTCGTTTGTCTCACGAAGTAATCACTTCCCAATTGTCTTTCCTATAGCTCGTATAGTGTGATCGTCCGGGTGAGTGTAGTTCTGAAAAGAACTGTTGTTGGTGACTGACGTTTCGACAACCTGTGCGGAAGTCATCTTCAGAGTCAAGATAGATCACACTATACGAACTACTGATACTCCTGGGTTCAAACGATTTACTTTACTGTCTTTCCTATTTTGCCCTACGAGAAGAATTGAAATAATCTATTCAAATTAAACCTGTTTCACCCAAAGTTAACTCAGTTTTATCAACCCTTTAACATCTAAGAGTTACCAGCATCTAATTTCTCCCACCAAAATCACCCCTGAATCAAATTTTCAGGTAAAAAGAATAAAGGAAATGATCACCAACGAAAGAAGCTAAAGATCTTAAGAACAAAGAACTAAAATAAAGAACAATTTCTCTTTATCAGCCCCTTGGGGAATGTATACAAAACAGTATGGAGAATACGCATACTGATGTTCGGGTGTAAAGGGTTGATATGTTCAGTTTACACACAATAAACTCTGAAAAATGTAAGAAACAGTCCAAAATGAAGAATACGAGGAACGATTATCGATATTTAGGACGTCTCCAACAAGTGTGATTTCATGTCGTGATCAAACAAGATCGTAGCCCAACTCTTAAATAATACTCATGGTATATAGAATCACTCTCACGCTAGTGTCTTACTTTGGAATAAAGAATATCTCTTGTAAATAAGCCAGGAATTCTGAATCGGCATCCATGGCGATCCGCAAGTAATCACCGCGCAGCACCAACACTTTAAGGCACCTCAAAATACTTAGCTGGACATTATGGTCTTCTTGGCGGGGGAGCTCCTATAGGAGGGACACAGAAACAAGTTACAAAAGTGCACCCACTTGGTTTAGCCTCATTAGGCCTAATTAACATTGCTTAATTAACTCCCCTTAAGAAGCCATGTTAGGTCACACGGGGCTTTATCAGAAATGGAAAACCAGAGAGAAGAGGTTAGAAAACGGCGAGTATCGAGAACTTTTACTGAAAAGCGAGGAAAAACAGAGAATGGCGAAATACTTGGCCACATCACGCTTGGGGAGCCTAAAAAACCTCATACCTAAGAGAAAATGCGGCGAACGAAGTTGATCTCTAATAGCTGTCACTTATTTTAAAAAGACCATAAAGATGTATTGGATTTTAAAAGTCTCACATCTACAAGGTCAATTGGTATTTAGCGGTTACGGTTTCCATGGGGGGCAGAAAATTGAAGTAAAAGAATATACACCCACGGGGAAACGACGGCGACCGACGACGAAAATTCGATCTATGTCTCATGCCATATCAGAGAATCGAAGTTGGGGCACAATAGTGGAAGACATTCACTCTTACCTCTGCGCCAAGCCTCCTACCCTGCTTATTTGAGTGCAAAAATTCAACAAAGAAATACTACATAGATCGCCGTAGAGATTTCCGAAAATGCCGTTAAAAACATACTAGGTAAATTGAGATAAGTGCTGCAAATGGACGTTTACCTTAAGAAAACCTAGCAACAAATTCAGTTGAGGAAAAGTCTCGCAGACCATGCCCCAGTTGCTGGTACTTGTTGCACTTCTCCACGAGCCAATGCCAGCCGACATACTGCGCATGGCCGCAAAGGAGATGACGTTTTCGTTCAACTCTGATGGCGAGTCAGCCTCACTGAGAACACTTGCGGGCTCAGGATCATTGTCACCTTGGCAACTGTCTGTGACGTCAGAAACGTCTCGCTTAGTTTCAGTAAACACTTCCTCTTCGATTGTTTCCACTTGACTTTTGTTTGATGCTGGAAATGAACGACGAGTTTTTAATAATAACAAAGAGAGCTCAAACATTAAAACTTTAAAACACTCTTCAAGTAAAATTACAATGAGTAAATTTGCGCATGTCAAATTAGGAGTGTTGTTAAACGAGAACCAAAATAATCGCACCGGAACAAACAGCAAGAGTAAACTTAAAGTATTGTAAGGATTAACCCTTAAACCTGTAAGAGAGACCAGCATCTAATTTCTCCTTACAATATCATCCCCGAATCAAACATTAAGGTCACGAGAATAAATGAAAATGATCACCAACTAAAGAAGCTCTTGATTGTTAAACAAATTCTCCTTGTCAGAACCTTAGGAAATGTATAGAGAACAGTATGGAGAATATGCATACTGATGTTAGGGTGTGAAGGATTCGATCAGAAACCAAAATAAATAGAGTAAGGTCCTAAGCGCGGACAAGTGGACGACCGAGTATTGAGACTGGTTTTAGTCTTGCACCTGATTGGGTAAGAAGAGGGAGCAACAAATCATAGCAAAAACCAGTATAAACCAGGTTTTCTCTCGATGTTAATGGTGCTATTCGATTGAGTTTCGTGAAACCAAAACCAAAGTTATCACAACGGCCAATCACAAGACAGGAAAAATAACCCTAACAGTCAATAAGAACTCAAAGTAAAAACCAGCAGACTGCCTGAGGCGCGGGAGAATGGTAACGACCAAGTCGTAACAGGTTTTAGTTCTGTACACGGATTGGTTGAGAGAGAGTGGCACGAATATTTCCGTAAACAATTACAGAGCAAATTACGCAAACAAAAGAAACAAAGAAATTCTGAATTACTTACGACACTGAATTGAAAATTGCTCCAATATATAAGAAGCACTCTTTGGACTTACTCAGACTCCTATTGGATATTCCTTTATTACTGGACGCACTAGATCTAAACAGTCCACCATATGCCACGTGACTTGGCACGTCCTCTTCAGGTAACGCGACTCCTTCAGGGAACACAGTCTGCAGCAACATGTGCGCAAGCTTGAACCATATGTCAGTCATGTTACACATGTCACACACAGTTGAGTGGTCGCCATGGCTACCAGCCCACGACATGTCCAGCATGCACTCCAAAAGCTTTCTTATGTGTTCTCTTTCGGTGCTGTTAGGGACATGTTTGTCGCGAATAAATTGAATGTTGACCTGTGAAACAAATACAACAATAATTCGTGCTACCTTTATTCATGAGTTCGCCTCTCATGCAAAGTAATAAATGCAGAATCTTTTGGACGGTCTAATGAAAAACGTCAACGAATTTTCATCAAGTTCGTTTGTGCCACACACTTTCTAAAAAAAGTGCGAACCATGATTCTTGTCAGATACAACACGCGAATCTGAGGCAAACTTTTCCGGGGCCAATTTCTGTAGACTCTCTACAGCTCGCAATGTACTTAAGTCGCACATCTACTACTGGCACCGAGCATCGTTTCAAACCTTTGCTTAACATACCTGTTTAACCAGTAAATCTAGTTCCATGATGAAACAGGACAAGTTTGAACTTAGCTCGCCTAGTTCTGACAACACACCACTGACCGGTGTTGAAATAAGCGAGCCCTCGGCGGTTGGAGTCATCGGTGACTGCACGGTGAAAGTCGGAAAAGGAAACATGGTGGTTACTCCTTCAGAGAATTCTGATGAGTTTTGAACAACCTTGATAAAGATACTGAGCAGCATGTCCAGTGGAATGATTATATCCAATTGAGACAGAATCTGTGAAAGCAAATAATAAACACCTTATAACAATACCATACAATAGCAGTCAGTTTCACTCCAGAGAACTAAGTATCTATTCTCTGCACCGTCTGTCATAGACGTCTGTCATAGTCTTATAATTTTAGCTCTGATAATTCAATTCAAAATAAAACACTACCCCTTCGTCGATTATTTTTTTCCCTCTCGTTATCTTACTGCTTCAAAATGTATTTTGATGTTTTTATGAGAAATTTCCTTTTGAGTCATTCGCTGGAGTGAAATGGTTTTAATGCGCTGGTTTTGTTGATCGACGTTTTAGCAACTCGACCGACTATTGTCTCAGGTGTTGAATAAAAACGCAGTCGAAGGACTTTAAGTCTGGAAAGTTTTATATTTTTATTCTTAAATGAGGTCATGACTATTTTCCAGATCAACCTTACAGCAATTTTCCGCCTCTTATCATAATGTTGTGCCCTCAGTGAATTTAATTAATTGAAACAAAAAAATTAAAATTTATTTACCTGCAGCCATGAGAGTGCCTCAACCTGATGGCGAGGTACAGCAGACTCAAGAGCTTTCTTTATGAAACCCAGAGTAGTTTCCGGCGTCAACTCATGCGGTGTCAGCAAAGGGTCGAAGATTTTCCTGAGGAGGAAAACATTAAAATAGAAGCGATAAACTGAAAATGGGAACAAATAAAAGCTACAACCGTGTTACTAACTGAATCAAGCCATTTTTCTTCCCAAAGAGACTTTGGTCTACTTCGGCAGGTACGTGTTTTCTTGATACCTTTGATGGTAAAACGTATATTATAAACTTTTCTCCTTTATTTAGTGTAATAACCTCATGTAATGTACTGATTAAACCATAATACAGTACATGGTTCGAACCCGAGATTTCCATTTGATAGGAAGTTTGTTCTGAATGCCACTCAGGTTTTCGAAAAGTCAGTCAGTTCTGCCGAAAACAATCCTCCTCAGGAGTACATTCACCCGGACGATCAGACTACAAGGTCAGATTAAAACACAAATTCGAGACCGAGGCTTTCCTTGTAGACAATGATGAAAAATGACTGCTTTGTACTTGCTATCAATTTTGTTTTCCCCATTATGGACAAAGTCCCAGGCCCAGCTTGTTGGGTAAACTCACGTTAACAACACTTTAAACCTTGCCAATTCTTCGGGCTGAACATCTGCCTTGATCGCTTCCATCCACTGAGGCATAATAACATCCCAAACCTGAGGACAACAACGATAACAAAACATTTCAAGTATGGTACAACGCCCTTCTGAAAGCAGCGACGGGCTAAGGCTGATAAAGAACCACAGGCAATAAGAGTCGCTGCTTACTACGCACCTCGCGGGTTACAATATTGTGGGGTATCGCACAGCACAGGCGATGAAGTCCCTCCATGTGCTGTCGTTCCTTACTGGACATTGTATCCCAGCATCCTCCAACCTTCACATATCCAGGAGGATCAGGGGACAGGCATGCGCACAACAGATCGAACTTGTTATCTCGAACTTGAGTGAGCCATCGACAGACATACTGACTAGTAAGCCTTTTCAACAATTCGCCGACGTAATCTCGTCTTAAAGTTGAGGCTGTCTCTATCCATGACAGCACCATGGAAACCAGTCGGCCCAGTCTTTCCACAGATTCACACCTGGCCGGTTCACTGCATACTCCGACCAGAAGCCACACACCCAATCTACTCAGCATACGCCGGTTGTTTATATCATTGTCTACATCGTCTTCAATTTCCTCCTCCTCGAGTTTACTCCTTACTAGTCTGGGAAAAAAGAAATTTCAAATTTCTTGTAAAAACACGAGTGTATTGTTGTTTTCTTCCTCCAGATTCAATCCAGCAAAGAACGATTTCAAAGGCCCCATAATCAGATACTTTATCAAAACACACACACAAGAAAAATACTTAAGATTGAAAAATGCTCAGTAAAGCTCAGCGTCTAAGTGTATCACGGTACAGACCATTGGTGTAACTTGATTTGTGGTTTGGAATGAACACGAAAACATTTTCTATTTAATCATTGAACGGGGTGAAGCCTAGCAGGTAAGTATAACACTGTAATTGCACTTTGAAACCAACAAACAACGACCACCCTTGTCCAACCATCAGTTCTCTCTTGTGCTGAAATCTTATTTAATTGTTACAATGTTTCACGTACCCCATGGCCTCATTCCTTGTTTTCTGACAAGGCTGTGCTTCTCCCAACAGGCGAATGACTGCCTCAGAGGGATAGGCTTGGTCTGGGCCTTGTAGAGTCCAAGGATCTGGGAAAAGATTCTGTGTCACATGGTGATACCCCTCACCATTGCTGTGATAACGGGCGTGGCACTCCTGACACATTGTCAAAGGTCTTAATCTGCAAGCAATAATGAAAACAATCAGAATGTCACACCACTTTTTCATAATACATCTATCGATGAAAAAAAAAACAAACAAACAGCAATCTCAGTCAGAGGTTACAAAATCAGTGTTGAGAGGCTACTCAACGTCATCTAGGCTTTGGTAAATATGTAAAATAACAAAAAACACCTTCTCCAAATCTGAATAAAAAGTAGCACAGGCCACCAAAATTCTGCATAGTATCTGGAGAATTTTATGATATCTTATGTATCCACTGAGTGAGTGGGAGGGCCGAACACGAGAACATTTGGCTCGTGGTCATGTCGAACGCACCGAGTGCAGTGAGGTCAGTACATCTATAATGAGAGCCCAATATTTTTCCGTCAGGTTTGACCAAAGTAAGTCTATAAGTGTTTTATCGTATGACCTTTAAGTCTTCAACATTTTGAAATTATGTTTGAACTTTAACAAGACGTTATTACATAAGTATACACAAGAAAAGCACGCACTGGACAACTCTGAAAATGATTCTACAAAGAAAAGTGTTCCTTTCTTTCTTTGAGTCACAGTGACAAGAAACTCTGACAAATATTTGTTGTAAAACGAGACTTAAAATCCCATTTCTGCTTCATTTAAAGTTTAAGTTCACAGTTATAGTTCCCATTCTGAGAAAATGATACAGAGCCGTGTGATTGCGTGCCTGGCAGCTTTTTCCAGACCGGCTCTTGTCAACCCATCCAGCTCTACACATGTCAGCTTTCATCGTGGTTTTCTTTTAGATTATGCGAACGAGTTAGTATAGTTCAGATGATAAAATGCGAACGAGTCAGTATAGTTCAGATGATAAAATGCGAACGAGTCAGTATAGTTCAGATGATAAAATGCGAACGAGTCAGTATAGTTCAGATGATAAAATGTGAACGAGTCAGTATAGTTCAGATGATAAAATGCGAACGAGTCAGTATAGTTCAAATGATAAAATGCGAACGAGTCAGTATAGTTCAGATGATAAAATGCGAACGAGTCAGTATAGTTCAAATGATAAAATGCGAACGAGTCAGTATAGTTCAGATGATAAAATGCGAACGAGTCAGTATAGTTCAGATGATAAAATGCGAACGAGTCAGTATAGTTCAGATGATAAAATGTGAACGAGTCAGTATAGTTCAGATGATAAAATGTGAACGAGTCAGTATAGTTCAGATGATAAAATGTGAACAAGTCAGTATAGTTCAGATGATAAAATGTGAACAAGTCAGTATAGTTCAGATGATAAAATGTGAACAAGTCAGTATAGTTCAAATGATAAAATGCGAACGAGTCAGTATAGTTCAGATGATAAAATGTGAACAAGTCAGTATAGTTCAGATGATAAAATGTGAACAAGTCAGTATAGTTCAGATGATAAAATGTGAACAAGTCAGTATAGTTCAGATGATAAAATGTGAACAAGTCAGTATAGTTCAGATGATAAAATGTGAACAAGTCAGTATAGTTCAGATGATAAAATGTGAACAAGTCAGTATAGTTCAGATGATAAAATGTGAACAAGTCAGTATAGTTCAGATGATAAAATGTGAACAAGTCAGTATAGTTCAGATGATAAAATGTGAACAAGTCAGTATAGTTCAGATGATAAAATGTGAACGAGTTAGTATAGTTCAGATGATAAAATGCGAACGAGTCAGTATAGTTCAGACGATAAAATGCGAACGAGTCAGTATAGTTCAGATGATAAAATGCGAACGAGTCAGTATAGTTCAGATGATAAAATGCGAACGAGTCAGTATAGTTCAGATGATAAAATGTGAACGAGTCAGTATAGTTCAGATGATAAAATGCGAACGAGTCAGTATAGTTCAGATGATAAAATGCGAACGAGTCAGTATAGTTCAGATGATAAAATGTGAACAAGTCAGTATAGTTCAGATGATAAAATGTGAAAAGTTCAGATGATAAAATCAACATGATAAAATGATAAAATGAAACAAGTCATATAGTTCAGATGATAAAATGTGAACGAGTCAGTATAGTTCAGATGATAAAATGCGAACGAGTCAGTATAGTTCAGATGATAAAATGCGAACGAGTCAGTATAGTTCAGATGATAAAATGTGAACAAGTCAGTATAGTTCAGATGATAAAATGTGAACGAGTCAGTATAGTTCAGATGATAAAATGTGAACAAGTCAGTAGTTCAGAGTTAAAATGAACAATAAAATGATAAAATGAACAAGTCAGTATAGTTCAGATGATAAAATGCGAACGAGTCAGTATAGTTCAGATGATAAAATGTGAACAAGTCAGTATAGTTCAGATGATAAAATGTGAACGAGTCAGTATAGTTCAGATGATAAAATGCGAACGAGTCAGTATAGTTCAGATGATAAAATGTGAACGAGTCAGTATAGTTCAGATGATAAAATGCCTAACGAACATTGCTGTTAAAAACTTGCTCAAAGTTGCCATTTTTCCCCCTTTTTAAAATCATGGTTGAAATCCTTGAAGGAGGGAAAAACCTCTAAGATCTACCTGTTATCTTTGACGCAGCCGTAAGAAAAACACATAACACTGCACGGCTTTCCTTGCCCTTTGCACTCCTTTGTTTCACAAGTTGTACGCATCTTTCCCATTGGCTGGATAATCTTTACCAAAAGCTTATCTTCAGGGATGTCACGAGCAGCCACCTCGGCACATTTCTGGCAGATAAATACTGGAGGAGAACAGCCGCACTGTGATGAGGCAAACGAGGCATCCAAGCAAATAGTGGTTGGTGTATTTTTTCGAGGTACCGCGCACTCCTGGTTTTGACAATTTGGTGGTTGCCAGGGTTCGTAGACAAACTGCCAGTCATCAGCTCCTCCTAGGAAGGACATCATTGGCAAAGTTATGCGATTGACAACTATGCTCAAGATAGAAAACTAGTTCAGATCTCAAACAACAAGGAATGCTAGCACAATGTTCCATTCCCATTTTCTACACTTTTCATCATGATCCCTTTCACCTTTGGTTTGATCGCCAGTCCTTTTGGAATTTCCAGTTTTTCTAGTTTTGTCTGGTTATCAACGACCTGATATTACCTTTAACTCACATATAGGGTGGGATATTTTCTGAAAAAACACCTTCCGAACTGACAGCAGTTGAGCAGAAAGCCACTCAAACCAGATTGACCCAAAAAGAAAATACGAATGATTGATTTTTCATTGTCAGTGACTGTAATAATTCAATACCTATACCATTATTGCTTTTTATCAAAGTTCCTAACATTTATTCTGAAATATAGAATTTTTTAAATCAAGATGCCGATTTCAAGAGTTTCAGCAGCACTCAAACAACTTTTTCCTTTATTGCTGATGCACAAATTGGCTCACTGTCCTCTTACCACTGAGATCAACAATTTTCCAAAGTTTTGTAAACCTCTGAACATTTTCATTTGATTGTATTACCTTCAAAAGAAAGGTTTAGTGCACAATTGTACCATGAAGTTAAGTTAGCAGATCTCCAGTCTCAATGACACTACGAACAACTTTCCCTCAAAATTCTGAGGGATCAAAACCTGAGAAAGTTCAGTCCAATCATTGCCATAAGCCTTACCAACATCCTTAAGTGGATAATAGTAAAGTAGGACCTGTCCAGCAGAGTTAATGATTGGCTGAGGACCATAGGCCAGCACAGCTAGGATATCCAAACAGACATCACTCTTAAATCTCATCAGTGTTTCAACAAATTGTGCATGCTGTTTACAGTCAGGACAGTACTGTAAGATTGACATGATAAGGGCAGGGCAGCTGAGGGATGCATAACAAAGTCCATCTTCATCTGGCTCTAAGACATCTTTGGAAAAAAAAAAAGAAAAAGAAAGAAAGAAAGAATACTGAAAATTTTATTTAAACACAAATTTTGTACAGTGATTTTTTTTAATTGTGCAACAAGCATTTGGAGTTGGAGATTGTGTAATGTTGTGTGAACACATTTTATGAATTAAAATATTGTTTCATTTGTGACACACTACTAAAAAAAACTGTCAGAGAGAACAAAAAATATAATTCTTAGTTTCTAGCAACATGGATTAAAAGTAAACTTTATCTTTTAGTGAATTTAGGAAACATGGTTGTGTTGGCTTTGTGGACCTAATATAAAGAGTCCAAATAACATGAAAACCTTTGAAAAATAATTAACTAACAGTACCAAAGCCAAAATAGTAATACCTACAAGTATTGGTAGTTAGAAAAAATGTGGATTTTAATTTTTAACTTTTAGGACCATCAAGATTCTTATGCTGTAGAAATTCTAATTCTAGTGATAATCAACCAAAAACATCTGATTGCCATTATCATAACTATTGGTAAACATCTGAAGACAAAATTACCCAACAGAATGGGAAGAATGTAACCAGCCAGTAGTTTGATGATGTGGTTGTGAGTTTGTGGAGGCCAGATGGAAAGTGTCATTGCTAAACCCATCGGCATTGCATTGAGGTCTTCCTTCTTTAAGAAAGGAACCAACGATGCCATGATGGACAACACGCTGTCAGCAAAAGCTGATGAAGGAGGAAAAGAAAACCATTGAGCTACTAATGAGAGTATTACTAAATGGTTTTAACCCCTGACTAACAGTTGGTTAAGTGGTCGGATTGACAGAGTAATCTTAAATTGGACCACCATCAATGGTAGTGAGTAACATCTGGTGAGCCTAGTTTGCAAAAACTAATCAGTCAATGAGGTTATTGGCTGTATGACTAACCTCTTGAGTCTTACAGCCAATAAAATCAAATAATGACTGACCAATCAGATTTTTCTCACCAGACTTATAACACTTGACTATTACAAAACTCCTAACTTGAATCTGATGGTGACTTTGGGTCAGGTTGTCCCATTGTTACTTACTGTTGTCCACAACAGTTTTTTCAGGACTGCTCCCTAATGCACAGTCACACCAAAAGTTCATTTCTAATCATCGAATGGCTCGAATAAACTAGGCCAAGATTTTCAAATGAAAACTAAGGGGATTAACCAATTACTTTCTTTTGGATTCATCATTTTTTTTCTGTGAGAACTTACTGTATAGATTACCTTTTAAAATGATCAGACAAACTGAAAGATTAGGATCATATATACCTCACACTTTTTTGGCTAAAACACAAATTATCCACTTTGTCTAAACACGTACCTTCAACTCCAATCTCTACCACTGGAACAACGTTCACAATTTTTTCCAGAGCTTTGTAAAGTCCTGTATAGTCCATACTGGGGTATTGATGACGATCAAATGAACGCTTATCTTCTGTCAATATAGGGCGGGTCTCTTTCACCAAACTGAAGACAAACAGTTGAAATATTTACATTGTCTTTCTGTTACTAAAATAAATTTAAGTCGTATATTCCCAATCTAGCATTTCCTTGATTATGACAATTTTTAAACGATAATACAACGTGGTGATACCTTTGCAAAGTTTGCTGAAACCATTTAAGGACGTTGGCAACATCATTTCCTGTGGGTAATGGATATGTTCTTCTGTCCAATCTGTTGAATATTTCTTTCAGGCCATGGACCTTGGCATTGACTGTGGACAGAGGTTAAACATAACTACCAGAGCAGAAGTGGCAACATAACAAATATTCAAGGTTTCTTTGTGGAAGGTGCCTAACACAAACATTCCTCATATTTAAACTCAAATTTCTGCTTGCACCATTATTTTTCCAAAGGTTAACAGCATGATGAGGAAGGCACGCAGGCTCATTTTTGCAATTTGCTCAACAGCTATTACCTGCTGAACAGGATGATCAAGTGTAGTGCAACACCACAAACATCCAACACACTGTATATAAAATAATAATCTAAATTTTCCTCCCTGAGACTGGATGCTGTAGTTTAATATAATCTCGATTCAAATTAAAATAATCGCGTTTTTCTGTTATTGAGGATTATGATAACGTATGTGGAACAAAGGGAAACACTACACATGCTAGGATGGAATCACTATGACCTGAAATTCATTTTAAATACTACAACTTGTAAATTATGCAGGATAGACACTAAATTGTCAGCTTTAAAATAAATATTTCAAACTGGATCTATGTTTGGAGCTGGATGAACGATTCTGTAAAAGTAAAAATTTCACATGCTTTGCCCTTGACTTTACAGCGGTCAATCTATGATCATGAGGAAACCACGAAACAGACCATATACATAGAGTAGCATAAATGCGACATAATAAGCAGATATTCTTTGCATAATTATGCTTTGACGGTAACATCAGTGGCAGTGTTCCTGACACAAATGAGCAACCAGTTAAAAACAATCGGCACAAATGCCATTTAGCACTGCACAACCTTGGTATTTAGCTGATTTATAAACGATACTAACACTGGTCAGCTCTTGTTGACTTAATATGCCTAGACATTATCGTGCCTCCTTGTTCCGCGGATTGTGATGATCAAGAAGAGCTGAAGATAGAAACAGCTGTTAGACCTCTCATATATATGCCGCCATCGCATAGAGGTCGAATGACAAGAGATCATGGTTAATCATGTTCACAGATGAGGTCTTTCTAAGTAATTTTGAGCCGTGTCTTTGCTTCCCATTGAACATAAAAAACCGGCTCTTGTAGCAACTCTAGGAAGGACAATCGCGCTACATACAAGCACAGAAGTACAGGATATAAATTTACATAATGTTCCAAACAATTCTTTACTTTCACCTGATAACAATATGGCTTTTATGTAAATAACAACGAAAAGTCTCTTTAAGAACACTGGCAAAACATCGCCCAAAACAGCTTTTCTATCTTTTTTAAATGGAAAAGAATTATCACTTCTTAAACAATTTGTTTATTTGGTGTATTCATGTCTGATCAAATCCAGCTTTTGCGCAAATTTGCTTACTCGTACTCTGAATAGGACATTATGTGTACCGTACTCGTTATTAACCGAGTAGGAAACTGGTAGCGAATATTTGGCGCGAAAAGTAAAGTGCTGCAGTTTGGCCGTCTTCAAGATATTTTTTACCAAAAGAACTTCTGAAATTCTTATTCCCCGAAGAGTAGTATCTTCTTTTATAATGGTTGAGACGTTGTTTTCTCTAGAGGTACATGTGGAAAGTGTGGAAGATCTTCAAGTAGCATGTAAGTTACCAGCATTGTGCTTTCGTCTGTTGGATTTCCCAACGATGATAATACATCATGTTTCTCCTGTCGACGCCGAGAAATTACGACATAGAATTCGCATGGAAGGCAAAGATTTTGTACTTCATGCTCTAAAAGATCGCTTTGGAAATTTCCAGTTTCGTAAAGGTAAATCTTGCTTATTCAAAGCAAGCATAGACACTCTCCTGGTTCAACTACAAACTGTTCCTTTATATTCAATGTTGATGGATTTGTGGCCGAAAAAGCCCCTACTTGTCGGAAGCTCGTTGATTCCTTTAAAGAAAGCGATAAATGAAATATCTACCGATGTTTACAAGAATGGCGTGGCTGTTCCCTCTTTTTACAGAGATGAGGGTGATTTTAATGTTTACAATCTCATGGGAAGTTCCATAGCGAACGTAAAACTTGGTTTTAGGTTATTGAGTTTGGGAGGGTCACTGATCCCTCACATTCCTACAGAAGCCTTGGGTGAGAGGATTACTGAAAAGATTGAAACGAACGGTGAAGTTGAGGAAGCTGTAAAGGGAGCTTTGGAAAAAGTATTGCCTGAAATTGAATTAGAAGATGAAATTACAGAAAACGGATTCGATACAAAGAGCGAACGTGATGCCAGAACTGTTAAGAAACCTGATGATAGGCAGAGTGTGGAAGTTCAAACAAATCTTCCTGTAAAAACTCTCAAAACTTCTAGAACCGTTGATAGAGGGAGAAAGACAAGCGAGGAAGATGTAGTGATCACCAATACAGTTTGCCCTCCCCCTCTTTTTTATAATTATTGTTCTAATTCCACACCTTCTGGAAGGTTTCACTCAGAGGCTGATGGCAAAGGGATACGACAAAGTTCTTCATTTCATGTAGATCCAAGACACATACAAGCTGTTGATCAAGGTGACATTGCTGATGTGGACTTTTTGTATTATGATCCTGGTATGGTTCAAACAGATGGAACTGCCAATGTTACATCAGTTTCAGTACAAACTGATGATAAATTATTAAAACCACCCTTTGGACAACAGGGTGATACTGTGCAATCTGAATTCGATCTGTATAATCTACAAGGTGTTATGTCCGAAAGTCATTTGCCAATTTTAAACGCATTGCTTCAAGAACTTTCTTGTTTGACAAGAGCAGGTGAAACTCATCCCAGTTCATTAAGTGGGCAATCTCCAAGAATTCTGCCTACTGTTCATAGCAAAAGAGGTCCTTCCGGTCATAAAGGATCACGGAGCGTTCCCAAAGATGAAACATACAGAAAACAAAATGTTCAAGCAGCATCTCTGAAAAGTCTCAAACATCGGTTATTGGTTTGCCAAGACAAAGAGTACGTTTCAAGCAGACAAGTCTCACTTACGGAATGACTAAAACTCAAAAGATGAGACTAGAGATGAATCAAAAGGGGAAATTACCAAACAGAACTAAACCTTCTGAAGAACACAGGGCTTTAACTGAAAAAGATAAGATCAAAAGAGAGCATGAGAAGATGCCTTTGCCAACAGGCAATTTAGAAAAGACATATAAAATAGGCATAGCAAAAAAACAGGCAAAGAGAGATGCAAAGCATACAGCAGATGCACAGGTCCAAACGCAACAGTTATCCACTGAAGTACCACCTAATGAAGAAAGTGGGATTCCTGTAACCACATGGGTGGTGAAAGAGAGCTCTGCATTAATTGATACTGAGCCAACTCTTCCCAATACTGACAGTGCAAGGAGCGTAAAGAGTCAAAATAGTCTGGAAATTTTCATCCCTCAGGTTGAAGGTATGTAAACTAAATGTAACAGAGATTACAAACTACTGTTTTTCTGAGGCAGCCTTTGGGTAAGTCTCTAACATACTCAAATACATCAGAGAGAAGTTCAAGATGAGCACAACAGATAGTTATTTTGTTTGGCAAAGTCAAACTTAATATTTGGGAGACAAGACAAAATGTGTTTCTACAGTGCCTTTCTATAAATTAACCTTCTACACTCTGACAACAGTATGCATATTCTCCATACTGTTCTCTATTCATTTCCTAATGTGCTGACAAGGAGAATTTGTTTAACAATCAAGAGCTTCTTTAGTTTGTGATCATTTTCTTTATTCTTGTGACCCTCATGGGTGATTCAGGGGAGACATTTTAAGAAGAAATTAGATGCTGGTTACTCTTTGGAGTCAAAGTGAGTGACTCCATTTCAATTATAGCTGCCCAGCATTATTTTTTATTCTGTTTCAGCCACTGATAACATTATTTTGATTTCAGGAGAATCAGAAGAGAGAAGTGATCAGGAAAAGGAATGGACCACTGATCAGGCTACAGTTGGCTTTTATGGTAACACAGGGATCTTAGGTGCAGAGCTGGATGGTGTGCAAGGAAGCTCTGCCATGACCATGTACACAGAGGACTTTCAAGATTCTGGAACAGAGGGGTCGCATGCATCATACCACTTAGCTTTCACAAAGAGTAGCAGTGTTGAAGATGAAAATCTGAGGCAGAGATCAAATTCTGACATTTCATCTACCAGTCAAATGTCTCAAGGTATTTCTGCAGCATCAGGAAAACCAGTCCTGTCATCTCATTCTCCAGTGAAAGCAAAATCCAAGAGGATACAAGGGAGGAGGAAGGGGGAAGCTGCAGTGGATGTGAAACAGAAAGTGACAACATCAGAACAAGATTCTGTTGCTCAGATATCTAACCTAGCCAAAAGTTCTTCTAGTTCATCCAAAAATTCTGATGAAAGAAGTGAAGCAAGTTATTCTGATGACTTCCACTCTGTTGGCTCAGAACCTGAAAAACAGAACTCCCAATCTTTATCTGATGATAGTATTGATGACAACTCTCAGCACACAAAGCTTAATCTTCCGCCTCCAGCAAGTAATCTGGGATATACTTATTAATCATGTCAACTGTCTTTGATCATTGCAATTGATAACCCTTTTACTCCAAAGATTAAGTCATGTCTCATTTCTTCTTTGTATGTATGCAGTTTGGCAACAAGTATTAATTTTTAATACTTAAAATAACTTAAAAGCTCTACCCCTTGGACTTTTAGCTCAAACATAAGACAAGGTTAGGAATGCTGTGCTCCAAGCTGCAACTCCTTTGGCTATCAGGTGACTGAGTTGAAGAAAAGTTTGGTTACTAAATTGGCAGAGAAAAACAGATTTTTGACTTGTGTTTGGTGATCTTTTCACAATGCATTAACATTGTTTTTTATTTTTTTATTTTTTCACACTTGCTGAGAGAAGTGTGTAAGAGTGAGGTGTTAGCAGGATAAAGTAGGGTAGTCACATTGATAATCACCATTTTACTCCGTGTTTCTGGGTGTTTCTTGACAATTTCCCACAAGTTTTATCCTACCCCTATGATTTTAACTTTGGTGACCTCTCAATGGTTTTAGGGTTGCCAGTTTAAAAGATTTTATCTTGGAGCCCTTGGTGCACGGGGGAATGTTTTGTCATGGGAGGCTTTCCCAAAAGGCAATAAGTTTTAGAAAAAGATTGATTTGAAAGGGGAATCTCCACAAGGGAAGGGACAGGTTCAGGTCAGAAACCCTTCTCATTGGGAGGAACGAGTGAGAGTTACACAAACAACATATTTGACCTGATATTTGCTTGAACAACTTTATTTTGAGGTCTAGAGAAGTTGTGACAAGTATGAATGAACATTGTCAGTTATGTGTATTTATTTAACAATAGAACTCTTTTACTGATTTTACAGGAGTAATTTATCTCATGATTGTGTGGATACGATGCTGTGGTTGGAACAATAATGCACATCCCCACTATCCAACTTTTGTAAAAAATTAAGTTCAAGACAGCACAGCCCTCAAAGAAAAATAAAACACTCAATCAAGTCTAGACTATTCATGTTTAAGTTAGGAAAGGTTAACAAGGAAAAAGACAGTATTACTTAATACCTTGTAACAAAGTCTCTATTTACAGTGAATTTTCATCTCAATGGGTTCCAAGTTCCAAACTCACTTTCAAATTTAGGCTGAGTGCACAAACTTTCTTATAAAAGTGAGTTTTAATAGTTTGTCTACAAGAATCATTTTTAATTTTTTTTAGTGGTCTCTATTGAACTTAAACAAACAAACAGAAGCCATATTGTCTAAATTGTCTATTTCCAGCTTCATCTAATGTGGTAACAGAAAAGGCAATTACCAAGGATAAACTGATGTCCATTGAAGAATAAAGAAAGTCTCCATGTACATCTTACTTTTTAAAGTTACTAGTAAGTGACAGAGACTGAACCATGTAAAACTCTTCATGTGATTTCTAAACTCTCTCTAACTTGTATTCCTGAGCATTATTCAAATGAGTCACTGAACAATTTCAACCCTTTGCAAAACTGTGCTCTAACAAAGTATATTTCAGGTTACATGCTCCAGCCTCTTGATCTTTGATCTTCAATAATGTGGTCTTTTTGCACGTTACCTGCTAACAGAGTTGTTTTGTGATCAATATGACTCTGCCAACAAGGTAATATGTTTGTACGTTTTACCATCAAAAAATTGAAGAAATAATTAATACACAAATTGAGTTATGATTTCATTGGCAGTAGTAATTCTAACCCAAATTTACACAACTGAAGAATGATAGTTAGAGAAAAGTCTGAGGTGGTTAAAACATAGCCTGTTCCATGCTCTTAGTCTGCAAAGAGTGGTAAAACAGCTGGAAAGCAATAGACTGTAAATTCAATAGTTAGGGAAATGGCTATTGTTTTCTTAGTTTGAACTTTCCCATTTCTATGCCCACCTGCTCTTTCCGTCATTCCATCTGAGCTTAGAATAAGCTAGTTTTAATTACACACCTCTTATTAAGCCTAAGTAAGCAGAAATCTCTCTCTACAAGCTCATGAAGAATCCAAGAAAGTTGTAAAAATTCTCATAAATAGGGAGCACCACAGCCTAATAGTTAGTGCAGAAGACTTTGAATCAAGAGTATGGAGTCTAAGTCCTGGTGCCATCCTTATGTTTGAGATCTTAAACATGACACTTTGCTGTCACAGTACCCCTCTCCAACCACAAAAGTTATGGCAAACTGTTGGGAAGAATTCAGGAACTGCCTGGGATGCTTGCAATGATCTGGAATTCCATTCAGTAAGGGTGGCAAGACTCATACATGCTCCATGTTATGGAGACCAAGTTGAGTCCACTTCAGCATATTTCTTCTCACTCTGAGCTCAGTTTGTTTAATTTGTGGTAAAATTTACACCCTAGCAATAGTTTTTAAAGAGAATAGAAACTCCTTTGTCAACTCAACACTATAGGTGAGGTTGCTGTCCTTTCCATGGTATGTGCTTTGTCGAGTAAGTCATGTACATACTTTGCAAAGTCAACAGGAAATGATGGTGCTCCTTCATATCCTAACAATAAGATAAAAAGATCTCTCAGGAAGCAAAATTAACAATATATTGTTCACAAGAATTATGGCCCCAAATACTCTGAATGTATGATGTGGTAAATTGTAACAAAAACACAGACTCACCTGGAAAGTAATTGATATCAATAACAACATGGTGCCCTGTGCCTTTCTCCACAACAATGTCAATGCCAAACATTGTTAAATTCTGTTTAAAGAAAATAGACCACATTTTCATTAAATTTTTCCTGGAAAGACACAAAATCACTGACTTCACTTTATAAGTTGAAATCAGCAAAATCATATGATATAATCAATTCTGCCAAGTTAACCAGGATGCACAACTGTCTATACATGTGCCTTTTTTCAAAGAAACTGCCAATACAAGAAAGAAGTTTCAATCCTGGTGAAGAAATTTAGCTCAGGTTGAAAATTTTCCTTTTTGGTGCCTGGCCTTAAATGTTCAGCTCTGCAGAACAGACTGAAAATGGCTACCTGGCTACCAGTGTTTCAACCAGGGTTGATACATGAACTTAAAAATAATAATAACAATAATAATAATAATAATAATAATAATAATAATAATAATAATAGCAATAATAATAATAATAATAATAATAACAATAATAATAACAATATAGTTAAGAGAGAAAACTGATGTAAGGCTGGATAACAGGGGCAAACAACAAAAACAGTGACAACACCAAAAATATTTATTTTTGTGATCTCGACTCATTTTTATGGTTGGACTCTCTCTCGAGGATGGCTGGTGCTAGCCTAGGTGATCCAGTAAAAGAAACAAAACCCCAACAAAATATCTTCACAAGCGCAGTTTTCAGTTCAAGGCACATTCACTCCTCACTTGTGGGAATTATAAATTAATGAAGCTGGGTGAACTTGTGTTTTAACTTGCAGAAGCCTAATCCCACTCAGCAAAAATCCTTCACAAGTTTACCAGAAGGGAAGTATGAGACAACAAGCTTGGTTGCTGGTAATTTGGCATTCCCCCATAAAGCTATATCTGTGACTGTGATAAGAACACTTACCAATTTTGGTTGAAGTTTTCTGACAAGTTTTAAAACTAAGTTTTCATCCAGCCCTATACTGTTTGTGCTATCACTATCATCATTGTCAAGCTGTACATGAACAGTCAACATGAAAAACAAAGATTCAGTTTGCCAGTGAAATAAATACTGCAGTAATGATTATACAATACTACAACCTGGGTTAGTACAATTACGCTTCGCAGATGATTTTTCAGCATCAGTTGCTTTGTTAAGTTGGGGTATTCAGTTGGTCTTGTTTGTTATTTCAATGTCATGGACAAGTCATCAGTGCCAGTAATCACTGATTTGTGTTAAGAGGAGTATGTTCTAAGTTAGTGAACCTATTTTCAATTTTCAGTAACTGAAAAAAATTATAGCGACCCATAGATGAGGCCTAAAGTAGAGTCCCAGTCAATATAGAAATTTTTGGGAGTAACAAGTATTGTTGTCTGACTGTCACAGGGCTCATATCAGAATTTTTAAGACATATTACATGAGACATGCCCAGTATTGCATCTACACTGTACAGCTGTACCTCACTAAGATAAGATCCTGAGTCAGGTTTGGAAACATCATGTGATGAAAAGAATATTGTTTTCATCTCTTTTGCTGATGAAAGAAAAAACAGACATTGTTGTCATTTGTTGAAAGCTCAAAAACTAGTTCCTTGTCTGCATTACAGTTACTTCAATCAACCACTGTATTCTATTCTAGTCGGCACTTCAAAGTGAAATTTTAAGATAACTGGAGACAATTTCAAATCAACTAATTTCTTTTCCCGAATAATTCTGAAGGACAGACTTAAATCAATCTTCTCTGATAAAAAAACATTCATGTTTTGTCTCTCATTGAAGTATTTTTAATCAAAACACAACATAATGAAAAATTTAAGTGATAAAATGTTTTCAATTGATTTCTTGGGAGGTTGTAATAAGATCAGTTAACAGTACAGTTATAGATTTTTAACCCTTTAACATCTAAGAGTGACTAGCATCTAATTTTTCCTTACAATATCATCCCTGAATCAAACATGAAAATCATGAGAATAGAGGAGATGATCACCAACTAAAATAGCTCTTGATTGTCAAACAAATTCTCCTTGTCAGCCTCTTTGGAAATGTATGGAGAACAGAATGGATAATTTGCATATTGATGTTAGGGTGTAGAAGATTACGACATTTCTAAAATTTATAGCAGAGCTCACAGAGTGTAGCCCCATAATTATACAAAATAGTAGTAACCCATTGAGCTGAAAAAATTTGGACATACAATCATACGACCAACCGTACAAAGTGCTACTTTTAGCATGCGCAGCCAACTGTATCAACTGTACGGGCACTATCTTATAATCAGTCCTCTACACAGACACAGAGAAGTTGCCAATGAAAATCCATTAATATTACCATGGACTTTATCCATAGTAGGGGCTTTAGTTTTGTTCAAGAGACATGTTGGAAAAAAAAAAAAGTGAGCTCCGCTTTTAGGCTTGCCTAAATCTATATATTACTCTACAATCAAGAATGCTCCGCATATCCCAAATACAAGGCAGCTAAACACAATTCATCTAACTTACTTGTGGTCTTGTAAAAATTCTTAATTGATGGTCTCTCTACGATGTAATGCTTATCTCCTGCCACAAATACCTGTTAATGGGGCATATAATAAGATAATTACCAAGGGGACAGGGGGACAAAAAGACTTTTTGTGATTGAATGAAAGGCAACACAGATGAAAATATCTTGATCCCAAAAGAAATGAAGTAAAAATAATCTCACATTGTCAATCTCCTTTGACTGCCTCATATAAATTGACAGATAGCACTGGAGTGCATTGCCTCGATTCAGTTGCATACATTACAACTTACTTACCTTAAATAAAACAGCATCATGATTTACAAATTGTTGAACAACACATGGAGCCTGTGTCAGGTCCTGCAGTCCTTCCTCATTAAAGATTAATGCCATCTGAAATGCAAGACAAAAATGATTACAGTTAACAATAACTTTCTCTACAGTTGGAAAAAAGTTGACAAACACAATTTCCTGTCCATCCATATACATCTATAACTAAATTCCTTCATTGTCTGGTAAACATTTACCTCATGACACAATTCTGATCCATGACCAATGACAGTTTTACAAACTGAAATGTAATGTATAACACCTCAAAAAATTATATTTAGTATATTGGCATAGCAATTTTCATAGGATACAGTTCAAAAAAAAAATTGTGTACAAAGTTAAAATTTGTATTTATAGCCTCAAGCTACAACAGTGATCTATGCTACATTAGAAAAAATTATAATGATTTTACATCAAAACTTTTAGTTTTCTATTTCCTATTTATTCATGGCACTTATATATTATGTATTAACTCAAAAGTTGGGTGACCAAAAGTATCCTCAAATAGTGCACTCTGAACTGAACTAAATAATAAATTAAATGCATTTAAATCCAATTAATTAAAGCAGAGATCTAGGTACTTACTCATTGGAAACATAACACCAGCATTTTCAATTCTCATCAAATTCTGTTTATAGTCAAGCTCATCAAATTGCACAAAGTTAGGAACAAAGACTTTAACTCCTATCAATGAGAAGATGAATATTTATTTAATAATCGACTTTTGACAACAATATATGGTTTGATCATATATACTCAGTGCAAAGTGAAATCAAAACTTCACACAAACCTTCCTCCAGGATTTCACACTCTTTCATGATCTGATAACTTTTTGTTCTGTCAAATAACTTGTGGATTGATTCCATTGGATCAATGATGATGATTTCTGGGTGATCTTTAATATACATCTAAAAAAGAACATTTCACAACAGTTTCCTAAATGGAAAGATGTTTTTTATTTTTTCATGAGCATAGGAGCATGTTTTTTTATTTTCACTGGGTCAAAAGCCCAGTGTTATGGTGAGTGTGCTAGACTCCCAGTCAAGAGGACTGGGTGTGAGGCCTGGTTAGGGCTTTGTGTTGTGCTCTCAGGCAAAACACTGCTACCTTACTTTTAAAGTGCCTCTCTCACCGAGTATAAATGGGTGCCAGCCTGATAAAAGACTAGCAAGTAACCTTGCCATGAACAGGCAACCCATTCAGGGGAGAGTAGTAACACTACAAAATTTCTTCAAGATATGTGAATCAGGATAAGCTCTGGCTGGATATGCCACCGGCTCAAGTACAGACTTATCCCTTTAACTCCCATGAGTGACCAAGACAGAATTTCTCCTTACAATATCAATACAATATCAAGCAGACAAGTGATGAGAATAAAGAAAAGTCTTAATAGGGGGATTATTAGTTGATTCAATACCAGATTCCTCAAACTAACATCAAAAAAACTATATAGCAGACAGTAAGGAGAATTACTAATGAGATCTTGGGAGTTAAAGGATTAACCTTCACCTAACGTTAGCCTCAGTGATCTTTCACTACTGATTAAAAGTCAGTTCTATTGCAAGCCTTGGCAATTGAAGCACACTTGAATTGAAAGACAAAATTATGAAGTAATACAGGCTGCTTGATAAAGAAAGTGTGAAATACATTACCTCTACTCCTTTTAATGTTTTAATAGCTTCTTCATCACCCTCTGTAGCAGCTGCCATGTAATCTGTTATCTTCTGGATGATCAGGTCAAAGGGACCTTGTTCTTCTAGTGGTCTGTCCAGGTCCACCTAATCAAAATAAACTTTGCCTTGTGAATAACTAGACATGTTACTTTCTAGTGCTATTTGATGAGTATGGTTTTAGCAATGGGTTTTTCACAATATTAACCCTTTACACTTCAACATGCATATTCTCTATGCTGTTCTCTATACATGAACTTAGTTAAAGATAAGGAGAATTTGTGTAACAATCAAGAGCTTCTGACAATTGGTGATCATTTCTTTTATTCTCATGACCTGAATGTTTGATTCAGGGGTCATATTCTAAGGAGAAATTAGATGCTAGTCACTCTTTGTTGTCAAAGGGTTAACTCTTTGTCCATTCTCATCAGTGCAAATTGAAATCTGGTATGTTGCTAATTCAAGGAGGGTTGAATAATGGAGAAATACTATAACAAAAAGACAGCCCAGGGCAAGGGAAACAACTGATGCCAGGTCTGGTAAATGAACATAAGCCACAGTACCAAGACATACATTCTCTTGCTACTGTTACATCCATGCACCCTTGCTAGTTATCAGAAATAGAAACACTTGTCATCATTTGTGTGAAAACTCGCAAAGACAACAAGGATAACAGCCAACAAAGAACCTGCGCAGGAATTTAAATCTACTGCCATGCTCCCTTACATAAAGGGTGCATCTGAGGTTCTTTGCCACTGCCTACAACATTAAGGCATATGGACCGTTTTCAAGTCTGGCACAACACTTGGGTCTCACTTAGTACAACCTAAAGACGCCCTGAAACCATCAAAACAAGACGGTGTTCTTTACAAGATCCCATGTAAATGGGGCTAAGTGTATATCAGCAAAACTGGGAGAATTTATTGATTGTGACCCCCACTGGTACATGCATAGGGTCAAAGAGGCTATCCATATAGGACTTCACCCTAAAAACATCAACAGGGATAGTGGAATCAAAATTCCCTAAGCTTGGAAACCCACAATCAAACAAAACAACAGCCAATCAATGAGGACCAATGAGGGAACACCATCTAGCAATCAGAATAATAACGAGGATCAAAATGCACCAATAGCAGCAAACCGACATGCTACAAATAGAGACACATAAAGAATCAACCTCATCGCCTGATGAAAACTAGCAGTATTGCAGTCAAAACATTGCGATCAACATCCAAAGTGACTCCACTGTGAGACAAATGCATAAAGTTCATCTCCTAACTGATAAGAAGTATAACCATTGAAGTGAGGACAAATTTATTTGTCATCTAATAAAAATCATTGAACCAAATGATCTCTACATTTCCCCTACGTCAATTTGATAAGCAATGCCATTTTGTACGTGACCTATGAGTTTTCAATACAAGAGGAACATGATAAGAGACTTTCACCTTCATGTATAAATCATGCTTTTACTTTTCCCTTTCATAATTCAATATCAATTATGATGATAAAACAAACCATTCGCAAATGATCGAAACTTTGGTCGATCTGTTGGAAAGATGCTCTAAAATTTATTATTTACGGGAAATTTCGTTGATGATTCAAGACGAGAGAGGGCGGAGTAGTTTTCGACTGATATATTTCCTAAGTCTTTTAGTTTCAAACACGCGAGGAACAGCGAAAACCGCATAACGTGAATAAGTTTCCCTAAATACGGATAAGAAAGATAAGTTTCCGGAAAGGCTGGACTGCAAATAGTGCTCGTAGCAATTTCAAATGGCAGAACAGATGGGGACGTGATCGCCTTTTTTATTTTCAATTAAGTGTACATGTGATTCACGATTTTCCTCAATTTAATTTGTTTGATCCACCGCGTAAATTAAAAAGTGCGTCAATTCCCTATTACAACCAAGATGAAAGGACGAAAAACAGTTTTCTTCGTAATTGAAGAACAATTTCTCCTGATCAAGTTAAATTAGTTTTATTGTTATCCTTGACTGCGTACGTCAGATCTGAGCTAACATGAGCCTTCTTACCTCAACCAGATCGATACCAGTTTTCCTACAAAAGTGTGAAAAAAATGAAATTATATAAAAAAATATACCATGTGTACCTGAAGTAATTTTGAACAACATCGATGCCTGCATAAAACAAGATAAATGACTGGTTTGGCAACAAACTCACCCACACAACTGCATGAAGGTGTCGAAAATACTCTTACGCATCTTTCTCTGACTGACCAAAAACCCGACTCGTTTTCGCTTGAGAAGCCCGTTACTGTTCCTAAACATCGTATATGAATTCTCCACTCAACCACTCAAAGTAATCTCCAAAATTACCGTTAGGAATATCATTTTTGAGAGAATTTCAACAGCATGTTATATTCCAACCCTTGCGCCTCATAATATTCCGCTCCCATGCTGATGAGTGACTGCTAGTACTGTAATCAGCGGTCCAACAAACAAATACTACCCAGGCTTTTCGTCGTTTCCAAAATGGCTTCTCGAGTGATTCTTTCGCATGCAAAGTTTCTGGGTTATGTCGCTTTTAATGAACTGAATTTCGTTCGTTCGTCAGTTTCTTTCGGCTATCGTTGCGTAAGAAATGCCAGTTATGTTAATTTTTCAAAAAAATTGACAAGAAATAACGACTCAAGGGAAATAACTGCATCAACAAGTTTGGTACAAAATGGTGTCAGAAGTTTCAGTTTACAACATTGGCATGGTGAGTCGGGGACGTATAATGATTAATTCTAACACAGTCATAAAGAGAAAAAATAACGGTCGAAAAAATTGGCACGTGGTTTGAATCAGTGAGAGTTCGGCGAGAATCAAAAATGGCAGTTGTGTGTGCTGATAGTTGAACTATATGTTATTTATGCACCCTCAGAATCAAGCTGAAAAACAAATGCCTTTTGAACCTGCCATCAGAATTAGTAACGTTTTTTTTTTTTTTTTTTTTTTTTTATCATCTTAAGTTGGATCTCACGCTTCTTTGCTGAATGCATTTTTTTCTTTTTTTTGGAGACAGCTGTCCTTTTACAATCAGAATATTCACAGATAGCACAAAGATTTAGTCAATAAGTGCAGTGTTAGTTAACTAGCTCTAATTGTTGTGCTGAACTATTAAATAATTAGTTTTCTACTTATTGTTTCAGGTATAAGAGCATCCAAACTCACAGTGGATAATATCAAGGATTATGATGAAAACATTGGATGCCCAATCTGCAGAAGAAACATTACCTTCACTTATAAAGTACTCTGAATTTTGTTACACAGGCAGGGCTAATGCTTGAAATGTCAGTTTTGAAACTCTTAATGGTGGCCAATTTGCATTATCAACTCAGTTGATAAAACAAAAATTATCTTGCTACATACATAACCAGTTTGAATACTGTATTTAATTGATAAAGTGTCTAACCCTAAATAAGTCCAGCCTCAAATAAGCACCCCCTAACCCCCATTAAAAATGTTTTGTTGCAAAGCAAACTTATTACTTGCTGAAATTGTGAAAATTGAGTAAGTGCCCTCCTTGATTAACCACACTCTCTTGAGGTCCAAAATTTAATAAGCACCCAGGGTGCTCAATTGAATAAATACAGCATATCCAATTTTGATCTAAGACCTAATCTATAACAAACATCCATTCTATTTCTTTTTTTTTATGACTGTAGATGAAAGGCAAAATAATGTTGAATGCAAAGGATCAGCAAAAATTTGAAGTTTTAAGCTGCAAACTGTATTATAACAATGACTTCAATTTAATTCATTTTGTTACCTCCACAGGATGTATTGTTTTTATCACAGTTCATGTCTCCAAAAGGTTACATCCTTAATCGAAGAGTGACAGGTAAGTTACTATTGATACAAATTTGGTAAATCAACTGAATAAAAAAGCTATCTTTCAAAAGATATTTTTTTTCTTCAACTGGTTGTATAAGTTTTGTAAACAAAATGTATTAACCAGAGTCAATGCTGTCATTGATTTCTTTTGGAATGGTTCTCATTTGCTTTTGTTGTCTGTCTAATCTGTATTTCTTTTAGTCTAAGCCTTACAATCATTAATTAATTTATTAATAAATAAATATATAATGTTCCAAATACTGTTTGTCTCCAAAAGGTGTTTGCTCAAAGCAGCAGAGGAAATTAGAGAAAGCTATCAGAATATCACAAAGGCTAGGTGAGAATATTCTTAATTATTAAATTTTTAACTCCAGGTGTTGAATTTCAAGTGTTCTGATTGGTTCACTCAACTCTGGTTATCAGTTCATACATGGAATCACCTTAAACAGAAACAAATTCACCCATGTTTCTAAATTTTAGTGTTGGAACAAATTGCACATTGCACATTGTTGGATGCAAGATGGGTTATAGCCAACTTAGTGCTATGCACCTTGTTGGATATTTACATTCTTATATCCAACATGTGCTCATGGAATAATTGTTAAATGTCGTTGAGATCTTTCATGGCCATCCTAAACACAGAAAATCAACAACAATTTTGTATGCTCCTTTGTAAATCATACAGCCAGATACATCTTGCACCATAAATCCTGGACTTACCACCAACCTGTAAATCAGCACCCCTTTTCAAAAGGCACCTTCCTTCAAAAACTCCTACTTCCCTATTCCTATTTTCACTGAAAAATAATGTTTGAACCAGATAAGTGCATAATTGTACTGTTATACTCGCCAGTTTAGAACTTAACTTTTCATTAGGTTTGGAAAAATAGCTACTGGTACAAATACCCTGTGTTGGGTATTAAAACATTAGGATCAACTTGGTATATGATTATTCATTAACTGCAGATATTGCATGTTATTCACTCTACAAAAATAAAATTAATATGGATAAACATTTTGGAAAAAAGTCATTAGATAGATGACTTTCCTAAATTGAGTGTCCCCTTGAATAACTGGTCTCCCCTGAATTTGAAATGAGAACCCTCTTAGTGCTAATCTAAGAATTTATTTCATAGAATCCTGGCTGTAAAATTGCTTTCAAATACAGATTTTATGAACTCCTTTCAAGGAAGACAACGTTTTTATGTGTAACTTGCATTTCAAATGATTGAAGGTAATGTTTATTATCAAATGATAATTGTAAAATAACAGCATGAAATATGTTTTATTTGCAGGAGTTCTTCCTAAACTGTCACCAATACTGATAAGAGAGCTGGAAAGTCAGAAGCAGGCTCAGGAATAAAGTCACGAGTCAATCACAAACTTGAGTCACTGGTCACTTTGGGATCAGCATCCAGCTGAATATGATGTCTTATCAGAATCATTTTTTTCACAATTGACAAGCCCAGTCTTACTCTAGTGGTAAAAGAGAAGTCCTCAGAAAGACCTGCTGCCCAATTTTTTTGCCTCATGGAAATATTCTCCAAGAAAAAATGGAAGCAGAATACTATGTTTACTATGTCTTTGAAATGACAACAAACTCATTTATAAGCAGTGATTTCATCACTCTTTGCAAACAATGTAAGGATAATAGTATGTTTATTTGGTAAAATGTCATTCAAATAACAAGAAATTCATTTAAATTTTTTTTGTATGGGTTCTGCATGACTGAAATACCTGAAAAGCTTTTAGATGACTCAAATAAAAATGATAACACTACATTAAAAGATGCTTTCTTCTTTCTTTGCCTCAATGATTGCAAAAAATATTTATTGGTTTCAAAAAGCACAGAGTGTTGATGAATACAATAATATTACAACTGCACTCAAGTTGTTCTTACTATTTGTGTGTGAATATTATTAAATACACTATAATACATAAAACTTGTGCATGAAGTTGTCACTTCACAGCATAAAAGGAAGATCCAAATTTTTGGTGCCAACACCAACATACACTGATCCATACTTCCGTGTGCCTGGTACATGATAGAAAGCAAAGCCTAACCAATGTAGGCTGCGCAGGGTAACCAAGCCACTCCCACGCTCAAACTGGATACTCCACGAGCCTGGAGAGGACACAAACCAACACTACTATAAGTATTAAATAGAAAAGGCAAATAATTCTGGTCATTTTCAGAGTAAGCAGTTCAGAGAAAGTTGTGTATATCCAAGTTTCCAGGTCTTTTTTTCCCTAAAAAACCATACCAGACCATGTGTAACATGTCAATAATTTCAAAAGTCAACAAAAATAGATAATACTTGATTGATTTTGATACTAGTCAATCAGCTAATATAAAAGGGAACAAGCAGCCATTAGAAGGTCCTAAAAATTACAAGCCTGGGTTACTCCAGAGTTAAGACTTACCTCCCTTTGGTACATCAGTATCAATTGGATCAAGGAAGTCAATAGCTTTATCCAATTCAGCCTACAAGAAAAAAATCAACCTCACTTAAACAGACAGGTGGATTATTGAAAAAACTAATGATATCAATATTTGAATTGACCTCTGATTCCTTTCCATGTAAGAATGTATGAACAAGCTTCACTGTAAGTGATCATGTGCAAATTAATTACAATTAATCAATGCTTTCACAAATTTTACTTTGCTACATTAAAAAGCACCCACAAAAAAAGTTATTTGTCATTCAGGTGTTAATGTCATTGTTATAAATATTGATTCAAACCTTTTGAAGAAGAGTCTTCTGGGTGAGTAGAAATGGCTCTCGGAAATGGAAGTAACTGGAGAGCTTGCCTGAATCTGCCACTGACAAACCTGGGTCAATTCATATTTAGGAAAATTAGGATATTTAATCAGTTATCCTTACTTTCAAAAGAAGAGAAAAAAGAATGGGTCTCCACCTTTTTTAAAATAAAAGTACCATTTATCAAATGATGATATTGAGTACCTCAACCAAGCTCTGACTGTCAAGAAAAAGGTGCCATCTTTAAAACTAACAAGCAATCCAATACTAAAGGAAGGCCTTATGACCCTGAGGCATCTTTGATTTAAATCCAAGGTAAAAGAAGAGTTTCATGTATCCAGACTTGCCAAACATACACAGTCTCCAATTTATAAAACTTCTTTTCAAGAGTTAATTGACTTGCGTCCCCCAAAAATTCTCATTAATATGTATTAACACTTAAGCAAAGAAAATGATGTGTGAAGGTCCTTCACTAGGAAAGCAATAAAGACTACCTAGAACACCATTTGCTCATCTAACTGAGAACCTTATATACTTGCAAAGACAGTAACAGCAATTATACCACAATGACACAAAGAATTGTCTAAAGGCTTTCATGCACAAAACCATTGTTGCAGGAGGTATTATGAGGCATCTGAGCTTAAACAGTAAAGTAGCATTTAATTGTATCCAAGTGGTTTACTCCTTCTTCTCACCTTCAAAGCTTCTGTTTGGTTCAACTGTGCCAAGAGCTGTTCGATAGTAAGCTCCCCTGGGTACTATTCTGACATCATAATCAATAGCTTCAATAGTTGTTGCCAGCCTGTCCTCTTCTTTAATCATAATCTAAAAAATTGATGGAATAACATATTTAAAAATATCCTCAACACAAAGTAACATTTTGCACACAAGCTAAGAAGCCTGACTGTACAACCACAGCACATTCTGGTTCCATTAACCCCTTTCATAAAGGTAGGCATGATTATTATTCCTTTTCATGCATGAGAATAAGCCTTCTTGGCTCCTCTGAATTCATTCTTGGCCCTTCCCACTACTTATTAACTGTAATGTGGAACATTTTCTTAAACTAGCACTTAACTGTGTTTCAAGCCCTAGGGAAAAAAGTGACACTCCAACATCAACAAAATTTGAAGGTTTGTACTCTATTAAATTTTCTGTTCATCATAAAAACTTAACTTACAATGTTTTCCTCCTCTGCTCCATCCAATTTTTCACCATCTGCACCTTCAGCTTTCTTTGTCTCTGTGTGTTCATATTCATATGATGGATCTCCTGTGAAGCGTCCTTTTACAAATGAGCAGTTATGTCTCATGCTTTCTGTCACCACTGGCAGTAAGCCCCAGTGTACACAGTCCAGACTGTGGAAAACACCATAAGTAACACAGTTATTTATCGTTAATCCAGGATGAATCGCAAGTGTGCATCCTCAATAGCCTGGCTATTTTGGTGTCCATTAGTAAATTGTGAAGTTTTTAACTTAAAAGAGGTTGACTAAATAACAATTAAACGTGTGAGAATGCTAAATATTGTTTACAGTGGCCGAAAAAAAATTTTCAGCTGTTAGAATTAAGCGAACGGAATATACTTCTTCTGTTTCCCTGTATGCTAGCGGGCACAGGGACAGTAAGGACATACATTGAGTATGCAATTAATCTCAATTTTGAAGATCAGTTCACAACTATGCACTTTTTAAGACAAGTCGACTTCAAAACTAAAATAATTTTTACCCACGATAAGTTATTTTGGATACCTGTAGAGCGTTTTTCTTTCCTTCAGTTCATCTTTACCGACTCCCTGTACAATGAAGTAGTCACTTTTTACTCCAAAGATCTTTCCCCAAAATTTCACTACACGAAACTTGTAATTACTTTTCAAAATAACCAACGAAGATTGTAGAGCTGCCTTCTGCTCTGTACTTAGAATAATGCCACTGCTTCCTACATAGTCTATATTCATATGAAGACCTTCTGCGTCCATGTTTTTTGCAGAAAATTTGACACAACCACCTTCTTCAATGTACTATGGCTGCTTCTCTGTGATTTTGTTACGCGCGCCACTGTTGTCATGGTAGTTTTGGGTGTAACCGCTGGATTTCATGAACGAGCGAAGGAGTTATTTTAATTGGTTTTCTTTACCAAAATTGACCAATCAATGTTCTTGTCTTACTGCTGTTCTGCTTGTTCAAAATGGCGGCTCGTGAACAGATCTCGTTCAGATCAAAGCCTTCTTCTATCCTTACCTGATCTCAGAATTTTATATATTTCGTAAAGAGAACTAATTGAAATGGAGCTTAAGGCATTTGTTGAGAAATGTAAAGATGAAGGACATTTCATAGAGATTTTTAACAGTGGAAATCACGACAGACTCTGTTGGAATGGCGGTGCGAAACAAGAAGACTTGACAATTTCTTTGTCCCATCACTATGACAGGATGGCGGCTGATGACCAATTTGAAGCCAGCATCGAAAAGACGTGGACTGATCTTAAGGAGAAAAATCCCTTCCTTTTCAACGGCTCCAAATTTCGTCTTCATGGCGTAAGGAACGAAGCCGGAGATTCACTGTCTCTTCTGTTAGGACAAACTTGTTATAGAGATTATGTTTGTACAAACATGAACGACAAGCACTGGGGATTTTTAAGAGACTATGGCAAACGTGAATACGCCAACGAACATGCATGTTTTTCTGATGCATTGGGTGTTGGTTCTGTCGTGGAAACAAGTGACAGTAAGTTAATTTTTATTAGAAGAAGCCATCAAGTTTATGAAGATCCAGGTCATTTAGATACCCCAGGAGGACACGCAGAACCCAGTGTAAGCACTTAACCAGTAAAAAATAAAATGATACTTATTTAATTTAAATCCACTAGTCTTTTATTGCAAATACTGCAATCCTATTGGTTACAATATTCACATTAGAATCTATTCCATCGAGTAGTCTAGTGCCCGGCAAAACGCACGCTTTTCTTTAATGCAACATCTCGCTACATTGTTGACCGCAATGTGTTGCACATGTTTTTCCACCCTGTAGCAACATGTTTCAAGATGTTGGATGATGTTGGATCGAGTTTGAAAATGGTCAAACTATTGTTGCAACATTTTTGTTGTCACAGAGCGATCCAACAATGATGCAAGATGTTGCGTTGAAATGTTGAGTGCTTTTGACAGGGCCTTTACACTTTGTTTGTGAACAGTAATCCGTCAGGCCATTCAAAATTTATGAATTTAAGTAAATTTCTATGTTGCAAAAGTGAAACTTTAAAAGCAATTCAAAGAAGCTACTAGCATCATTCTCAACCTTGGATGTTTTTGGACCTCACCTTCATAATGTTGGCTAAAACATTTTAAAATTGCTTTCAGGAAGTTAAACAGACCAATAAACAAACTGAGAATACAAGTGTGGTTGATATTGAAGATATGGATGGCAAGGCAGTGGTGTATGAGTTGTTTCATTCTATTGTACGGGAAGTCAGAGATGAAGTAAGTTTTATATCAAATATATATGCTTTCTCATTTCCCACCTTATGGAAATCTTCTGCTACACATTAATAATGTGTGGATGAGACTTTCCTAATTTAAGTTATGCCTGATGAGTTAATTTTTGTGACACTGACCACAATGTGCTGACACTTATCCATAGGGTTTCTACACCATAAAGATGAGGGTTGGCCCCACTATTTCACTACAATTTCTTGGCAGTATGTTGTTTTGAGGGGGAAACAATGGCCCAGTGTTTAGCTTGTTGGACACCAGAGCAAGGGGTCTGGGCCTAAGCACTGGCTGAATCACTGTGTTATGTTCTTGGGCAGGCTTGGCTTCATATACTTGATCTTGTTGGTATCAGCTCTGAAGATAAAATGTGGAAGTAATGAATACAACAAATTGATCCTGGGTAACATCTCAGTTTGATAAATCAAGATCCTTTCCAGATGAATTTCTGGTAGACAACTTTGCCTGGTATCTAGAGAAAAGGATCACAGACACAAGTAATCACCTTTGAATAACAAGATACTGATCTTAGTCTCAAGATCCTTTAATTAACAACATATTTTTAAACTCATATTCAATATAGGTCAATATTCCAGAAGAATATATCAGCTGGCCACTTTTGACTGGAATTTACCGTAATCACCGCACTGGACAGAAACCTGGGGCTTGTTTTAGGATCAGGTCTCTGTTTTTACTTTTTGTCTGTCTGAAAGGCCTATCATCAAATCTTAAATTGTCCTACTTGGTGATTCATTCAAACCATGCTGATATTAATACTTGTTTATAATAATCAGTGAAATCTAGAAAGAAAACTGAACAAAACAATAGCAGATGAAATTTACCAATCACAAGGGAGCATCATGCTGAGAAAACTGGGAGATATATAGTTAAAACTGTAGCCCTGATGAAGAGCAGCAGTCTACAGCTAAGAAAATCCTCATATTAAACTAGATGGCACAGTATGGTTCATCAAATTATTATTTTAAACTAGTTAATTAATATCATACTTTCCCACTGCAAAAAAACTACAAGGTTACTTACACTAAAATTCACTAAAATATGTTTTACCTGCCATTTTTTTCTTGAAGATGCTCTCTCAAAGGCGAGAAAATCCATGAGTTTTATCGCAAGGGTGGACCAGAGGCTTATGAATCATCCCAACTGCTGTTGGTGGACTTAGCTGTAAGTTTCTTTCAGTTCTAAATTGGGTCAGTGCAGAGTGCCATCTTGGCCATTGTTTGCATTCTCTAAATGCATTTTAATCTTTGTTATTGTTGGTTACAGGAATTCCAGAGGGGCATGTCGTCTTCTAAAGTCAAGGAACTGTTCAAAGATCTCACTCCAGGATGCAAAGCATGTCTGTATTTTTATTTCAACCTACAAACTAACTTTACTGTATGAAAAGCCCCGCGCAGCAAGTATTCTGGAAGATTAGCAGACACTACACTTTCATTATGAAGGCTATTAGTGGGACATGCAACACTGAAGGCGAAATTACTAATTTTGACAGTGAATTTAAGAAAGACGATCTTCCTTCCAGATTAGTTTTAATATATTTATGAGAAAATAAGAAACTGTTTTTAACAAATATATTGATGGCTGTTTTGAAATAGAAATGGAATGTAATGGACTTACGGAAGATATGTGGTTATGGTTTGTTCTCGTCTACAATTTTGGCAGTTTTAAAGGGTCTTTTTTTTTTAGTAGAAATGGCCAGAATTCTGTATGATTGTAATTCATTTCTATGCATAGGTGTTTGTCAGTCATTTGAATGAGAAACACGAATACTTCCGAGCAGGGAGGGCAGAACATTTTGAGACTGTTTATCACAAACCAAGCCAATGCCCTAACTCGTATTTCCTTTGCGTATTTCACTAGGTTTATAAGGTTAGATTTTCACCACTCAGCGGTCAAATGCATGGCATGCGCAGGGGGATCAGTTTTGGCCAGCTGCGCGCCGAAGTGCCGTAAAGAAATTCATAAGAAAACGTTGCCACGCCAAATGCATGTATGCGAAACAAGCATTGATTCATGTCTGGAAATGTATGAAAATCATATAGGAATGGGATATACGCGATCCTCGCAGCTATGAACACTACTAAATTAGTAGTTGAAAGGAGACCTGAAAAAAATTCAAGCCCGTACGGGATTTGAACCCATGATCTCTGCGATACCGGTGCAGCGCTCTACCAGCTTAGCTACTGGGAGCTGGTTATAATGTGTGACCCATATAAATCTTCCAAGTGGTGAATAATGACTGGAAATATGTGATATATTGATTCGTCCATGAAAATATGTCAATGGAAACAAAAATAGTGAAAAGGAAAACTCGAGAATTTCTTACTTGAGGCTTATTCAATTATAGGTTTCCTGCTGATTCACCATTTTGTTGTGGACTTTACCAAAAAATTTGTCCAGTTTTCAAACACCACGGCTCACTCGTTTGTGTAGTGAAGACAATTGACCGCTGTGGTGATTTCCTCTGCTTTCTCTAGTGTCGGAAATGAGACTAAAGAATCTGCTATGTTCCGAAACTTCACGTTTTATTTTATAAAATCAACTTAATCTCCCGCTCTCTCTCACCGTTTTCTGTCCTTCGCTCTGGTCTCTCTCATTTTAAATATATAATATGATCCTATTGTTCAATCATCTGTCACTTATCGCAAAAAATCAACCGGAAATCAATTAACGCTGAATAATCTCTCACACTAGTTCGATCTGCGTTCTCCTTAATGAGAAGTCCCGCGATATCGGAGTACGGACTCATTTCCCAGACAGCAGCTGATTATCGAGCCTAGTGGTTCATTACTGAAAGCAAACCGTCGTGACTGTGCAATTTTGACAGAGACAAGTGTTTCCGTAATCGATTCATTACAGAGCATAGGTTGGTTTCTGAGCCAAAATAGTCAAACATCGCGTTCTGCAGAGTGCAATCCTGATGAAAAGGATTTGTAAATATACCATGACACTGAGTATTCTGCAAGGCCAATTAGGTCGTTTCAGCAACGTCTCGAGGCAGTTCGCTGAATTACGGTCAAGTCACCTGACTCGCCTGCGGCCACCCGCCCACGCTTAAAATTACTTTTCTCTTGCCTTTTAAGTAGTGTTCGTTTCTGGAAAGATCCTTCTCGCTTTCATCTATCAATC